CCCCCGTCACGACACCTGGCTGGCATGTCGAACCGCGGAAACGAGTCAGGGAGCGCCTCAAGTCATTCCGGGCAGCCATCAAATGCTGAGCTGTCGATACGCTCGGGTTCGCCATACGACGCAGCCGTTCGGTACACATAGTGTGCATAGTCGTCGCGACCACGAATCTCCATAGTTCTGTCGCAGCTGCATATAATTCCTTTCGATTATCGATGTTATCCTCAGTGGGTGAAAGATTTTTTCTAGCCGCCTCCCACGCATTGCTTGGGTATTCCGGTAATTCAAGCGCAATAATTCAAATGTGATAGTCAGCGTCAGGAAATTCGCCGAGATGCATCCACAGTAGTAATAGGTGTTGCCAATGACTATGGGCCGCCGCACACGTCTAAAAGACGTGACTTGCAGGCGCGGGATCATCAGGGAGACATTCAGGATCAGGGCACGAGTGGTTCTCTGCCCAGTTCCATAGCGGAGAACAGTTGGCTATCAGGCGGAACAATGTCCGTGTGACCTGCGGGAAAGTTGCTCGGATTCTGCGTAGGTCTTTCCAATCTATCAAAGCGGCCTTCTGAGCTATGACGAGATAATCGACCGCCGTCATGCGATTATCCCGTTTCCGTGCGCCAATTCCACGCTTTAATTTTGCAATTGACGCTTTGAAGTCTTTTCGGCGAGGAATCCATCCCATTCGACCAATCCATATGTGTACGATACGTGTGAGCGAGTTATGCGATGCAAAACGGATCGATAATACGCTGGCGCAAGTCGCTACCTGATCGCACTCTAACATAGAGCGCACTGGCGCCGAGCAGCACGGCTGGCCATGATCCCAGTGACATACGGCCATGCCAGTAAAATTTAACGTCCAGGTGTGATGCCTAGGGGCATCATAAGAGACCGGGCACGAAATGGCAGTCCCCATAGGCCGGTAGAGGAGAGACGAGTAATTGAAAAATTAGAGCCTGACAGAATTGTCCGAACTTTCTTTTTTTGCCCGGCAGTGTGGTGAGAGATCTTTTGCTAGGTGTAAATTGGACTACACCCATTGTAGTCCACGTCCAGAAGAAAACGTGACCTAGCGTGGTTTCGTCACGTGCAAAGCTGGCATTGTTAAGCTGATAGAATACTCCGCGAGCGTCGAGAAGCCAAGTTAAGATCCCGAAAGATACATGCTTCAGCCAATTTGTGTTGCAACGTCCATGTACCTCCTCCAAAATATTGTTGCGAGTCGTAAGGTCCAGCAAAGCCCGGGCATCAACGATGACACCCCCGTCCTCAGCATAAGTGGTCATCACTCTGGTTTCAAAAAGCGCCGCCCGCTTTCTCACGACCGTCACATCGCGCCTTCCCGCGTGTTCCGCGGAGGAGACCGCAACTGCGTTGGCACCGGTCTCCCATAGGGTAGCAGATATGATTTGCTTTGTTTCCGGACCCCAGTGCGGGTTAATGTATAATAGGCGTGAGTCTCCAGAATCCTATATAAGATCGCCCACCACAAGATTCCTGGAGGATGACGTCGTGGCCCATTTTCCGACCGTCATGGCTGCAAGCGTAATTATCTCTGTGCGGACGCACGGGATACATATCGCCATCTTGAAGCGGTAGTGAACCGTGCTCCTCTTGCACCCAGGAGCGCGAGCGTCGCCCATTGCGTTTACCCCATACGAAATTTTTAAGATAACCCTGAAGCTTCATATACATATGCGAGGAAGGCCAACAGTGTCACGCAACGAAGAGTATCTTAGGTATTGCTATCGCGTTCTCTAGGCACGCCCTCTGCTTCACGGTGTGAGTCTTTTCACGAGCCAAAGCGAGTCGAGAATGAATAAATTTAAAAAATTGGGTCCACGTTGCTTCCGTCGTGTCGCTCTGTCCCACCTGTACCCCTAAATAACGTCATAGCTCATTCGGCCCAAGCACCGAAAGACCTTGAGAATTAACTACCCGCTCCGGATCATACGGTCCCAACACTGAGACTGTAAATTTAGTGCGGTTCATCGTGAGACCAGATACCTGGGAAAGGCGTCGAGGATGGCCAGGACTGTAGGGATGTGAGTACCAGCACGCAAGTAGAGCGCTGTGTCGTCCGCGTAGCCGGACACTGAAATCGTCTCTGCATGGTCACCTGATTCCAAAGACTATTCCTTTAATGTCAGGGCGTGCTCTTATAACCTTGTATAGGTTATTAAGCGCAAGAATAAAAAGTAGAGGAGCCATGGGACACCCTTGCCGTATTCCAAACAGCACATCACGACGTTTGGACCTAAAACCGCTCACTAAAAAACGACAAGTCGTGTTTTGATGAAGTACCCCGACAATTGTAATAAACTGCTGATAAACTTTAGACTTCTTGGTCCGAGTGCAAAACGCAAAGTGAAGACATGTTTATAATAGGTACTTAGTTCGCAACTTTGAATACTACCTCTAAGCCTATTATTCGCAGTGACGTCATCCACTGACGTCACCCACTGACATCATTCCGCTGACGTCATTCCCTGACTTCGCCCTTACTGGTACATACCGGCACCCACCGGTATATCGAAGCTTGGTCTTCGGCTTGCTTCAACTCTTGACGCAGCTTGACGAGGTGTCTTCTTCACATCCGCCGTCTTTTCAACACTCCCTCTCGACTCGTTAGCTGCGGCACCTTGGATCCCAAGTCGATCGCGAATGTTTGCAAATTGTACAGCGGCGATCGGCTTGGTCATCATGTTCGCCAGCATATCTTGAGTTGGGCAGTACTCCAAAACGACTTCGCCCGAGATCGCCTTCTCACGCACAAAATGGTAGCGTATGTCGATGTGAGTTGTTCTCTTATGGAACTCCGGGTTCTTGGCGAGAGCGATTGATCCTTGGTTGTCTTCACACATCTTGATCGCTTCGTCGCTTGCCATCTCACCAAGTTCCCTCAACAACACCTTGAGCCATACTGCTTCTTTGGTTGCTTCGGAAAGAGCCATGTATTCCGCTTCAGTTGAAGATATCGCGACCGTCCGTTGTTTCTGGCTTTTTCAGCTGATGCATCCTCCGTTCATCATGAACACATAGCCGCTTGTACTTCGTCTTGACTCAATGTCGCCGGCCCAGTCTGCGTCGGTGTACCCGCAGATACGGCTTCCTTCTTCACGTGTGAACTCAAGACCGTGATTGGGCGTTGCTTGCAGGTATCTCAGCACACGCTTCAAAGCTTGCCAGTGAGTCGGGCATGGGTCGGACGAGAACTGGGATAATGATCTTACTACAGCAGCTAGATCCGGACGTGTGGCGACCATGAGATACATGATGCCTCCGACAGCACTTTGATATGGCACGTCGCACATGGTGTCTTCGTGGTTGCATTCTTGGTCACACATGTCCTTGGTGAGCTTCAGACCGGGATCTTGAGGCGTCTTCACTGGCTTGCTGTTATCCATTCCGAACTTGGTCAACACGGACTTGATAAACTTGGTTTGTCGCACAGTCACCATTCCAGTCTTACGGTCGTTCTTGATCTCCATGCCGAGAAAGTAACTGAGCTCACCGAGACCCGTCATTTCGAAGCGTGTGCTCAGCGCCATCTTGGTCGACTTGAGTATGTCGTTGTTGCTGCTGGACAGGATGAGATCATCGACGTAGAGCACCACGAGAATCATGTCTTGGTCGTCTCGCTTGATGTAGATGAAGTGTTCCAATTCGCACTTGTTGAATCCCATCGTGATCATGAACCCATCGATAGTTTGGTTCCACATGCGTGACGATTGCTTCAAGCCGTAGAGCGATCTCTTTAGCTTGCACACATAGTCCGGCTGTTTTTCATCCAGGTATCCTGCCGGCTGGTCCATGTAGATGTCTTCGTCGAGGGAGCCGTTAAGAAACGCTGTCTTGACGTCCATCTGATGTAGCATTAGGCCGTACTTGGCCGCCATGCTGAGCACCACACGAATCGATGTGAAATTGGCCACTGGTGCAAAAGTTTCTTCATAGTCAACTTCAAATTTCTGTGAGAATCTTTTGGCTACAAGTCTTGCCTTGAAACGTTTAACTTCGCCATCTTGATTCTCCTTGACACGAAACACCCATCGGCACCCGATGGCTTTGCGACCTTTCGGAAGAGGCACGATTTCCCACGCGTCGTTTCTCTGTAGCGAGTCGAACTCCGAGTCACACGCTTCTTTCCACTTGCCGGAGTCGCTTGATTCCATCGCCGACTTGAACGTAGTCGGCATTTCCCCAACTGAATCAACAATGTAGGCTGCTTCAAAAAATCCACCGCAGCCGCTGATGCATGCTCAAGCGACGGACCTCTGTACGTTCTTTGCTCGGAACTTGGAATGACGGTAGATTTCTCAAGTGATTGAGTGCGCGTGTGTCCCTTGATGTTGCTTTTCGAAGACCTGGTGTCTTCGTCGTCATCGTCGTCATCGTCGCTCAAATTCAGGTCGACGTCAGTTTTACCTTCTTCTTTTCCTTCGTCCTCGTCTTGATCATCAAACTCAACGGTACTTGACTCATCGTTGTAGTTGCGCGGACCTTCATCAAACTTGTTTTCCATGAACGTGGCATCGCGACTGATCTTGATCGCTCCTGTTGACACTTCCTCGAATCGATATGACTTCTGGTGTTCGGCGTACCCCAGGATACGACAGAGTGATGACTTGGAGTAGAACTTCGCGCGTTTGCCTTGAGGCACTTGAACATACGCGTGGCATCCAAACACTTTGAGGTTGGCCAGAATCGGTTTCTTCATTGTCCACACTTGATATGGAGACTTGTATTGGTGGATGGCACGTGTTGGACAGCGGTTTCGAAGAAACATCATCGTCATCACTGCTTCACCCCAGTATCTCTTTCCCAGTCCAGCATGTTCCATCATACAGCGCGCACACTCGACCAGCGTGCGATTCATTCTCTCAGCAACTCCGTTGAGCTGAGGAGTATACAGGGCTGAACCTTTGTTGTATCCCCCGTTCCGCGCAGAATCGTGCCAACTTGTCGGACTTGTACTCACCCCCATTGTCGCTTTAAAGGTACTTCACGCGCTTTCCGGTTTGCGTTTCGGCCATCGCAGCGTATTCCATGAACTTCGCCGCAACTTCAGATTTGCTCTTGAGCAGATACACGACACAGTATCTTGACTTCTCGTCGACGAATGTCACGAAGTACCGCTTTCCACTGAATGTTGCCACCGACATCGGTCCGCATACGTCGTTGTGAATCACTTCGAGCAATTTGGAGGTGCGAGCTGTAGTGTTCGATTGGAAGCGCATTCGAGTCTGTTTTCCCAGAGCACAACCTTCACACACGTCCCACTTCTTCATCGAAGGTATGTCGATGCCAATTCCAATGTTCTTCGTCACGATGCAATTGAGTCCATCATGACCTATGTGGCCAAGCCGAAGGTGCCAGAGGTACGACTTGGTGCCCCTTTGACATCCCGACGACTTGGCTGCATTTGCTTGTTCCGGCGCCACTGGAGTCATTTGCAGCTTGAACAGTCCTTTACCTTCACGGGCATTAATTTTCCACTTGGCCCCTTTCGCTTCTCCATAGCACCCATCCTTTGTGAACGTCACTGGGCCCACATCCTTGGTGAAGCGGCCGACTGAGAACAGGTTTCTGGATAACTTTGGGATGTGCCACACGTTTGTGAGCACACCTTGATTCATCCCTTGGGGTGTCTTCATCGACATGACAATGTCCCCACTGCCGATTGCTTGGACGATTCCATCATCCGCGAGATGGACATCCACAGCGTCAAACACCTTGTAGTTCCGCATGAACTTCTTGGAGCACGTCATGTGCTGCGTCGCCCCGGAGTCGACCAGCCAGATGTCGCTTGATTTCGCAGATGTCGTTTCACCGATCGAGAAGAGGTAGTCGCCCGAGTCTTCTTCTTGAGTAATGTTTGCACGTTGCGATCGATGGCGGTCGCCGCTGTCTTGAGCGCGCTGTGGCCGGTGTCTCTCCGTGTTTTCTTGGATGCGCGAAGGGCACTCCGCCATCCAGTGACCAATCTTTCCGCAATTGTGGCACGGCCAGGACTTCTTCACTGGTCGGCCTTTGCGCTGATTGTCCCTTGAGATGAACGCTTGACCTTGCGAAGCTTCATCACCTTTACTTCCTTGCTCCTTCTGCTTCATTTCTTTATGAAGCAGTCGAGGCGTCACGAGCTCCCAGCTAAGAGTGTCTGAGCGCGACTCTAAAGCTGTGATCAAGAATTAATACGAGTCACTCAGGCTGCCGAGAAGTGTGATCACCAAATCGTCCTCGCAGACCGAAGCCCCCACCGCTTCTAGCTGTTCCGCCAACGTCTTGAGCTTGTTGATGTGTTCGAGCATATCGTCGCCTTCTTCCATCATCGCCGTGAAGAAGCGACGGTGAAAGAACAGCTTTTTGGCAAGACTCTTCTTCTCGAAGTGGTCTTCCAACCTGGACCATGCGTCGCATGCATCACTTGCCGATCGGACCAACGGTAGCTGGGAATCTTTCATGGCTAGACAGATCACTGCCATCGACTTTCTTGACTTCCTCTTGTACGCCGCTTGGTCCAACTGAGTCACGCACTGTTCCGCCTTGATCTCGCCGCTGACGACCTCCCACAGGTCCCGCTCCTCCAGCACCATCTGCATCTTGAACTTCCAGGCGTGGAGGTTAGTTCCATCGAACTTGTAGATGCGGAGGGCGGAGGCATTCATGGCAGCGAGGCTTGAATTGTTGTCGGTTTCAGAGTCTGACAAACTTAGGCTCATAACCTGATGAACTTTAGACTTCTTGGTCCGAGTGCAAAACGCAAAGTGAAGACATGTTTATAATAGGTACTTAGTTCGCAACTTTGAATACTACCTCTAAGCCTATTATTCGCAGTGACGTCATCCACTGACGTCACCCACTGACATCATTCCGCTGACGTCATTCCCTGACTTCGCCCTTACTGGTACATACCGGCACCCACCGGTATATCGAAGCTTGGTCTTCGGCTTGCTTCAACTCTTGACGCAGCTTGACGAGGTGTCTTCTTCACAGCCGCCGTCTTTCCAACAACTGCTGTGAAAATCCAAGCCAGTTGAGCACAGCGAGAAGAAAAGGACGTTGCAAGGAATCGTACGTTCTTCGGCAACTGCCGGTACCAACTCTCGGATGCCTTTCCTAGACTCATCAAAAATGTCTTGCATCATTCGTTGTAAGGTTTGCACAACCCTTTTTATTTCGTAAATCAATCGCTTAGTCCACTCGACGGCTTCGTCCGAAAGATAGTATTCACCTTCGAACTTGCTATCTTTTCCATTGGAGTATGCGTCTGTATCTCGAGCACTTGTCCTCATTCGCTGCTTTATCCGTCGAAGCTAAACCTGCAGCTGCCGTGATTCGTCGAACTACTTGTATAATAGTGTACGTTCCAGTCTTCGTCCTCAACATTGTAGTGCGCATTCGCTTCATTGTTGTTGCGCACAGATCGTCCGAGCCTCATAAGAGGCGGCATCATCTTTGCGGATAGCATGTCTGTATCCGGGAAATACGGCGATCCCCCAACCTTTGAGGCGAACAATACCCTTTGTTCCAATTCAGTTTAAGTTATTTCTCGCTGGTCTGTCGGAACATGACCCCCATTTGCTTAGTATTCGTATTAATACGTACTGGTATTGGCGCCTTCTCCTCGTACACAATGTCGTTCGCTTGCTGGTGATGTTTCGTCTGTTTAAGCTTGATCAAGGTTCTATACCGAACTCTTTTCTTTGTTTGGTGCACCACTACTTTATCTCTTTGTCAACCGATTGCTAAAAAAAGATTTCTACTCCGAAGTTGGGTCCTGAGTGGCCTTGTATTTTAATCCCATCGCGCGTTAGCGGTTGAAAGTGATGCTAACGAGTGCCACGATCTTCACGTCAACGTCATTCATGTTCAACTCAATGTTAGGATTGGCTTATTTCCCTTGTTCCGACCGTCCAATATAAAATTGCTTGATCCACTTAATCTTCGTCATCTCTTTCGCGATTAGATGGAATATTCGGTTTTCCTTAGGCGTAGTAATCCTCTTCGTGGTCGTTCATAAAGCTGCATAACACGGTCCTCTTTAATCGTCAGACCTTCGTCTTCACTCCTCACGTGTTTTGTTTTCACGTGGCTCTTTCACGGCTTGGGTATGGCGAACCTGCCCCGCATGCAGAGCGTGCTGCTCCTCATCTTCTTCGGATACTACTTCACCGTCGCACCCAGTTCCTTGGTCACAAATTTCAACCCATGGTCATACCTTTAAAACTCGTCGAGCGCACGTTCGTGCTTTAAGTCTGCTTCCACGTCATAGTTGCTAGCTTTTGCTTTTTTAAACCTAGCGTAAAACGTTTGTACAGTGGTCGATGGTACCTTGTCGCTTGCGTGTAACAAATTGATGACCAAATCGCTCGAAGTTGGTTGCTCAGCCCCTGTTTAGCAAATGCATACCATATGAAATCATGGTCGAGGCATCAGTTGTGGTATACTCGTCAGTTAGATCTAAAATACAACAGCCTCAACGTACAAACACAGCAAACGACTAGCTTAGTCGGCGACTCGGACTGATACGTGAGTGCATACCTTTGCGGCTCGCCCCTTCGGGATTTAGTAGTGGCTCTCGCCTGATTGATTCCTTACAAACAATTCTTATAGAATTCTGGATGAGCTCAGCAGCTAATAAATCTTTTAATCCCTGTGACTTCACACCACAGGATGGAAGCCGACGCTAGCTCATTTTCACATGTCACCGGGTGCAGAATCCATCCGACTAAAAGATTTAAATCGCCCTTTGGCTAAGGCCCACTGGCATGTCGCTCCACAAGACTTTTAGCGGTTCCGTCTACTGGGTCACCGGCCTGTCAAGTGACGAGACTCAACAGTGTCGCCTACTGGATCACTGGCTCGCCGTCAGCGAGACACTTCCTTTCGCTTATAGTAAAGAGTTTCTTAACCCGATCCATTATAATCTCTCGGTGCTTTCAGTTGCAACCTCTAGAAGATATGCCTTTCAAGATTCGAACAAGGCAAAATACAGCCTGCGCAGGTGTACACGTGTCTTGGACTTTGAAATCTCTGATCTGTATTAACATCTCTTATTTTGTTGCAGTAAATATTACGTGGGTCGCTTCTTCTCTCTCACCTGTTTCACATACGAACACTACCCAATTATTTGAAGCTCTTGCCGAGTCTGAACATGTCGAGTTTGGACTTGTCGAGCTTTGGCTTATAAAGTGACTCTTTTTTATGCATAAACTTATCGAGTAAAACTGTACATCATTATAATGCATGGCCTTTACTTTGCTCCCGAAATTTATAGGTGGGGGACCGCTGCTAGTATGGTACTTATTGAGGGGTACAACATAAGAAGAACCCACAAGTTAAACACTTCAAGTGATGAACTTTAGACTTCTTGGTCCGAGTGCAAAACGCAAAGTGAATATGTACATTTAGAGTAGGTACTTAGTTCGCAACTTTGAATACTACCTTGTTGACGGTCATCGGTTTCCTACCAGTATTGGTAACCGTGACCGGTCCAATCCGAACCGCCTGTTCAGCTTAGTATTACGACGTAGTTCTTACGGTAATTACCATAGTTGATTAGACGCGTAGGATGATGAGACGCTTCACATGATTTATGTGTGCACCACATATAAATCATGTAGTAAGTAGTAAGCCCCGATAATCAATCACTTTCCAATCTTCCATCTACCCACCAAGTGTCTTCTCCGGTCTTCCGAGAGGACTCCCAGCATCCCTCCCAGTTTCGGTCGTCAAGCTTCACACCTTCCAACAGGTTATGAGCCCAAGCACGATGTCCTCTGCTCATGATGCCACCACCAAGATCTCCATTGACAAGTTCGACGGCGACAACTACGCGACATGGAGCCGCTACACGCGTGGCGTGTTTCTGACCAAGTCGGCGTGGCACGTGGTGAACCGGGAGACGTCACCGACCTACGCGGAAGATCGCGCCATGGACGACTACGTCAAGGCCAACAACATCGCTTTCGGACTGATGTTGCTGCACATGGACGCAGACTACCATCACATCGTCGATGATTGTGAAGAGGCGTGGGTCGCGTGGGCGCGTTTGAAGACGCTGTACGGCGGGTCGCAGAAAGCTGGACGCATCTACTTGAAGCGCCAGCTGTTCAAATGGAGATGGCGGAAGGCGGCAATGTGATGCATCATTGCAACGAAGTCCTCAACATCAGCGCGAAGCTCAGCAGCATCGGCGCCAAGATGGAGGACGAGGACGTGGCGATCTGCTTGTTGCGCAGCCTCCCCAAGAGCTACGAGAACGTCGTGCTGAACTTGGAGATGAGCAGCGCGGAACTGCGATCGCGAGACGTCGTGAGAGTGCTCACGAATGATCACATCAAGAGGCAAGGTGACAAGACGACATCGGTGAAGACTGAAGACGCGGCGAAGGCGTTCAGTGCCGAGCGTGAACCTCGCCAGTGTACATACTGCGGAAAATTGGGGCACACGGCGGAGCGGTGCTGGACCAAGCAGAAGGACGAATATCAAGGTGGAGCTCGACGCGGCGGCAACAATGCTCGTGGACGCGGAGCCAACAACGTTCAGTGGCGAACCAACAGTAACTACGACGACAACTACGATCGAGTTGCGTTCGCGGTTTCGCTGGAGGCTGGACTTTCGACAGGCAAGAATATGCCAGGGATGTGGGCAGTCGACAGCGGTGCGACGCATCACATCTGCAACGACAAGGCCAAGTTTGCAAGCCTGAATGAGCGAGATGAAGGCGAACTATCAGTGGCTGATGGCAGCAAGGCTGCGATCAAGTATGTGGGAACCATCATGGAACGGGTGGTTCTGCCCAATGGTGACGAACGCGACGTCGAGATCAAGGACGCACTGTTCGTACCAAGTATGAGCAAGAATCTGCTTTCGGTGCCACAGATCAACAAGGGTGGCAGGTTCCAAGTCGTGTTCGATGGTTCCAAGATGCAAGTGAAGCGCAATAATTCTACACAAGTCGTGGCAACAGCGGATCTCGTCGATGGACTTTACTGGCTGCGGACTCCTCAACGATCGGCGAATGCAGCAACACGCAATGGGACTATCGACTTGCATGCGCGCATGGGTCATGCACCCCTCGAATTTCTACGCAAGATGGTGGCCACCGGCATGATCAAGGACGCCAAGGCACCTCTTAACTCGACTGGTCCAAGTGTGTGTCGCAGTTGCCAGCAAGGAAAGATGGTCCAAAAACCATTCCCAACCAACCGTGACAAACGCCAATATGGTGTGTTCGAGTTGCTGCACTTCGACATCTGCGGGCCAATGGAACAAGTCTCGATCGGCGGCAGCAGATACTTACTGCTTGTGGTTGATGAAGCCAGCGGTTGCATGAAGGGCTTCTGTCTGCGGTCCAAGTCTGAGAGTGAAGACTGTATCAAGAACCACATTATCAAGATTCAAACTCAGTTCGGCACGAAGATCAAGTTTGTTCGGCACGATGGAGCGCATGAGTTTGCGACCAACTCGATCAAGACCTTCTACGAAGATCATGGTATCGAACAACAGGTCACGGTGCCGTATGCACACCAGACCAACGGCACCGCAGAACGCGCGATAAGGACCATCGTCACGATCGGACGCAGCTTGTTGCATCATGCAAAGCTGGAGAAGTGTTTCTGGGCTGAAGCGGCAATGACGGCGATCTACATCAAGAACCGCCTGCCTTCACCCAAGATCGACCCCAAGACTCCGTTCGAGATCGTGTACAAGTCGAAACCAAGTGTCAAGCACATGCGCGTGTTTGGATGTCGGGCGTTTATCCTGACACCAAGGGAGAAGAGATTGAAGTGGGACCCGAAGGCTCGTGAAGGGATGTTCATGGGCTACGAAGAAGCGTCAAAAGCTTATCGAGTGTACGACATTGAGGCGGGCCAAGTGGTGATCAGTCGTGACATCACCTTCGACGAATCGACTTTTGACTTTTCGATGGACCGACCAAGTGACGATGATGAAGATGCGGAGTTGGACCTCGACCTCCTGGCGATCAACGAGGACGACGTGCGTCAAACCGTCTACAAGCAGACTGGCAAGCGCAAGAGTGAAGCAAGACTCGGCATGTCACGTTCAGCTCGCCCTCGAACTGGGTTGGAACAAGCAAGTGCGCCGGAACACGTCTCCAACCGTCACCAGAAACGACGATCAAGTGCTCCAGAAACGATGTCTGATGACGAAGAAGATGCGAGCGACTACGATCAAGATGACGACTCGACGCCTCCAACATTTTGGCGTGCAAGTGCATACGCAGTGGAAGCAACGGACCTAGCAGAACCTGTGACTTTTCAAGACGCGATCAATGGTCCTGATCAAGCTCACTGGAGAAATGCTGTGAAGGCGGAACTCAAGTCGATGCATCTTCGTGGAGTTTTCCGTGCGGCAAAACTGCCAAGAGGCCAAGGCGCGATCGGCACCAAGTGGGTGTTCACGATCAAGCGCAAAGCGGATGGATCGGTCGAGAAATACAAGGCGCGTCTCGTTTCCAAGGGCTTCAAGCAGAAGTACGGCATCGACTACACAGAGACGTTCTCGCCCGTGGTCAAGTACGTGACACTGCGTATGGTGATCGCGATCACCAAGTATTTCGACTGGCCACTGGACCAACTCGATGTGGTGACAGACTTTCTCTACGGAGTGATGAAGGAGAAGGTGTACTGCGTGATACCAGAAGGCGTCGAGATGGATGGCGACTTCGACTGTCTCGAGTTGGTGAAGGCGATCTACGGTCTCAAGCAAGCTTCACGTGTGTAGAACGAGACTTTCGACGAGTTCGTATGCTTTATCGGTTTCGATGTGTCGGCGTTCGACCCATGTCTCTACATCAAGGTTGTCGACGGTCACTGTGTGCTCGTGCTGGTCTACGTGGATGACGTGTTGGTCACCGGCAGCTCGCTCGAGTTGATTGCGCAGACGAAGGCCGACCTCAAGACGCGTTTCGAGATGACCGACAGTGGCAAGTGTACTTTTGTACTGGACATCGAACTGGTGGACGAATCGGATGGCAGCATGATGATGTGCCAGCGACGGTATGTCAACGACATCCTCAAGCGCTTCGGCATGGATGAGTGCAAGGCCACAGCAAGTCCGGTCAACTTGAGCATTCGGCTTGTCGCAAGCAGCGAAGCGGCCAAGATCGACGTTCCGTTTCGTGAAGCTGTGGGAGCTTTGATGCACTTGACGACTGCGACGCGCCCGGACATTGCGTATGCTGTGGGGTACGTCTCGCGCTTCATGGAGAATCCGCAGCAAGAACATTGGACGGCGGTGAAGCGCATCTTTCGTTACTTGCAAGGGACAAAGTCGCACGGACTCCGCTTCCAGCCAAGCGACAAGATCGACTTTCGTGGCTACTCGGACGCGGACTGGGCCGGCGACCATGCTGATCGCAAATCAACTTCGGGTTACACGTTCGTACTTCTCGGTGCACCCGTAAGTTGAGGAAGCAAGAAGCAGTCAAGCGTGTCACTGTCGACGAGTGAAGCGGAATACATCGCACTAAGTCTGGCCATCCAGGAAGGCAAGTGGGTGCATCGTCTGCTATGTGAGATTTTGGCGGCCGCAAACGAACCAGGACCGGACCTCGTCATCCGTGAAGACAACCAGTCGTGCATCAAGATGACGAAGAATCCGGTGAATCATGGCCGCGCCAAGCACATCGACACCAAGTACCATCACATCCGTGATGAGGTCAAGCGCGGTGAAGTGCAGCTAGAGTATTGCGAGACTTCCGTGATGATGGCTGACATCATGACCAAAGAACTTTCTGGACCTCGTCACAAGGACTTGACGACGACTCTCGGCATTCGTGCGAGTTCGGATTGAGGGGGCGTGTTGACGGTCATCGGTTTCCTACCAGTATTGGTAACCGTGACCGGTCCAATCCGAACCTCCTGTTCAGCTTAGTATTTACGACGTAGTTCTTACGGTAATTACCATAGTTGATTAGACGCGTAGGATGATGAGACGCTTCACATGATTTATATGTGCACCACATATAAATCATGTGGTAAGTAGTAAGCCCCGATAATCAATCACTTTCCAATCTTCCATCTACCCCCAAGTGTCTTCTCCGGTCTTCCGAGAGGACTCCCAGCATCACTCCCAGTTTCGGTCGTCAAGCTTTACACCTAACAACAACATCTCTTATTTTGTTGCAGTAAATATTACGTGGGTCGCTTCTGCTCTCTCACCTGTTTCACATACGAACACTACCCAATTATTTGAAGCTCTTGCCGAGTCTGAACATGTCGAGTTTGGACTTGTCGAGCTTTGGCTTATAAAGTGACTCTTTTTTATGCATAAACTTATCGAGTAAAACTGTACATCATTATAATGCATGGCCATTACTTTGCTCCCGAAATTTATAGGTGGGGGACCGCTGCTAGTAGGGAATTATTGAGGGGTACAACATAAGAAGAACCCACAAGTTAAACACTTCAAGTGATGAACTTTAGACTTCTTGGTCCGAGTGCAAAACGCAAAGTGAAGACATGTTTATAATAGGTACTTAGTTCGCAACTTTGAATACTACCTCTAAGCCTATTATTCGCAGTGACGTCATCCACTGACGTCACCCACTGACATCATTCCGCTGACGTCATTCCCTGACTTCGCCCTTACTGGTACATACCGGCACCCACCGGTATATCGAAGCTTGGTCTTCGGCTTGCTTCAACACTTGACGCAGCTTGACGAGGTGTCTTCTTCACAGCCGCCGTCTTTCCAACAACTGCTGTGAAAATCCAAGCCAGTTGAGCACAGCGAGAAGAAAAGGACGTTGCAAGGAATCGTACGTTCTTCGGCAACTGCCGGTACCAACTCTCGGATGCCTTTCCTAGACTCATCAAAAATGTCTTGCATCATTCGTTGTAAGGTTTGCACAACCCTTTTTATTTCGTAAATCAATCGCTTAGTCCACTCGACGGCTTCGTCCGAAAGATAGTATTCACCTTCGAACTTGCTATCTTTTCCATTGGAGTATGCGTCTGTATCTCGAGCACTTGTCCTCATTCGCTGCTTTATCCGTCGAAGCTAAACCTGCAGCTGCCGTGATTCGTCGAACTACTTGTATAATAGTGTACGTTCCAGTCTTCGTCCTCAACATTGTAGTACGCATTCGCTTCATTGTTGTTGCGCGCAGATCGTCCGAGCCTCATAAGAGGCGGCATCATCTTTGCGGATAGCATGTCTGTATCCGGGAAATACGGCGATCCCCCAACCTTTGAGGCGAACAATACCCTTTGTTCCAATTCAGTTTAAGTTATTTCTCGCTGGTCTGTCGGAACATGACCCCCATTTGCTTAGTATTCGTATTAATACGTACTGGTATTGGCGCCTTCTCCTCGTACACAATGTCGTTCGCTTGCTGGTGATGTTTCGTCTGTTTAAGCTTGATCAAGGTTCTATACTGAACTCTTTTCTTTGTTTGGTGCACCACTACTTTATCTCTTTGTCAACCGATTGCTAAAAAAAGATTTCTACTCCGAAGTTGGGTTCCTGAGTGGCCTTGTACTTCGTTGATAGGTGTAAAGCTTGACGACCGAAACTGGGAGTGATGCTGGGAGTCCACTCGGAAGACCGGAGAAGACACTTGGGGGGTAGATGGAAGATTGGAAAGTGATTGATTATCGGGGCTTACTACTTACCACATGATTTATATGTGGTGCACATATAAATCATGTGAAGCGTCTCATCATCCTACGCGTCTAATCAACTATGGTAATTACCGTAAGAACTACGTCGTAAATACTAAGCTGAACAGGAGGTTCGGATTGGACCGGTCACGGTTACCAATACTGGTAGGAAACCGATGACCGTCAACACGCCCCCTCAATCCGAACTCGCACGAATGCCGAGAGCCGTCGTCAAGTCCTTGTGGCGAGGTCCCGAAAGTCCCTTGGTCATGATGTCCGCCATCATCACGGAAGTCTCGCAATACTCGAGCTGCACTTCACCGCGCTTGACCTCATCACGGATGTGATGGTACTTGGTGTCGATGTGCTTGGCGCGGCCATGATTCACCGGATTCTTCGTCATCTTGATGCACGACTGGTTGTCTTCACGGATGACGAGGTCCGGTCCTGGTTCGTTTGCGGCCGCCAAAATCTCACATAGCAGGCGATGCACCCACTTGCCTTCCTGTATGGCCAGACTTAGTGCGATGTATTCCGCTTCACTTGTCGACAGTGACACGCTTGACTGCTTCTTGCTTCCTCAACTTATGGGTGCACCGAGAAGTACGAACGCGTAACCCGAAGTTGATTTGCGATCAGCATGGTCGCCGGCCCAGTCCGCGTCCGAGTAGCCACGAAAGTCGATCTTGTCGCTTGGCTGGAAGCGGAGTCCGTGCGACTTTGTCCCTTGCAAGTAACGAAAGATGCGCTTCACCGCCGTCCAATGTTCTTGCTGCGGATTCTCCATGAAGCGCGAGACGTACCCCACAGCATACGCAATGTCCGGGCGCGTCGCAGTCGTCAAGTGCATCAAAGCTCCCACAGCTTCACGAAAATGAACGTCGATCTTTGCCGCTTCGCTGCTTGCGACAAGCCGAGTACTCAAATCGACCGGACTTGCTGTGGCCTTGCACTCATCCATGCCGAAGCGCTTGAGGATGTCGTTGACATACCGTCGCTGGCACATCATCATGCTGCCATCCGATTCGTCCACCAGTTCGATGTCCAGTACAAAAGTACACTTGCCACTGTCGGTCATCTCGAAACGCGTCTTGAGGTCGGCCTTCGTCTGCGCAATCAACTCGAGCGAGCTGCCGGTGACCAAAACGTCATCCACGTATACCAGCAGCAGCACGCAGTGACCATCCACAACCTTGATGTACAAACATGGATCAAATGCCGACACATCGAAACCGATAAAGCATACGAACTCGTCGAAAGTCTCGTTCCAACGCGCGAGGCTTGTTTGAGACCGTAGATTGCATTCACCAACTCGAGACAGTCGAAGTCGCCATCCATCTCGATGCCTTCTGGTATCACGCAGTACACCTTCTCCTTCAGCACTCCGTAGAGAAAGGCTGTCACCACATCGAGTTGGTCCAGTGGCCAGTCGAAATACTTGGTGATCGCGATCACCATACGCAGTGTCACGTACTTGACCACGGGCGAGAACGTCTCTGTGTAGTCGATGCCGTACTTCTGCTTGAAGCCCTTGGAAACGAGACGCGCCTTGTATTTCTCGACCGATCCATCCGCTTTGCGTTTGATCGTGAACACCCACTTGGTGCCGATCGCGCCTTGGCCTCTTGGCAGTTTTGCCGCACGGAAAACTCCACGAAGATGCATCGACTTGAGTTCCGCCTTCACAGCATTTCTCCAGTGAGCTTGATCAGGACCATTGATCGCGTCTTGAAAAGTCACAGGTTCTGCTAGGTCCGTTGCTTCCACTGCGTTTGCACTTGCACGCCAAAATGTTGGAGGCGTCGAGTCGTCATCTTGATCGTAGTCGCTCGCATCTTCTTCGTCATCAGACATCGTTTCTGGAGCACTTGATCGTCGTTTCTGGTGACGGTTGGAGACGTGTTCCGGCGCACTTGCTTGTTCCAACCCAGTTCGAGGGCGAGCTGAACGTGACATGCCGAGTCTTGCTTCACTCTTGCGCTTGCCAGTATGCTTGGAGACGGTTTGACGCACGTCGTCCTCGTTGATCGCCAGGAGGTCGAGGTCCAACTCCGCATCTTCATCATCGTCACTTGGTCGGTCCATCGAAAAGTCAAAAGTCGATTCGTCGAAGGTGATGTCACGACTGATCACCACTTGGCCCGCCTCAATGTCGTACACTCGATAAGCTTTTGACGCTTCTTCGTAGCCCATGAACATCCCTTCACGAGCCTTCGGGTCCCACTTCAATCTCTTCTCCCTTGGTGTCAGGATAAACGCCCGACATCCAAACACGCGCATGTGCTTGACACTTGGTTTCGACTTGTACACGATCTCGAACGGAGTCTTGGGGTCGATCTTGGGTGAAGGCAGGCGGTTCTTGATGTAGATCGCCGTCATTGCCGCTTCAGCCCAGAAACACTTCTCCAGCTTTGCATGATGCAACAAGCTGCGTCCGATCGTGACGATGGTCCTTATCGCGCGTTCTGCGGTGCCGTTGGTCTGGTGTGCATACGGCACCGTGACCTGTTGTTCGATACCATGATCTTCGTAGAAGGTAGTGATCGAGTTGGTCGCAAACTCATGCGCTCCATCGTGCCGAACAAACTTGATCTTCGTGCCGAACTGAGTCTGAATCTTGATAATGTGGTTCTTGATACAGTCTTCACTCTCAGACTTGGACCGCAGACAGAAGCCCTTCATGCAACCGCTGACTTCGTCAACCACAAGCAGTTAGTATCTGCTGCCGCCGATCGAGACTTGTTCCTTTGGCCCGCAGATGTCGAAGTGAAGCAACTCGAACACACCATATTGGCGTTTGTCACGGTTGGTTGGGAATGGTTTTTGGACCATCTTTCCTTGCTGGCAACTGCGACACACACTTGGACCAGTCGAGTTAAGAGGTGCCTTGGCGTCCTTGATCATGCCGGTGGCCACCATCTTGCGTAGAAATTCGAGGGGTGCATGACCCATGCGCGCATGCAAGTCGATAGTCCCATTGCGTGTTGCTGCATTCGCCGATCGTTGAGGAGTCCGCAGCCAGTAAAGTCCATCGACGAGATCCGCTGTTGCCACGACTTGTGTAGAATTATTGCGCTTCACTTGCATCTTGGAACCATCGAACACGACTTGGAACCTGCCACCCTTGTTGATCTGTGGCACCGAAAGCAGATTCTTGCTCATACTTGGTACGAACAGTGCGTCCTTGATCTCGACGTCGCGTTCGTCACCATTGGGCAGAACCACCCGTTCCATGATGGTTCCCACATACTTGATCGCAGCCTTGCTGCCATCAGCCACTGATAGTTCGCCTTCATCTCGCTCATTCAGGCTTGCAAACTTGGCCTTGTCGTTGCAGATGTGATGCGTCGCACCGCTGTCGACTGCCCACATCCCTGGCATATTCTTGCCTGTCGAAAGTCCAGCCTCCAGCGAAACCGCGAACGCAACTCGATCGTAGTTGTCGTCGTAGTTACTGTTGGTTCGCCACTGAACGTTGTTGGCTCCGCGTCCACGAGCATTGTTGCCGCCGCGTCGAGCTCCACCTTGATATTCGTCCTTCTGCTTGGTCCAGCACCGCTCCGCCGTGTGCCCCAATTTCCGCAGTATGTACACTGGCGAGGTTCACGCTCGGCACTGAACGCCTTCGCCGCGTCAGTCTTCACCAATGTCGTCTTGTCACCTTGCCTCTTGATGTGCTCATTCGTGAGCACTCTCACGACGTATCGCGATCACAGTTCCGCGCTGCTCATCTCCAAGTTGAGAACGACGTTCTCGTAGCTCTTGGGGAGGCTGCGCAACAAGCAGATCGCCACGTCCTCGTCCTCCATCTTGGCGCCGATGCTGCTGAGCTTCGCGCTGATGTTGAGGACTTCGTTGCAATGATGCATCACATTGCCGCCTTCCGCCATCTCCATTTGAACAGCTGGCGCTTCAAGTAGATGCGTCCAGCTTTCTGCGACCCGCCGTACAGCGTCTTCAAACGCGCCCACGCGACCCACGCCTCTTCACAATCATCGACGATGTGATGGTAGTCTGCGTCCATGTGCAGCAACATCAGTCCGAAAGCGACGTTGCTGGACTTGACGTAGTCCTCCATGGCGCGCGGGTCCACAAACGTCGGCGACGTCTCGCGGTTGACAACGTGCCACGCCAACTTGGTCAGGAACACGCCACGCATGTAGCGGCTTCATGTCGCGTAGTTGTCGCCGTCGAACTTGTCAATGGAGATCTTGGTGGTGGCATCATGAGCAGAGGACATCGTGCTTGGGCTCATAACCTGTTGATAGGTGTAAAGCTTGACGACCGAAACTGGGAGTGATGCTGGGAGTCCACTCGGAAGACCGGAGAAGACACTTGGGGGTAGATGGAAGATTGGAAAGTGATTGATTATCGGGGCTTACTACTTACCACATGATTTATATGTGGTGCACATATAAATCATGTGAAGCGTCTCATCATCCTACGCGTCTAATCAACTATGGTAATTACCGTAAGAACTACGTCGTAATACTAAGCTGAACAGGCGGTTCGGATTGGACCGGTCACGGTTACCAACACTGGTAGGAAACCGATGACCGTCAACATACTTAAATCTTATCGCGCGTTAGCGGTTGAAAGTGATGCTAACGAGTGCCACGATCTTCACTTCAACGTCATTCATGTTCAACTCAATGTTAGGATTGGCTTATTTCCCTTGTTCCGACCGTCCAATATAAAATTGCTTGATCCACTTAATCTTCGTCATCTCTTTCGCGATTAGATGGAATATTCGGTTTTCCTTAGGCGTAGTAATCCTCTTCGTGGTCGTTCATAAAGCTGCATAACACGGTCCTCTTTAATCGTCAGACCTTCGTCTTCACTCCTCACGTGTTTCGTTTTCACGTGGCTCTTTCACGGCTTGGGTATGGCGAACCTGCCCCGCATGCAGAGCGTGCTGCTCCTCATCTTCTTCGGATACTACTTCACCGTCGCACCCAGTTCCTTGGTCACAAATTTCAACCCATGGTCATACCTTTAAAACTCGTCGAGCGCACGTTCGTGCTTTAAGTCTGCTTCCACGTCATAGTTGCTAGCTTTTGCTTTTTTAAACCTAGCGTAAAACGTTTGTACAGTGGTCGATGGTACCTTGTCGCTTGCGTGTAACAAATTGATGACCAAATCGCTCGAAGTTGGTTGCTCAGCCCCTGTTTAACAAATGCATACCATATGAAATCATGGTCGAGGCATCAGTTGTGGTATACTCGTCAGTTAGATCTAAAATACAACAGCCTCAACGTACAAACACAGCAAACGACTAGCTTAGTCGGCGACTCGGACTGATACGTGAGTGCATACCTTTGCGGCTCGCCCCTTCGGGATTTAGTAGTGGCTCTCGCCTGATTGATTCCTTACAAACAATTCTTATAGAATTCTGGATGAGCTCAGCAGCTAATAAATCTTTTAATCCCTGTGACTACACACCAAAGGATGGAAGCCGACGCTAGCTCATTTTCACATGTCACCGTGTGCAGAATCCATCCGACTAAAAGATTTAAATCGCCCTTTGGCTAAGGCCCACTGGCATGTTGCTCCACAAGACTTTTAGCGGTTCCGTCTACTGGGTCACCGGCCTGTCAAGTGACAAGACTCAACAGTGTCGCCTACTGGATCACTGGCTCGCCGTCAGCGAGACACTTCCTTTCGCTTATAGTAAAGAGTTTCTTAACCCGATCCATTATAATCTCTCGGTGCTTTCAGTTGCAACCTCTAGAAGATATGCCTTTCAAGATTCGAACAAGGCAAAATCCAGCCTGTGCAGGTGTACACGTGTCTTGGACTTTGAAATCTCTGATCTGTATTAACATCTCTTATTTTGTTGCAGTAAATATTACGTGGGTCGCTTCTGCTCTCTCACCTGTTTCACATACGAACACTACCCAATTATTTGAAGCTCTTGCCGAGTCTGAACATGTCGAGTTTGGACTTGTCGAGCTTTGGCTTATAAAGTGACTCTTTTTTATGCAAAAACTTATCGAGTAAAACTGTACATCATTATAATGCATGGCCGTTACTTTGCTCCCGAAATTTATAGGTGGGGGACCGCTGATAGTATGGACTTATTGAGGGGTACAACATAAGAAGAACCCACAAGTTAAATACTTCAAGTGATGAACTTTAGACTTCTTGGTCCGAATGCAAAACGCAAAGTGAATATGTATATTTATAGTAGGTACTTAGTTCGCAACTTTGAATACTACCTTGTTGACGGTCATCGGTTTCCTACCAGTATTGGTAACCGTGACCGGTCCAATCCGAACCGCCTGTTCAGCTTAGTATTACGACGTAGTTCTTACGGTAATTACCATAGTTGATTAGACGCGTAGGATGATGAGACGCTTCACATGATTTATGTGTGCACCACATATAAATCATGTAGTAAGTAGTAAGCCCCGATAATCAATCACTTTCCAATCTTCCATCTACCCACCAAGTGTCTTCTCCGGTCTTCCGAGAGGACTCCCAGCATCCCTCCCAGTTTCGGTCGTCAAGCTTCACACCTTCCAACAGGTTATGAGCCCAAGCACGATGTCCTCTGCTCATGATGCCACCACCAAGATCTCCATTGACAAGTTCGACGGCGACAACTACGCGACATGGAGCCGCTACACGCGTGGCGTGTTTCTGACCAAGTCGGCGTGGCACGTGGTGAACCGGGAGACGTCACCGACCTACGCGGAAGATCGCGCCATGGACGACTACGTCAAGGCCAACAACATCGCTTTCGGACTGATGTTGCTGCACATGGACGCAGACTACCATCACATCGTCGATGATTGTGAAGAGGCGTGGGTCGCGTGGGCGCGTTTGAAGACGCTGTACGGCGGGTCGCAGAAAGCTGGACGCATCTACTTGAAGCGCCAGCTGTTCAAATGGAGATGGCGGAAGGCGGCAATGTGATGCATCATTGCAACGAAGTCCTCAACATCAGCGCGAAGCTCAGCAGCATCGGCGCCAAGATGGAGGACGAGGACGTGGCGATCTGCTTGTTGCGCAGCCTCCCCAAGAGCTACGAGAACGTCGTTCTCAACTTGGAGATGAGCAGCGCGGAACTGTGATCGCGATACGTCGTGAGAGTGCTCACGAATGAGCACATCAAGAGGCAAGGTGACAAGACGACATTGGTGAAGACTAAGACGCGGCGAAGGCGTTCAGTGCCGAGCGTGAACCTCGCCAGTGTACATACTGCGGAAATTGGGGCACACGGCGGAGCGGTGCTGGACCAAGCAGAAGGACGAATATCAAGGTGGAGCTCGACGCGGCGGCAACAATGCTCGTGGACGCGGAGCCAACAACGTTCAGTGGCGAACCAACAGTAACTACGACGACAACTACGATCGAGTTGCGTTCGCGGTTTCGCTGGAGGCTGGACTTTCGACAGGCAAGAATATGCCAGGGATGTGGGCAGTCGACAGCGGTGCGACGCATCACATCTGCAACGACAAGGCCAAGTTTGCAAGCCTGAATGAGCGAGATGAAGGCGAACTATCAGTGGCTGATGGCAGCAAGGCTGCGATCAAGTATGTGGGAACCATCATGGAACGGGTGGTTCTGCCCAATGGTGACGAACGCGACGTCGAGATCAAGGACGCACTGTTCGTACCAAGTATGAGCAAGAATCTGCTTTCGGTGCCACAGATCAACAAGGGTGGCAGGTTCCAAGTCGTGTTCGATGGGTTCAAGATGCAAGTGAAGCGCAATAATTCTACACAAGTCGTGGCAACAGCGGATCTCGTCGATGGACTTTACTGGCTGCGGACTCCTCAACGATCGGCAAATGCAGCAACACGCAATGGGACTATCGACTTGCATGCGCGCATGGGTCATGCACCCCTCGAAGTTCTGCGCAAGATGGTGGCCACTGGCATGATCAAGGACGCCAAGGCACCTCTCAACTCGACTGGTCCAAGTGTGTGTCGCGGTTGCCAGCAAGGAAAGATGGTCCAAAAATCATTCCCAACCAACCGTGACAAACGTTCCCAACCAACCGTGACAAACGCCAATATGGTGTGTTCGAGTTGCTGCACTTCGACATCTGCGGGCCAATGGAACAAGTCTCGATCGGCGGCAGCAGATACTTACTGCTTGTGGTTGATGAAGCCAGCGGTTGCATGAAGGGCTTCTGTCTGCGGTCCAAGTCTGAGAGTGAAGACTGTATCAAGAACCACATTATCAAGATTCAAACTCAGTTCGGCACGAAGATCAAGTTTGTTCGGCACGATGGAGCGCATGAGTTTGCGACCAACTCGATCAAGACCTTCTACGAAGATCATGGTATCGAACAACAGGTCACGGTGCCGTATGCACACCAGACCAACGGCACCGCAGAACGCGCGATAAGGACCATCGTCACGATCGGACGCAGCTTGTTGCATCATGCAAAGCTGGAGAAGTGTTTCTGGGCTGAAGCGGCAATGACGGCGATCTACATCAAGAACCGCCTGCCTTCACCCAAGATCGACCCCAAGACTCCGTTCGAGATCGTGTACAAGTCGAAACCAAGTGTCAAGCACATGCGCGTGTTTGGATGTCGGGCGTTTATCCTGACACCAAGGGAGAAGAGATTGAAGTGGGACCCGAAGGCTCGTGAAGGGATGTTCATGGGCTACGAAGAAGCGTCAAAAGCTTATCGAGTGTACGACATTGAGGCGGGCCAAGTGGTGATCAGTCGTGACATCACCTTCGACGAATCGACTTTTGACTTTTCGATGGACCGACCAAGTGACGATGATGAAGATGCGGAGTTGGACCTCGACCTCCTGGCGATCAACGAGGACGACGTGCGTCAAACCGTCTACAAGCAGACTGGCAAGCGCAAGAGTGAAGCAAGACTCGGCATGTCACGTTCAGCTCGCCCTCGAACTGGGTTGGAACAAGCAAGTGCGCCGGAACACGTCTCCAACCGTCACCAGAAACGACGATCAAGTGCTCCAGAAACGATGTCTGATGACGAAGAAGATGCGAGCGACTACGATCAAGATGACGACTCGACGCCTCCAACATTTTGGCGTGCAAGTGCATACGCAGTGGAAGCAACGGACCTAGCAGAACCTGTGACTTTTCAAGACGCGATCAATGGTCCTGATCAAGCTCACTGGAGAAATGCTGTGAAGGCGGAACTCAAGTCGATGCATCTTCGTGGAGTTTTCCGTGCGGCAAAACTGCCAAGAGGCCAAGGCGCGATCGGCACCAAGTGGGTGTTCACGATCAAGCGCAAAGCGGATGGATCGGTCGAGAAATACAAGGCGCGTCTCGTTTCCAAGGGCTTCAAGCAGAAGTACGGCATCGACTACACAGAGACGTTCTCGCCCGTGGTCAAGTACGTGACACTGCGTATGGTGATCGCGATCACCAAGTATTTCGACTGGCCACTGGACCAACTCGATGTGGTGACAGCCTTTCTCTACGGAGTGATGAAGGAGAAGGTGTACTGCGTGATACCAGAAGGCGTCGAGATGGATGGCGACTTCGACTGTCTCGAGTTGGTGAAGGCGATCTACGGTCTCAAGCAAGCTTCACGTGTGTAGAACGAGACTTTCGACGAGTTCGTATGCTTTATCGGTTTCGATGTGTCGGCGTTCGACCCATGTCTCTACATCAAGGTTGTCGACGGTCACTGTGTGCTCGTGCTGGTCTACGTGGATGACGTGTTGGTCACCGGCAGCTCGCTCGAGTTGATTGCGCAGACGAAGGCCGACCTCAAGACGCGTTTCGAGATGACCGACAGTGGCAAGTGTACTTTTGTACTGGACATCGAACTGGTGGACGAATCGGATGGCAGCATGATGATGTGCCAGCGACGGTATGTCAACGACATCCTCAAGCGCTTCGGCATGGATGAGTGCAAGGCCACAGCAAGTCCGGTCAACTTGAGCATTCGGCTTGTCGCAAGCAGCGAAGCGGCCAAGATCGACGTTCCGTTTCGTGAAGCTGTGGGAGCTTTGATGCACTTGACGACTGCGACGCGCCCGGACATTGCGTATGCTGTGGGGTACGTCTCGCGCTTCATGGAGAATCCGCAGCAAGAACATTGGACGGCGGTGAAGCGCATCTTTCGTTACTTGCAAGGGACAAAGTCGCACGGACTCCGCTTCCAGCCAAGCGACAAGATCGACTTTCGTGGCTACTCGGACGCGGACTGGGCCGGCGACCATGCTGATCGCAAATCAACTTCGGGTTACGCGTTCGTACTTCTCGGTGCACCCATAAGTTGAGGAAGCAAGAAGCAGTCAAGCGTGTCACTGTCGACAAGTGAAGCGGAATACATCGCACTAAGTCTGGCCATACAGGAAGGCAAGTGGGTGCATCGTCTGCTATGTGAGATTTTGGCGGCCGCAACGAACCAGGACCGGACCTCGTCATCCGTGAAGACAACCAGTCGTGTATCAAGATGACGAAGAACCCGGTGAACCATGGTCGAGCCAAGCACATCGACACCAAGTACCATCACATCCGTGATGAGGTCAAGCGCGGTGAAGTGCAGCTAGAGTATTGCGAGACTTCCGTGATGATGGCTGACATCATGACCAAAGAACTTTCTGGACCTCGTCACAAGGACTTGACGACGACTCTCGGCATTCGTGCGAGTTCGGATTGAGGGGGCGTGTTGACGGTCATCGGTTTCCTACCAGTATTGGTAACCGTGACCGGTCCAATCCGAACCTCCTGTTCAGCTTAGTATTTACGACGTAGTTCTTACGGTAATTACCATAGTTGATTAGACGCGTAGGATGATGAGACGCTTCACATGATTTATATGTGCACCACATATAAATCATGTGGTAAGTAGTAAGCCCCGATAATCAATCACTTTCCAATCTTCCATCTACCCCCAAGTGTCTTCTCCGGTCTTCCGAGTGGACTCCCAGCATCACTCCCAGTTTCGGTCGTCAAGCTTTACACCTAACAACAACATCTCTTATTTTGTTGCAGTAAATATTACGTGGGTCGCTTCTGCTCTCTCACCTGTTTCACATACGAACACTACCCAATTATTTGAAGCTCTTGCCGAGTCTGAACATGTCGAGTTTGGACTTGTCGAGCTTTGGCTTATAAAGTGACTCTTTTTATGCATAAACTTATCGAGTAAAACTGTACATCATTATAATGCATGGCCATTACTTTGCTCCCGAAATTTATAGTTGGGGGACCGCTGCTAGTAGGGAATTATTGAGGGGTACAACATAAGAAGAACCCACAAGTTAAACACTTCAAGTGATGAACTTTAGACTTCTTGGTCCGAGTGCAAAACGCAAAGTGAAGACATGTTTATAATAGGTACTTAGTTCGCAACTTTGAATACTACCTCTAAGCCTATTATTCGCAGTGACGTCATCCACTGACGTCACCCACTGACATCATTCCGCTGACGTCATTCCCTGACTTCGCCCTTACTGGTACATACCGGCACCCACCGGTATATCGAAGCTTGGTCTTCGGCTTGCTTCAACACTTGACGCAGCTTGACGAGGTGTCTTCTTCACAGCCGCCGTCTTTCCAACAACTGCTGTGAAAATCCAAGCCAGTTGAGCACAGCGAGAAGAAAAGGACGTTGCAAGGAATCGTACGTTCTTCGGCAACTGCCGGTACCAACTCTCGGATGCCTTTCCTAGACTCATCAAAAATGTCTTGCATCATTCGTTGTAAGGTTTGCACAACCCTTTTATTTCGTAAATCAATCGCTTAGTCCACTCGACGGCTTCGTCCGAAAGATAGTATTCACCTTCGAACTTGCTATCTTTTCCATTGGAGTATGCGTCTGTATCTCGAGCACTTGTCCTCATTCGCTGCTTTATCCGTCGAAGCTAAACCTGCAGCTGCCGTGATTCGTCGAACTACTTGTATAATAGTGTACGTTCCAGTCTTCGTCCTCAACATTGTAGTACGCATTCGCTTCATTGTTGTTGCGCGCAGATCGTCCGAGCCTCATAAGAGGCGGCATCATCTTTGCGGATAGCATGTCTGTATCCGGGAAATACGGCGATCCCCCAACCTTTGAGGCGAACAATACCCTTTGTTCCAATTCAGTTTAAGTTATTTCTCGCTGGTCTGTCGGAACATGACCCCCATTTGCTTAGTATTCGTATTAATACGTACTGGTATTGGCGCCTTCTCCTCGTACACAATGTCGTTCGCTTGCTGGTGATGTTTCGTCTGTTTAAGCTTGATCAAGGTTCTATACTGAACTCTTTTCTTTGTTTGGTGCACCACTACTTTATCTCTTTGTCAACCGATTGCTAAAAAAAGATTTCTACTCCGAAGTTGGGTTCCTGAGTGGCCTTGTACTTCGTTGATAGGTGTAAATCTTGACGACCGAAACTGGGAGTGATGCTGGGAGTCCACTCGGAAGACCGGAGAAGACACTTGGGGGTAGATGGAAGATTGGAAAGTGATTGATTATCGGGGCTTACTACTACTTACCACATGATTTATATGTGGTGCACATATAAATCATGTGAAGCGTCTCATCATCCTACGCGTCTAATCAACTATGGTAATTACCGTAAGAACTACGTCGTAAATACTAAGCTGAACAGGAGGTTCGGATTGGACCGGTCACGGTTACCAATACTGGTAGGAAACCGATGACCGTCAACACGCCCCCTCAATCCGAACTCGCACGAATGCCGAGAGCCGTCGTCAAGTCCTTGTGGCGAGGTCCCGAAAGTCCCTTGGTCATGATGTCCGCCATCATCACGGAAGTCTCACAATACTCGAGCTGCACTTCACCGCGCTTGACCTCATCACGGATGTGATGGTACTTGGTGTCGATGTGCTTGGCGCGGCCATGATTCACCGGATTCTTCGTCATCTTGATGCACGACTGGTTGTCTTCACGGATGACGAGGTCCGGTCCTGGTTCGTTTGCGGCCGCCAAAATCTCACATAGCAGGCGATGCACCCACTTGCCTTCCTGGATGGCCAGACTTAGTGCGATGTATTCCGCTTCACTCGTCGACAGCGACACACTTGACTGCTTCTTGCTTCCCCAACTCACAGGAGCACCCATCAGCATGAAAGTGTAACCCGAAGTCGACTTGCGATCAGCGTGGTCGCCGGCCCAGTCCGCGTCCGAGTAGCCACGAAAGTCGATCTTGTCGCTTGGCTGGAAGCGGAGTCCGTGCGACTTTGTCCCTTGCAAGTAACGAAAGATGCGCTTCACCGCCGTCCAATGTTCTTGCTGCGGATTCTCCATGAAGCGCGAGACGTACCCCACAGCATACGCAATGTCCGGGCGCGTCGCAGTCGTCAAGTGCATCAAAGCTCCCACAGCTTCACGAAAATGAACGTCGATCTTTGCCGCTTCGCTGCTTGCGACAAGCCGAGTACTCAAATCGACCGGACTTGCTGTGGCCTTGCACTCATCCATGCCGAAGCGCTTGAGGATGTCGTTGACATACCGTCGCTGGCACATCATCATGCTGCCATCCGATTCGTCCACCAGTTCGATGTCCAGTACAAAAGTACACTTGCCACTGTCGGTCATCTCGAAACGCATCTTGAGGTCGGCCTTCGTCTGCGCAATCAACTCGAGCGAGCTGCCGGTGACCAAAACGTCATCCACGTATACCAGCAGCAGCACGCAGTGACCATCCACAACCTTGATGTACAAACATGGATCAAATGCCGACACATCGAAACCGATAAAGCATACGAACTCGTCGAAAGTCTCGTTCTACACACGTGAAGCTTGCTTGAGACCGTAGATCGCCTTCACCAACTCGAGACAGTCAAAGTCACCATCCATCTCAACGCCTTCTGGTATCACGCAGTACACCTTCTCCTTCAGCACTCCGTAGAGAAAGGCTGTCACCACATCGAGTTGGTCCAGTGGCCAGTCGAAATACTTGGTGATCGCGATCACCATACGCAGTGTCACGTACTTGACCACGGGCGAGAACGTCTCTGTGTAGTCGATGCCGTACTTCTGCTTGAAGCCCTTGGAAACGAGACGCGCCTTGTATTTCTCGACCGATCCATCCGCTTTGCGTTTGATCTTGAACACCCACTTGGTGCCGATCGCGCCTTGGCCTCTTGGCAGTTTTGCCGCACGGAAAACTCCACGAAGATGCATCGACTTGAGTTCCGCCTTCACAGCATTTCTCCAGTGAGCTTGATCAGGACCATTGATCGCGTCTTGAAAAGTCACAGGTTCTGCTAGGTCCGTTGCTTCCACTGCGTTTGCACTTGCACGCCAAAATGTTGGAGGCGTCGAGTCGTCATCTTGATCGTAGTCGCTCGCATCTTCTTCGTCATCAGACATCGTTTCTGGAGCACTTGATCGTCGTTTCTGGTGACGGTTGGAGACGTGTTCCGGCGCACTTGCTTGTTCCAACCCAGTTCGAGGGCGAGCTGAACGTGACATGCCGAGTCTTGCTTCACTCTTGCGCTTGCCAGTATGCTTGGAGACGGGTTTGACGCACGTCGTCCTCGTTGATCGCCAGGAGGTCGAGGTCCAACTCCGCATCTTCATCATCGTCACTTGGTCGGTCCATCGAAAAGTCAAAAGTCGATTCGTCGAAGGTGATGTCACGACTGATCACCACTTGGCCCGCCTCAATGTCGTACACTCGATAAGCTTTTGACGCTTCTTCGTAGCCCATGAACATCCCTTCACGAGCCTTCGGGTCCCACTTCAATCTCTTCTCCCTTGGTGTCAGGATAAACGCCCGACATCCAAACACGCGCATGTGCTTGACACTTGGTTTCGACTTGTACACGATCTCGAACGGAGTCTTGGGGTCGATCTTGGGTGAAGGCAGGCGGTTCTTGATGTAGATCGCCGTCATTGCCGCTTCAGCCCAGAAACACTTCTCCAGCTTTGCATGATGCAACAAGCTGCGTCCGATCGTGACGATGGTCCTTATCGCGCGTTCTGCGGTGCCGTTGGTCTGGTGTGCATACGGCACCGTGACCTGTTGTTCGATACCATGATCTTCGTAGAAGGTAGTGATCGAGTTGGTCGCAAACTCATGCGCTCCATCGTGCCGAACAAACTTGATCTTCGTGCCGAACTGAGTCTGAATCTTGATAATGTGGTTCTTGATACAGTCTTCACTCTCAGACTTGGACCGCAGACAGAAGCCCTTCATGCAACCGCTGACTTCGTCAACCACAAGCAGTTAGTATCTGCTGCCGCCGATCGAGACTTGTTCCTTTGGCCCGCAGATGTCGAAGTGAAGCAACTCGAACACACCATATTGGCGTTTGTCACGGTTGGTTGGGAATGGTTTTTGGACCATCTTTCCTTGCTGGCAACTGCGACACACACTTGGACCAGTCGAGTTAAGAGGTGCCTTGGCGTCCTTGATCATGCCGGTGGCCACCATCTTGCGTAGAAATTCGAGGGGTGCATGACCCATGCGCGCATGCAAGTCGATAGTCCCATTGCGTGTTGCTGCATTCGCCGATCGTTGAGGAGTCCGCAGCCAGTAAAGTCCATCGACGAGATCCGCTGTTGCCACGACTTGTGTAGAATTATTGCGCTTCACTTGCATCTTGGAACCATCGAACACGACTTGGAACCTGCCACCCTTGTTGATCTGTGGCACCGAAAGCAGATTCTTGCTCATACTTGGTACGAACAGTGCGTCCTTGATCTCGATGTCGCGTTCGTCACCATTGGGCAGAACCACCCGTTCCATGATGGTTCCCACATACTTGATCGCAGCCTTGCTGCCATCAGCCACTGATAGTTCGCCTTCATCTCGCTCATTCAGGCTTGCAAACTTGGCCTTGTCGTTGCAGATGTGATGCGTCGCACCGCTGTCGACTGCCCACATCCCTGGCATATTCTTGCCTGTCGAAAGTCCAGCCTCCAGCGAAACCGCGAACGCAACTCGATCGTAGTTGTCGTCGTAGTTACTGTTGGTTCGCCACTGAACGTTGTTGGCTCCGCGTCCACGAGCATTGTTGCCGCCGCGTCGAGCTCCACCTTGATATTCGTCCTTCTGCTTGGTCCAGCACCGCTCCGCCGTGTGCCCCAATTTCCGCAGTATGTACACTGGCGAGGTTCACGCTCGGCACTGAACGCCTTCGCCGCGTCAGTCTTCACCAATGTCGTCTTGTCACCTTGCCTCTTGATGTGCTCATTCGTGAGCACTCTCACGACGTATCGCGATCACAGTTCCGCGCTGCTCATCTCCAAGTTGAGAACGACGTTCTCGTAGCTCTTGGGGAGGCTGCGCAACAAGCAGATCGCCACGTCCTCGTCCTCCATCTTGGCGCCGATGCTGCTGAGCTTCGCGCTGATGTTGAGGACTTCGTTGCAATGATGCATCACATTGCCGCCTTCCGCCATCTCCATTTGAACAGCTGGCGCTTCAAGTAGATGCGTCCAGCTTTCTGCGACCCGCCGTACAGCGTCTTCAAACGCGCCCACGCGACCCACGCCTCTTCACAATCATCGACGATGTGATGGTAGTCTGCGTCCATGTGCAGCAACATCAGTCCGAAAGCGATGTTGTTGGCCTTGACGTAGTCGTCCATGGCGCGATCGTCCGCGTAGGTCGGCGACGTCTCCCGGTTCACCACGTGCCACGCCGACTTGGTCAGGAACACGCCACGCATGTAGCGGCTTCATGTCGCGTAGTTGTCGCCGTCGAACTTGTCAATGGAGATCTTGGTGGTGGCATCATGAGCAGAGGACATCGTGCTTGGGCTCATAACCTGTTGATAGGTGTAAAGCTTGACGACCGAAACTGGGAGTGATGCTGGGAGTCCACTCGGAAGACCGGAGAAGACACTTGGGGGTAGATGGAAGATTGGAAAGTGATTGATTATCGGGGCTTACTACTTACCACATGATTTATATGTGGTGCACATATAAATCATGTGAAGCGTCTCATCATCCTACGCGTCTAATCAACTATGGTAATTACCGTAAGAACTACGTCGTAATACTAAGCTGAACAGGCGGTTCGGATTGGACCGGTCACGGTTACCAACTACTGGTAGGAAACCGATGACCGTCAACATACTTAAATCTTATCGCGCGTTAGCGGTTGAAAGTGATGCTAACGAGTGCCACGATCTTCACTTCAACGTCATTCATGTTCAACTCAATGTTAGGATTGGCTTATTTCCCTTGTTCCGACCGTCCAATATAAAATTGCTTGATCCACTTAATCTTCGTCATCTCTTTCGCGATTAGATGGAATATTCGGTTTTCCTTAGGCGTAGTAATCCTCTTCGTGGTCGTTCATAAAGCTGCATAACACGGTCCTCTTTAATCGTCAGACCTTCGTCTTCACTCCTCACGTGTTTCGTTTTCACGTGGCTCTTTCACGGCTTGGGTATGGCGAACCTGCCCCGCATGCAGAGCGTGCTGCTCCTCATCTTCTTCGGATACTACTTCACCGTCGCACCCAGTTCCTTGGTCACAAATTTCAACCCATGGTCATACCTTTAAAACTCGTCGAGCGCACGTTCGTGCTTTAAGTCTGCTTCCACGTCATAGTTGCTAGCTTTTGCTTTTTTAAACCTAGCGTAAAACGTTTGTACAGTGGTCGATGGTACCTTGTCGCTTGCGTGTAACAAATTGATGACCAAATCGCTCGAAGTTGGTTGCTCAGCCCCTGTTTAACAAATGCATACCCCAAAATCATGGTCGAGGCATCAGTTGTGGTATACTCGTCAGTTAGATCTAAAATACAACAGCCTCAACGTACAAACACAGCAAACGACTAGCTTAGTCGGCGACTCGGACTGATACGTGAGTGCATACCTTTGCGGCTCGCCCCTTCGGGATTTAGTAGTGGCTCTCGCCTGATTGATTCCTTACAAACAATTCTTATAGAATTCTGGATGAGCTCAGCAGCTAATAAATCTTTTAATCCCTGTGACTACACACCAAAGGATGGAAGCCGACGCTAGCTCATTTTCACATGTCACCGTGTGCAGAATCCATCCGACTAAAAGATTTAAATCGCCCTTTGGCTAAGGCCCACTGGCATGTTGCTCCACAAGACTTTTAGCGGTTCCGTCTACTGGGTCACCGGCCTGTCAAGTGACAAGACTCAACAGTGTCGCCTACTGGATCACTGGCTCGCCGTCAGCGAGACACTTCCTTTCGCTTATAGTAAAGAGTTTCTTAACCCGATCCATTATAATCTCTCGGTGCTTTCAGTTGCAACCTCTAGAAGATATGCCTTTCAAGATTCGAACAAGGCAAAATCCAGCCTGTGCAGGTGTACACGTGTCTTGGACTTTGAAATCTCTGATCTGTATTAACATCTCTTATTTTGTTGCAGTAAATATTACGTGGGTCGCTTCTGCTCTCTCACCTGTTTCACATACGAACACTACCCAATTATTTGAAGCTCTTGCCGAGTCTGAACATGTCGAGTTTGGACTTGTCGAGCTTTGGCTTATAAAGTGACTCTTTTTTATGCAAAAACTTATCGAGTAAAACTGTACATCATTATAATGCATGGCCGTTACTTTGCTCCCGAAATTTATAGGTGGGGGACCGCTGCTAGTATGGACTTATTGAGGGGTACAACATAAGAAGAACCCACAAGTTAAATACTTCAAGTGATGAACTTTAGACTTCTTGGTCCGAATGCAAAACGCAAAGTGAATATGTATATTTATAGTAGGTACTTAGTTCGCAACTTTGAATACTACCTCTAAGCCTATTATTCGCAGTGACGTCATCCACTGACGTCACCCACTGACATCATTCAATGACATCATTCCGCTGACATCATTCCCTGACTTCGCCTTTACTGGTACATACCGGCACCCACCGGTACATCGAAGCTTGGTCTTCGGCTTGCTTCAACACTTGACGCAGCTTGACGAGGTGTTTTCTTCACAGCCGCCGTCTTTCCAACACTCCCTCTCGGATCGTTAGCTGCGGCACCTTGGATCCCAAGTCAATCGCGAATGTTTGCAAATTGTACAGCGGCGATCGGCTTGGTCATCATGTTCGCCAGCATATCTTGAGTCGGGCAATGCTCCAAAACGACTTCGCCCGATTCCACCTTCTCACGCACAAATGGTAGCGTATGTCGATGTGCTTTGTTCTCTTATGGAACTCCGGATTCTTGGCGGGAGCGATTGATCCTTGGTTGTCTTCATACATCTTGATCGCTTCGTCGCTTGCCATCTCACCAAGTTCCCTCAACAACACCTTGAGCCATACTGCTTCTTTGGTTGCTTCGGAAAGCGCCATGTATACTGCTTCCATTGCAGATAGCGCGACCGTCCGTTAAGGCATCGCTGAAAATAGATTAGTAATAACAGTCGCATTTTAAAAACTCATTTGTCCCCAAGGTAAGACATATCCCCCAAAAAAGCTGTTGCCATCATGATGCCTCCGACAGCACTTCGATATGGCACGTTGCACATGGTGTCTTCGTGCTTGCATTCTTGGTCACACATGCTCTTGGTGAGCTTCAGACCGGGATCTTGAGGCGTCTTCACTAGCTTGCTGTTATCCATTCCAAACTTGGTCAACACGGACTTGAGAAACTTGGTTTGTCGCACAGTCACCATTACAGTCTTACGGTCGTTTTTGATCTCCATGACGAGAAAGTAATTGAGCTCGCCGAGATCCGTCATTTCGAAGCGTGTGCTCAGCGCCATCTTGGTCGAGTTGAGTTGTTCATTGTTGTTGCTGGCCAGGATGAGATCATCGACATAGGGCACCACGAGAATCATGTCTTGGTCGTCTCGCTTGATGTAGATGCAGCGGTCCGATTCGCACTTCTGAATCCCATCTTGATCTTGAACCCATCGATCATTTGGTTCCACATGCGTGGCGATTGCTTCAAGCCGTAGAGCGATCTCTTTAGCTTGCACACATAGTCCGGCTGTTTTGCATCCAGGTATCCTGCCGGCTGGTCCATGTAGATGTCTTCGTCGAGGGAGCCGTTAAGAAACGCTGTCTTGACGTCCATCTGATGTAGCATTAGGCCGTACTTGGCAGCCATGCTGAGCACCACACGAATCGATGTGAAATTGGCCACTGGTGCGAAAGTTGCTTCATAGTCAACTCCGAATTTCTGCGAGAATCCTTTGGCCACAAATCTTGCCTTGAAACGTTTAACTTCGCCATCTTGATTCTCCTTGACACGAAACACCCATCGGCACCCGATGGCTTTGCGACCTTTCGGAAGAGGCACGATTTCTCACGTGTCGTTTCTCTGAAGCGAGTCGAACTCCGAGTCACACGCTTCTTTCCACTTGCCGGAGTCGCTTGATTCCATCGCCGACTTGAATGTAGTCGGCATTTCCCCCACTGAATCAACGATGTAGGCTGTTTCAAAAAATCCACCGCAGCCGCTGATGCATGCTCAAGCGACGGACCTCTGTACGTTCTTTTCTCGGAACTTGGAATGACGGTATATTTCTCAAGTGATTGAGTGCGCGTGTGTCCCTTGATGTTGCTTTTCGAAGACCTGGTGTCTTCGTCGTCATCGTCGCTCAAATTCAGGTCGACGTCAGTTTTACCTTCTTCTTTTCCTTCGTCCTCGTCTTGATCATCAAAATCAACGGTACTTGACTCATCGTTGTAGTTGCACGGACCTTCATTAAACTTGTCTTCCATGAACGTGGCATCGCGACTGATCTTGATCGCTCTTGTTGACACTTCCTCGAGTCGATATGACTTCTGGTGTTCGGCGTACCCCAGGATACGACAGAGTGATGACTTGGAGTCGAACTTCGCCCGTTTGCCTTGAGGCACTTGAACATACGCGTGGAATCCAAACACTTTGAGGTTGGCCAGAATCGGTTTCTTCATAGTCCACACTTGATATGGAGACTTGTATTGGTGGGTGGCACGTGTTGGACAGCGGTTTCGAAGAAACATCATCGTCATCACTACTTCACCCCAGTAGCTCTTTCCCAGTCCAGCATGTTCCATCATACAGCGCTCACACTCGACCAGCGTGCGATTCATTCTCTCATCAACTCCGTTGAGCTGAGGAGTATACAGGGCTGAACCTTTGTTGTATCCCCCGTTCCGCGCAGAATCGTGCCAACTTGTCGGACTTGTACTCACCCCCATTGTCGCTTTGAAGGTACTTCACGCGCTTTCCGGTTTGCGTTTCGGCCATCGCAGCGTATTCCATGAACTTCGCCGCAACTTCAGATTTGCTCTTGAGCAGATACACGACACAGTATCTTGACTTTTCGTCGATGAATGTCACGAAGTACCGCTTTCCACTGAATGTTGCCACCGACATCGGTCCGCATACGTCGTTGTGAATCACTTCGAGCAATTTGGAGGTGCGAGCTGTAGTGTTCGATTGGAAGCGCATTCGAGTCTGTTTTCCCAGAGCACAACCTTCACACACGTCCCACTTCTTCATCGAAGGTATGTCGATGCCAATTCCAATGTTCTTCGTCACGATGCAATTGAGTTCATCATGACCTATGTGGCCAAGCCGAAGGTGCCAGAGGTACGACTTGGTGCCCCTTTGACATCCCGACGACTTGGCTGCATTTGCTTGTTCCGGCGCCACTGGAGTCATTTGCAGCTTGAACAGTCCTTTACCTTCACGGGCATTAATTTTCCACTTGGCCCCTTTCGCTTCTCCATAGCACCCATCCTTTGTGAACGTCACTGGGCCCACATCCTTGGTGAAGCGGCCGACTGAGAACAGGTTTCTGGATAACTTTGGGATGTGCCACACGTTTGTGAGCACACCTTGATTCATCCCTTGGGGTGTCTTCATCGACATTACAATGTCCCCACTGCCGATTGCTTGGACAATTCCATCATCCGCGAGATGGACATCCACAGCGTCAAACACCTTGTAGTTCCGCATGAACTTCTTGGAGCACGTCATGTGCTGCGTCGCCCCGGAGTCGACCAGCCAGATGTCGCTTGATTTCGCAGATGTCGTTTCACCGATCGAGAAGAGGTAGTCGCCCGAGTCTTCTTCTTGAGTGATGTTTGCACGTTGCGATCGATAGCGGTCGCCGCTGTCTTGAGCGCGCTGTGGCCGGTGTCTCTCCGTGTTTTCTTGGATGCGCGAAGGGCACTCCGCCATCCAGTGACCAATCTTTCCGCAATTGTGGCACGGCCAGGACTTCTTCACTGGTCGGCCTTTGCGCTGATTGTCCCTTGAGATGAACGCTTGACCTTGCGAAGCTTCATCACCTTTACTTCCTTGCTCCTTCTGCTTCATTTCTTTATGAAGCAGTCGAGGCGTCACGAGCTCCCAGCTAAGAGTGTCTGAGCGCGACTCTAAAGCTGTGATCAAGAATTAATACGAGTCACTCAGGCTGCCAAGAAGTGTGATCACCAAATCGTCCTCGCAGACCGGAGCCCCACCGCTTCTAGCTGTTCCGCCAACGTCTTGAGCTTGTTGATGTGTTCGAGCACATCGCCGCCTTCTTCCATCATCGTCGTGAAGAAGCGACGGTGAAAGAACAGCTTGTTGGCAAGACTCTTCTTCTCGAAGTGGTCTTCCAACCTTGGCCATGCGTCGCATGCACCACTTGCCGACCGGACCAACGGTAGCTGGGAATCTTCCATGGCTAGACAGATCACTGCCATCGCCTTTCTTGACTTCCTCTTGTACGCCGCTTGGTCCAACAGAGTCACGCACTGTTCGGCCTTGATCTCGCCGCTGACGACCTCCCACAGGTCCCGTTCCTCCACCACCATCTGCATCTTGAGCTTCCAGGCGTGGAGGTTAGTTGCATCGAACTTGGAGATGCGGAGGGCGGAGGCATTCATGGCAGCGAGGCTTGAATTGTTGTCGGTTTCAGAGTCTGACAAAATTAGGCTCATAACCTGATGAACTTTAGACTTTTTGGTCCGAGTGCAAAACGCAAAGTAAATATATACATTTATAGTAGGTACTTAGTTCGCAACTTTGAATACTACCTCTAAGCCTATTATTTGCAGTGACGTCATCCAATGACGTCATTCCGCTGACGTCATCCAATGACGTCATTCCGCTGACGTCATTCCCTGACTTCGCCCTTACTGGGACATACCGGCACCCACCGGTACATCGAATCTTGGTCTTCGGCTTGCTTCAACACTTGACGCAGCTTGACGAGGTGTCTTCATCACAGGTGCCTTCTTTCCAACATTATGGGCAATAATTTGCACTTTTGAATTACAGCGCAGCTGTCTCCAACGGAAAAAGGCAAATTATTCCCTTCCGCGGAAAGGTTTGTAGACTTTTTATCTTCCCTTACACATAAAGAAGTCGTGCCATGTGGATCCAAATATAAGCAGTAACAACACCTCCCTGTCCTCAAATTTTGTAATCCATCCTCGCTATGCTCTGCTTTTTCAATTTTTAATGGCCAGACAAACCTTGACACTGAAAGACCGAGGTCTTACCCTAGGAACTGACAATTTTAATGAGGGGCCGTGTTGACTCCTTTCCATAGCAATTTAGCAGCCCTAGCAATGATGTCTCCTTTGCTGGTCCCAAAAATAAATAATCACATAAAATTCTTCAATCTCCGTGGCCCGCTTTCGCTCCGGTACCCTCTTCTTATTGTGAGGTCTTTTGTTTCTTTAATTTAATGGCCCCTTGGTCTACAAATTTCGTAAATCACTTCATCACAGCCGCCCCGTGCACTTGCTTAGCCGTACACCGGTTTTAGCACGCACATGTCGTAACCGATAAAATAGCGCAAGTCTTTCTGCTTGCCCTGTGTTAGGTGGTCCTCGTCAAATTTGTGTACTATTAGCAGTGTCTTCACCCGGTCCAGACTTATCGCTCTAAAAACTGGCCTCGGCCGTCCCCTCGCCTCTGGTTAACCCCTGCTATGTCTTAATTGTGCCAACACCGTCGACGGTGATCCCAAGGGAGGATTGTTGCGACGAGGAGCCTCCAGTTGCATCTGTTCCCATCTCAATTGTATTACTGGGTGTTTATTCTGACACGCCGGCCAACCTCACTGGTACGCAACAAATCCTTTGCGACCTGCAGGCCGGCGTGGTTCCTCTGGTCTGCAGTGTTGAGGCTTACAAAGGTTGGCTATCCCAATTTTTTCTTTAGCGGCCTACTTGACGGCCGGGTGTGAGCTCCTTAAGAAAAAGCTATATGGTGAAGTGGTCATCACAAAATTACTGATGTGTAGTTATAACTCTACTTGCGCCCGGGCGACCGGATAGCGGAGAGGGTATCCCGGACCGTTCGTCTTGTCTTTTTCTTCTCACCTTGTTGCCCTGTAAACGGGCATGTTGCACACTTTTGGGTGGCTTTAGGTCGATGTTTTATTGGACCGAGTTGTGTGCGGTCGCGTGGGAATTCTGTACACGACAATCAATTGCCTGAAGGGCTCTTCTAGAGCCACCCTGACATTTCTTGAGTTTGTCTTGCCCACATGTGAATACTCTATTTCCTTGTTTTTCTGACCACTTGATCACCTTGTTCTTTGATCACTTGAGCGGTCTAAAAAACCTTGCTTTTGTATGCTTGCAGCGTCCGACCGCGGGATGTCTTAAATGAGTATCTTTGTCTCTGGCCTAGCAACCTAGGAACAAAATTTGAGCAAACACGTGTAAAGAAAACTTATAACGTCGGGTAGCCACACGTATTATAGCTCGGATGGCTGCTGACGCGTGTCTTTTGTATGAAAATTCTGACGACTTACTAGAAGCTAAAACTACGCTTGTACCTCTCTCTATCTCATTTTCCATTACATAGTGCGTCTCCCACCACTAATTCTTTATTCTTGAGGTGGTCCACCCCATCCACTACGTATAGCTGATGATCGCGACTGATGGGTACATTAAGTAAGCCTTTCTTCAACTATAAGAGATTTTCTGCGATCATTCCCAAGGCCTTCGTGACCGGCCCTACAGGTACCCATGGCATCAAAAGATGCAATTCGTCCTGTAATCTTCCGATAATTTTACCACAATTGTCTTCTACTCGAGTAAGTGACACCCAATGCCGATCTGGCTGAGCACTTTCGGTTTGTCTGTCTCCCAACCACCGCATCTCGTCCTATTCCATAAGCTTGGCGAGATGTCGCTTCCACACCACTCCGACGCTAATAGACCCTTCCTCCGTTTAAATGCCCCCTTAATAGATTCCGCTGCGGTATTTTAGCCCAATGGTTAGTGGCAAAGAGCTTTTCAGTAACGCACTAGAATCGACCGGCGACAATGCCATTTTTAATCCCTCTCAGATTGCGCTAAAGTAGCGACGTAACCGGTAATCGAAATCTTCACCCTGTTGAGACGGAAGCCACTCTTGCTGATCGTCTTGTTGACCTGGTCGACGTCGCAGCTGTGTCCGATGACATTCTTCGCCGACATCACTCACGTCGAAGTGGTAAGGTAGCTGGAAATCAGGAACACGACCCTGTCGAGACTAAAGCCGCTACTATTTACTTGCCCGTTAATCATCTGCTAATGGTCGTGGTCATGTACTGGCGAGTGATGATGGTTCTTTTATTCTTTTTGACTTGTGAGTAGGGCCTTTGCCCGTTGGAGACTAACAAGTCGATGAGCGTCTTAATTACATTGCTGTACCATCGTACACCTTTAAGGCAGACTTAATTCAATCGTACCAGGGATTAAAGATAGCGATGCTAACCCAAAAACGACGCGGTGATGAATTTAAACAAAGCTTTGTGAACGGGTTGTGTTGATAGTATGGCACGGGAGTGACGAGAAGACCGGAAGAGACCGGAGGGAGCGAAGAGGCTTGAGGATCGGAGCAGAGAAGATTTGCTCGGCAGAAGGAGAATTCGAAAGTGTTTGATTATCGGGGCTTACTACTTACTACATGATTTATATGTGGTGCGCATATAAATCATGTGAAGTGTCTCATCATCCTACGCGTCTAATCAACTATGGTAATTACCGTAAGAACTACGTCGTAAATACTAAGCTGAACAGGCGGTTCGGATTGGACCGGTCACGGTTACCAATACTGGTAGGAAACCGATGACCGTCAACACGCCCCCTCAATGCGAACACGCACAAATCCCGAGAGCCGCCGTCATCTCTTTGCGGTGTGGCCCGTAAAGTCCCTTCGTCATGATGTCCGCTAACATCACCGCAGTTTCACAGTACTTGAGCTTCACTTCACCGCGCTTGACCTCATCACGGATGTGATGATACTTTATGTCAATGTGCTTGGCACGGCCGTGGTTGACTGGGTTCTTCGTCATCTTGATACACGACTGATTGTCTTCATGAATCATGAGTTCCGGTCCTTCTTCATTGGCAGCCATCATGATCTCACAAAGCAGACGATGAATCCACTTGCCCTCTTGAATCGCCAAGCTGAGTGCGATGCATTCGGCTCGTGGACAACGAAACACTTGGCTGCTTCTTGCTGCCCCAACTCAATGGCGCACCCAACAGCATGAATACGTAACCAGACGTCGACTTGCGATAAGCGAGGTCACCGGCCCAGTCTGCATCCGAATAGCCACGAAAGTCGATCCTTGCACTTGGCTTCTAGCAGATTCCGTGCATCTTGGTGCCTTGCAGTTAGCGGAAGATGCGCTTAACTGCAACCCAGTGTTCTTCTTGGGGGTTCTCCATGAATCACGACACATAGTTCACGGCGAACTCAATATCCGGTCGCGTTGCAGTGGTCAGGTGCATCAACGCACCAACAGCTTCGCGAAAAGGAGCATCGACCTAGGTGGCTGCATGACTTGAAACAAGTCGAGAGCTCATGTCGACTGGACTTGTGACGGCCTTGCAATCATCCATGACAAAGCGCTTGGGTATGTCATCGACATACCGATGCTGGCATAGTGTCACACTTCCATCTGCGCCGTCCAAAAGCTCGATTCCAAGCACAAATGCACACTTGCCGCTGTCAGTCATCTCGAATCGTGTCTTCAGGTCTGTCTTGGTGTGTGCAATTAGCTCGCATGAGCTACCGGTAATCAACACTCCATCCACATACACCAGCAGCAGCACGCATTGCCCTTCCACAATCCTTATGTAGAGACACGGGTCGAGGCTTGACGCTTGAAATACAATAGCACACACGAACTCGTCAAACGTTTCGTTCCATACGCGCAACGCTAGCTTGAGTCCGTAGATTGCCTTAACCAACTCCAGACAAACGAAGGAGCCCTCCAATTCCACGCCTTGTACTTGTCAATTGATCCGTCTGCTTTGCGCTTGATCTTGAAGACCCACTTCGTGCCAATGGAGCAATGTCCTTTAGGTAGCTTGGCTGCGCGGAATACTTCACGAAGTCGCATCGACTCAAGTTCCGCACGGATATCTTCGCGCCAATGCACTTGATCAGGACCGCTCACCGCAGCTTCAAAAGTCGATGGCTCGGATAAGTCCACTGCTGTTTCAACAGCGTTCGCACTCGCACGCCAAAACAGAGGCGGAGTCGATGCATCAGCATTCTTTGTTTCTTCATATTCTTCTTGGTGGGTCGTGTGATTGTCTGGCGCACTTGATTCTTCTAGTCCAGGCCGTTGACGCACTGTGCGCATGGGTGGAGCTGGTACTCCTTCTTCATGGGGACGACTCTTGCGCTTGCCTGTTTGCTTGTACTGCGCTTGACCTGGCGCTTCATCATCCAGACCGAGGGAGTCGAAGCCAATGTCATCGGCGTCTTCAGCGGTGGTAGGCGGCGAAAGTCCAAAGGCGGACTCGTCAAAGTTGACATCGCGACTGATGACCACCTGCCCCGCCTCAATGTCATAAACGCGATACGCTTTGGATGCTTCTTCGTAGCCCAAGAATGTTCCAGTGCGAGCCTTGGGTTCCCACTTGAGCCGCCTCTCCTTCGGTGTCAGTATGTAAACCTGACAACCGAACACCCGCATGTGCTTGACACTTGGCTTGGAGTTGTGGACAATCTCGAACGGAGTCTTGTGCATAACTTTAGGCGACGGCAGACGGTTCTTGACGTAGCTTGCCGTCATTGCTGCTTCGGCCCAGAAGCACTTTTCCAGCTTAGCATGGTGGAGCATGCTGCGACCAATTGTGACGATAGTCCGAATGGCGCGCTCTGCCGTGCCGTTGGTCTGGTGTGCATATGGCACCGTCGTCTGCTGCTCAATGCCTTCATCTTCGTAGAATTCTTGAAGCGAGTTAGTTGCGAACTCGCGGGCTCCGGTGTGTCGGACGAGCTTGACCTTCTTGCCAAACTGCGCTTGCACCATCTTGATGTATCGTGTGATGTAGTTCACTCTCCGACTCCACACGTAGACAGAAGCCCTCCATGCATCCACTGGCTTCGTCAACGATTAGCAGTAGATATTTGCTGCCACCCAGAGAATTCATCTCCATGGGTCCGCAGATGTCGACGTGAAGTAGCTCGAAGGTGTTGAATCTGTGCTTGTCCTTGTTGCATGGGAATGGTTTTTTTTGGACCATTTTCCCTTGTTGGCATCCTCGACATGCGCTTGATCCACTTGACTTGAGAGGTACCTTCACATCCTTGATCATGTTCGTGGCTACCATTTTGCGAAGCACATCAGCTGGAGCGTGTCCTGTCCGCGCATGTAAGTCGACACCGTTGCTTCCGTTTGTTGTCGCATTGGCCGATCTATGAGCTGTGTGAAGCCAGTAAAGGCCATCCACAAGATCTGCTGTTGCCACCACTTGTTGCGATCCTTTGCGAGCGACAAACATCTTGGTCCCGTCGAACACGACTTGGAACTTACCGTGCTTGTTGATCTGCGGTACCGATAGTAGATTCTTGCTCATGCTTGGTACGTAAAGCACGTTCTTGATCTCGATCTCGCGCTCTTCACCGTCGGGCAGAACCACCTTTTCAAAGATGGTTCCAACACCCTTGATGGCCACTTTGTTGCCATCCGCCACCAAGATTTCACCGTCGTTGCGCTTGTTAAGTCTTGCAAACTTGGTCTTGTCGTGGCATATGTGGTGTGTTGCACCACTGTCGACCGCCCACATTCCGGACACGTCCTTCTTCGCTGAGAGTCCACACTCTAGCGAAACTGCAAACGCTACTTGATCGTAGTCGCCGTCTTCATCACGATATTGTCCCCACTGGACATTGTTTGCCCCGCGTCCACGACCATTGCCGCCGCGTCGGGCTCCTCGACTTTCATTCTTCTGCTTGGTCCAACAGCGATCGACGGTGTGTCCCACCTTCCCACAGTAGGTGCGCATTCGTAAGCACTTTCACCACATCCTGGGTACGAAGCTCTGCGCTGCTCATCTCCAAGTTTAGAACAACGTTCTCAAAACTTTAGGGAGACTGAGCAGAAGGCAAATTGCGACGTCCTTATCCTCCATCTTCGCACCGATGCTGCTAAGCTTGGCAGAGATGTTCAGGACCTCGTTGCAGTGATGCATGACGTTGGCGCCTTCATCCATCTTCAAACTGAAGAGTTGACGCTTGAGGTAGATCCTTCCCGCTTTCTAAGACCCACCGTACAGCACTTTCAGACTTGTCCACGCAACCCACGCTTCCTCGCAGTTTGTCAACCACATGGTGGTAGTCCGCATCAATTTGCAGCAACATCATTCCAAACGCGATGTTGTTGGTCTTGACGTAGTCGTCCTGCGCTCAAGGGTCCACGAACGCCGGGGAGCTCTCCTGGTTGACAGCATGCCACAATTACTTTGTCAGGAACACGCCACGCATGTATCGACTCCAGGTTGAATAGTTGTCCCCATCGAACTTATCGATGAGGACGTTGGAGGATGCGTGGCCGGCATAAGACATTGCGCTTGGGCTCATAACCTGTTGATGGTATAACGCGGGAGTGACGAGAAGACCGGAAGAGACCGGAGGGAGCGAAGAGGCTTGAGGAGCGGAGCAGAGAAGACTTGCTCGGCAGAAGGAGAATTCGAAAGTGATCGATTGTCGGGGCTTACTACTTACTACATGATTTATATGTGGTGCACATATAAATCATGTGAAGCGTCTCATCATCCTACGCGATTAATCAACTATGGTAATTACCGTAAGAACTACGTCGTAAATACTAAGCTGAACAGGCGGTTCGGATTGGACCGGTCACGGTTACCAACACTGGTAGGAAACCGATGACCGTCAACACGTTGTTTATACTAAGGGATCACAGAAGCATAAACGGGTGATTCATGGTTCTATCTTTCTCACACAGAAAAGCAGTATTCTATCGGGTCCGCTGACGAAGCCGAGTTAGCCGCGACATCCCGAAAGCGTGATTCTTTACGCAAAAATTGTCGCTTTCTCTTCATCGTCTAGCTTTATACCCCGTCATGATCGATTCCCACATCTCCGTGACCGCTATTTCTTCGGCGTATTTAGTGTTAGAACCCAAACTATTTCATAACTATAGACGCAAACCCGACCACAAGGATCATCAAGGTCGACCAATTACGCGAGCCCTGTAATGAATCCGATGGGTTTTAATTTAAAAAATAGAGCGGCGTCCATGACACGAAAAATCGCCCCCTATTGACGACTACCTACCAGGCACTCCTCCTGTGCAATATCTGAGGGTCCAGTGACTAGCTGGATATCGCCGTCGCGTGTCCTATCCTTCTGACCTTTTTACACCGTGGTCATCTCGCCGCTTGAATTTTATCAATGTGGCCAGAATTAATATGGATTAACTGTTTTAACCACTTCTCTCAACCCAGGCATTACCTGCTTCCATTTCTTGAGCTTCGCGCTTACCGGTATTCTGAGGCTCAATGGTCTCCGCGACTTGTGATTTTGGTAGAATTTATTCCTTGCATGGTCAAAAACCGTGGGTAGTTCTAATCGACCGATCGCACCCGTCTTTACGGCTAACTGGCTGGTTTCAAGAATTGGTGAACGCATACCGCGACTTTTAGGATCACCACCGCTTGTTAAAATGGTAAGCGACTCAAGTGCGGCCAATTATCTTCGGTCCTAGATGCGCGGAATTCCCGGTGAAATGTCTATTATAATAAAAGGTACCAGAGAAGTCCAATATCCGACTCTAGTTATGTCTCAGTACTCAGGATCGTGTTGCAGGGTTTGAGATAGGGTTCGTGTGACCTCGACATCCTGAAAGATCCATGTTTCTTGCTCTTACATGGAAGACTGGAGGAGTACATGTGATACCCGGCTGTCGACAGACCAATTTTTCGGATCGACTTCTACCCTGCACTAATTGGACTCTGCAGATAGTAAGCGTAATCATATCGCAAGGCAATCGTTGATCACCCTGGATCATCCATCCAAACACTAATGGACAAGTTCATGTAAGTAGTTTGTCGTGTCTTGCAGAATAGGTTGAGCTTCTCTTGTCAAACTATTAATGGCAGCAGGTGTGGTTTCCAGTCATAGATAGCTACTTAGCATGTCTTCGTTGAACTTTAATCATTTTAATTTTATAGCCATGCTTTTCACCAACTATGCAATATTTCCTTATTGCCAACTCCTACAATCCTAGCCATTATCCCTCACGAACCGGATAAAGGTTATTAAAATAATCTAAAGGTGGTTACTTACCACACCTGCAGTCTAAGTAACCACCTTAAGATTTTTTTAATATTTAATTGGTCTTCTTGTACTTGAATCCCATTAAATCGATTTTGATGGTCACGATCGCGTTCAAATTCTTGTAGCGATGCGCCGCACTTAAGTCTTGCCTCATCAACCTAAGACTCATCGTGATGAACATCCCACCGGATCAGAAATTGTGGATGCAATCTCCACACCTCGTTTTGTCGCCAGATCACGCACATCTGATACTTTTCATTTTGTATCGTCTTCCACCAAATGATATTCTCAGCTATATTCCGGACATAGAGCTTCATCGAAACCCACCCGTTCGGCATATTCCACCTGTAGCCATGCAATAGGTCGGTCAGGAAAGCTTCATACCAATTTCAGATTTCGAAATGTGTGGTGGAGTGGGATTCACTCATTTTGCAAAGAGATCCCGACCTTCTTCTGGTGCCCGGACGACCGGCTAACGGAGGGAATACTCCATACCGTGTGTCTTGTCTTGTTCCTTCTCACCTTGTGTACCCGTCGACGGGCATGTTAAACTCCTTCAGGTGGCTTGAGGTCGATTTCTATCTCGATGAAGCAGGAGATAGGTCGGGTGTGGTCACGTAAATATTCTTCACACAACTATCAGTTATTTTTGGCACTCTCCTGGAGTCGTTCAGATAATTCCTAAGGTCTCATTGCCCTTATGTGGATGCTTAATCAACCCCCATCTTCTTCTGATCTCTTTGAGCCGTGTATAGACCTTGTCCTTATTTGATCGCCGCGTTCGATCGCGGGCTAACTTAAAGAAGTATATTTGTCTTCAACCAATCAAATTGGGAACAGAACTTGATAAAGCACGCATTCCAAAAAAACTTGAACGTCCGGTGGCCACAGATCTTTCAGCTCGGAAAGATGCCGACGCGTGTCTTTTGTTAAAAAAACCAGCAATGTTTGTTACTATGCTACTAAAAACTAAAACTACGCTATCACCTCTCTATTTCTCATTTTTCATTACCGCCGTACATTTTTTGGCCTTAGAGTGGTCCACCCCATCCAACATTGTTGACGGTCATCGGTTTCTACCAGTATTGGTAACCGTGACCGGTCCAATCCGAACCGCCTGTTCAGCTTAGTATTTACGACGTAGTTCTTACGGTAATTACCATAGTTGATTAGACGCGTAGGATGATGAGACGCTTCACATGATTTATATGTGCACCACATACAAATCATGTGGTAAGTAGTAAGCCCCGATAATCAATCACTTTCCAATCTTCCATCTACCCCCAAGTGTCTTCTCCGGTCTTCCGAGTGGACTCCCAGCATCACTCCCAGTTTCGGTCGTCAAGCTTTTCACCTAACTACAGGTTATGAGCCCAAGCACGATGTCCTCTGCTCATGATGCCACCACCAAGATCTCCATTGACAAGTTCGACGGCGACAACTACGCGACGTGGAGCCGCTACATGCGTGGCGTGTTTCTGACCAAGTCGGCGTGGCACGTGGTGAACCGGGAGACCACCCCCACCTTCGCCGATCCTCGCGCCAGTGACGACTACGTCAAGACGAACAACATTGCGTTCGGCTTGATGCTGCTGCACATGAGCGCGGACTACCATCACATCGTCGATGACTGTGAAGAGGCGTGGGTCGCGTGGGCGCGTTTGAAGACGCTGTACGGCGGGTCGCAGAAAGCTGGACGCATCTACTTGAAGCGCCAGCTGTTCAAATGGAGATGGCGGAAGGCGGCAATGTGATGCATCATTGCAACGAAGTCCTCAACATCAGCGCGAAGCTCAGCAGCATCGGCGCCAAGATGGAGGACGAGGACGTGGCGATCTGCTTGTTGCGCAGCCTCCCCAAGAGCTACGAGAACGTCGTTCTCAACTTGGAGATGAGCAGCGCGGAACTGTGATCGCGATACGTCGTGAGAGTGCTCACGAATGAGCACATCAAGAGGCAAGGTGACAAGACGACATTGGTGAAGACTGACGCGGCGAAGGCGTTCAGTGCCGAGCGTGAACCTCGCCAGTGTACATACTGCGGAAATTGGGGCACACGGCGGAGCGGTGCTGGACCAAGCAGAAGGACGAATATCAAGGTGGAGCTCGACGCGGTGGCAACAATGCTCGTGGACGCGGAGCCAACAACGTTCAGTGGCGAACCAACAGTAACTACGACGACAACTACGATCGAGTTGCGTTCGCGGTTTCGCTGGAGGCTGGACTTTCGACGGGCAAGAATATTCCAGGGATGTGGGCAGTCGACAGCGGTGCGACGCATCACATCTGCAACGACAAGGCCAAGTTTGCAAGCCTGAATGAGCGAGATGAAGGCGAACTATCAGTGGCTGATGGCAGCAAGGCTGCGATCAAGTATGTGGGAACCATCATGGAACGGGTGGTTCTGCCCAATGGTGACGAACGCGACATCGAGATCAAGGACGCACTGTTCGTACCAAGTATGAGCAAGAATCTGCTTTCGGTGCCACAGATCAACAAGGGTGGCAGGTTCCAAGTCGTGTTCGATGGGTTCAAGATGCAAGTGAAGCGCAATAATTCTACACAAGTCGTGGCAACAGCGGATCTCGTCGATGGACTTTACTGGCTGCGGACTCCTCAACGATCGGCAAATGCAGCAACACGCAATGGGACTATCGACTTGCATGCGCGCATGGGTCATGCACCCCTCGAAGTTCTGCGCAAGATGGTGGCCACTGGCATGATCAAGGACGCCAAGGCACCTCTCAACTCGACTGGTCCAAGTGTGTGTCGCGGTTGCCAGCAAGGAAAGATGGTCCAAAAATCATTCCCAACCAACCGTGACAAACGTTCCCAACCAACCGTGACAAACGCCAATATGGTGTGTTCGAGTTGCTGCACTTCGACATCTGCGGGCCAAAGGAACAAGTCTCGATCGGCGGCAGCAGATACTAACTGCTTGTGGTTGACGAAGTCAGCGGTTGCATGAAGGGCTTCTGTCTGCGGTCCAAGTCTGAGAGTGAAGACTGTATCAAGAACCACATTATCAAGATTCAGACTCAGTTCGGCACGAAGATCAAGTTTGTTCGGCACGATGGAGCGCATGAGTTTGCGACCAACTCGATCACTACCTTCTACGAAGATCATGGTATCGAACAACAGGTCACGGTGCCGTATGCACACCAGACCAACGGCACCGCAGAACGCGCGATAAGGACCATCGTCACGATCGGACGCAGCTTGTTGCATCATGCAAAACTGGAGAAGTGTTTCTGGGCTGAAGCGGCAATGACGGCGATCTACATCAAGAACCGCCTGCCTTCACCCAAGATCGACCACAAGACTCCGTTCGAAATCGTGTACAAGTCGAAACCAAGTGTCAAGCACATGCGCATGTTTGGATGTCGGGCGTTTATCCTGACACCAAGGGAGAAGCGATTGAAGTGGGACCCGAAGGCTCGTGAAGGGATGTTCATGGGCTACGAAGAAGCGTCAAAAGCTTATCGAGTGTACGACATTGAGGCGGACCAAGTGGTGATCAGTCGTGACATCACCTTCGACGAATCGACTTTTGACTTTTCGATGGACCGACCAAGTGACGATGATGAAGATGCGGAGTTGGACCTCGACCTCCTGGCGATCAACGAGGACGACGTGCGTCAAACCGTCTCCAAGCATACTGGCAAGCGCAAGAGTGAAGCAAGACTCGGCATGTCACGTTCAGCTCGCCCTCGAACTGGGTTGGAACAAGCAAGTGCGCCGGAACACGTCTCCAACCGTCACCAGAAACGACGATCAAGTGCTCCAGAAACGATGTCTGATGACGAAGAAGATGCGAGCGACTACGATCAAGATGACGACTCGACGCCTCCAACATTTTGGCGTGCAAGTGCAAACGCAGTGGAAGCAACGGACCTAGCAGAACCTGTGACTTTTCAAGACGCGATCAATGGTCCTGATCAAGCTCACTGGCGAAATGCTGTGAAGGCGGAACTCAAGTCGATGCATCTTCGTGTAGTTTTCCGTGCGGCAAAACTACCAAGAGGCCAAGGCGCGATCGGCACCAAGTGGGTGTTCAAGATCAAGCGCAAAGCGGATGGATCGGTCGAGAAATACAAGGCGCGTCTCGTTGCCAAGGGCTTCAAGCAGAAGTACGGCATCGACTACACAGAGACGTTCTCGCCCGTGGTCAAGTACGTGACACTGCGTATGGTGATCGCGATCACCAAGTACTTCGACTGGACTCTGGACCAACTCGATGTGGTGACAGCCTTTCTCTACGGAGTGCTGAAGGAGAAGGTGTACTGCGTGATACCAGAAGGCATCGAGATGGATGGCGACTTCGACTGTCTCGAGTTGGTGAATGCAATCTACGGTCTCAAACAAGCCTCGCGCGTTGGAACGAGACTTTCGACGAGTTCGTATGCTTTATCGGTTTCGATGTGTCGGCGTTTGATCCATGTTTGTACATCAAGGTTGTGGATGGTCACTGCGTGCTGCTGCTGGTATACGTGGATGACGTGTTGGTCACCGGCAGCTCGCTCGAGTTGATTGCGCAGACGAAGGCCGACCTCAAGATGCGTTTCGAGATGACCGACAGCGGCAAGTGTACTTTTGTACTGGGCATCGAACTGGTGGACGAATCGGATGGCAGCGTGACGATGTGCCAGCGACGGTATGTCAACGACATCCTCAAGCGCTTCGGCATGGATGAGTGCAAGGCCACAGCGAGTCCGGTCGATTTGGGTACTCGGCTTGTCGCAAGCAGCGAAGCGGCAAAGATCGACGTTCATTTTCGTGAAGCTGTGGGAGCTTTGATGCACCTGACCACTGCAACGCGCCCGGATATTGAGTTCGCCGTGAACTATGTGTCGTGATTCATGGAGAACCCCCAAGAAGAACACTGGGTTGCGGTCAAGCGCATCTTCCGCTACCTACAAGGCACCAAGATGCACGGAATCTGCTACAAGCCAAGTGCAAGGATCGACTTTCGTGGCTATTCGGATGCAGACTGGGCCGGTGACCTCGCTGATCGCAAGTCGACGTCTGGTTACGTATTCATGCTGTTGGGTGCGCCATTGATTTGGGGCAGCAAGAAGCAGCCAAGTGTTTCGTAGTCCACGGGCCGAATGCATCGCACTCAGCTTGGCGATTCAAGAGGGCAAGTGGATTCATCGTCTGCTTTGTGAGATCATGATGGCTGCCAATGAAGAAGGACCAGAGCTCATGATTCATGAAGACAATCAGTCGTGTATCAAGATGACGAAGAACCCGGTCAACCACGGCCGTGCCAAGCACATTGACATAAAGTATCATCACATCCGTGATGAGGTCAAGCGCGGTGAAGTGAAGCTCAAGTACTGTGAAACTGCGGTGATGTTAGCGGACATCATGACGAAGGGACTTCACGAGCCACGCCACAAGGAGATGACGGCGGCTCTCGGGATTTGTGCGTGTTCGGATTGAGGGGGCGTGTTGACGGTCATCGGTTTTCTACCAGTATTGGTAACCGTGACCGATCCAATCCGAACCGCCTGTTCAGCTTAGTATTTACGACGTAGTTTTTACGGTAATTACCATAATTGATTAGACGCGTAGGATGATGAGACGCTTCACATGATTTATATGTGCACCACATATAAATCATGTAGTAAGTAGTAAGCCCCGATAATCAATCACTTTCGAATTCTCCTTCTGCCGAGCAAGTATTCTCTGCTCCGCATCTCAAGCCTCTTCGCTCCCTACGGTCTCTTCCGGTCTTCTCGTTACTCCCGTGCCATACCGTCAACACATAGCTACGCAACAGCTCCAGTCTCACGGTACATCTTTGCGCGGTCTTCAGCCCAAGACGGAATTGGTAGAACATCTCTGGTGGCAGGTCAACCATCTCCAGAGTCGATGTTATCTCCTCGCGGCAAAGTTGGATCATTCTGACTGCTCCCGTGGGCCTCTTAGAGGTCTGCTTCATCCTCCGTCTTTCTCTTTCGCGGCTTCAGATCCAGCTGCAGGGCTTACTTCAACTCTTAGATTATCCTGCCTTGGAAAGCCAAACGTCACCCCTTTTCCGGTAAGCGACTACGGCGAGGCTCTTTAAGCGAATACGCCAAATTTATATCTAGTTTGGAGCGTTAAAACCCCCTCAGTGCTGAAATCAGGAGCACTTGACGGTACCTTCTCTAAAGCCCTTCAGAGACCATCCTATTGTTCAAAATGATAAAGCGAGAAGATCCGGGCGGTACTGGCCAAGTCGCGGTCTATCGGTCGTTTTACCGCGTCCAATGGTCCTTCAGTTCCTCTATCACCAACCACCGTTTCCGCAGGGCCGATCTCAAACCCAAGTCGCTCATTAAACGAGCGTTGTTCGGTTCCTCCAACTCAGATACCAAGTCGATTTCTGGGTTGCTCCCACTGCTGCGTGCGACGAGTCAATTTAAGGTAACCTGTACTTTCTTCGTAGAAATGAAATCGTATCAGGGTGCATGCGGGTGATCTTGTGGGTTGACGGTTGAGGTACTGCTATCAGCTACCATGGGAGCCGTAAACCTGTCCAAGTCGATCCCGCGTAGTTACGGTGAGTTTTTACCAATGATTAGACGCATAGGATGATTGGATGACCTACATGATTTATAATTCATGATTTATATGTGGACAACATATAAATCAGTGCAGAGATAAATCAGGTAGCTTTAACAAAACCCACAAATAAATTCACTTCCAAATATTCCTTCTCCTACACAAGTCTTCTTCACTTCGCAGTGTAGACTTCTTTCGTGCCTTTCAAGCTTCGTTCTCTCGCCCAGTGCTCTTCAGACTTTAACAGGTTATGACCCCAAGCACGATGTCCTCTGCTCAAGATTCCGCCACCAATATCTCTATCGATAGATTCGATGGAGACAACGCGACGTGGAGCCGCTACATGCGTGGCGTGTTCCTGACCAAGTCGACGTGGCACGTGGTCAACCGGGGGACCACCCCCACCTTCGCCGATCCTCGCGCCAGTGATGAGTACGTCAAGACGAACAACATTGCGTTCGGCTTGATGTTACTTTATATGAGCGCGGACTATCATCACGTGGTTGATGACTGCGACGAGGCAAGGGTTGCGTGGACACGGTTGAAGACTCTCTACGGCGGATCGCAGAAGGCGGGACGCATCTACTTGAAGCGCCAGCTGTTCAAATGGAGATGGCGGAAGGCGGCAATGTGATGCATCATTGCAATGAAGTTCTCAACATCAGCGCCAAGCTCAGCAGCATCGGCGCCAAGATGGAGCATGAGGACGTGGCGATCTGCTTGTTGTGCGGCCTCCCCAAGAGCTACGAGAACGTCGTGCTGAACTTGGAGATGAGCAGCGCGGAACTGCGGACGCAAGACGTCGTGAAAGTGCTGACGAATGAGCACATCAAGAGACAAGGGAAAAAGACGACATCGGTGAAAACTGAAGAAGCGCCCAAGTGTTGACGGTCATCGGTTTCTACCAGTATTGGTAACCGTGACCGATCCAATCCGAACCGCCTGTTCAGCTTAGTATTTACGACGTAGTTCTTGCGGTAATTACCATAGTTGGTTAGACGCGTAGGATGATGAGACGCTTCACATGATTTATATGTACACCACATATAAATCATGTAGTAAGTAGTAAGCCTCGATAATCAATCACTTTCGAATCTTCCAACTATTGGGCAAGTGTTTTCTGCTCTACTCTCTTCGGTCTCTCCGCTCCGTTCGCTCCGCTTTCCTCGCTCCGATCTACAATGCAACAGGTTATGAGCCCAAGCGCCATGTCGTCCACCAGCAACGCCTCCATTGACAAGTTCAACGGAGACAATTACGCAACGTGGAGCCGGTACATGCGCGGTGTGTTTTTGACGAAGTCCGTCTGGCACGTCGTCAACCGTGAAGTGACTCCGACTTTCACCGACCCGCGAGCGTCCGATGACTACGTCAAGGCAAGCAACGTCGCGTTTGGTATGATGCTGCTGCACATGAACGCGGACTACCATCATGTGCTGGACAACTGCGAGGAAGCCTGGGTTGCGTGGACAAGTCTGAAGACGCTGTACGGTGGGTCGCAGAAGGCAGGACGCATCTACCTCAAGCGACAACTTTTCAGTATCAAGATGGCTGAAGGCGCGAACGTCATGCATCACTGCAACGAGGTCCTCAACATCTCCGCCAAGCTTAGCGGCATCGGTGCGAAGATGGAAGACGAAGACGTTGCAATTTGTCTGCTACTCAGTCTTCCGAAGAGCTACGAAAATGTGGTGCTCAACATGAGCAGCACCGAGCTTCGCACTCAAGATGTGGTGAGAGTCCTGACGAATGAGCATGCCAAGCGTCAAGGAGAAAAAGGGACAACGACAGCGACTACGGTGAAGGCTGAAGATGCAAGCAAGGCATTCAGCGCCGAGCGTGAGCCCTACCAATGCACGTATTGTGGCAAGGTGGGACACACGGTGGATCGTTGCTGGACAAAGCAGAAGAACGAAGGTCGGGGAGCCCGACGTGGCGGCAATGGTCGTGGACGCGGGGCTAACAATGTCAAGTGGGGACATCATGATGAAGGCAATGGCTACGATCGAGTGGCGTTTGCAGTCTCGTTCGAATGTGGAGTTTCGACGAGCAAGGACGTGTCTGGAATGTGGGCCGTCGACAGTGGTGCAACGCACCACATTTGCCACGACAAGACCAAGTTCGCAAGTTTGGCAGAGCGCAATGAGGGCGAACTCTTGGTGGCTGATGGCAACAAGGTGGCCATCAAGGGTGTGGGAACCATCATGGAAAAGGTGGTTCTGTCCAACGGTGAAGAGCGTGAGATCGAAATCAAGAACGCGCTATATGTTCCAAGTATGAGCAAGAACCTGCTCTCGGTGCCACAGGTTAACAGCCATGGCAAGTTTCAAGTCGTGTTTGACGGGTCCAAGATGTATGTGACTCTCAAGAACTCACAGCAAGTGGTGGCGACAGCGGATCTCGTGGATGGACTCTACTGGCTTCGGACGACTCAACGATCAGCGAATGTGACAACAAGTGGAACCAGTTGTGCTGTTGACGGTCATCGGTTTTCTACCAGTATTGGTAACCGTGACCGGTCCAATCCGAACCGCCTGTTCAGCTTAGTATTTACGACGTAGTTTTTACGGTAATTACCATAGTTGATTAGACGCGTAGGATGATGAGACGCTTCACATGATTTATATGTACACCACATATAAATCATGTAGTAAGTAGTAAGCCTCGATAATCAATCACTTTCGAATCTTCCAACTATTGGGCAAGTGTTTTCTGCTCTACTCTCTTCGGTCTCTCCGCTCCGTTCGCTCCGCTTTCCTCGCTCCGATCTACAATGCAACAGGTTATGAGCCCAAGCGCCATGTCGTCCACCAGCAACGCCTCCATTGACAAGTTCAACGGAGACAATTACGCAACGTGGAGCCGGTACATGCGCGGTGTGTTTTTGACGAAGTCCGTCTGGCACGTCGTCAACCGTGAAGTGACTCCGACTTTCACCGACCCGCGAGCGTCCGATGACTACGTCAAGGCAAGCAACGTCGCGTTTGGTATGATGCTGCTGCACATGAACGCGTACTACCATCATGTGCTGGACAACTGCGAGGAAGCCTGGGTTGCGTGGACAAGTCTGAAGACGCTGTACGGTGGGTCGCAGAAGGCAGGACGCATCTACCTCAAGCGACAACTTTTCAGTATCAAGATGGCTGAAGGCGCGAACGTCATGCATCACTGCAACGAGGTCCTCAACATCTCCGCCAAGCTTAGCGGCATCGGTGCGAAGATGGAAGACGAAGACGTTGCAATTTGTCTGCTACTCAGTCTTCCGAAGAGCTACGAAAATGTGGTGCTCAACATGAGCAGCACCGAGCTTCGCACTCAAGATGTGGTGAGAGTCCTGACGAATGAGCATGCCAAGCGTCAAGGAGAAAAAGGGACAACGACAGCGACTACGATGAAGGCTGAAGATGCAAACAAGGCATTCAGCGCCGAGCGTGAGCCCTACCAATGCACGTATTGTGGCAAGGTGGGACACACGGTGGATCGTTGCTGGACAAAGCAGAAGAACGAAGGTCGGGGAGCCCGACGTGGCGGCAATGGTCGTGGACGCGGGGCTAACAATGTCAAGTGGGGACATCATGATGAAGGCAATGGCTACGATCGAGTGGCGTTTGCAGTCTCGTTCGAATGTGGAGTTTCGACGAGCAAGGACGTGTCTGGAATGTGGGCCGTCGACAGTGGTGCAACGCACCACATTTGCCACGACAAGACCAAGTTCGCAAGTTTGGCAGAGCGCAATGAGGGCGAACTCTTGGTGGCTGATGGCAACAAGGTGGCCATCAAGGGTGTGGGAACCATCATGGAAAAGGTGGTTCTGTTCAACGGTGAAGAGCGTGAGATCGAAATCAAGAACGCGCTATATGTTCCAAGTATGAGCAAGAACCTGCTCTCGGTGCCACAGGTTAACAGCCATGGCAAGTTTCAAGTCGTGTTTGACGGGTCCAAGATGTATGTGACTCTCAAGAACTCACAGCAAGTGGTGGCGACAGCGGATCTCGTGGATGGACTCTACTGGCTTTGGACGACTCAACGATCAGCGAATGTGACAACAAGTGGAACCAGTTGTGCTGTTGACGGTCATCGGTTTTCTACCAGTATTGGTAACCGTGACCGGTCCAATCCGAACCGCCTGTTCAGCTTAGTATTTACGACGTAGTTTTTACGGTAATTACCATAGTTGATTAGACGCGTAGGATGATGAGACGCTTCACATGATTTATATGTACACCACATATAAATCATGTAGTAAGTAGTAAGCCCCGATAATCAATCACTTTCGAATCTTCCAACTATTGGGCAAGTGTTTTCTGCTCTACTCTCTTCGGTCTCTCCGCTCCGTTCGCTCCGCTTTCCTCGCTCCGATCTACAATGCAACAGGTTATGAGCCCAAGCGCCATGTCGTCCACCAGCAACGCCTCCATTGACAAGTTCAACGGAGACAATTACGCAACGTGGAGCCGGTACATGCGCGGTGTGTTTTTGACGAAGTCCGTCTGGCACGTCGTCAACCGTGAAGTGACTCCGACTTTCACCGACCCGCGAGCGTCCGATGACTACGTCAAGGCAAGCAACGTCGCGTTTGGTATGATGCTGCTGCACATGAACGCGGACTACCATCATGTGCTGGACAACTGCGAGGAAGCCTGGGTTGCGTGGACAAGTCTGAAGACGCTGTACGGTGGGTCGCAGAAGGCAGGACGCATCTACCTCAAGCGACAACTTTTCAGTATCAAGATGGATGAAGGCGCGAACGTCATGCATCACTGCAACGAGGTCCTCAACATCTCCGCCAAGCTTAGCGGCATCGGTGCGAAGATGGAAGACGAAGACGTTGCAATTTGTCTGCTACTCAGTCTTCCGAAGAGCTACGAAAATGTGGTGCTCAACATGAGCAGCACCGAGCTTCGCACTCAAGACGTGGTGAGAGTCCTGACGAATGAGCATGCCAAGCGTCAAGGAGAAAAAGGGACAACGACAGCGACTGCGGTGAAGGCTGAAGATGCAAGCAAGGCATTCAGCGCCGAGCGTGAGCCCTACCAATGCACGTATTGTGGCAAGGTGGGACACACGGTGGATCGTTGCTGGACAAAGCAGAAGAACGAAGGTCGGGGAGCCCGACGCGGCGGCAATGGTCGTGGACGCGGGGCTAACAATGTCCAGTGGGGACATCATGATGAAGGCAATGGCTACGATCGAGTGGCGTTTGCAGTCTCGTTCGAATGTGGAGTTTCGACGAGCAAGGACGTGTCTGGAATGTGGGCCGTCGACAGTGGTGCAACGCACCACATTTGCCACGACAAGACCAAGTTCGCAAGTTTGGCAGAGCGCAATGAGGGCGAACTCTTGGTGGCTGATGGCAACAAGGTGGCCATCAAGGGTGTGGGAACCATCATGGAAAAGGTGGTTCTGTCCAACGGTGAAGAGCGTGAGATCGAAATCAAGAACGCGCTATATGTTCCAAGTATGAGCAAGAACCTGCTCTCGGTGCCACAGGTTAACAGCCATGGCAAGTTTCAAGTCGTGTTTGACGGGTCCAAGATGTATGTGACTCTCAAGAACTCACAGCAAGTGGTGGCGACAGCGGATCTCGTGGATGGACTCTACTGGCTTCGGACGACTCAACGATCAGCTAATGTGACAACAAGTGGAACCAGTTGTGCCGATCTACATGCGAGAATGGGTCATGCTCCAGTCGATGTACTTCGCAAGATGATCGCGACCAACATGATCAAGGATGTGCGAGTCCCTCTCAAGTCGGGTGGAGCAACTACATGTCGAGGATGTCAACAAGGGAAAATGGTCCAAAAACCATTTCCAAGCAACCGAGACAAGCGCAGCTACGATACGTTTGAGCTACTTCATCTGGACATCTGCGGGCCCATGGAAAAGGATTCGCTCGGTGGCAGCAAATATTTGCTGCTGATCATCGACGAAGCCAGTGGATGCATGAAGGGCTTTTGTCTACGAGTGAAGTCCGAGAGTGAAGACTACATCCGGAAATATACCACCATGGTACAGACGCAATTCTGTAAGAAGGTCAAGTTCGTGCGACACGACGGAGCTTGCGAGTTTGCAACCAACTTGCTTCAACTGTTCTACGAAGACGAAGGCACTGAACAGCAGACAACGGTGCCGTATGCACATCAAACAAACGGAACAGCAGAGCGTGCCATTAGGACTATTGTCACGATCGGCCGCAGCATGCTTCATCATGCCAAACTGGACAAGTGTTTCTGGGCCGAAGCAGCGATGACGGCGATCTACGTCAAGAATCGACTGCCGTCACCTAAAGTCATGCACAAGACCCCGTTTGAGATCGTCTACAACTTGAAACCAAGCGTCAAGCACATGCGAACATTCGGGTGTCAGACATACATACTGACGCCTAAAGAGAATCGACTCAAGTGGGATCCAAAGGCTCGCGCTGGCATATTCGTGGGCTACGAAGAAGTTTCGAAGGCATATCGTGTTTATGACATCGAGGCGGGGCAGGTGGTTATCAGCCGCGATGTCAACTTCGACGAGTCCACCTTTGGACTTCAACTGCCGATCACTGATGAAGATGTCGATGACCTGGACTTCGAATTGCTGGATCTTGATGACAAAGAGCTGCGTCAAATGGAGTACAAGCAAACAGGCAAGCGCAAGAACCGACTCAATGATGAAGATACAGCAGCTCCACGACCGCGTGCAGTGCGTCAACGACCAGGACTAGAAGAGTCAAGCGCGCCGGAAAACAACTCGTCACGCCAAAAAGAAGACGAAGAAACGAAGGATTCTGGTGACTCAACACCGCCCGTGTTTTGGCGTGCGAGTGCAAATGCCGTTGAAGCAGCAGTGGACTTATCAGAGCCCTCAACATTTGAAGCAGCAGTAAGCGGCCCTGACCAAGTGCACTGGAGAAAAGCAATTCATGCAGAGCTCGAGTCAATGCGACTTCGCGGTGTGTTTCGTGCAGCCAAGCTGCCCAACGGACAACGCGCCATTGGCACAAAATGGGTGTTCAAGATCAAGCGCAAGGCGAGTGGGTCAATCGAGAAGTACAAGGCACGACTTGTGGCCAAGGGTTTCCGCCAAAAGTATGGCATCGACTACACGGAGACGTTTTCGCCTGTGGTCAAGTATGTGACGCTGCGAATGGTGATCGCAATTTTCAAGCATTTTGGATGGCCCATCGACCAGCTTGATGTGGTGACAGCTTTCCTGTATGGCGTCATGAAGGAACAAGTGTTCTGCGTGATTTCTGAAGGCGTCGAACTTGACAGTACGTTCGACTGCCTGGAATTGGTGAAGTCAATTTACGGCCTCAAGCAAGCGTCGCGAGTGTGGAACGAGACGTTCGACGAGTATGTGTGCTCCATCGGATTTCAAGTATCGGACTTCGACCCATGTCTCTACATCAAGACTTCGGACGGCCATTGCGTGTTTATACTGGTCTACGTGGACGACGTCTTGATGACTGGAAGCTCGCTCGAGCTGATTGCACAAACCAAGAACGACCTGAAGACGCGGTTCGAGATGACGGACAGCGGCAAGTGTGCGTTTGTTCTTGGGATCGAGCTTTTGGACGGTGAAGATGGCAGTGTGACACTATGTCAGCGTCGGTATGTCGATGATATCCTCAAGCGCTTTGGCATGGATGATTGCAAGGCAGTCGCAAGTCCAGTCGACATGAGCTCTCGACTTGTTTCAAGTGATGCAACTACAAGGTCGATGCTCCTTTTCGCGAAGCTGTTGGTGCGTTGATGCACCTGACCACTGCAACGCGTCCGGACATTGCGTTTGCTGTGGGCTATGTGTCGCGGTTCATGGAAAATCCCCAAGAAGAACACTGGGTTGCAGTTAAGCGTATCTTTCGCTACCTACAAGGCACCAAGACGCATGGAATTTGCTACAAGCCAAGTGCAAGGATCGACTTCCGTGGATATTCGGATGCGGATTGGGCTGGTGATCTTACCGACCGCAAGTCAACATCGGGGTACACGTTCATGCTACTCGGTGCGCCAGTGGGTTGGGGCAGCAAGAAGCAGCCAAGTGTTTCGTTGTCCACGACTGAAGCTGAATACATCGCACTCAGCTTGGCGATTCAAGAGGGCAAGTGGATTCATCGTCTGCATTGTGAGATCGTGATGGCTGCCAATGAAGAAGGACCGGAACTCATGATTCATGAAGACAATCAGTCATGTATCAAGATGACGAAGAACCCAGTCAACCACGGCCGTGCCAAGCACATTGATATCAAGAACCCAGTCAACCACGGCCGTGCCAAGCACATTGATATCAAGCAAGTTCCAATCACATCCGTGATGAGGTCAAGCGCGGTGAAGTGAAGCTCAAGTACTGTGAAACTGCGGTGATGTTAGCGGACATCATGACGAAGGGACTTCATGGACCACGCCACAAGGAGATGACGACGGCTCTCGGGATTCGTGAGCATTCGGATTGAGGGGGCGTGTTGACGGTCATCGGTTTTCTACCAGTATTGGTAACCGTGACCGTTCCAATCCGAACCGCCTGTTCAGCTTAGTATTTACGACGTAGTTCTTACGGTAATTACCATAGTTGATTAGACGCGTAGGATGATGAGACGCTTCACATGATTTATATGTACACCACATATAAATCATGTAGTAAGTAGTAAGCCCCGATAATCAATCACTTTCGAATCTTCCAACTATTGGGCAAGTGTTTTCTGCTCTACTCTCTTCGGTCTCTCCGCTCCGTTCGCTCCGCTTTCCTCGCTCCGATCTACAATGCAACACCAAGGCCTTCAGTACCGAGCGTGAGGTTCGTTAGTGTACGTTCTGCGGAAAATTGGGGCACACAATGGAAAAGTGCTGGACCAAGCAGAAGGAAGACAATCGGGGAGCTCGACGCGGCGGCAATGCACGTGGACGCGGAGCGAATCAAGTTCAGTGGAAAGGCTACAACGGCAACAGCAACTGTGGCTATGATCGAGTGGCGTTTGCTCTTTCGCTGGAATGCGGACTTTCAACGACTGTTGCATTGTAGATCGGAGCGAGGAAAGCGGAGCGAACGGAGCGGAGAGACCGAAGAGAGTAGAGCAGAAAACACTTGCCCAATAGTTGGAAGATTCAAAAGTGATTGATTATCGGGGCTTACTACTTACTACATGATTTATATGTGGTGTACATATAAATCATGTGAAGCGTCTCATCATCCTACGCGTCTAATCAACTATGGTAATTACCGTAAGAACTACGTCGTAAATACTAAGCTGAACAGGCGGTTCGGATTGGATCGGTCACGGTTACCAATACTGGTAGAAAACCGATGACCGTCAACACGCCCCCTCAATCCGAATGCTCACGAATCCCGAGAGCCGTCGTCATCTCCTTGTGGCGTGGTCCATGAAGTCCCTTCGTCATGATGTCCGCTAACATCACCGCAGTTTCACAGTACTTGAGCTTCACTTCACCGCGCTTGACCTCATCACGGATGTGATGGTACTTGATATCAATGTGCTTGGCACGGCCGTGGTTGACTGGGTTCTTCGTCATCTTGATACATGACTGATTGTCTTCATGAATCATGAGTTCCGGTCCTTCTTCATTGGCAGCCATCACGATCTCACAAAGCAGACGATGAATCCACTTGCCCTCTTGAATCGCCAAGCTGAGTGCGATGTATTCAGCTTCAGTCGTGGACAACGAAACACTTGGCTGCTTCTTGCTGCCCCAACTCACTGGCGCACCGAGTAGCATGAACGTGTACCCCGATGTTGACTTGCGGTCGGTAAGATCACCAGCCCAATCCGCATCCGAATATCCACGGAAGTCGATCCTTGCACTTGGCTTGTAGCAAATTCCATGCGTCTTGGTGCCTTGTAGGTAGCGAAAGATACGCTTAACTGCAACCCAGTGTTCTTCTTGGGGATTTTCCATGAACCGCGACACATAGCCCACAGCAAACGCAATGTCCGGACGCGTTGCAGTGGTCAGGTGCATCAACGCACCAACAGCTTCGCGAAAAGGAGCATCGACCTTGGTAGTTGCATCACTTGAAACAAGTCGAGAGCTCATGTCGACTGGACTTGCGACTGCCTTGCAATCATCCATGCCAAAGCGCTTGAGGATATCATCGACATACCGACGCTGACATAGTGTCACACTGCCATCTTCACCGTCCAAAAGCTCGATCCCAAGAACAAACGCACACTTGCCGCTGTCCGTCATCTCGAACCGCGTCTTCAGGTCGTTCTTGGTTTGTGCAATCAGCTCGAGCGAGCTTCCAGTCATCAAGACGTCGTCCACGTAGACCAGTATAAACACGCAATGGCCGTCCGAAGTCTTGATGTAGAGACATGGGTCGAAGTCCGATACTTGAAATCCGATGGAGCACACATACTCGTCGAACGTCTCGTTCCACACTCGCGACGCTTGCTTGAGGCCGTAAATTGACTTCACCAATTCCAGGCAGTCGAACGTACTGTCAAGTTCGACGCCTTCAGGAATCACGCAGAACACTTGTTCCTTCATGACGCCATACAGGAAAGCTGTCACCACATCAAGCTGGTCGATGGGCCATCCAAAATGCTTGGAAATTGCGATCACCATTCGCAGCGTCACATACTTGACCACAGGCGAAAACGTCTCCGTGTAATCGATGCCATACTTTTGGCGGAAACCCTTGGCCACAAGTCGTGCCTTGTACTTCTCGATTGACCCATCCGCCTTGCGCTTGATCTTGAACACCCATTTTGTGCCAATGGCGCGTTGTCCGTTGGGCAGCTTGGCTGCACGAAACACACCGCGAAGTCGCATTGACTCGAGCTCTGCATGAATTGCTTTTCTCCAGTGCACTTGGTCAGGGCCGCTTACTGCTGCTTCAAATGTTGAGGGCTCTGATAAGTCCACTGCTGCTTCAACGGCATTTGCACTCGCACGCCAAAACACAGGCGGTGTTGAATCACCAGAATCCTTCGTTTCTTCGTCTTCTTTTGGCGTGACGAGTTGTTTTCCGGCGCGCTTGACTCTTCTAGTCCTGGTCGTTGACGCACTGCACGCGGTCGTGGAGCTGCTGTATCTTCATCATTGAGTCGGTTCTTGCGCTTGCCTGTTTGCTTGTACTCCATTTGACGCAGCTCTTCGTCATCAAGATCCAGCAATTCGAAGTCCAGGTCATCGACATCTTCATCAGTGATCGGCAGTTGAAGTCCAAAGGTGGACTCGTCGAAGTTGACATCGCGGCTGATAACCACCTGCCCCGCCTCGATGTCATAAACACGATATGCCTTCGAAACTTCTTCGTAGCCCACGAATATGCCAGCGCGAGCCTTTGGATCCCACTTGAGTCGATTCTCTTTAGGCGTCAGTATGTATGTCTGACACCCGAATGTTCGCATGTGCTTGACGCTTGGTTTCAAGTTGTAGACGATCTCAAACAGGGTCTTGTGCACGACTTTAGGTGACGGCAGTCGATTCTTGACGTAGATCGCCGTCATCGCTGCTTCGGCCCAGAAACACTTGTCCAGTTTGGCATGATGAAGCATGCTGCGGCCGATCGTGACAATAGTCCTAATGGCACGCTCTGCTGTTCCGTTTGTTTGATGTGCATACGGCACCGTTGTCTGCTGTTCAATGCCTTCGTCTTCGTAGAACAGTTGAAGCGAGTTGGTTGCAAACTCGCGAGCTCCGTCGTGTCGCACGAACTTGACCTTCTTACAGAATTGCGTCTGTACCATGGTGGTATATTTCCGGATGTAGTCTTCACTCTCGGACTTCACTCGTAGACAAAAGCCCTTCATGCATCCACTGGCTTCGTCGATGATCAGCAGCAAATATTTGCTGCCACCGAGCGAATCCTTTTCCATGGGCCCGCAGATGTCCAGATGAAGTAGCTCAAACGTATCGTAGCTGCGCTTGTCTCGGTTGCTTGGAAATGGTTTTTGGACCATTTTCCCTTGTTGACATCCTCGACATGTAGTTGCTCCACCCGACTTGAGAGGGACTCGCACATCCTTGATCATGTTGGTCGCGATCATCTTGCGAAGTACATCGACTGGAGCATGACCCATTCTCGCATGTAGATCGGCACAACTGGTTCCACTTGTCGTCACATTCGCTGATCGTTGAGTCGTCCGAAGCCAGTAGAGTCCATCCACGAGATCCGCTGTCGCCACCACTTGCTGTGAGTTCTTGAGAGTCACATACATCTTGGACCCGTCAAACACGACTTGAAACTTGCCATGGCTGTTAATCTGTGGCACCGAGAGCAGGTTCTTGCTCATACTTGGAACATATAGCGCGTTCTTGATTTCGATCTCACGCTCTTCACCGTTGGACAGAACCACCTTTTCCATGATGGTTCCCACACCCTTGATGGCCACCTTGTTGCCATCAGCCACCAAGAGTTCGCCCTCATTGCGCTCTGCCAAACTTGCGAACTTGGTCTTGTCGTGGCAAATGTGGTGCGTTGCACCACTGTCGACGGCCCACATTCCAGACACGTCCTTGCTCGTCGAAACTCCACATTCGAACGAGACTGCAAACGCCACTCGATCGTAGCCATTGCCTTCATCATGATGTCCCCACTGGACATTGTTAGCCCCGCGTCCACGACCATTGCCGCCACGTCGGGCTCCCCGACCTTCGTTCTTCTGCGTGGTCCAGCAACGATCCACCGTGTGTCCCACCTTGCCACAATGCGTGCATTGGTAGGGCTCACGCTCGGCGCTGAATGCCTTGCTTGCATCTTCAGCCTTCACCGCAGTCGCTGTCGTTGTCCCTTTTTCTCCTTGACGCTTGGCATGCTCATTCGTCAGGACTCTCACCACATCTTGAGTGCGAAGCTCGGTGCTGCTCATGTTGAGCACCACATTTTCGTAGCTCTTCGGAAGACTGAGTAGCAGACAAATTGCAACGTCTTCGTCTTCCATCTTCGCACCGATGCCGCTAAGCTTGGCGGAGATGTTGAGGACCTCGTTGCAGTGATGCATGACGTTCGCGCCTTCAGCCATCTTGATACTGAAAAGTTGTCGCTTGAGGTAGATGCGTCCTGCCTTCTGCGACCCACCGTACAGCGTCTTCAGACTTGTCCACGCAACCCAGGCTTCCTCGCAGTTGTCCAGCACATGATGGTAGTCCGCGTTCATGTGCAGCAGCACCATACCAAACGCGACGTTGCTTGCCTTGACGTAGTCATCGGACGCTCGCGGGTCGGTGAAAGTCGGAGTCACTTCACGGTTGACGACGTGCCAGACGGACTTCGTCAAAAACACACCGCGCATGTACCGGCTCCACGTTGCGTAATTGTCTCCGTTGAACTTGTCAATGGAGGCGTTGCTGGTGGACGACATGGCGCTTGGGCTCATAACCTGTTGCATTGTAGATCGGAGCGAGGAAAGCGGAGCGAACGGAGCGGAGAGACCGAAGAGAGTAGAGCAGAAAACACTTGCCCAATAGTTGGAAGATTCGAAAGTGATTGATTATCGGGGCTTACTACTTACTACATGATTTATATGTGGTGTACATATAAATCATGTGAAGCGTCTCATCATCCTACGCGTCTAATCAACTATGGTAATTACCGTAAGAGCTACGTCGTAAATACTAAGCTGAACAGGCGGTTCGGATTGGATCGGTCACGGTTACCAATACTGGTAGAAACCGATGACCGTCAACAACGACCAAGAGCATGTCTGGAATGTGGGCGATTGACAGCAGTGCAACACATCACATCTGCTATGACAAGTCCAAGTTCGATGTTCTGGACGAGCGCAATGAAGGCGAAGTGTTGGTTGCAGATGGGAACAAGGCTGCGATCAACGGTGTCGGGACAATCATCGAAAAGGTGACCCTGTCCGACGGTGAAGAGCGCGAAGTCGAGATCAAAAACGCGCTTTACGTCCCAAGCATGAACAAAAACTTGCTTTCGATACCACAAATCAACAAAAGCGGCAAGTATCAAGTGGTGCTTGATGGTGACGAGATGAAGATTTCGCACAAAGGCTCTAAGCAAGTAATAGCGATGGCTGATCTTGTGGATGGCCTCTACTGGCTTCGTACATCCCAACGATCGGTGAATGCGGCTTTAGGACCAAGAGTCGAAAACCTTCATGCGCGTATGGGCCACGCACCGGTTGATGTCTTGTGCAGAATGGTCTCCAAGGGCATGATCAAGGATGCCAAGATGCCAGCAAAATTGAGCGGATCAAGCGTGTGTCAAGGTTGTCTAGAAGGAAAAATGGTTCAACGACCGTTCCCGAGCAATCCAAACAATCACCACTACGATCCGTTTGAGCTTCTACACATCGACACTTGTGGTCCAATGGAAGTCGACTCGCTAGGTGGAAGCAAGTACTTGCTACAGATCGTCGATGAAGGCAGCGGATGTATGAAGGGTTTCAGTCTGCGCGCCAAATCCGACAGCGAAGAGTGCATCAAGAAGTACATCATGGCAGTGTTGCATTGTAGATCAGAGCGAGGAAAGCGGAGCGAACGGAGCGGAGAGACCGAAGAGAGTAGAGCAGAAAACACTTGCCCAATAGTTGGAAGGATCGAAAGTGATTGATTATCGGGGCTTACTACTTACTACATGATTTATATGTGGTGTACATATAAAGCATGTGAAGCGTCTCATCATCCTACGCGTCTAATCAACTATGGTAATTACCGTAAGAACTACGTCGTAAATACTAAGCTGAACAGGCGGTTCGGATTGGAACGGTCACGGTTACCAATACTGGTAGAAAACCGATGACCGTCAACACGCCCCCTCAATCCGAATGCTCACGAATCCCGAGAGCCGTCGTCATCTCCTTGTGGCGTGGTCCATGAAGTCCCTTCGTCATGATGTCCGCTAACATCACCGCAGTTTCACAGTACTTGAGCTTCACTTCACCGCGCTTGACCTCATCACGGATGTGATGGTACTTGATATCAATGTGCTTGGCACGGCCGTGGTTGACTGGGTTCTTCGTCATCTTGATACATGACTGATTGTCTTCATGAATCATGAGTTCCGGTCCTTCTTCATTGGCAGCCATCACGATCTCACAAAGCAGACGATGAATCCACTTGCCCTCTTGAATCGCCAAGCTGAGTGCGATGTATTCAGCTTCAGTCGTGGACAACGAAACACTTGGCTGCTTCTTGCTGCCCCAACTCACTGGCGCACCGAGTAGCATGAACGTGTACCCCGATGTTGACTTGCGGTCGGTAAGATCACCAGCCCAATCCGCATCCGAATATCCACGGAAGTCGATCCTTGCACTTGGCTTGTAGCAAATTCCATGCGTCTTGGTGCCTTGTAGGTAGCGAAAGATACGCTTAACTGCAACCCAGTGTTCTTCTTGGGGATTTTCCATGAACCGCGACACATAGCCCACAGCAAACGCAATGTCCGGACGCGTTGCAGTGGTCAGGTGCATCAACGCACCAACAGCTTCGCGAAAAGGAGCATCGACCTTGTAGTTGCATCACTTGAAACAAGTCGAGAGCTCATGTCGACTGGACTTGCGACTGCCTTGCAATCATCCATGCCAAAGCGCTTGAGGATATCATCGACATACCGACGCTGACATAGTGTCACACTGCCATCTTCACCGTCCAAAAGCTCGATCCCAAGAACAAACGCACACTTGCCGCTGTCCGTCATCTCGAACCGCGTCTTCAGGTCGTTCTTGGTTTGTGCAATCAGCTCGAGCGAGCTTCCAGTCATCAAGACGTCGTCCACGTAGACCAGTATAAACACGCAATGGCCGTCCGAAGTCTTGATGTAGAGACATGGGTCGAAGTCCGATACTTGAAATCCGATGGAGCACACATACTCGTCGAACGTCTCGTTCCACACTCGCGACGCTTGCTTGAGGCCGTAAATTGACTTCACCAATTCCAGGCAGTCGAACGTACTGTCAAGTTCGACGCCTTCAGAAATCACGCAGAACACTTGTTCCTTCATGACGCCATACAGGAAAGCTGTCACCACATCAAGCTGGTCGAAGGGCCATCCAAAATGCTTGGAAATTGCGATCACCATTCGCAGCGTCACATACTTGACCACAGGCGAAAACGTCTCCGTGTAGTCGATGCCATACTTTTCGCGGAAACCCTTGGCCACAAGTCGTGCCTTGTACTTCTCGATTGACCCATCCTCCTTGCGCTTGATCTTGAACACCCATTTTGTGCCAATGGCGCGTTGTCCGTTGGGCATCTTGGCTGCACGAAACACACCGCGAAGTCGCATTGACTCGAGCTCTGCATGAATTGCTTTTCTCCAGTGCACTTGGTCAGGGCCGCTTACTGCTGCTTCAAATGTTGAGGGCTCTGATAAGTCCACTGCTGTTTCAACAGAATTTGCACTCGCACGCCAAAACACAGGCGGTGTTGAATCACCAGAATCCTTCGTTTCTTCGTCTTCTTTTTGGCGTGACGAGTTGTTTTCCGGCGCGCTTGACTCTTCTAGTCCTGGTCGTTGACGCACTGCACGCGGTCGTGGAGCTGCTGTATCTTCATCATTGAGTCGGTTCTTGCGCTTGCCAGTTTGCTGATACTCCATTTGACGCAGCTCTTCGTCATCAAGATCCAGCAATTCGAAGTCCAGGTCATCGACATCTTCAACAGTGATCGGCAGTTGAAGTCCAAAGCTTGACTCGTTGAAGTTGACATCCCGACTGACAACAACCTGACCCGCCTCAATGTCAAATACACGATATGCCTTGGACACTTCTTCGTAGCCCACGAATATGCCAGCGCGAGCCTTTGGATCTCACTTGAGTCGATTCTCTTTAGGCGTCAGTATGTATGTCTGACACCCGAATGTTCGCATGTGCTTGACGCTTGGTTTCAAGTTGTACACGATCTCAAACGGGGTCTTGTGCACAACTTTGGATGACGGTAGGCGATTCTTGATGTAGATGGCCGTCATTGGTGCTTCAGCCCAGAAGCACTTGTCCAACTTGGCACGGTGAAGTATGCTGCGGCCGATCGTGACAATAGTTCTAATGGCACGCTCTGCTGTTCCGTTTGTTTGATGTGCATACGGCACCGTTGTCTGCTATTCAATGCCTTCGTCTTCGTAGAACAGTTGAAGCAAGTTGGTTGCAAACTCGCAAGCTCCGTCGTGTCGCACGAACTTGACCTTCTTACAGAATTGCGTCTGTACCATGGTGATATATTTCCGGATGTAGTCTTCACTCTCGGACTTCACTCGTAGACAAAAGCCCTTCATGCATCCACTGGCTTCGTCGATGATCAGCAGCAAATATTTGCTGCCACCGAGCGAATCCTTTTCCATGGGCCCGCAGATGTCCAGATGAAGTAGCTCAAACGTATCGTAGCTGCGCTTGTCTCGGTTGCTTGGAAATGGTTTTTGGACCATTTTCCCTTGTTGACATCCTCGACATGTAGTTGCTCCACCCGACTTGAGAGGGACTCGCACATCCTTGATCATGTTGGTCGCGATCATCTTGCGAAGTACATCGACTGGAGCATGACCCATTCTCGCATGTAGATCGACACAACTGGTTCCACTTGTTGTCACATTCGCTGATCGTTGAGTCGTCCGAAGCCAGTAGAGTCCATCCACGAGATCCGCTGTCGCCACCACTTGCTGTGAGTTCTTGAGAGTCACATACATCTTGGACCCGTCAAACACGACTTGAAACTTGCCATGGCTGTTAATCTGTGGCACCGAGAGCAGGTTCTTGCTCATACTTGGAACATATAGCGCGTTCTTGATTTCGATCTCACGCTCTTCACCGTTGGGCAGAACCACCTTTTCCATGATGGTTCCCACACCCTTGATGGCCACCTTGTTGCCATCAGCCACCAAGAGTTCGCCCTCATTGCGCTCTGCCAAACTTGCGAACTTGGTCTTGTCGTGGCAAATGTGGTGCGTTGCACCACTGTCGACGGCCCACATTCCAGACACGTCCTTGCTCGTCGAAACTCCACATTCGAACGAGACTGCAAACGCCACTCGATCGTAGCCATTGCCTTCATCATGATGTCCCCACTGGACATTGTTTGACCCGCGTCGACGACCATTGCCGCCGCGTCGGGCTCCCCGACCTTCGTTCTTCTGCTTTGTCTAGCATCGATCCACCGTGTGTCCCACCTTGCCACAATACGTGCATTGGTAGGGCTCACGCTCGGCGCTGAATGCCTTGCTTGCATCTTCAGCCTTCACCGTAGTCGCTGTCGTTGTCCCTTTTTCTCCTTGACGCTTGGCATGCTCATTCGTCAGGACTCTCACCACATCTTGAGTGCGAAGCTCGGTGCTGCTCATGTTGAGCACCACATTTTCGTAGCTCTTCGGAAGACTGAGTAGCAGACAAATTGCAACGTCTTCGTCTTCCATCTTCGCACCGATGCCGCTAAGCTTGGCGGAGATGTTGAGGACCTCGTTGCAGTGATGCATGACGTTCGCGCCTTCATCCATCTTGATACTGAAAAGTTGTCGCTTGAGGTAGATGCGTCCTGCCTTCTGCGACCCACCGTACAGCGTCTTCAGACTTGTCCACGCAACCCAGGCTTCCTCGCAGTTGTCCAGCACATGATGGTAGTCCGCGTTCATGTGCAGCAGCATCATACCAAACGCGACGTTGCTTGCCTTGACGTAGTCATCGGACGCTCGCGGGTCGGTGAAAGTCGGAGTCACTTCACGGTTGACGACGTGCCAGACGGACTTTGTCAAAAACACACCGCGCATGTACCGGCTCCACGTTGCGTAATTGTCTCCGTTGAACTTGTCAATGGAGGCGTTGCTGGTGGACGACATGGCGCTTGGGCTCATAACCTGTTGCATTGTAGATCGGAGCGAGGAAAGCGGAGCGAACGGAGCGGAGAGACCGAAGAGAGTAGAGCAGAAAACACTTGCCCAATAGTTGGAAGATTCGAAAGTGATTGATTATCGGGGCTTACTACTTACTACATGATTTATATGTGGTGTACATATAAATCATGTGAAGCGTCTCATCATCCTACGCGTCTAATCAACTATGGTAATTACCGTAAGATCTACGTCGTAAATACTAAGCTGAACAGGCGGTTCGGATTGGATCGGTCACGGTTACAAATACTGGTAGAAAACCGATGACCGTTAACATAGTTGATGTCGATGTGCTTGGCCCGACCATGGTTCACAGGATTCTTCGTCATCTTGATGCACGACTGGTTGTCTTCCATGATCTTGAGCTCGGATCCAGACTTGTCCTCTACGGCATCCAGAATCTCGCACAGCAATCGATGCACCCACTTGCCTTCTTGAATCGCCAGACTTAGTGCAATGTACTCAGCTTCACTTGTTGACAGCGACACACTTTACTGCTTTTTGCTTCCCCAGCTCACAGGAGCACCCATCAGGATAAACGCATATCCTGAAGTCGACTTGCGGTCTGCATGGTCGCCGGCCCAGTCTGCATCCGAGTAGCCACAGAATCTGTCTTGTCATCAGGCTTGAAACAGATACCGTGCGACTTAGTCCCTTGTAAGTATCGCAAAATGCGCTTGACCGCCATCCAATGCTCGACTTGGGGGTTCTCCATGAAGCGCGAAACGTAACTCACAGCAAAGGCAATGCCCGGTCGTGTCGCGGTCATCAAGTGCATCAGAGCGCCTACTGCTTCACGAAACGGGGCGTCGATTTTAGTTGCTGCGGTACTTGGTATGAGTCGAGAACTGATGTCTGTTGGGCTGGTGACGGCTTTGCAGTAGCTCATGCCAAAACGCTTGAGAACATCTTCCACGTAGCGTCGCTGGCACATCGTCACGCTACCGTTGTCGTTGTCCACCAGCTCGATGCTCAACACGAAGGCGCACTTCCCACTCTCTGTCATTTCGAAACCTGCCTTTAAGTCACTCTTGGTGCGCATAATCAGTTCGGTTGAGCTGCCAGTCACCAACACATCATCGACGTATACCAGCAAAAGCACGCACTCGCCACTTGTAATCTTGACATAAAGACACGGGTCAAAATCGGAGACTTGAAATCCAATGGAGCAGACGAATTCATGAAAAGTCTCGTTCCATACGCGCGATGTTTGTTTTAGTCCGTAGATCGCCTTGACCAATTCGAAGCAGTCAAAGTCTTCATCAACTTCGACTCCTTCTGGGATCGCGCAGAGTACCTTTTCCTTTATTTCTCCGTACAGGAAAGCTGTCACCACGTCCAGTTGTTCCAGTGTCCAGCCAAAGTACTTCGTGATTGAAACCACCATGCGCAGCGTCACGTACTTGACTACCGGCGAAAACGTTTCCGTGTAGTCGATGCCATATTTCTGCTTGAACCCTTTTGCCACGAGACGCGCTTTGTATTTCTCGATGGATCCATCAGCTTTCCGCTTGATCTTGAATACCCACTTGGTGCCAATGGTATGCTGTCCAGCTGGCAGTTTGGTCGCTCGAAACACGCCACGAAGTTTCATCGAGTCCAACTCGGCACAGCTTGCTTTACGCCAATGCACTTGATCTGCTCCATCAACCGCATCTTTAAACGTTGTCGGCTCAGACAAGTCAGTACCTTCGACTGCATTGGCACTCGCTCTCCAAAAGACTTGAGGTGTAGCATCCTCGTTATCTTCATCACTGACATTTCGCTCTTTGTCCAGATTTTCTCGAGCGCTTGATCGTCGCTTCGCTTGGTGCGATTCAGAGTCATCCGGGGCACTTGCTTCTTCTAACCCGGTTCCACGACGCTCAAGAAGTGTCCGTTGTAGAACTTGTTCTTGGCTGTTTGAACGGCTTTTGCGTTTTCCAGTTTGCTTGATCTGCATGGGGTGAGGCTCATCGCTGATGTTCATCGATTCGATATCCAGCGCAGTGTCATCAACAATTTCTTGTGGTAGCATCGGCGAGAACCCAAGCGTTGATTCGTCGAATGTGACATCGCGAGATATCACCACTTGGTCGGCTTCAATGTCGTAAACGCGATATGCCTTTGACACTTCTTCGTACCCCATGAATAGTCCTTCACGAGCCTTCGGATCCCATTTCGATCTCTTTTCCTTAGGAGTCAGCACAAACGTTCGGCAGCCGAAAACCCGCATGTGCTTCACACTTGGTCGAAATCCGCTGACGATCTCAAACGGGGTTTGATCTTGGCACTTGGGCGATGGTAGACAATTCTTGATGTAGATCGCCGTCATTGCTGCTTCAGCCCAAAAACACTTGTCCAGCTTGGCGTAGTGAAGCATGCTTCGCCCGATCGTCACAATGGTCCGAATTGCCCGTTCCGCCGTGCCGTTGGTCTGATGCGCATACGGAACGGTAACTTGCTGCTCGATTCCTTGATCATCGTAAATGCCTTGAGCGAATTCGCCGCAAATTCTCGTGCACCATCGTGTCGAACGAACTTGACCTTGTAGTCAAGCTGCGTCTGTACTGCCATGATGTACTTCTTGATGCACTCTTCGCTGTCGGACTTGGCGCGCAGACTGAAACCCTTCATACATCCGCTGCCTTCATCGACGATTAGTAGCAAGTACTTGCTTCCACCTAGCGAGTCGACTTCCATTGGACCACAAGTGTCGATGTGTAGAAGCTCAAACGGATCGTAGTGGCGCTTGTTTGGATTGCTCGGGAACGGTCGTTGAACCATTTTTCCTTCTAGACAACCTTGACACACGCTTGATCCGCTCAATTTTGCTGGCTTCTTGGCATCCATGCCCTTGGAGACCATTCTGCACAAGACATCAATCGGTGCGTGGCCCATACGCGCATGAAGGTTTTCGACTCTTGGTCCTGACGCATTTGTTAAGGCTGAAGAGCACTGGGCGAGAAAACGAAGCTTGAAAGGCTTGAAAGAAGTCTACACTGCGAATTGAGACGACTTGTGTAGGAGAAGAAATATTTGGAAGTGAATTTATTTGTGGGTTTTTGTTAAAGCTACCTGATTTATCTCTGCACTGATTTATATGTTGTCCACATATAAATCATGAATCATAAATCATGTAGGTCATCCAATCATCCTATGCGTCTAATCATTGGTAAAAACTCACCGTAGTTACGCGGGATCGACTTGGACAGGTTTACGGTTCCCATGGTAGCTGATAACAGTACCTCAACCGTCAACCCACAATACGCCCCCCTCAATGCGAACACGCGTGTATGCCGAGCGCTGCCGTCAAGTCCTTGTGACGCGGTCCTGTCAGTCCCTTCGTCATGATGTCCGCCAACATAATCTTAGTCTCGCAGTACTCCAACTTGACATCACCACGCTTGACCTCATCACGAATGTGATGGTACTTGATGTCGATGTGCTTGGCACGACCATGGTTGACAGGATTCTTCGTCATCTTGATGCACGACTGGTTGTCTTCCATGATCTTGAGCTCGGGTCCAGACTTGTCCTCTACGGCATCCAGAATCTCGCACAGCAATCGATGCACCCACTTGCCTTCTTGAATCGCCAGACTTAGTGCAATGTACTCAGCTTCACTTGTTGACAGCGACACACTTGACTGCTTTTTGCTTCCCCAGCTCACCGGAGCACCCATCAGGATAAACGCATATCCTGAAGTCGACTTGCGGTCTGCATGGTCGCCGGCCCAGTCTGCATCCGAGTAGCCACAGAATCTGTCTTGTCATCAGGCTTGAAACAGATACCGTGCGACTTAGTCCCTTGTAAGTATCGCAAAATGCGCTTGACCGCCATCCAATGCTCGACTTGGGGGTTCTCCATGAAGCGCGAAACGTAACTCACAGCAAAGGCAATGCCCGGTCGTGTCGCGGTCATCAAGTGCATCAGAGCGCCTACTGCTTCACGAAACGGGGCGTCGATTTTAGTTGCTGCGGTACTTGGTATGAGTCGAGAACTGATGTCTGTTGGGCTGGTGACGGCTTTGCAGTCGCTCATGCCAAAACGCTTGAGAACATCTTCCACGTAGCGTCGCTGGCACATCGTCACGCTACCGTTGTCGTTGTCCACCAGCTCGATGCCCAACACGAATGCGCACTTCCCACTCTCTGTCATTTCGAAACGCGCCTTTAAGTCACTCTTGGTGCGCATAATCAGTTCGGTTGAGCTGCCAGTCACCAACACATCATCGACGTATACCAGCAAAAGCACGCACTCGCCACATGTAATCTTGAGATAAAGACACGGGTCAAAATCGGAGACTTGAAATCCAATGGAGCGGACGAACTTGTTGACGGTCATCGGTTTTCTACCAGTATTGGTAACCGTGACCGATCCAATCCGAACCGCCTGTTCAGCTTAGTATTTACGACGTAGTTCTTACGGTAATTACCATAGTTGATTAGACGCGTAGGATGATGAGACGCTTCACATGATTTATATGTACACCACATATAAATCATGTAGTAAGTAGTAAGCCCCGATAATCAATCACTTTCGAATCTTCCAACTATTGGGCAAGTGTTTTCTGCTCTACTCTCTTCGGTCTCTCCGCTCCGTTCGCTCCGCTTTCCTCGCTCCGATCTACAATGCAACAGGTTATGAGCCCAAGCGCCATGTCGTCCACCAGCAACGCCTCCATTGACAAGTTCAACGGAGACAATTACGCAACGTGGAGCCGGTACATGCGCGGTGTGTTTTTGACGAAGTCCGTCTGGCACGTCGTCAACCGTGAAGTGACTCCGACTTTCACCGACCCGCGAGCGTCCGATGACTACGTCAAGGCAAGCAACGTCGCGTTTGGTATGATGCTGCTGCACATGAACGCGGACTACCATCATGTGCTGGACAACTGCTAGGAAGCCTGGGTTGCGTGGACAAGTCTGAAGACGCTGTACGGTGGGTCGCAGAAGGCAGGACGCATCTACCTCAAGCGACAACTTTTCAGTATCAAGATGGATGAAGGCGCGAACGTCATGCATCACTGCAACGAGGTCCTCAACATCTCCGCCAAGCTTAGCGGCATCGGTGCGAAGATGGAAGACGAAGACGTTGCAATTTGTCTGCTACTCAGTCTTCCGAAGAGCTACGAAAATGTGGTGCTCAACATGAGCAGCACCGAGCTTCGCACTCAAGATGTGGTGAGAGTCCTGACGAATGAGCATGCCAAGCGTCAAGGAGAAAAAGGGACAACGACAGCGACTACGGTGAAGGCTGAAGATGCAAGCAAGGCATTCAGCGCCGAGCGTGAGCCCTACCAATGCACGTATTGTGGCAAGGTGGGACACACGGTGGATCGTTGCTGGACAAAGCAGAAGAACGAAGGTCGGGGAGCCCGACGCGGCGGCAATGGTCGTGGACGCGGGGCTAACAATGTCCAGTGGGGACATCATGATGAAGGCAATGGCTACGATCGAGTGGCGTTTGCAGTCTCGTTCGAATGTGGAGTTTCGACGAGCAAGGACGTGTCTGGAATGTGGGCCGTCGACAGTGGTGCAACGCACCACATTTGCCACGACAAGACCAAGTTCGCAAGTTTGGCAGAGCGCAATGAGGGCGAACTCTTGGTGGCTGATGGCAACAAGGTGGCCATCAAGGGTGTGGGAACCATCATGGAAAAGGTGGTTCTGCCCAACGGTGAAGAGCGTGAGATCGAAATCAAGAACGCGCTATATGTTCCAAGTATGAGCAAGAACCTGCTCTCGGTGCCACAGGTTAACAGCCATGGCAAGTTTCAAGTCGTGTTTGACGGGTCCAAGATGTATGTGACTCTCAAGAACTCACAGCAAGTGGTGGCGACAGCGGATCTCGTGGATGGACTCTACTGGCTTCGGACGACTCAACGATCAGCGAATGTGACAACAAGTGGAACCAGTTGTGCCGATCTACATGCGAGAATGGGTCATGCTCCAGTCGATGTACTTCGCAAGATGATCGCGACCAACATGATCAAGGATGTGCGAGTCCCTCTCAAGTCGGGTGGAGCAACTACATGTCGAGGATGTCAACAAGGGAAAATGGTCCAAAAACCATTTCCAAGCAACCGAGACAAGCGCAGCTACGATACGTTTGAGCTACTTCATCTGGACATCTGCGGGCCCATGGAAAAGGATTCGCTCGGTGGCAGCAAATATTTGCTGCTGATCATCGACGAAGCCAGTGGATGCATGAAGGGCTTTTGTCTACGAGTGAAGACCGAGAGTGAAGACTACATCCGGAAATATATCACCATGGTACAGACGCAATTCTGTAAGAAGGTCAAGTTCGTGCGACACGACGGAGCTCGCGAGTTTGCAACCAACTTGCTTCAACTGTTCTACGAAGACGAAGGCATTGAATAGCAGACAACGGTGCCGTATGCACATCAAACAAACGGAACAGCAGAGCGTGCCATTAGGACTATTGTCACGATCGGCCGCAGCATGCTTCATCATGCCAAACTGGACAAGTGTTTCTGGGCCGAAGCAGCGATGACGGCGATCTACGTCAAGAATCGACTGCCGTCACCTAAAGTCATGCACAAGACCCCGTTTGAGATCGTCTACAACTTGAAACCAAGCGTCAAGCACATGCGAACATTCGGGTGTCAGACATACATACTGACGCCTAAAGAGAATCGACTCAAGTGGGATCCAAAGGCTCGCGCTGGCATATTCGTGGGCTACGAAGAAGTTTCGAAGGCATATCGTGTTTATGACATCGAGGCGGGGCAGGTGGTTATCAGCCGCGATGTCAACTTCGACGAGTCCACCTTTGGACTTCAACTGCCGATCACTGATGAAGATGTCGATGACCTGGACTTCGAATTGCTGGATCTTGATGACGAAGAGCTGCGTCAAATGGAGTACAAGCAAACAGGCAAGCGCAAGAACCGACTCAATGATGAAGATACAGCAGCTCCACGACCGCGTGCAGTGCGTCAACGACCAGGACTAGAAGAGTCAAGCGCGCCGGAAAACAACTCGTCACGCCAAAAAGAAGACGAAGAAACGAAGGATTCTGGTGATTCAACACCGCCCGTGTTTTGGCGTGCGAGTGCAAATGCCGTTGAAGCAGCAGTGGACTTATCAGAGCCCTCAACATTTGAAGCAGCAGTAAGCGGCCCTGACCAAGTGCACTGGAGAAAAGCAATTCATGCAGAGCTCGAGTCAATGCGACTTCGCGGTGTGTTTCGTGCAGCCAAGATGCCCAACGGACAACGCGCCATTGGCACAAAATGGGTGTTCAAGATCAAGCGCAAGGAGGATGGGTCAATCGAGAAGTACAAGGCACGACTTGTGGCCAAGGGTTTCCGCGAAAAGTATGGCATCGACTACACGGAGACGTTTTCGCCTGTGGTCAAGTATGTGACGCTGCGAATGGTGATCGTAATTTCCAAGCATTTTGGATGGCCCATCGACCAGCTTGATGTGGTGACAGCTTTCCTGTATGGCGTCATGAAGGAACAAGTGTTCTGCGTGATTCCTGAAGGCGTCGAACTTGACAGTACGTTCGACTGCCTGGAATTGGTGAAGTCAATTTACGGCCTCAAGCAAGCGTCGCGAGTGTGGAACGAGACGTTCGACGAGTATGTGTGCTCCATCGGATTTCAAGTATCGGACTTCGACCCATGTCTCTACATCAAGACTTCGGACGGCCATTGCGTGTTTATACTGGTCTACGTGGACGACGTCTTGGTGACTGGAAGCCCGCTCGAGCTGATTGCACAAACCAAGAACGACCTGAAGACGCGGTTCGAGATGACGGACAGCGGCAAGTGTGCGTTTGTTCTTGGGATCGAGCTTTTGGACGGTGAAGATGGCAGTGTGACACTATGTCAGCGTCGGTATGTCGATGATATCCTCAAGCGCTTTGGCATGGATGATTGCAAGGCAGTCGCAAGTCCAGTCGACATGAGCTCTCGACTTGTTTCAAGTGATGCAACTACCAAGGTCGATGCTCCTTTTCGCGAAGCTGTTGGTGCGTTGATGCACCTGACCACTGCAACGCGTCCGGACATTGCGTTTGCTGTGGGCTATGTGTCGCGGTTCATGGAAATCCCCAAGAAGAACACTGGGTTGCAGTCAAGCGTATCTTTCGCTACCTACAAGGCACCAAGACGCATGGAATTTGCTACAAGCCAAGTGCAAGGATCGACTTCCGTGGATATTCGGATGCGGATTGGGCTGGTGATCTTACCGAACGCAAGTCAACATCGGGGTACACGTTCATGCTACTCGGTGCGCCAGTGAGTTGGGGCAGCAAGAAGCAGCCAAGTGTTTCGTTGTCCACGACTGAAGCTGAATACATCGCACTCAGCTTGGCGATTCAAGAGGGCAAGTGGATTCATCGTCTGCTTTGTGAGATCGTGATGGCTGCCAATGAAGAAGGACCGGAACTCATGATTCATGAAGACAATCAGTCATGTATCAAGATGACGAAGAACCCAGTCAACCACGGCCGTGCCAAGCACATTGATATCAAGTACCATCACATCCGTGATGAGGTCAAGCGCGGTGAAGTGAAGCTCAAGTACTGTGAAACTGCGGTGATGTTAGCGGACATCATGACGAAGGGACTTCATGGACCACGCCACAAGGAGATGACGACGGCTCTCGGGATTCGTGAGCATTCGGATTGAGGGGGCGTGTTGACGGTCATCGGTTTTCTACCAGTATTGGTAACCGTGACCGTTCCAATCCGAACCGCCTGTTCAGCTTAGTATTTACGACGTAGTTCTTACGGTAATTACCATAGTTGATTAGACGCGTAGGATGATGAGACGCTTCACATGATTTATATGTACACCACATATAAATCATGTAGTAAGTAGTAAGCCCCGATAATCAATCACTTTCGAATCTTCCAACTATTGGGCAAGTGTTTTCTGCTCTACTCTCTTCGGTCTCTCCGCTCCGTTCGCTCCGCTTTCCTCGCTCCGATCTACAATGCACCAGAACTCATGAAAAGTCTCGTTCCATACGCGCGATGCTTGTTTTAGTCCGTAGATCGCCTTGACAAATTCGAAGCAGTCAAAGTCTTCATCAACTTCGACTCCTTCTGGGATCGCGCAGAATACCTTTTCCTTCATTTCTCCGTAAAGGAAAGCTGTCACCACGTCCAGTTGGTCCAGTGTCCAGCCAAAGTACTTCGTGATTGAAACCACCATGCGCAGCGTCACGTACTTGACTACCGGCGAAAACGTTTCCGTGTAGTCGATGCCATATTTCTGCTTGAACCCTTTTGCCACGAGACGCGCCTTGTGTTTCTCGATGGACCCATCAGCTTTCCGTTTGATCTTGAATACCCACTTGGTGCCAATGGTATGCTGTCCAGACGGCAGTTTAGTTGTTAGGTGAAAAGCTTGACGACCGAAACTGGGAGTGATGCTGGGAGTCCACTCGGAAGACCGGAGAAGACACTTGGGGGTAGATGGAAGATTGAAAAGTGATTGATTATCGGGGCTTACTACTTACTACATGATTTATATGTGGTGCACATATAAATCATGTGAAGCGGCTCATCATCCTACGCGTCTAATCAACTATGGTAATTACCGTAAGAACTACGTCGTAAATACTAAGCTGAACAGGCGGTTCGGATTGGACCGGTCACGGTTACCAATACTGGTAGAAACCGATGACCGTCAACACGCCCCCTCAATCCGAACTCGCACGAATGTCGAGAGCCGTCGTCAAGTCCTTGTGACGAGGTTCCGAAAGTCCCTTGGTCATGATGTCCGCCATCATCACGGAAGTCTCGCAATACTCGAGCTGCACTTCACCGCGCTTGACCTCATCACGGATGTGATGGTGCTTGATGTCGATGTGCTTGGCGCGGCCATGATTCACCGGATTCTTCGTCATCTTGATGCACGACTGGTTGTCTTCACGGATGACGAGGGCCGGTCCTGGTTCGTTTGCGGCCGCCAAAATCTCGTATAGCAGGCGATGCACCCACTTGCCTTCCTGGATGGCCAGACTCAGTGCGATGTATTCCGCTTCACTCGTCGACAGCGACACACTTGACTGCTTCTTGCTTCCCCAACTCACAGGAGCACCCATCAGCATGAAAGTGTAACCCGAAGTCGACTTGCGATCAGCGTGGTCGCCGGCCCAGTCCACGTCCGAGTAGCCACGAAAGTCGATCTTGTCGCTTGGCTGGAAGCGGAGTCCGTGCGACTTGGTCCCTTGCAAGTAACGAAAGATGCGCTTCACCGCCGTCCAATGTTCTTGCTGCGGATTCTCCATGAAGCGCGAGACGTACTTCACAGCATACGCAATGTCCGGGCGCGTCGCAGTCGTCAAATGCATCAAAGCTCCCACAGCTTCACGAAACGGAACGTCGATTTTGGCCGCTTCGCTGCTTGCGACAAGCCGAGTGCTCAAATTGACCGGACTTTCTGTGGCCTTGCACTCATCCATGCCGAAGCGCTTGAGGATGTCGTTGACATACCGTCGCTGGCACATCGTCACGCTGCCATCCGATTCGTCCACCAGTTCGATGCCCAGTACAAAAGTACACTTGCCACTGTCGGTCATCTCAAAACGCGTCTTGAGGTCGGCCTTCGTCTGCGCAATCAACTCGAGCGAGCTGCCGGTGACCAACACGTCATCCACGTAGACCAGCACGAGCACAAGTGACCGTCGACAACCTTGATGTAGAGACATGGGTCGAACGCCGACGCTTCAAAACCGATAGAGCATACGAACTCGTCGAAAGTCTCGTTCCACACACGTGAAGCTTGCTTGAGACCGTAGATCGCCTTCACCAACTCGAGACAGTCGAAGTCGCCATCCATCTCGACGCCTTCTGGTATCACGCAGTACACCTTCTCCTTCATCACTCCGTAGAGAAAGGCTGTCACCACATCGAGTTGGTCCAGTGGCCAGTCAAAATACTTGGTGATCGCGATCACCACACGTAGTGTCACGTACTTGACCACGGGCGAGAACGTCTCTGTGTAGTCGATGCCGTACTTCTGCTTGAAGCCCTTGGCAACGAGATGCGCCTTGTATTTCTCGACCGATCCATCCGCTTTGCGCTTGATCTTGAACACCCACTTGGTGCCGATCGCGCCTTGGCCTCTTGGCAGTTTTGCCGCACGGAAAACTACACGAAGATGCATCGACTTGAGTTCCGCCTTCACAGCATTTCGCCAGTGAGCTTGATCAGGACCATTGATCGAGTCTTGAAAAGTCACAGGTTCTGCTAGGTCCGTTGCTTCCACTGCGTTTGCACTTGCACGCCAAAATGTTGGAGGCGTCGAGTCGTCATCTTGATCGTAGACGTTTGCATCTTCTTCGTCATCAGACATCGTTTCTGGAGCACTTGATCGTCGTTTCCGGTGACGGTTGGAGACGTGTTCCGGCGCACTTGCTTGTTCCAACCCAGTTCGAAAGCGAGCTGAACGTGACATGCCGGGTCTTGCTTCACTCTTGCGCTTGCCAGTTTGCTTGTAGACGGTTTGACGCACGTCATCCTCGTTGATCGCCAGGAGGTTGAGGTCCAACTCCGCATCTTCATCATCGTCACTTGGTCGGTCCATCGAAAAGTCAAAAGTCGATTCGTCGAAGGTGATGTCACGACTGATCACCACTTGGCCCGCCTCAATGTCGTACACTCGATAAGCTTTTGAAGCTTCTTCGTAGCCCATGAATATCCCTTCACGAGCCTTCGGGTCCCACTTCAATCGCTTCTCCCTTGGTGTCAGGATAAACGCCCGACATCCAAACACGCGCATGTGCTTGACACTTGGTTTGGAGTTGTACACGATCTCGAACGGAGTCTTGTGGTCGATCTTGGGTGAAGGCAGGCGGTTCTTGATGTAGATCGCCGTCATTGCCGCTTCAGCCCAGAAACACTTCTCCAGTTTTGCATGATGCAACAAGCTGCGTCCTATCGTGACGATGGTCCTTATCGCGCGTTCTGCGGTGCCGTTGGTCTGGTGTGCATACGGCACCGTGATCTGTTGTTCGATACCATGATCTTCGTAGAAGGTCTTGATCGAGTTGGTCGCAAACTCATGCGCTCCATCGTGCCGAACAAACTTGATCTTCGTGCCGAACTGAGTTTGAATCTTGATAATGTGGTTCTTGATACAGTCTTCACTCTCAGACTTGGACCGCAGACAGAAGCCCTTCATGCAACCGCTGGCTTCATCAACCACAAGCAGTAAGTATCTGCTGCCGCCGATCGAGACTTGTTCCATTGGCCCGCAGATGTCGAAGTGCAGCAACTCGAACACACCGTATTGGCGTTTGTTACGGTTGGTTGGGAATGGTTTTTGGACCATCTTTCCTTGCTGGCAACCGCGACACACACTTGGACCAGTCGAGTTGAGAGGTGCCTTGGCGTCCTTGATCATGCCAGTGGCCACCATCTTGCGCAGAACTTCGAGGGGTGCATGACCCATGCGCGCATGCAAGTCGATAGTCCCATTGCGTGTTGCTGCATTTGCCGATCGTTGAGGAGTCCGCAGCCAGTAAAGTCCATCGACGAGATCCGCTGTTGCCACGACTTGTGTGGAATTCTTGCGCTTCACTTGCATCTTGGACCCATCGAACACGACTTGGAACCTGCCACCCTTGTTGATCTGTGGCACCGAAAGCAGATTCTTGCTCATACTTGGTACGAACAGTGCGTCCTTGATCTCGATGTCGCGTTCGTCACCATTGGGCAGAACCACCCGTTCCATGATGGTTCCCACACCCTTGATCGCAGCCTTGCTGCCATCAGCCACTGATAGTTCGCCTTCCTCTCGCTCATTCAGGCTTGCAAACTTGGCCTTGTCGTTGCAGATGTGATGCGTCGCACCGCTGTCGACTGCCCACATACCTGGCATATTCTTGCCCATCGAAAGTCCAGCCTCCAGCGAAACCGCGAACGCAACTCGATCGTAGTTGTCGTCGTTGTTGTTGTTGGTTCGCCACTGAACGTTGTTGGCTCCGCGTCCACGAGCATTGTTGCCGCCGCGTCGAGCTCCACCTTGATTTTCGTCCTTCTGCTTGGTCCATCATCGGTCCTCCGTATGCCCCAATTTTCCGCAGTATGTACACTGGCGAGGTTCACGCTCGGTACTGAACGCCTTGGCCGCGTCTTCAGTCTTCACCGATGTCGTCTTGTCACCTTGCCGCTTGACATGCTCGTTCGTGAGCACTTTCACGACGTCCTGCGATCGAAGCTCTGTGCTGTTCATCTCCAATTTAAGAACCACGTTCTCGAAACTCTTGGGCAGACTGCGCATTAAGTAGATTGCAACCTCCTCGTCCTCCATCTTGGCGCCGATGCTAGCCAGCTTTGCGCTGATGTTGAGGACTTCGTTGAAATGATGCATCACATTGCCGCCTTCCGCCATCTCCATTTGAACAGCTGGCGCTTCAAGTAGATGCGTCCAGCCTTCTGCGACCCGCCGTGCAGCGTCTTCAAACGCGCCCACGCGACCCACGCCTCTTCACAGTCATCAACCACGTGATGATAGTCCGCGCTCATGTGCAGCAGCATCAAGCCGAACGCAATGTTGTTCGTCTTGACGTAGTCGTCACTGGCGCGAGGATCGGCGAAGGTGGGGGTGGTCTCCCGGTTCACCACGTGCCACGCCGACTTGGTCAGAAACACGCCACGCATGTAGCGGCTCCACGTCGCGTAGTTGTCGCCGTCGAACTTGTCAATGGAGATCTTGGTGGTGGCATCATGAGCAGAGGACATCGTGCTTGGGCTCATAACCTGTAGTTAGGTGAAAAGCTTGACGACCGAAACTGGGAGTGATGCTGGGAGTCCACTCGGAAGACCGGAGAAGACACTTGGGGGTAGATGGAAGATTGAAAAGTGATTGATTATCGGGGCTTACTACTTACTACATGATTTATATGTGGTGCACATATAAATCATGTGAAGCGTCTCATCATCCTACGCGTCTAATCAACTATGGTAATTACCGTAAGAACTACGTCGTAAATACTAAGCTGAACAGGCGGTTCGGATTGGACCGGTCACGGTTACCAATACTGGTAGAAACCGATGACCGTCAACACGCCCCCTCAATCCGAACTCGCACGAATGTCGAGAGCCGTCGTCAAGTCCTTGTGACGAGGTCCAGAAAGTCCCTTGGTCATGATGTCCGCCATCATCACGGAAGTCTCGCAATACTCGAGCTGCACTTCACCGCGCTTGACCTCATCACGGATGTGATGGTGCTTGATGTCGATGTGCTTGGCGCGGCCATGATTCACCGGATTCTTCGTCATCTTGATGCACGACTGGTTGTCTTCACGGATGACGAGGGCCGGTCCTGGTTCGTTTGCGGCCGCCAAAATCTCGTATAGCAGGCGATGCACCCACTTGCCTTCCTGGATGGCCAGACTCAGTGCGATGTATTCCGCTTCACTCGTCGACAGCGACACACTTGACTGCTTCTTGCTTCCCCAACTCACAGGAGCACCCATCAGCATGAAAGTGTAACCCGAAGTCGACTTGCGATCAGCGTGGTCGCCGGCCCAGTCCGCGTCCGAGTAGCCACGAAAGTCGATCTTGTCGCTTGGCTGGAAGCGGAGTCCGTGCGACTTGGTCCCTTGCAAGTAACGAAAGATGCGCTTCACCGCCGTCCAATGTTCTTGCTGCGGATTCTCCATGAAGCGCGAGACGTACTTCACAGCATACGCGATATCTGGGCGCGTTGCAGTCATCAAATGCATCAAAGCACCAACCGCTTCGCGAAACGGAACGTCGATTTTGGCCGCTTCGCTGCTTGCGACAAGCCGAGTGCTCAAATTGACCGGACTTGCTGTGGCCTTGCACTCATCCATGCCGAAGCGCTTGAGGATGTCGTTGACATACCGTCGCTGGCACATCGTCACGCTGCCATCCGATTCGTCCACCAGTTCGATGCCCAAAACAAAGGTACACTTGCCGCTGTCGGTCATCTCGAAACGCATCTTGAGGTCGGCCTTCGTCTGCGCAATCAACTCGAGCGAGCTGCCGGTGACCAACACGTCATCCACGTATACCAGCAGCAGCACGCAGTGACCATCCACAACCTTGATGTACAAACATGGGTCGAACGCCGACGCTTCAAAACCGATAGAGCATACGAACTCGTCGAAAGTCTCGTTCCACACACGTGAAGCTTGCTTGAGACCGTAGATCGCCTTCACCAACTCGAGACAGTCAAAGTCACCATCCATCTCGACGCCTTCTGGTATCACGCAGTACACCTTCTCCTTCATCACTCCGTAGAGAAAGGCTGTCACCACATCGAGTTGGTCCAGTGGCCAGTCAAAATACTTGGTGATCGCGATCACCACACGTAGTGTCACGTACTTGACCACGGGCGAGAACGTCTCTGTGTAGTCGATGCCGTACTTCTGCTTGAAGCCCTTGGCAACGAGACGCGCCTTGTATTTCTCGACCGATCCATCCGCTTTGCGCTTGATCTTGAACACCCACTTGGTGCCGATCGCGCCTTGGCCTCTTGGTAGTTTTGCCGCACGGAAAACTACACGAAGATGCATCGACTTGAGTTCCGCCTTCACAGCATTTCGCCAGTGAGCTTGATCAGGACCATTGATCGCGTCTTGAAAAGTCACAGGTTCTGCTAGGTCCGTTGCTTCCACTGCGTTTGCACTTGCACGCCAAAATGTTGGAGGCGTCGAGTCGTCATCTTGATCGTAGACGTTTGCATCTTCTTCGTCATCAGACATCGTTTCTGGAGCACTTGATCGTCGTTTCTGGTGACGGTTGTAGACGTGTTCCGGCGCACTTGCTTGTTCCAACCCAGTTCGAAAGCGAGCTGAACGTGACGTGCCGGGTCTTGCTTCACTCTTGCGCTTGCCAGTCTGCTTGTAGACGGTTTGACGCACGTCGTCCTCGTTGATCGCCAGGAGGTCAAGGTCCAACTCCGCATCTTCATCATCGTCAATTGGTCGGTCCATCGAAAAATCAAAAGTCGATTCGTCGAAGGTGATGTCACGACTGATCACCACTTGGCCCGCCTCAATGTCGTACACTCGATAAGCTTTTGAAGCTTCTTCGTAGCCCATGAATATCCCTTCACGAGCCTTCGGGTCCCACTTCAATCGCTTCTCCCTTGGTGTCAGGATAAACGCCCGACATCCAAACACGCGCATGTGCTTGACACTTGGTTTCGACTTGTACACGATCTCGAACGGAGTCTTGTGGTCGATCTTGGGTTAAGGCAGGCGGTTCTTGATGTAGATCGCCGTCATTGCCGCTTCAGCCCAGAAACACTTCTCCAGTTTTGCATGATGCAACAAGCTGCGTCCTATCGTGACGATGGTCCTTATCGCGCGTTCTGCGGTGCCGTTGGTCTGGTGTGCATACGGCACCGTGATCTGTTGTTCGATACCATGATCTTCGTAGAAGGTCTTGATCGAGTTGGTCGCAAACTCATGCGCTCCATCGTGCCGAACAAACTTGATCTTCGTGCCGAACTGAGTTTGAATCTTGATAATGTGGTTCTTGATACAGTCTTCACTCTCAGACTTGGACCGCAGACAGAAGCCCTTCATGCAACCGCTGGCTTCATCAACCACAAGCAGTAAGTATCTGCTGCCGCCGATCGAGACTTGTTCCATTGGCCCGCAGATGTCGAAGTGCAGCAACTCGAACACACCGTATTGGCGTTTGTTACGGTTGGTTGGGAATGGTTTTTGGACCATCTTTCCTTGCTGGCAACCGCGACACACACTTGGACCAGTCGAGTTGAGAGGTGCCTTGGCGTCCTTGATCATGCCAGTGGCCACCATCTTGCGCAGAACTTCGAGGGGTGCATGACCCATGCGCGCATGCAAGTCGATGGTCCCATCGCGTGTTGCTGCATTTGCCGATCGTTGAGGAGTCCGCAGCCAGTAAAGTCCATCGACGAGATCCGCTGTTGCCACGACTTGTGTGGAATTCTTGCGCTTCACTTGCATCTTGGACCCATCGAACACGACTTGGAACCTGCCACCCTTGTTGATCTGTGGCACCGAAAGCAGATTCTTGCTCATACTTGGTACGAACAGTGCGTCCTTGATCTCGATGTCGCGTTCGTCACCATTGGGCAGAACCACCCGTTCCATGATGGTTCCCACACCCTTGATCGCAGCCTTGCTGCCATCAGCCACTGATAGTTCGCCTTCCTCTCGCTCATTCAGGCTTGCAAACTTGGCCTTGTCGTTGCAGATGTGATGCCTCGCACCGCTGTCGACTGCCCACATACCTGGCATATTCTTGCCCGTCGAAAGTCCAGCCTCCAGCGAAACCGCGAACGCAACTCGATCGTAGTTGTCGTCGTTGTTGTTGTTGGTTCGCCACTGAACGTTGTTGGCTCCGCGTCCACGAGCATTGTTGCCGCCGCGTCGAGCTCCACCTTGATTTTCGTCCTTCTGCTTGGTCCATCATCGGTCCTCCGTATGCCCCAATTTTCCGCAGTATGTACACTGGCGAGGTTCACGCTCGGTACTGAACGCCTTCACCGCGTCTTCAGTCTTCACCGATGTCGTCTTGTCACCTTGCCGCTTGACATGCTCGTTTGTGAGCACTTTCACGACGTCCTGCGATCGAAGCTCTGTGCTGTTCATCTCCAATTTAAGAACCACGTTCTCGAAACTCTTGGGCAGACTGCGCATTAAGTAGATTGCAACCTCCTCGTCCTCCATCTTGGCGCCGATGCTAGCCAGCTTTGCGCTGATGTTGAGGACCTCATTGTAATGATGCAACACATTGCCGCCTTCCGCCATCTCCATTTGAACAGCTGGCGCTTCAAGTAGATGCGTCCAGCCTTCTGCGACCCGCCGTGCAGCGTCTTCAAACGCGCCCACGCGACCCACGCCTCTTCACAGTCATCAACCACGTGATGATAGTCCGCGCTCATGTGCAGCAGCATCAAGCCGAACGCAATGTTGTTCGTCTTGACGTAGTCGTCACTGGCGCGAGGATCGGCGAAGGTGGGGGGTGGTCTCCCGGTTCACCACGTGCCAGGCCGACTTGGTCAGAAACACGACACGCATGTAACAACTCCACGTCGCGTAGTTGTCGCCGTCGAACTTGTCAATGGAGATCTTGGTGGTGGCATCATGAGCAGAGGACATCGTGCTTGGGCTCATAACCTGTAGTTAGGTGAAAAGCTTGACGACCGAAACTGGGAGTGATGCTGGGAGTCCACTCGGAAGACCGGAGAAGACACTTGGGGGTAGATGGATGATTGGAAAGTGATTGATTATCGGGGCTTACTACTTACTACATGATTTATATGTGGTGCACATATAAATCATGTGAAGCGTCTCATCATCCTACGCGTCTAATCAACTATGGTAATTACCGTAAGAACTACGTCGTAAATACAAAGCTGAACAGGCGGTTCGGATTGGACCGGTCACGGTTACCAGTACTGGTAGAAACCGATGACCGTCAACAAGTTTGGTCGCTCGAAACACGCCACGAAGTTTCATCGAGTCCAAATCGGCACAGATTGCCTTACGCCAATGCACTTGATCTGGTCCACCAACAGCATCTTTAAACGTTGTCGGCTCAGACAAGTCAGTACCTTCGACTGCATTGGCACTCGCTCGCCAAAAGACTTCAGGTGTAGCATCCTCGTTATCTTTGTCACTGCTCTTTTGCTCTTTGTCCAGATTGTCTCGAGCGCTTGATCGTCGCTTCGCTTGGTGCGATTCAGAGTCATCCGGGGCACTTGCTTCTTCTAACCCGGTTCCACGACGCTCAAGAAGTGTCCGTTGTAGAACTTGTTCTTGGCTGTTTGAACGGCTTTTGCGTTTTCCAGTTTGCTTGATCTGCATGGGGTGAGGCTCATCGCTGATGTTCATCGATTCGATATCCAGCGCAGTGTCATCAACAATTTCTTGTGGTAGCATCGGCGAGAACCCAAGCGTTGATTCGTCGAATGTGACATCGCGAGATATCACCACTTGGTCGGCTTCAATGTCGTAAACGCGATATGCCTTTGACACTTCTTCGTACCCCATGAATAGTCCTTCACGAGCCTTCGGATCCCATTTCGATCTCTTTTCCTTAGGAGTCAGCACAAACGTTCGGCAGCCGAAAACCCGCATGTGCTTCACACTTGGTCGAAATCCGTTGACGATCTCAAACGGGGTTTGATCTTGGCACTTGGGCGATGGTAGGCGATTCTTGATGTAAATCGCAGCCATTGCCGCTTCACCCCAGAAACACTTGTTCAGCTTGGCGTAGTGAAGCATGCTGCGCCCGATCGTCACAATGGTCCGAATTGCCCGTTCCGCCGTGCCGTTGGTCTGATGCGCATACGGAACGGTAACTTGCTGCTCGATTCCTTGATCATCGTAAATGCCTTGAGCGAATTCGCCGCAAATTCTCGTGCACCATCGTGTCGAACGAACTTGACCTTGTAGTCAAGCTGCGTCTGTACTGCCATGATGTACTTCTTGATGCACTCTTCGCTGTCGGACTTGGCGCGCAGACTGAAACCCTTCATACATCCGCTGCCTTCATCGACGATCAGTAGCAAGTACTTGCTTCCACCTAGCGAGTCGACTTCCATTGGACCACAAGTGTCGATGTGTAGAAGCTCAAACGGATCGTAGTGGCGCTTGTTTGGATTGCTCGGGAACGGTCGTTGAACCATTTTTCCTTCTAGACAACCTTGACACACGCTTGATCCGCTCAATTTTGCTGGCATCTTGGCATCCTTGATCATGCCCTTGGAGACCATTCTGCACAAGACATCAACCGGTGCGTGGCCCATACGCGCATGAAGGTTTTCGACTCTTGGTCCTAAAGCCGCATTCACCGATCGTTGGGATGTACGAAGCCAGTAGAGGCCATCCACAAGATCAGCCATCGCTATTACTTGCTTGGAGCCTTTGTGCGAAATCTTCATCTCGTCACCATCAAGCACCACTTGATACTTGCCGCTTTTGTTGATTTGTGGTATCGAAAGCAAGTTTTTGTTCATGCTTGGGACGTAAAGCGCGTTTTTGATCTCGACTTCGCGCTCTTCACCGTTGGACAGGGTCACCTTTTCGATGATTGTCCCGACACCGTTGATCGCAGCCTTGTTCCCATCTGCAACCAACACTTCGCCTTCATTGCGCTCGTCCAGAACATCGAACTTGGACTTGTCATAGCAGATGTGATGTGTTGCACCGCTGTCAATCGCCCACATTCCAGACATGCTCTTGGTCGTTGTTGACGGTCATCGGTTTTCTACCAGTATTGGTAACCGTGACCGATCCAATCCGAACCGCCTGTTCAGCTTAGTATTTACGACGTAGTTCTTACGGTAATTACCATAGTTGGTTAGACGCGTAGGATGATGAGACGCTTCACATGATTTATATGTACACCACATATAAATCATGTAGTAAGTAGTAAGCCCCGATGATCAATCACTTTCGAATCTTCCAACTATTGGGCAAGTGTTTTCTGCTCTACTCTCTTCGGTCTCTCCGCTCCGTTCGCTCCGCTTTCCTCGCTCCGATCTACAATGCAACAGGTTATGAGCCCAAGCGCCATGTCGTCCACCAGCAACGCCTCCATTGACAAGTTCAACGGAGACAATTACGCAACGTGGAGCCGGTACATGCGCGGTGTGTTTTTGACGAAGTCCGTCTGGCACGTCGTCAACCGTGAAGTGACTCCGACTTTCACCGACCCGCGAGCGTCCGATGACTACGTCAAGGCAAGCAACGTCGCGTTTGGTATGATGCTGCTGCACATGAACGCGGACTACCATCATGTGCTGGACAACTGCGAGGAAGCCTGGGTTGCGTGGACAAGTCTGAAGACGCTGTACGGTGGGTCGCAGAAGGCAGGACGCATCTACCTCAAGCGACAACTTTTCAGTATCAAGATGGATGAAGGCGCGAACGTCATGCATCACTGCAACGAGGTCCTCAACATCTCCGCCAAGCTTAGCGGCATCGGTGCGAAGATGGAAGACGAAGACGTTGCAATTTGTCTGCTACTCAGTCTTCCGAAGAGCTACGAAAATGTGGTGCTCAACATGAGCAGCACCGAGCTTCGCACTCAAGATGTGGTGAGAGTCCTGACGAATGAGCATGCCAAGCGTCAAGGAGAAAAAGGGACAACGACAGCGACTACGGTGAAGGCTGAAGATGCAAGCAAGGCATTCAGCGCCGAGCGTGAGCCCTACCAATGCACGTATTGTGGCAAGGTGGGACACACGGTGGATCGTTGCTGGACAAAGCAGAAGAACGAAGGTCGGGGAGCCCGACGCGGCGGCAATGGTCGTGGACGCGGGGCTAACAATGTCCAGTGGGGACATCATGATGAAGGCAATGGCTACGATCGAGTGGCGTTTGCAGTCTGTTGGTGACTGGCAGCTCAACCGAACTGATTATGCGCACCAAGAGTGACTTAAAGGCAGGTTTCGAAATGACAGAGAGTGGGAAGTGCGCATTCGTGTTGGGCATCGAGCTGGTGGACAACGACAACGGTAGCGTGACGATGTGCCAGCGACGCTACGTGGAAGATGTTCTCAAGCGTTTTGGCATGAGCGACTGCAAAGCCGTCACCAGCCCAACAGACATCAGTTCTCGACTCATACCAAGTACCGCAGCAACTAAAATCGACGCCCCGTTTCGTGAAGCAGTAGGCGCTCTGATGCACTTGATGACCGCGACACGACCGGGCATTGCCTTTGCTGTGAGTTACGTTTCGCGCTTCATGGAAAACCCCCAAGTCGAGCATTGGATGGCGGTCAAGCGCATTTTGCAATACTTACAAGGGACTAAGTCGCACGGTATCTGTTTCAAGCCTGATGACAAGATAGACTTCTGTGGCTACTCGGATGCAGACTGGGCCGGCGACCATGCAGACCGCAAGTCGACTTCAGGATATGCGTTTATCCTGATGGGTGCTCCGGTGAGCTGGGGAAGCATAAAGCAGTCAAGTGTGTCGCTGTCAACAAGTGAAGCTGAGTACATTGCACTAAGTCTGGCGATTCAAGAAGGCAAGTGGGTGCATCGATTGCTGTGCGAGATTCTGGATGCCGTAGAGGACAAGTCTGGACCCGAGCTCAAGATCATGGAAGACAACCAGTCGTGCATCAAGATGACGAAGAATCCTGTGAACCATGGTCGGGCCAAGCACATCGACATCAAGTACCATCACATTCGTGATGAAGTCAAGCGTGGTGATGTCAAGTTGGAGTACTGCGAGACTAAGATTATGTTGGCGGACATCATGACGAAGGGACTGACAGGACCGCGTCACAAGGACTTGACGGCAGCGCTCGGCATACACGCGTGTTCGCATTGAGGGGGCGTATTGTGGGTTGACGGTTGAGGTACTGTTATCAGCTACCATGGGAACCGTAAACCTGTCCAAGTCGATCCCGCGTAACTACGGTGAGTTTTTACCAATGATTAGACGCATAGGATGATTGGATGACCTACATGATTTATGATTCATGATTTATATGTGGACAACATATAAATCAGTGCAGAGATAAATCAGGTAGCTTTAACAAAAACCCACAAATAAATTCACTTCCAAATATTTCTTCTCCTACACAAGTCGTCTCAATTCGCAGTGTAGACTTCTTTCAAGCCTTTCAAGCTTCGTTTTCTCGCCCAGTGCTCTTCAGCCTTAACAAATGCGTCAGGACCAAGAGTCGAAAATGTGGCAAAGTCACTACTCAAATTTTGTACGAGGATCGGTGGCCACACCTTTAAAGCGCCGCTTACTGGTGGAAAAGGAGGCCATGAGACTCGGCGATCCAATACGGAGGTGGAAGATGATCTTAACGGGATCGGCGAACCGATCCAACTGTCGTTAGACTAATGGGTATGGGTCGACCTGGGACGGAGCGATCTGGAACGATTTACATGGAACAATCTGGGACAAGGATCTGGGACCGGGTGATGGGATATGACTCTGCGACGAAGGTGTAACATCTTGCAGAATGTTATGGGGCGATCTGGAACCAGACATCGGGATGAAGTCATACAGCTCATTGGAATGCCGGTCAAGAAGAAGTATACGTACATTGAAGCAGGCTAAGATTAGATCGCAGATCGACATGTTGTGGCAACGGTTTGTTGGAGAATTGGCACATCTGGGACAAGGTGACTCCCCAAAGTGCATCTGGGACCAGGTGGTACGGGTCGGTGAATCGGCAAAGAAGGTGCAACACCATACGGATCGGTGATACTCTTTACCGATCCTAAATTGGGAGTACTGATTTTGGTTAATTATACACCGATCTGGAAGTTTTGCATACTCAGGGGAGTCAAGGAAACCGATGTCGAGACGTATGAATGAAGTTGTCGATTGGATAACACTGGAGGATAATATTGAAGCACGTATGAGGAGATGAAAAAGTGTTAATTGCCGATTTAGACCGGTTCGACCTCCAACATCTCGATGTTGGATGACAGATCGGTCATGTTCCACACTGATCATGAATGTATGGTTGATGAAGATACTGGGTCATGTGGAATATACTTGATAGAGGTCACTAAGTGATGTCAAGAAGTTTCATACCGAAAGAGCCAGTGGAAGCTGTCCGAATTGACGTCGCAAAGTGAATTTGGACACATTCGGCATTTTGGGTCATATATTGGGTACTTGGGTGCCAAGAATGGGTATTTGGTACCATATAGGAGATTTTGGTCGATTGGGTTCTCTAGGTACGATATCGGGGATATTGGCGCTATCATTGGAGTACAGGGCACGAAATTTCGACACGTGGCAAGGGGGCGATCCAGATTCAAGGCGATATCGGTTTGAAGAGTGACCTATAGTTAAGAATAGGCTTAAGGGTAGGTTGGATAGTAATTTGGTTGGTTAATAAACAGACTTGAACTCTACTTCTTCTGCTCACGACGCACGTTATCCTCCCCTCTTCTCCAGGCAAGATTGATTTGGCTTCCCCGGCGGGTTAAGGCACGCGTGTTACAGGGACACAGAAGACCGATCTTGGATTGTTGGCCAAGATCGAGAAGAGCGATCCCGGGATATCTGGCCCGGATCGATCAAGTACTCATACTCAACTCAACTGCTAGGGTAGCAGCACACAACGGAAAAGGAAAAGGATCTTGGACACAGGATCGCGAGACGGCTCAAGTGGTCAGAAGATCTGGACAAGGCGTTCAAGACAAGACCGAGCAGGATTGAAGCGATCCCCTGGACAGATCGGCACGTTTCATTTTGGCGAAACAGGACACCGATCTACCCAAATTGCGCACTTCCGGCAAGATCGGCCGATCCCAAGACCAGATCGGACCGATCCCAAGGCAAGATCGACGCAGGACTTTAATTTGATGAGTGAAGATTTCCTCACAGCAAAGACCCCGATCTCGAAGACAAATCAAGATCGGTGCGATCCAAGATCGGGATCGCAGAACCCCCGTTCGTGGTGTGAAGATTTCCGCACCGGAAGCGAACCCTCAACCCAACCTCTCAGCGAGATCGACATCTCCCAAGGCCGTTACGAAGAGCTCAAGCCAGCCCAACCGACGGGTACACAAGGTGAGCACAAGGTCATACAACAAGGCACGGATCGGAGTACCCCCTCCGTGGGTCGGCAAGTCTGGGCAAGTGGAAGATCGACACTCATACAAGCAATTTTGTGAGATCGACTTCACCACAATGGTGCGCGTGCCCGGATCTTCTGAGGCCTCTGGATTTCACCGTGAGTCCACTGGCGAAGATGTCAAGATTAAGCAAGAACCTGGGATTGAAGTGTCAGCGACAAAGGGATCGACGCAGACACGCAGAAGCACAAGATCCTCAGATCATCAGAGTTTTGGGAGGGGCTCTGATGAAATGAAAATGAAAGAGGAAGATCGAGAGATCGATCTGGAAGATAAACCTCAATTCCCTCCTAGGGTCCCTTCGGGGGCCACCGCAGATCGCTCTGCAAAGAGCGATCTGCTGGATGAAAATCCAATGGTGAAAACCAAATCGGCGAAAGCCAAACCCTATATCTTAGTCGATAGATCGCCCGACCTCAAGCCGAAGAGCACAATCGCGAGATCGACCACATCAGAACGATCCGCGACGAGATCGATGGGATCAGATGTCACAGATCGCCAGATCGGCCGAACCGTGCAATCAAAGATCGGAGCCAAAGAGGAATACGATGAAACACCAGATAAGATCGCGATGCCAAAGACGGAATATAACCCAATAAAGATCGCGTCCATGGAGAAGGAGACGACGGGTGAAGCGCGGGAGCGTGCAAAATGGCAGTACTATTATGGCCAGTTGAAGACGCTGCTCAAGACGGACCCAGTGTTCAAGATATTAAGGCCCAAGGTGATTGGTCCTCTGGATAAGCCGATCTCGGTCCCACTTCACGGGACCAACAAAGTCGACGAGATCAATTTGATTTTGCAGATGTTGGACGACATGGGTATCTGCCCTGACGCTTTTGATGGAGATGAACTGCTGAGTTGCAGCTTGGAACCGTTGAAGGACGCGGCGAATGAGTTTGTAGAGATCATGATAATGCTGGTGGGCAAAGCGAATACTCCTGAAGACAAGATCGGGACGCCCTCGGGCTCGCTCCGTAAACACCCCGCGGGATCGTTCCCGCTACGCCTCGGATGACTCCGAGAGCGAGTCAGATGGATCCATCAGCATTCGTCAGATGTCTCTAGGACCATCGGGTGGAAGGTTCTTAAAGGACAAGATCGGACAAGCCAAGATCGACGCCTATAAGGGACAAGCCAAGAGCAACATGCCGCAGAGATCGGCCAGTACCCGCACTGGGCTGGAGGATCAAGAAGAGGGCGATCTAAGTCGGTAATTCAATTCAGCCATGAAGAAGTACGAGGCGGATCAACGTACAGCTCAGCGAATGAATCGACAGCCAAACCGCTACCCAGATCGACGTACTTTGCTCCAACCTTCACACGAAAGCCTTGACATGCCGGATGTGGAGATGGAGTCGGTGGGGTCGGAAATTTACCAACATATCCATGAGGCGGCGGAATACGACCCGGATGATCTATGGATGCCCGAACCACGGCGCCCTCATGTAGCCGCGACCGGGGCGACTACCGGAGGGGGAAGCATCACGCAGAGGATCAGAATCTCAGCGATTTCTGAGCTGAAAGAATTCTCAGGGAAGGATCGGGAAGAAGACAAAGCACGGACCTGGATCGGCAAAGTGAAATCAGCGTTTATCCGGGACCAAGCACCGGACGAGGAGATATGTCTGGTCTTCGGTGATCTCATGGTGGGCCCAGCCCGCTACTGGTATCGACAGCTGAGTAGATCGACGAGATCCAATTGGAAAGAATTGATGAACAGTTTTCTTGTGGAGTATGCGGGACAAGGGATGTCCGCGAGCAGGCAGTACTACCGCGCAAAGAAACGATCGGAGGAAGATCCTTTACAGTACCTGTATCGGCTTAATGTGATGGGAATGCAGGCGAAGATACCGGTGATGACTGGATTGCCAGCTGCGCGCAAGGAACATGTCAATCATTTCATTGACACCTTGGACGACCCCGATCTGTCCAATCAATTGCTACTGCTGAATGTAGAAGACGCGGAGGCCATGCAAAAGACACTGCACGGATATCAACAAGGGAGATCGCGTCAAGGGAAAGTGATGATGGGATCGTCCAAATTCAGGCAGAAGGGAACTCAGGGTCCAGCGCTGTCTAAGCCTGCACGAGCGGTAAGGATGGTCCGTACCGAGGACGTCTGCAGCGAGTCAGGATCGGACACCTGCGGATCGGATTTGGAAGATCGATTGAGATCGATCCATGTGGCTGCTACTGCGGATCGCCGTTCATCCCCCAATGACGTTGCAGCAAACGCGAGATCGGTCGACCCGAACACTCGTCAAGACTATCAAATCGCAATATGCCATTGAAGCCGTGTACTCATTGCGGATCGACCAAGCATGGAAATCTCGGTTGCTGGAAGCGGCTCACTTGCCAGAAGTGTGGGCGTAAAGGACACCCCTCTGACAATTGTTTTTTCGTGTGTCGTGCTTGCGGTGAGATGCACGACCCGGGGAAGTGTCCCATGGAGGAGTTCTATAACATGATCCGTCAGTGGTGCGTCCCGAATAAGCATGCGGGGATGCTACCAGAGAAGGCCGAGAAGATGTTAAACTAGGACGCTCGCCAGGTTTGAATCTGGTACGAGCCGAGCGTTCTGGGCTCTGCATATTTGCATACGTGGAAAAAAAGAAGACAGATCGCGAGAGTAAGCAGGATATTGACGTGGAAACAAATATATCTCGTTCGAAGTTAAAACGTGTCGCTTTCGTGTCCCATCTGAAGCGGATCGATGAGTACTCACGATCTGAACCAGCTATGGAGATCGAGCTCGCTTATGGTGAATCTCGCGGATACTGGAAACATTATTCGCCCGGGAAGTGGTTCAAACAAGCGAAAGCCGTTGGCAAGATCAACAACGTAAAAGCTACTCTGTTATTTGATTCTGGTGCTGAAGTGTCGATCATTGACACCACCTTTGCTCGTGAGGTCGGTTGCAATATTGACGAAAGTCAACGACAAGAATGTATCGGGATTGGAGAAACTCCGTACATGACGGTAGGACGTACCAAGATCAAGGTGACCCTCGCGGGATCGCTGGTATACTATTTCAATGTTTGGGTAGGCGATCTGGCAGGGCAAGAAGCGATTCTGGGTATGGATTTTATGGTGCCTGCTGGAGTGCGGCTCGATCTAGCGGATGGCGCGCTATGTCTACCAGAAGAAATCCGCATTCATCTCGCAGGACGTCGCCCCGCGTACGGATCGAAGATACAACATATAACGGCGAAGGACCAACACGTGGTGATCCCGGTTGGAGAGTCAAGGGAAGTGAAGATCGGGATCGGAGGGGCTAAGATGAAGTTGTGGGTCGCTAGAAGACTAGATTGGGTCCCCACTGTGATCTCGGGGTGGGGTAAGACGAAATACCTGCAGATGACCAACATTGGCGACCGTGAGATCATACTGCCCACCCACACTATATTAGGCATGTGGGTCGAAGGCGATATGGTACCGCGAACTCAAGGTTTGGTGACAGTCGGGTCGGGGAAGTACAAGGAATGGCAAACTCTGGCATATGAGGCTACGACGGATCGAGTGAACGAACTCCCGAAAGAACCGATCGGACCATTGGTAGACCGTCCTACGTATGCCGCTCCCAAACGCATCTTGAAACGTCCGTCTGGTGCGTTACAGAACCTGTCTCCGGCGATCTCCACGGTAACGCCGCAAGCTAACGATGACGATTCGCAAAGGCAGATGCTGTAGTTGCGAGGGAAGTAACGGTCAGGGGAGCCGAACTATCGCGGATGGAGAACGGTCATGAGATCGGTACCCAACATGCAACGAAGGGAGACCGCGACACCGGTCAAGAAGGGCTACGTGACAGATCATCTCTACCAAAGGCTGAGCCGACTGACCGACTGTTGAAATTGGGCCAGCCGGAAGAGACGAAGGAGCCTAAAGAAGAAATAATGCTAAATACTGAAGACGTCGAGATTGCAGAAATACCAGTTTATCACCACGAGAGCGGAGATTTGTTTGCGGAAGATATCGAGCAGCATATGGCCGTGCTTCCAGAGATGTCGGCGACTAGGGAAGAAGTTACGATTGAGGACATTCAGATCGGTGATCCCGATGTGCCTCTCACCACAGATCAACAACGGCTCAGATCGCTGATCTGGAAGAGCCGTCACCTCCTCATGGGTAAAGGTAATGCTCTACCACCAGCAGCACGAGGCGCGATCTGTGATATTGATGTCGGTGGGGCAGCACCGATAGTGCAAAGAGTGCGTCCGGTCGCACCCAAATATCGGGAGAAGCTGTCAGATCTCATCAAAGGACTATTAGCAGCCAAAATCGTTCAGCCATCTAAGTCACCTTGGGCGTCTCGGATAGTGGTGATCATCAAGAAGAACGGAGTGGATATTCGCCTTTGCATTGATTATCGAAGAGTTAACCAGCTGACGCGTCTGATGGTTTATCCCATGCCGTTGATCAGCGACCTGTTGGAAGATCTGGATAAAGCTCTATGGTACTGTTCGCTAGACATGGCTAGTGGATTTTGGGTCGTCGAAATGACTGAACGAGCAAAACTGATCTCAGCGTTTGTCACACCGTTTGGCTTGTTCGAGTGGCTGCGAATGCCTTTTGGGCTTAAGAACGCGCCCCAGATCTACCAACGTCTGGTGGACAATGCGTTGTATGGATATCTCAAGATCGGCCAGAGATCAGCTTCTGATGGCCTGACCGACGTGTTCAAAGATGGAGAACCTGAGACAGATCGACGACCGTCTATACTGGGACGCCGATCTTACATTGACGATATTCTCATACCAGCCACGTCATGGGGATCTTTGTACACAAAAGTAGAACGGTTGCTGGAGGCATGTGATAAGTGGAATCTGTCTATCAGCCTCACGAAGAGCTTTTGGGGGTGCCGTAAGGTCGATTATTTGGGACATCGAGTGTCGATGGATGGTCTGGAGGCTCAGCCCAAGAACCTAGAGTCGTTGGTTAACATCCCGTTTCCTAGCACGCTACGAGCTATGCAATCCTTTCTCGGGAGCTTGAACTACTACCGTCGCTTCATTGAGGATTTCGCGGTGTATGCCGCGGTGTTGTATGAGTTAAGAGAATCGGATTTCTTCTAGATCGGCCGATCTCATCTTGCAGCAGGAGACGAATGCTCCAACGAGGGTCGATGGACGGAAGCCAAGGTTGCTTTCACTATGCTAAAAGCTAAGATAGCTACAGCTCCCATGCTCAAGCATTTCGACCCAGATCGGTCCCCCGTAATCGTGGTCTACGCTAGCAAGTGGGCTGTCTCAGCGGCCCTGATACAGGAGTACGATGGCGTGTACCATCCGGTGACGTTTACTAGCCGCACTTTAAAGCCTAATGAGCTTAACTACGGAACGGTAGAAAAAGAAGTGCTGGCGCTACTTCGTGTGTTGGATGTATGCTATACTACGCTTGCCTCGCGGGAGATCACTGTACTGACCCGACATTCTACGTTAGCCTGGTTGATGCAGTCTCGAGGGCTCAACGGGAGATTAGGACGGTGGGCTGCTGTGTTGTCAAATTGGACTATGGAGGTGAAGAAATGTGAAAGAGGAGAGGAAGAGATCCTGGGCATGTTAGCAGCGAGTATCACTCCGAGAGGAGAAGTGGAAGAGATGCTGATTGCGATCTCCCCACGAAAAGACTGTCGACTCAAAATATCGATGCCTCCTCCAACGGTGGAAACAGATGAGGAGTTGCTGGTGGCCAGTTTCGATGGATCGGCTAGGATAAAAAAGAAAGGAGGGTCGTTCAGTGCCGTGATAGGGAAGTTACCCGAATGGACGATCGTGGCGGCCGAATCGAGATATGTTCACGATCTGACTGTGAATGAAGCTGAGTATAATGGCTTGCTACTGTGCTTTGAGTTACTCGCCGATCTGGATAGGGGGCGAGTAATACTGTGTGGAGATTCCAGTCTGGTGATTCGACAGATGCGCGGTGAGATCGACTGCAAGGCACCGGGCCTTCAGCTTCTGAGACACAAAGCGTTGGAGAAGCTGCAGTCATGGCCTAGTCATGAGTTTCTGCATATGAAGCGAGAGTGGAATCAGAGCGCAGATCGACTAGCCAGCACAGCATTGCAGAGCGAAAAGGGAAGAACGGTTGTAGCTGAAGAGGATCGGCAAGATCTGATGACTCTGAACCGTCTCGATGAATTGTTGAAGCCCAAGCAAGATGGTCAGCTAGCTCGGGTAACTGCGATCACGAGATCAGCCAGGAGGATACGTCATGAACCTGAAGTGATACAGGAGGAGATAGTACAGAGGATCAGGATTCAACGAATTGTCCAAGCTCAAGATGAAGAGCGTTGGATTGTCAATCTCAAGACATATCTAAGTGGCGATGTATCAAACTTGGATGCGGTAGAAGTGAAGATGTGCGCCAAACTGGCGCCGGAATACGAGATCGATGAGAACAATCTGCTATTTTTTTGCCCCATGGCGAAAAGAGAGTCGGAAGATCGCGATGGTTTGATGCGGTTGGTGATCCCGGAGACGTTGCAGCAGGATTTTTTGCATCACTATCACACGAGTCTGGAAGGAGGCCATCAGGGTATTGGCCGAACCTATCAGAGGATCAGATCGCGATTTCATTGGAGAGGACTGTATCGGAGCGTTCAACGATATGTGGGCGAATGTACCGAATGTGAGACCAGGAAAGGAAACCCGATGATTCATGGGAAATCCCCGGGCAATCTACACGCAACCTATCCATTCCAGATCATCGCCATGGATCATATACCGTCGTTGCCCAAGTCCATCAAGGGGAACACCGAACTTCTCATTTGGGTCGACCTTTTCTCGGGATATGTGATTGCAAAGGCTAGCTCCTCTCGGACGGCACAAACAATAGCGGAGAATTACGAAGAATGTGTGTTTCGACGCTTCGGAGCTAGCGAGGCTATCAGGCGATCGAGAACCGGGATTTATGTCCGACTTCTTTCGAGCCTTCAGTCGGATCGTAGGACAAAAACAGCGTGCTACTATGGCTTACAGGCCACAAGCAAATGGAACAGCCGAACGAATGGTGCAAACCCTGACACATTCGCTCAAGATGTACGTGGCTGAAGTTGACCAGCGAGACTGGGATGAGTATGCTGAGCGGCTCACATTTGCCATTAAAACTGCACAAGATCGGATCCGGGGGGATACCCCGTTTTATCTGATTCATGGGTGGGACCCGCGATCGACTTTGGAGGCTACGCTACCAGTGGGAAATACGGGGACACGAGATCGCGATCCAAAGAGGTGGAGATACAAAATCCAAAGACAATACCAGCGAGCCCGATCTGCAGTGAACGATCGTTTACAAGCCGCGATCCAGGAGCGAGCGGATCGACACAACGAAGATCTGGAACCACACGAGATCGAAGTAGGAGCGCAAGTTTGGATATACCTGGACCGAGTTAAAGAGGGATATGCGAAGAAGCTAGCGCACATGTGGCATGGGCCATTCCGAGTTGCGGACGTATGTGGAGATCATGCTGTAAAATTGGAGATTGCTGGAACCCCATATCGGTTATTTCCGATTGTACATATATCGAAGCTAAAAAAGGTAAAGACGTTCCCTGAACGCCCGAAGGATCAGCTTACGATAGAGGGATCAGATCGCTTGGATTTCGATGAAGCTCTGCTGCCAGAAGACAGTTGGGATGGCGATCTTGAAGAAGGGGAATACGAAGTAGAGGCAATATTGGACGTGCGATCTGGTAGAAAAACCCGTTATGGGCGAGTACACCGGCAGTTTCTGGTGAAGTGGAAGGGATATCCCGATCTAAGTTGGGTGGACGAGGCCGATCTAAGTTGTGGGGCGATCTTGCAAGAGTTTGAGCGGAACCGAGTGAGTCGAAACCGTTTCGACGTAACGCAGTCTCATGAAGGCAAGTCGGACGAACCTTAACAGTTCGAACAAGTATGCGGGAGGTAGCATATGCGGATGTAGGGGTTGAAAGATGTGCTAGACGGTAGCACATGCTGGTGGATGAGGTTTTTGTATGTGAGTATGGAGATAGTCAAGTGAATTACCTTCCTGAATGATGTGGAGCGATGAGGATCGAGATTGTGGAAGCTGCAAAGAATTGAAGTACCAAAAAGAAGATGATTGAATGACTTACACGATTATGAAAGACGATCGGGCTTGGATATCGATCTTGGACTAAGACGATGGAGCAGGTTTGAACTTGTCCTGCAGACGAGGGATCTGCGATCCGGGATGATCCCAATAGGCGTTACGGAACTGGTTGCGCCAAGGATCCTCTTGGTCTGCCATGTCCAACGCCTCTAGCAAGTCAGCTGGGTCGTTAGAGTGTCCTAACCCTGGATACCAAACTCGGTCTTCATGTGGGCGCGGATAGTGGAGGAAGAAGGGATCTAGCAAGATGTCGAGATCGCAGTGGCCAGCGATCATGCCGCTGAGTATCATCTTCAAGAAGTTCTTCCAACGCGCTCCAAAGCGAGAACGGCGTTGTTTTCGTTGGCGCCAGAATGTCTGCATGAACCGTTCAGATCGCCGTTGAGCCGGAGGAATCGGGAAAGCATGAGTGGATTCCCACAGAGCTTGTCGATGAGTGACTCAAGCTCCAGGTACCGATGACTCATATCACGATACCATCCAGTCATGGTGAACGATATCGGGTTCACTGGGACTATGATATTATCCCAAGGGGCTGTAGCGTAAAGAGCCTCGATGTGTTGCCGCGAGATCAGCCCAGAAGCCCTAGTCCCCGTAGGCGGAGCTCGTCCATGATTGTAGAAGGGAAACAGAAAATACCTGGGCTTGGAGTAGTGGTGAAACAACAGCTCAATGGTCATGGTCCTCACGCAAACCATCGCGATCCGCGAAACGGACCATGGAGCAATCTCGGAAGCTACCCGTCGGGAGGGCGCCAGATAGTTGGGAATCCACCGATCCCGTGGTTGCTGGAGTGGCGGAAGATTGTCGAAGTCAACGGAAGAGAAAACTCTGTTAGCCACTTGGCGTGCCGGAAGGGTGATGCTGTTTTCGCTATCGGACGAATGGCGATCCGAAAGCGCAGTGGACTCCGGAGGCGGACTAACAGAGCCAGTCTCGCTGTGTGTCTCCCCTGTCGGCGATACCTCCACGTCTTCTACGCCGCCATTATCTTGAATTTCGACTACGGGGACAGCCGCGACCGGAGTGGATGGGTACGAAAGATAACGAGGCTCCGGAACGTCTGGAGAAGGCGAACGCAACAGTGCTTGAGCCAACGCAGTAGCTGCGGGAGAAGCGGGAACAACCCGAGCGGCCGGAGAGGGGTTCGGGGTCGAAGATCGGGCATCCGATCTAGGTTGACGACGAGAGGCCGATCTCGATTGGGATAATGCAGCACGAGTCAAATCATCGAGCTAGAATCCGACTCGGCAGCTCCTCACTTCCCGATCCAGTCCCAGAAGCCGCGGACGAAAGCGGAGAACAAGAAGAATTGGGTGGAGGCTCGGGTGGGGCCAATCCGGGAAGTTTGTTTAAAGGCATTGAACGGTTCAACGACAATAGCCGGGAAGCCACACGGGTGGTAGAAGAATCACTGGATTGTGACCTTGGTTGAATACGCCGACGCTTGGCAGGCGGGCCGGACGATCTCGATCTGGACTTACGGGCAAGCGATCTCGATCCCGGGGTAGTGGGAGCAGGGGGCGATCCGGCCGGAGTAGCACTCTTAGGCGTTGATCGAGCGGTCAACGCAGACGACCGGGATCCGAGTATAGCACTGTTCAGTGTGTCGAGGAGAGCACGGTGTTCACCTATAGCCTGATCCCGATCATGTTCCACCACCTGCAACTGGTCGTGTACCTCGAGGTGTTCCGCAAGCTGACGACGTAGGTTGGCGTTCTCCGCCTGCGAAAGTGCCAACTAACCCTCTAGGGGAGTCAAACCATCCACTTGTTGTATGAGATCGCTGATCGAAGACAGTCCATCTGCGATCTCCTCCTGAGACTGAGCCAATTTCTCCTTCAAGTGCAAAAAATCTATGTGAAGGAAGGACCTGTCCATGGTCAGCTGATCACGCTGCTGTCGGAGATAATTGAGTTCGGCTTGGAGCGAATGAAGCTGAGCCCTCAAAGCATCCACCTGTCGTTCCAAGTTCCCCTGAGCCTCGTCGTTGGCACATATCAAAGTGCGTAGCCGACGAATCTCTTCCGATTGATCTCGATATGTCCGCAGAGCTCGATTGCAATCACTCAAAGAATGCACTGCGTCGACGTAGCGGCCCTGCATCCAGTCATATCGACGCTGGACGAAGGAGACAAAAGGAGCGGCTGATCTGTACAGCGAATCAAGCTCGTCTTGTAAGCGATCCCCCCGGGCGACGGCATCTCGGTAGGACTGCTGGAGCGCATGAATGGTGTCGGCTTGGCTGCAGAAGGTAGCCTCTCGATCCCACAAATACGAGATCGTGGCCATCGTGAGACGAACGTCGTCGGCAGAAACCCGGGGAACGAAGCCGGTGACGCCCACAGCTGGAGCAGACCTTTCACGAGATTCATTAGCGGCCGGGATGTCGGATCTGGACGCATCTGGGGCCGCCGGAGGAGTGGGAAGCGGGAATGGCTCGGAAGAACGATCTGATAATTCCGCGTCGGTCGAGAGCGATCCTACCGATCTGGGATTACTGAGAGACTCATGTTGATCTGTAACGATAGGAGCATACCACCCGCGTTCCGGAGATCTAGATGGCGAGTCTCGGGATGGAGACGAGGGTCTGGTCGGCTGTCGATCTGGCGATCCTGTGGGGATTGTGGGCGATCCGGTTGGGCCTAGATGGCGCGGAGACCCAGGCCGATCGGGGACCGCTGGGGTGTGTCCTCCGAGATCGGGCGATCCGGGCGACAGGTCGCGATCCGGAGACAGAAACATGGTGGATCCTTCTGAAGAGATCGGCGAGGTGGGTGGATGCGTCGGAGAGGCCATGAGACGGACTTGAGTGCTTGGAACGAAGTTGATGAGTGACTGTACTGAGGTCAATTGCTGTACAAAAGACTTCAGTACAGGGGGCGGTTGTGGCAAAGTCACTACTCAAATTTTGTACGAGGATCGGTGGCCACACTGTGGCAAAGGCACTACTCAAATTTTGTACGAGGATCGGTTTCCACCCAGTTAAGATGTCACCCACTGGCGGAAGAGGTACGCCTAGGACCAGGCGATGCAACGTGATTTGAGACGGGGCGTAGAAAGGGGTGATTCCAACGGTGCGATCTGGGACGAGGGACTGGATTGAACCGAACGACCACTCTAAAGGCTGATCAAAGGAAAGGATGTGGATGTTGAAGCAGAATCATTTGAGAAAAGTACGCCTGGGACCAGGCGATGCGACGTGGTTTGAGACGGGGCGTAGCAAGGGGTGATTTCCACGGTGCGATCTGGGATGAGGGACTGGATTGAACCGAACGACCACTCTGAAGGCTGATCAGAGGCAAGGATGTGGATGTTGAAGCAGAATCATTTTGAAAAAGCATCGGAGTGCACACAATGAACGGAAGAACATATATGGCCGGATTGTACTGTGTCGATCCTCAACAATCTCGAATTGGGCATCAGATCGGTCATGATCCCCACTGATTATGGATGTATCGTTGATGAGAATTTTGGATCATGACAAACATGCTTGTTGAAGGTCCATGAGTGATGTCTCAAAAGTTCAGATCAAAAGAGCCAGTGGAAGCCGGTTAAATTGACGTCGCAAAATGGATTTAGACGCCTTCGGCATTTGGGCACTATTTTGGGCTTTTGGGTACCCAAAATGGGTATTTGGTACCCCATTTGGGATTTGGTCCTCTTTTGGCGTTCAGGTACGGTATCGGGAATATTGGCGCTATCATTGGAGTACAGGGCACGAAATTTCGACACGTGGCAAGGGGGCGATCCAGATTCAAGGCGATATCGGTTTGGAGAGTGACCTATAGTTAAGAATAGGCTTAAGGGTAGGTTGGATAGTAATTTGGTTGGTTAATAAACAGACTTGAACTCTACTTCTTCTGCTCACGACGCACGTTATCCTCCCCTCTTCTCCAGGCAAGATTGATTTGGCTTCCCCGGCGGGTTAAGGCACGCGTGTTACAGGGACACAGAAGACCGATCTTGGATTGTTGGCCAAGATCGAGAAGAGCGATCCCGGGATATCTGGCCCGGATCGATCAAGTACTCACACTCAACTCAACTGATAGGGTAGCAGCACACAACGGAAAAGGAAAAGGATTTTGGACACAGTATCGCGAGACGGCTCAAGTGGTCAGAAGATCTGGACAAGGCGTTCAAGACAAGACCGAGCAGGATTGAAGCGATCCCCTGGACAGATCGGCACGTTTCATTTTGGCGAAACAAGACACCGATCTACCCAAATTGCGCACTTCCGGCAAGATCGGCCGATCCCAAGACCAGATCGGACCGATCCCAAGGCAAGATCGACGCAGGACTTTAATTTGATGAGTGAAGATTTCCTCACAGCAAAGACCCCGATCTCGAAGACAAATCAAGATCGGTGCGATCCAAGATCGGGATCGCAGAACCCCCGTTCGTGGTGTGAAGATTTCCGCACCGGAAGCGAACCCTCAACCCAACCTCTCAGCGAGATCGACATCTCCCAAGGCCGTTACGAAGAGCTCAAGCCAGCCCAACCGACGGGTACACAAGGTGAGCACAAGGTCATACAACAAGGCACGGATCGGAGTACCCCCTCCGTGGGTCGGCAAGTCTGGGCAAGTGGAAGATCGACACTCATACAAGCAATTTTGTGAGATCGACTTCACCACAATGGTGCGCGTGCCCGGATCTTCTGAGGCCTCTGGATTTCACCGTGAGTCCACTGGCGAAGATGTCAAGATTAAGCAAGAACCTGGGATTGAAGTGTCAGCGACAAAGGGATCGACGCAGACACGCAGAAGCACAAGATCCTCAGATCATCAGAGTTTTGGGAGGGGCTCTGATGAAATGAAAATGAAAGAGGAAGATCGAGAGATCGATCTGGAAGATAAACCTCAATTCCCTCCTAGGGTCCCTTCGGGGGCCACCGCAGATCGCTCTGCAAAGAGCGATCTGCTGGATGAAAATCCAATGGTGAAAACCAAATCGGCGAAAGCCAAACCCTATATCTTAGTCGATAGATCGCCCGACCTCAAGCCGAAGAGCACAATCGCGAGATCGACCACATCAGAACGATCCGCGACGAGATCGATGGGATCAGATGTCACAGATCGCCAGATCGGCCGAACCGTGCAATCAAAGATCGGAGCCAAAGAGGAATACGATGAAACACCAGATAAGATCGCGATGCCAAAGACGGAATATAACCCAATAAAGATCGCGTCCATGGAGAAGGAGACGACGGGTGAAGCGCGGGAGCGTGCAAAATGGCAGTACTATTATGGCCAGTTGAAGACGCTGCTCAAGACGGACCCAGTGTTCAAGATATTAAGGCCCAAGGTGATTGGTCCTCTGGATAAGCCGATCTCGGTCCCACTTCACGGGACCAACAAAGTCGACGAGATCAATTTGATTTTGCAGATGTTGGACGACATGGGTATCTGCCCTGACGCTTTTGATGGAGATGAACTGCTGAGTTGCAGCTTGGAACCGTTGAAGGACGCGGCGAATGAGTTTGTAGAGATCATGATAATGCTGGTGGGCAAAGCGAATACTCCTGAAGACAAGATCGGGACGCCCTCGGGCTCGCTCCGTAAACACCCCGCGGGATCGCCCCGCTACGCCTCGGATGACTCCGAGAGCGAGTCAGATGGATCCATCAGCATTCGTCAGATGTCTCTAGGACCATCGGGTGGAAGGTTCTTAAAGGACAAGATCGGACAAGCCAAGATCGACGCCTATAAGGGACAAGCCAAGAGCAACATGCCGCAGAGATCGGCCAGTACCCGCACTGGGCTGGAGGATCAAGAAGAGGGCGATCTAAGTCGGTAATTCAATTCAGCCATGAAGAAGTACGAGGCGGATCAACGTACAGCTCAGCGAATGAATCGACAGCCAAACCGCTACCCAGATCGACGTACTTTGCTCCAACCTTCACACGAAAGCCTTGACATGCCGGATGTGGAGATGGAGTCGGTGGGGTCGGACATTTACCAACATATCCATGAGGCGGCGGAATACGACCCGGATGATCTATGGATGCCCGAACCACGGCGCCCTCATGTAGCCGCGACCGGGGCGACTACCGGAGGGGGAAGCATCACGCAGAGGATCAGAATCTCAGCGATTTCTGAGCTGAAAGAATTCTCAGGGAAGGATCGGGAAGAAGACAAAGCACGAAACTGGATCGGCAAAGTGAAATCAGCGTTTATCCGGGACCAAGCACCGGACGAGGAGAGATGTCTGGTCTTCGGTGATCTCATGGTGGGCACAGCCCGCTACTGGTACCGACAGCTGAGTAGATCGACGAGATTCAATTGGAAAGAATTGATGAACAGTTTTCTTGTGGAGTATGCGGGACACGGGATGTCCGCGAGCAGGCAGTACTACCACGCAAAGAAACGATCGGAGGAAGATCCTTTACAGTACCTGTATCGGCTTAATGTGATGCGAATGCAGGCGAAGATACCGGTGATGACTGGATTGCCAGCTGCGCGCAAGGAACATGTCAATCATTTCATTGACACCTTGGACGACCCCGATCTGTCCAATCAATTGCTACTGCTGAATGTAGAAGACGCGGAGGCCATGCAAAAAACACTGCACGGATATCAACAAGGGAGATCGCGTCAAGGGGAAGTGATGATGGGATCGTCCAAATTCAGGCAGAAGGGAACTCAGGGTCCAGCTCTGTCTAAGCCTGCACGAGCGGTAAGGATGGTCCGTACTGAGGACGTCTGCAGCGAGTCAGGATCGGACACCTGCGGATCGGATTTGGAAGATCGATTGAGATCGATCCATGTGGCTGCTACTGCGGATCGCCGTTCATCCCCCAATGACGTTGCAGCAAACGCGAGATCGGTCGACCCGAACACTCGTCAAGACTATCAAGATCGCAATATGCCATTGAAGCCGTGTACTCATTGCGGATCGACCAAGCATGGAAATCTCGGTTGCTGGAAGCGGCTCACTTGCCAGAAGTGTGGGCGTAAAGGACACCCCTCTGACAATTGTTTTTTCGTGTGTCGTGCTTGCGGTGAGATGCACGACCCGGGGAAGTGTCCCATGGAGGAGTTCTACAACATGATCCGTCAGTGGTACGTCCCGAATAAGCATGCGGGGATGCTACCAGATAAGGCCGAGAAGATGTTAAACTAGGACGCTCGCCAGGTTTGAATCTGGTACGAGCCGAGCGTTCTGGGCTCTGCATATTTGCATACGTGGAAAAAAAGAAGACAGATCGCGAGAGTAAGCAAGATATTGACGTGGAAACAAATATATCTCGTTCGAAGTTAAAACGTGTCGCTTCCGTGTCCCATCTGAAGCGGATCGATGAGTACTCACGATCTGAACCAGCTATGGAGATCGAGCTCGCTTATGGTGAATCTCGCGGATACTGGAAACATTATTCACCCGGGGAGTGGTTCAAACAAGCGAAAGCCGTTGGCAAGATCAACAACGTAAAAGCTACTCTGTTATTTGATTCTGGTGCTGAAGTGTCGATCATTGACACCACCTTTGCTCGTGAGGTCGGTTGCAATATTGACGAAAGTCAACGACAAGAATGTATCGGGATTGGAGAAACTCCGTACATGACGGTAGGACGTACCAAGATCAAGGTGACCCTCGCGGGATCGCTGGTATACTATTTCAATGTATGGGTAGGCGATCTGGCAGGGCAAGAAGCGATTCTGGGTATGGATTTTATGGTGCCTGCTGGAGTGCGGCTCGTGATGAACTTTAGACTTCTTGGTCCGAGTGCAAAACGCAAAGTGAATATATATTTATAATAGGTACTTAGTTCGCAACTTTGAATACTACCTCTAAGCCTATTATTCGCAGTGACGTCATCCAGTGACGTCACCCACTGACGTCATGCAATGACGTCATCCAATGACGTCACCCACTGACGTCATCCAATGACGTCATTTCCTGACTTCGCCCTTACTGGTACATACCGGTACCCACCGGTATAGCGAAGCTTGGTCTTCCACTTGCTTCAACACTTGACGCAGCTTGACGAGGTGTCTTCTTCACAGCCGCTGTCTTTTCAACACTCCCTCTCGACTCGTTAGCTGCGGCACCTTGGATCCCAAGTCGATCGCGAATGTTTTCAAATTGTACAGCGGCGATCGGCTTGGTCATCATGTCTGCCAGCATATCTTGAGTCGGGCAATACTCCAAAACGACTTCACCTGATTCCACCTTCTCACGCACAAAATGGTAGCGTATGTCGATGTGTTTTGTTCTCTTATGGAACTCCGGGTTCTTGGCGAGAGCGATTGATCCTTGGTTGTCTTCATACATCTTGATCGCTTCGTCGCTTGTCATCTCACCAAGTTCCCCCAAAAGCACCTTGAGCCATACTGCTTCTTTCGTTGCTTCGGAAAGCGCCATGTATTCTGCTTCTGTTGAAGATAGCGCGACCGTCCGTTGTTTCTGGCTTTTCCAGCTGATGCATCCTCCGTTCATCATGAACACATAGCCGCTTGTACTTCGTCTTGACTCAATGTCGCCGGCCCAGTCTGCGTCGGTGTACTCGCAGATACGGCTTCCTTCTTCACGTGTAAACTCAAGACCATGATTGGGCGTTGCTTGCAGGTATCTCAGCACACGCTTCAAAGCTTGCCAGTGAGTCGGGCATGGGTCGGACGAGAACTGGGATAATGATCCCACTGCAGCAGCTAGATCCGGACGTGTGGCGACCATGAGATACATGATGCCTCCGACAGCACTTCGATATGGCACGTTGCACATGGTGTCTTCGTGCTTGCATTCTTGTTCACACATGTTCTTGGTTAGCTTCAGGCCGGGATCTTGAGGCGTCTTCACTGGCTTGCTGTTATCCATTCCGAGCTTGGTCAACACGGACTTGAGAAACTTGGTTTGTTGCACAGTCACCATTCCCGTCTTACGGTCGTTCTTGATCTCCATGCCGAGAAAGTAACTGAGCTCACCGAGATCCGTCATTTCGAAGCGTTTGCTCAGCGCCATCTTGGTCGACTTGAGGAGTTCGTTGTTGCTGCTGGCCAGGATGAGATCATCGACGTAGAGCACCACGAGAATCATGTCTTGGTCGTCTCGCTTGATGTAGATGCAGTGGTCCGATTCGCACTTCTTGAATCCCATCTTGATCATGAACCCATCGATTGTTTGGTTCCACATGCGAGGCGATTGCTTCAAGCCGTAGAGTGATCTCTTTAGCTTGCACACATAGTCCGGCTGTGTTGCATCCAGGTATCCGTCCGGCTGGTCCATGTAGATGTCTTCGTTGAGGGAGCCGTTAAGAAACGCTGTCTTGACGTCCATCTGATGTAGCATTAGGCCGTACTTGGCCGCCATACTGAGCACCACACGAATCGATGTGAACTTGGCCACCGGTGCGAAAGTTTCTTCATAGTCAACTCCGAATTTCTGTGAGAATCCTTTGGCCACAAGTCTTGCCTTGAAACGTTCAACTTCGCCATCTTGATTCTCCTTTACACGAAAAACCCATCGGCACCCGATGGCCTTGCGACCTTTCGGAAGAGGCACGATTTCCCACGTGTCGTTTCTCTGAAGCGAGTCGAACTCCGAGTCACACGCTTCTTTCCACTTGCCGGAGTCGCTTGATTCCATCGCCGACTTGAATGTAGTCGGCGTTTCCCCCACTGAATCAACGATGTAGGCTGCTTCAAAATCCATTGCAGCCGCTGACACATGCTCAAGCGACGGACCTCTGTACGTTCTTCGCTTGGGACTTGGAATGACGGTAGCTTTCTCAAGTGATTGAGTGCGCGTGTGTCTCTTGATGTTGCTCTTCGAAGACCTGGTGTCTTCGTTGTCATCGTCGCTCGAGTCCATGTCGTCGTCAGTTTTACCTTCTTCTTTTTCTTCGTCCTCGTCTTGATCATCAAACTCAACGGCACTTGACTCATCGTTGTAGTTGCGCGGACCTTCATCAAATTTGTCTTCCATGAATGTGGCATCGCGACTGATCTTGATCGCTCCTGTTGACACTTCCTCAAATCGATATGACTTCTGGTGTTCGGCGTATCCCAGGAAACGACAGAGTGATGACTTGGAGTCGAACTTCGCGCGTTTGTCTTGAGGCACTTGAACATACGCGTGGCATCCAAACACTTTAAGGTTGGCCAGAATCGGTTTCTTCATCGTCCACACTTGATATGGAGACTTGTCTTGGTGAATGGCACGTGTTGGACAGCGGTTTCGAAGAAACATCGCCGTCATCACTGCTTCACCCCAGTAGCTCTTTCCCAGTCCAGCGTGTTCCATCATGCAACGCGCACACTCGACCAGCGTGCGATTCATTCTCTCAGCTACTCCGTTTAGCTGAGGAGTATAGGGGGGTGTGAACCTTTGTTGTATTCCCCGTTCCGCGCAGAATCTTGCCAGCTTGTCGGACTTGTATTTCCACCCCCATTGTCGCTTTGAAGGTACTTCACGCGCTTTCCGGTTTGCGTTTCGGCCATCGCAGCGTATTCCATGAACTTCGCCGCAACTTCAGATTTTCTCTTGAGCAGATAGACGACACAGTATCTTGACTTGTCATCGATGAATGTCACGAAGTACCGTTTTCCACTGAAAGTTGCCATCGACATCGGTCCGCATACGTCGCTGTGAATCACTTCGAGGAGTTTGGAGGTGCGAGCTGTAGTGTTTGATTGGAAGCGCACTCGAGTCTGTTTTCCCAGAGCACAACCTTCACACACGTCCCACTTCTTCACCGAAGATATGTCGATGCCAATTCCAATGTTCTTCGTCACGATGCAATTGAGTCCATCGTGACCTATGTGGCCAAGCCGAAGGTGCCAGAGGTACGACTTGGTGCCCCCTTGACATCCCGACGACTTGGCTGCATTTGCTTGTTCCGGCGCCACTGGAGTCATTTGCAGCTTGAACAGTTCTTTACCTTCACGGGCACCAATTTTCCACTTGGTCCCTTTCGCTTCTCCATAGCACCCATCCTTCGTGAACGTCACTGGGCCGACATCCTTGGTGAAGCGGCCGACCGAGAACAGGTTTCTGGATAACTTTGGGATGTGCCACACGTTTGTGAGCACACCTTTCTTCATCCCTTGGGGTGTCTTCATCGACATGACAATGTCCCCACTGCCGATTGCTTGGACGATTCCATCATCCGCGAGATGGACATCCACAGCGTCAAACCCCTTGTAGTTCCGCATGAACTTCTTGGAGCACGTCATGTGCTGCGTCGCCCCGGAGTCGACCAGCCAGATGTCGCTCGATTTTGCAGATGTCGTTTCACCGATCGAAAAGAGGTAGTCGCCCGAGTCTTCTTCTTGAGCGACGTTTGCACGTTGTGATCGATAGCGGTCGCCGCTGTCTTGAGCACGCTGTGTCCGGTGTCTCTCCGTGTTTTCTTGGATACGCGAGGGGCACTCCGCCATCCAGTGACCAATCTTTTCGCAATTGTGGCACGGCCAGGACTTCTTCACTGGTCGCCCTTTGCGCTGATTGTCCCTTGTGATGAACGCTTGACCTTGCGAAGCTTCATCACCTTTACTTCCTTGCTCCTTCCGCTTCATTTCTTCATGAAGCAGTCGAGACGTCACGAGCTCCCAGCTAAGAGTGTCTGAGCGCGACTCCAAAGCTGTGATCAAGAATTGATACGAGTCACTCAGGCTGCCGAGAAGTGTGATCACCAGATCGTCCTCGCAGACTGGAGCCCCCACCGCTTCTAGCTGTTCCGCCAGCGTCTTGAGCTTGTTGATGTGTTCGAGCACATCGTCGCCTTCTTCCATCATTGTCGTGAAGAAGCGACGGCGCAAGAACAGCTTGTTGGCAAGACTCTTCTTCTCGAAGTGGTCTTCCAACCTTGACCATGCGTCGCATGCACCACTTGCCGACCGGACCAACGGTAGCTGGGAATCTTCCATGGCTAGACAGATCACTGCCATCGCCTTTCTTGACTTCCTCTTGTACGTCGCTTGGTCCAACTGAGTCTCGCACTGTTCCGCCTTGATCTCACCGCTGACGACCTCCCATAGGTCCCGTTCCTCCAGCACCATCTGCATCTTGAACTTCCAGGCGTGGAAGTTAGTTCCATCGAACTTGGAGATGCGGAGGGAGGAGGCGTCCATGGCAGCTAAGCTTGAATTGTTGGCGGTTTCAGAGTCTGACGAACTTGGGCTCATAACCTGATGAACTTTAGACTTCTTGGTCCGAGTGCAAAACGCAAAGTGAATATATATTTATAATAGGTACTTAGTTCGCAACTTTGAATACTACCTCTAAGCCTATTATTCGCAGTGACGTCATCCAGTGACGTCACCCACTGACGTCATCCAATGACGTCATTTCCTGACTTCGCCCTTACTGGTACATACCGGTACCCACCGGTATTGCGAAGCTTGGTCTTCCACTTGCTTCAACACTTGACGCAGCTTGACGAGGTGTCTTCTTCACAGCCGCTGTCTTTTCAACAGCTCGATCTAGCGGATGGCGCGCTATGTCTACCAGAAGAAATCCGCATTCATCTCGCAGGACGTCGCCCCGCGTACGGATCGAAGATACAACATATAACGGCGAAGGACCAACACGTGGTGATCCCGGTTGGAGAGTCAAGGGAAGTGAAGATCGGGATCGGAGGGGCTAAGATGAAGTTGTGGGTCGCTAGAGGACTAGATTGGGTCCCCACTGTGATCTCGGGGTGGGGTAAGACGAAATACCTGCAGATGACCAACATTGGCGACCGTGAGATCATACTGCCCACCCACACTATATTAGGCATGTGGGTCGAAGGCGATATGGTACCGCGAACCCAAGGTTTGGTGACAGTCGGGTCGGGGAAGTACAAGGAATGGCAAACTCTGGCATATGAGGCTACGACGGATCGAGTGAACGAACTCCCGAAAGAACCGATCGGACCATTGGTAGATCGTCCTACGTATGCCGCTCCCAAACGCATCTTGAAACGTCCGTCTGATGCGTTACAGAACCTGTCTCCGGCGATCTCCACGGTAACGCCGCAAGCTAACGATGACGATTCGCAAAAGGCAGATGCTGTAGTTGCGAGGGAAGTAACGGTCAGGGGAGCCGAACTATCGCAGATGGAGAACGGTCATGAGATCGGTACCCAACATGCAACGAAGGGAGACCGTGACACCGGGCAAGAAGGGCTACGTGACAGATCATCTCTACCGAAGGCTGAGCCGACTGACCGACTGTTGAAATTGGGCCAGCCGGAAGAGACGAAGGAGTCTAAAGAAGAAATAATGCTAAATACTGAAGACGTCGAGATTGCAGAAATACCAGTTTATCACCACGAGAGCGGAGATTTGTTTGCGGAAGATATCGAGCAGCATATGGCCGTGCTACCAGAGATGTCGGCGACTACGGAAGAAGTTAAGATTGAGGACATTCAGATCGGTGATCCCGATGTGCCTCTCACCACAGATCAACAACGGCTCAGATCGCTGATCTGGAAGAGCCGTCACCTCCTCATAGGTAAAGGTAATGCTCTACCACCAGCAGCACGAGGCGCGATCTGTGATATTGATGTCGGTGGGGCAGCACCGATAGTGCAAAGAGTGCGTCCGGTCGCACCCAAATATCGGGAGAAGCTGTCAGATCTCATCAAAGGACTATTAGCAGCCAAAATCGTTCAGCCATCTACGTCACCTTGGGCGTCTCCGATAGTGGTGATCATCAAGAAGAACGGAGTGGATATTCGCCTTTGCATTGATTATCGAAGAGTTAACCAGCTGACGCGTCTGATGGTTTATCCCATGCCGTTGATCAGCGACCTGTTGGAAGATCTGGATAAAGCTCTATGGTACTGTTCGCTAGACATGGCTAGTGGATTTTGGGTCGTCGAAATGACTGAACGAGCAAAACTGATCTCAGCGTTTGTCACACCGTTTGGCTTGTTCGAGTGGCTGCGAATGCCTTTTGGGCTTAAGAACGCGCCCCAGATCTACCAACGTCTGGTGGACAATGCGTTGTATGGATATCTCAAGATCGGCCAGAGATCAGCTTCTGATGGCCCGATCGACGTGTTCAAAGATGGAGAACCTGAGACAGATCGACGACCGTCTATACTGGGACGCCGATCTTACATTGACGATATTCTCATACCAGCCACGTCATGGGGATCTTTGTACACAAAAGTAGAACGGTTGCTGGAGGCATGTGATAAGTGGAATCTGTCTATCAGCCTCACGAAGAGCTTTTGGGGGTGCCGTAAGGTCGATTATTTGGGACATCGAGTGTCGATGGATGGTCTGGAGGCTCAGCCCAAGAACCTAGAGTCGTTGGTTAACATCCCGTTTCCTAGCACGCTACGAGCTATGCAATCCTTTCTCGGGAGCTTGAACTACTACCGTCGCTTCATTGAGGATTTCGCGGTGTATGCCGCGGTGTTGTATGAGTTAAGAGAATCGGATTTCTTCTAGATCGACCGATCTCAGCTTGCAGCAGGAGACGAATGCTCCAACGAGGGTCGATGGACGGAAGCCAAGGTTGCTTTCACTATGCTAAAAGCTAAGATAGCTACAGCTCCCATGCTCAAGCATTTCGACTCAGATCGGTTCCCCGTAATCGTGGTCTACGCTAGCAAGTGGGCTGTCTCAGCGGCCCTGATACAGGAGTACGATGGCGTGTACCATCCGGTGACGTTTACTAGCCGCACTTTAAAGCCTAATGAGCTTAACTACGGAACGGTAGAAAAAGAAGTGCTGGCGCTACTTCGTGTGTTGGATGTATGCTATACTACGCTTGCCTCGCGGGAGATCACTGTACTGACCCGACATTCTACGTTAGCCTGGTTGATGCAGTCTCGAGGGCTCAACGGGAGATTAGGACGGTGGGCTGCTTTGTTGTCAAATTGGACTATGGAGGTGAAGAAATGTGAAAGAGGAGAGGAAGAAATCCTGGGCATGTTAGCAGCGAGTATCACTCCGAGAGGAGAGGTGGAAGAGATGCTGATTGCGATCTCCCCACGAAAAGACTGTCGACTCAAAATATCGATGCCTCCTCCAACGGTGGAAACAGATGAGGAGTTGCTGGTAGCCAGTTTCGATGGATCGGCTAGGATAAAAAAAGAAAGGAGGGTCGTTCAGTGCCGTGATATGGAAGTTACCCGAATGGACGATCGTGGCGGCCGAATCGAGATATGTTCACGATCTGACTGTGAATGAAGCTGAGTATAATGGCTTGCTACTGTGCTTTGAGTTACTCGCCGATCTGGATAGGGGGCGAGTAATACTGTGTGGAGATTCCAGTCTGGTGATTCGACATATGCGCGGTGATATCGACTGCAAGGCACCGGGCCTTCAGCTTCTGAGACACAAAGCGTTGGAGAAGCTGCAGTCATGGCCTAGTCACGAGTTTCTGCATATGAAGCGAGAGTGGAATCAGAGCGCAGATCGACTAGCCAGCACAGCATTGCAGAGCGAAAAGGGAAGAACGGTTGTAGCTGAAGAGGATCGGCAAGATCTGATGACTCTGAACCGTCTCGATGAATTGTTGAAGCCCAAGCAAGATGGTCAGCTAGCTCGGGTAACTGCGATCGCGAGATCAGCCAGGAGGATACGTCATGAACCTGAAGTGATACAGGAGGAGATAGTACAGAGGATCAGGATTCAACGAATTGTCCAAGCTCAAGATGAAGAGCGTTGGATTGTCAATCTCAAGACACATCTAAGTGGCGATGTATTAAACTTGGATGCAGTAGAAGTGAAGATGTGCGCCAAACTGGCGCCGGAATACGAGATCGATGAGAACAATCTGCTATTTTTTTGCCCCATGGCGAAAAGAGAGTCGGAAGATCGCGATGGTTTGATGCGGTTGATGATCCCGGAGACGTTGCAGCAGGATTTTTTGCATCACTATCACACGAGTCTGGAAGGAGGCCATCAGGGTATTGGCCGAACCTATCAGAGGATCAGATCGCGATTTCATTGGAGAGGACTGTATCGGAGCGTTCAACGATATGTGGGCAAATGTACCGACTGTGAGACCGGGAAAGGAAACCCGATGATTCATGGGAAATCCCCGGGCAATCTATGTTGAAAAGACAGCGGCTGTGAAGAAGACACCTCGTCAAGCTGCGTCAAGTGTTGAAGCAAGTGGAAGACCAAGCTTCGCTATACCGGTGGGTACCGGTATGTACCAGTAAGGGCGAAGTCAGGAAATGACGTCATTGGATGACGTCAGTGGGTGACGTCAGTGGGTGACGTCAGTGGGTGACGTCACTGGATGACGTCACTGCGAATAATAGGCTTAGAGGTAGTATTCAAAGTTGCGAACTAAGTACCTATTATAAATATATATTCACTTTGCGTTTTGCACTAGGACCAAGAAGTCCAAAGTTCATCAGGTTATGAGCCCAAGTTCGTCAGACTCTGAAACCGCCAACAATTCAAGCTTAGCTGCCATGGACGCCTCCTCCCTCCGCATCTCCAAGTTCGATGGAACTAACTTCCACGCCTGGAAGTTCAAGATGCGGATGGTGCTTGAGGAGCGGAACTTATGGGAGGTCGTCAGCGGTGAGATCAAGGCGGAACAGTGCGAGACTCAGTTGGACCAAGCGACGTACAAGAGGAAGTCAAGAAAGGCGATGGCAGTGATATGTCTAGCCATGGAAGATTCCCAGCTACCGTTGGTCCGGTCGGCAAGTGGTGCATGCGACGCATGGTCAAGGTTGGAAGACCACTTCGAGAAGAAGAGTCTTGCCAACAAGCTGTTCTTGCGCCGTCGCTTCTTCACGACAATGATGGAAGAAGGCGACGATGTGCTCGAACACATCAACAAGCTCAAGACGCTGGCGGAACAGCTAGAAGCGGTGGGGGCTCCAGTCTGCGAGGACGATCTGGTGATCACACTTCTCGGCAGCCTGAGTGACTCGTATCAATTCTTGATCATAGCTTTGGAGTCGCGCTCAGACACTCTTAGCTGGGAGCTCGTGACGTCTCGACTGCTTCATGAAGAAATGAAGCGGAAGGAGCAAGGAAGTAAAGGTGATGAAGCTTCGCAAGGTCAAGTGTTCATCACAAGGGACAATCAGCGCAAAGGGCGACCAGTGAAGAAGTCCTGGCCGTGCCACAATTGCGGAAAGATTGGTCATTGGATGGCGGAGTGCCCCTCGCGCATCCAAGAAAACACGGAGAGACACCGGCCACAGCGTGCTCAAGACAGCGGCGACCGCTATCGATCACAACGTGCAAACGTCGCTCAAGAAGAAGACTCGGGCGACTACCTCTTTTCGATCGGTGAAACGACATCTGCGAAATCGAGCGACATCTGGCTGGTCGACTCCGGGGCGACGCAGCACATGACGTGCTCCAAGAAGTTCATGCGGAACTACAAGGGGTTTGACGCTGTGGATGTCCATCTCGCGGATGATGGAATCGTCCAAGCAATCGGCAGTGGGGACATTGTCATGTCGATGAAGACACCCCAAGGGATGAAGAAAGGTGTGCTCACAAACGTGTGGCACATCCCAAAGTTATCCAGAAACCTGTTCTCGGTCGGCCGCTTCACCAAGGATGTCGGCCCAGTGACGTTCACGAAGGATGGGTGCTATGGAGAAGCGAAAGGGACCAAGTGGAAAATTGGTGCCCGTAAAGGTAAAGGACTGTTCAAGCTGCAAATGACTCCAGTGGCGCCGGAACAAGCAAATGCAGCCAAGTCGTCGGGATGTCAAGGGGGCACCAAGTCGTACCTCTGGCACCTTCGGCTTGGCCACATAGGTCACGATGGACTCAATTGCATCGTGACGAAGAACATTGGAATTGGCATCGACATATCTTCGGTGAAGAAGTGGGACGTGTGTGAAGGTTGTGCTCTGGGAAAACAGACTCGAGTGCGCTTCCAATCAAACACTACAGCTCGCACCTCCAAACTCCTCGAAGTGATTCACAGCGACGTATGCGGACCGATGTCGATGGCAACTTTCAGTGGAAAACGGTACTTCGTGACATTCGTCGATGACAAGTCAAGATACTGTGTCGTCTATCTGCTCAAGAGCAAATCTGAAGTTGCGGCGAAGTTCATGGAATACGCTGCGATGGCCGAAACGCAAACCGGAAAGCGCGTGAAGTACCTTCAAAGCGACAATGGGGGTGAATACAAGTCCGACAAGCTGGCAAGATTCTGCGCGGAACGGGGAATACAACAAAGGTTCACACCCCCATATACTCCTCAGCTAAACGGAGTAGCTGAGAGAATGAATCGCACGCTGGTCGAGTGTGCGCGTTGCATGATGGAACACGCTGGACTGGGAAAGAGCTACTGGGGTGAAGCAGTGATGACGGCGATGTTTCTTCGAAACCGCTGTCCAACACGTGCCATTCACCAAGACAAGTCTCCATATCAAGTGTGGACGATGAAGAAACCGATTCTGGCCAACCTTAAAGTGTTTGGATGCCACGCGTATGTTCAAGTGCCTCAAGACAAACGCGCGAAGTTCGACTCCAAGTCATTACTCTGTCGTTTCCTGTGATACGCCGAACACCAGAAGTCATATCGATTTGAGGAAGTGTCAACAGGAGCGATCAAGATCAGTCGCGATGCCACATTCATGGAAGACAAGTTTGATGAAGGTCCGCGCAACTACAACGATGAGTCAAGTGCCGTTGAGTTTGATGATCAAGACGAGGACGAAGAAAAAGAAGAAGGTAAAACTGACGACGACATGGACTCGAGCGACGATGACAACGAAGACACCAGGTCTTCGAAGAGCAACATCAAGAGACACACGCGCACTCAATCACTTGAGAAAGCTACCGTCATTCCAAGTCCCAAGCGAAGAACGTACAGAGGTCCGTCGCTTGAGCATGTGTCAGCGGCTGCAATGGATTTTGAAGCAGCCTACATCGTTGATTCAGTGGGGAAACGCCGACTACATTCAAGTCGGCGATGGAATCAAGCGACTCCGGCAAGTGGAAAGAAGCGTGTGACTCGGAGTTCGACTCGCTTCAGAGAAACGACACGTGGGAAATCGTGCCTCTTCCGAAAGGTCGCAAGGCCATCGGGTGCCGATGGGTTTTTCGTGTAAAGGAGAATCAAGATGGCGAAGTTGAACGTTTCAAGGCAAGACTTGTGGCCAAAGGATTCTCACAGAAATTCGGAGTTGACTATGAAGAAACTTTCGCACCGGTGGCCAAGTTCACATCGATTCGTGTGGTGCTCAGTATGGCGGCCAAGTACGGCCTAATGCTACATCAGATGGACGTCAAGACAGCGTTTCTTAACGGCTCCCTCAACGAAGACATCTACATGGACCAGCCGGACGGATACCTGGATGCAACACAGCCGGACTATGTGTGCAAGCTAAAGAGATCACTCTACGGCTTGAAGCAATCGCCTCGCATGTGGAACCAAACAATCGATGGGTTCATGATCAAGATGGGATTCAAGAAGTGCGAATCGGACCACTGCATCTACATCAAGCGAGACGACCAAGACATGATTCTCGTGGTGCTCTACGTCGATGATCTCATCCTGGCCAGCAGCAACAACGAACTCCTCAAGTCGACCAAGATGGCGCTGCGCAAACGCTTCGAAATGACGGATCTCGGTGAGCTCGATTACTTTCTCGGCATGGAGATCAAGAACGACCGTAAGACGGGAATTGTGACTGTGCAACAAACCAAGTTTCTCAAGTCCGTGTTGACCAAGTTCGGAATGGATAACAGCAAGCCAGTGAAGACGCCTCAAGATCCCGGCCTGAAGCTAACCAAGAACATGTGTGAACAAGAATGCAAGCACGAAGACACCATGTGCAACGTGCCATATCGAAGTGCTGTCGGAGGCATCATGTATCTCATGGTTGCCACACGTCCGGATCTAGCTGCTGCAGTGGGATCATTATCCCAGTTCTCGTCCGACCCATGCCCGACTCACTGGCAAGCTTTGAAGCGTGTGCTGAGATACCTGCAAGCAACGCCCAATCATGGTCTTGAGTTTACACGTGAAGAAGGAAGCCGTATCTGCGGGTACACCGACGCAGACTGGGCCGGCGACATTGAGTCAAGACGAAGTACAAGCGGCTATGTGTTCATGATGAACGGAGGATGCATCAGCTAGAAAAGCCAGAAACAACGGACGGTCGCGCTATCTTCAACAGAAGCAGAATACATGGCGCTTTCCGAAGCAACCAAAGAAGCAGTATGGCTCAAGGTGCTTTTGGGGGAACTTGGTGAGATGACAAGCGACGAAGCGATCAAGATGTATGAAGACAACCAAGGATCAATCGCTCTCGCCAAGAACCCGGAGTTCCATAAGAGAACAAAACACATCGACATACGCTACCATTTTGTGCGTGAGAAGGTGGAATCAGGTGAAGTCGTTTTGGAGTATTGCCCGACTCAAGATATGCTGGCAGACATGATGACCAAGCCGATCGCCGCTGTACAATTTGAAAACATTCGCGATCGACTTGGGATCCAAGGTGCCGCAGCTAACGAGTCGAGAGGGAGTGTTGAAAAGACAGCGGCTGTGAAGAAGACACCTCGTCAAGCTGCGTCAAGTGTTGAAGCAAGTGGAAGACCAAGCTTCGCTATACCGGTGGGTACCGGTATGTACCAGTAAGGACGAAGTCAGGAAATGACGTCATTGGATGACGTCAGTGGGTGACGTCACTGGATGACGTCATTGCATGACGTCAGTGGGTGACGTCAGTGGGTGACGTCACTGCGAATAATAGGCTTAGAGGTAGTATTCAAAGTTGCGAACTAAGTACCTATTATAAATATATATTCACTTTGCGTTTTGCACTCGGACCAAGAAGTCTAAAGTTCATAAATCTACACGCAACCTATCCATTCCAGATCATCGCCATGGATCATATACCGTCGTTGCCCAAGTGCTCATTTGGGTCGACCTTTTCTCGGGATATGTGATTGCAAAGGCTAGCTCCTCTCGGACGGCACAAACAATAGCGGAGAATTACGAAGAATGTGTGTTTCGACGCTTCGGAGCTAGCGAGGCTATCAGGCACGATAGAGAACCGGGATTTATGTCCGACTTCTTTCGAGCCTTCAGTCGGATCGTAGGACAAAAACAGCGTGCTACTATGGCTTACAGGCCACAAGCAAATGGAACAGCCGAACGAATGGTGCAAACCCTGACACATTCGCTCAAGATGTACGTGGCTGAAGTTGACCAGCGAGACTGGGATGAGTATGCTGAGCGGCTCACATTTGCCATTAACACTGCACAAGATCGGATCCGAGGGATACCCCGTTTTATCTGATTCATGGGTGGGACCCGCGATCGACTTTGGAGGCTACGCTACCAGTGGGGAATACGGGGACACGAGATCGCGATCCAAAGAGGTGGAGATACAAAATCCAAAGACAATACCAGCGAGCCCGATCTGCAGTGAACGATCGTTTACAAGCCGCGATCCAGGAGCGAGCAGATCGACACAACGAAGATCTGGAACCACACGAGATCGAAGTAGGAGCGCAAGTTTGGATATACCTGGACCGAGTTAAAGAAGGATATGCGAAGAAGCTAGCGCACATGTGGCATGGGCCATTCCGAGTTGCGGACGTATGTGGAGATCATGCTGTAAAATTGGAGATCGCTGGAACCCCATATCGGTTATTTCCGATTGTACATATATCGAAGCTAAAAAAGGTAAAGACGTTCCCTGAACGCCCGAAGGATCAGCTTACGATAGAGGAATCAGATCGCTTGGATTTCGATGAAGCTCTGCTGCCAGAAGACAGTTGGGATGGCGATCTTGAAGAAGGGGAATACGAAGTAGAGGCAATATCGGACGTGCGATCTGGTAGAAAAACCCGTTATGGGCGAGTACACCGGCAGTTTCTGGTGAAGTGGAAGGGATATCCCGATCTAAGTTGGGTGGACGAGGCCGATCTAAGTTGTGGGGCGATCTTGCAAGAGTTTGAGCGGAACCGAGTGAGTCGAAACCGTTTCGACGTAATGCAGTCTCATGAAGGCAAGTCGGATGAACCTTAACAGTTCGAACAAGTATGCGGGAGGTAGCATATGCGGATGTAGGGGTTGAAAGATGTGCTAGACGGTAGCACATGCTGGTGGATGAGGTTTTTGTATGTGAGTATGGAGATAGTCAAGTGAATTACCTTCCTGAATGATGTGGAGCGATGAGGATCGAGATCGTGGAAGCTGCAAAGAATTGAAGTACCAAAAAGAAGACGATTGAATGACTTACACGATCATGAAAGACGATCGGGCTTGGATATCGACCTTGGACTAAGACGATGGAGCAGGTTTGAACTTGTCCTGCAGACGAGGGATCTGCGATCCGGGATGATCTAGATGGCGCGGAGAGCCAGGCCGATCGGGGACCGCTGGGGTGTGTCCTCCGAGATCGGTCGATCCGGGCGACAGGTCGCGATCCGGAGACAGAAACATGGTGGATCCTTCTGAAGAGATCGGCGAGGTGGGTGGATGCGTCGGAGAGACCATGAGACGGACTTGAGTGCTTGGAACGAAGTTGATGAGTGACTGTACTGAGGTCGATTGCTGTACAAAAGACTTCAGTACAGGGGGCGGTTGTGGCAAAGTCACTACTCAAATTTTGTACGAGGATCGGTTTCCACCCAGTTAAGATGTCACCCACTGGCGGAAGAGGTACGCCTAGGACCAGGCGATGCAACGTGATTTGAGACGGGGCGTAGAAAGGGGTGATTTCCACGGTGCGATCTGGGACGAGGGACTGGATTGAACCGAACGACCACTCTAAAGGCTGATCAAAGGAAAGGATGTGGATGTTGAAGCAGAATCATTTGAGAAAAGTACGCCTGGGACCAGGCGATGCGACGTGGTTTGAGATGGGGCGTAGCAAGGGGTGATTTCCACGGTGCGATCTGGGATGAGGGACTGGATTGAACCGAACGACCACTCTGAAGGCTGATCAGAGGCAAGGATGTGGATGTTGAAGCAGAATCATTTTGAAAAAGCATCGGAGTGCACACAATGAACGGAAGAACATATATGGCCGGATTGTACTGTGTCGATCCTCAACAATCTCGAATTGGGCATCAGATCGGTCATGATCCCCACTGATTATGGATGTATCGTTGATGAGAATTTTGGATCATGACAAACATGCTTGTTGAAGGTCCATGAGTGATGTCTCAAAAGTTCAGATCAAAAGAGCCAGTGGAAGCCGGTTAAATTGACGTCGCAAAATGGATTTAGACGCCTTCGGCATTTGGGCACTATTTTGGGCTTTTGGGTACCCAAAATGGGTATTTGGTACCCCATTTGGGATTTGGTCCTCTTTTGGCGTTCAGGTACGGTATCGGGGATATTGGCGCTATCATTGGAGTACAGGGCACGAAATTTCGACACGTGGCAAGGGGGCGATCCAGATTCAAGGCGATATCGGTTTGGAGAGTGACCTATAGTTAAGAATAGGCTTAAGGGTAGGCTGGATAGTAATTTGGTTGGTTAATAAACAGACTTGAACTCTACTTCTTCTGCTCACGACGCACGTTATCCTCCCCTCTTCTCCAGGCAAGATTGATTTGGCTTCCCCGGCGGGTTAAGGCACGCGTGTTACAGGGACACAGAAGACCGATCTTGGATTGTTGGCCAAGATCGAGAAGAGCGATCCCGGGATATCTGGCCCGGATCGATCAAGTACTCATACTCAACTCAACTGCTAGGGTAGCAGCACACAACGGAAAAGGAAAAGGATCTTGGACACAGGATCGCGAGACGGCTCAAGTGGTCAGAAGATCTGGACAAGGCGTTCAAGACAAGACCGAGCAGGATTGAAGCGATCCCCTGGACAGATCGGCACGTTTCATTTTGACGAAACAAGACACCGATCTACCCAAATTGCGCACTTCCGGCAAGATCGGCCGATCCCAAGACCAGATCGGACCGATCCCAAGGCAAGATCGACGCAGGACTTTTATTTGCTGAGTGAAGATTTCCGCACAGCAAAGACCCCGATCTCGAAGACAAATCAAGATCGGTGCGATCCAAGATCGGGATCGCAGAACCCCCGTTCGTGGTGTGAAGATTTCCGCACCGGAAGCGAACCCTCAACCCAACCTCTCAGCGAGATCGACATCTCCCAAGGCTGTTACGAAGAGCTCAAGCCAGCCCAACCGACGGGTACACAAGGTGAGCACAAGGTCATACAACAAGGCACGGATCGGAGTACCCCCTCCGTGAGTCGGCAAGTCTGGGCAAGTGGAAGATCGACACTCATACAAGCAATTTTGTGAGATCGACTTCACCACAACACCTTTAAAGCGCCGCTTACTGGTGGAAAAGGAGGCCATGAGACTCGGCGATCCAATACGGAGGTGGAAGATGATCTTAACGGGATCGGCGAACCGATCCAACTGTCGTTAGACTAATGGGTATGGGTCGACCTGGGACGGAGCGATCTGGAACGATTTACATGGAACTATCTGGGACAAGGATCTGGGACCGGGTGATGGGATATGACTCTGCGACGAAGGTGTAACATCTTGCAGAATGTTATGGGGCGATCTGGAACCAGACGTAGGGATGAAGTCATACAGCTCATTGGAATGCCGGTCAAGAAGAAGTATACGTACATTGAAGCAGGCTAAGATCAGATCGCAGATCGACATGTTGTGGCAACGGTTTGTTGGAGAATTGACACATCTGGGACAAGGTGACTCCCCAAAGTGCATCTGGGACCAGGTGGTACGGGTCGGTGAATCGGCAAAGAAGGTGCAACACCATACGGATCGGTGATACTCTTTACCGATCCTAAATTGGGAGTACTGATTTTGGTTAATTATACACCGATCTGGAAGTTTTGCATACTCAGGGGGTCAAGGAAACCGATGTCGAGACGTATGAATGAAGTTGTCGATTGGATAACACTGGAGGATGATATTGAAGCACGTATGAGGAGATGAAAAAGTGTTAATTGCCGATTTAGACCGGATCGACCTCCAACATCTCGATATTGGATGACAGATCTGTCATGTTCCACACTGATCATGAATATATGGTTGATGAAGATACTGGATCATGTGGAATATACTTGATAGAGGTCACTAAGTGATGTCAAGAAGTTTCATACCGAAAGAGCCAGTGGAAGCTGTCCGAATTGACGTCGCAAAGTGAATTGGGACACATTCGGCATTTTGGGTCATATATTGGGTACTTGGGTGCCAAGAATGGGTATTTGGTACCATATAGGAGATTTTGGTCCATTTGGTGCTCTAGGTACGATATCGGGGATATTGGCGCTATCATTGGAGTACAGGGCACGAAATTTCGACACGTGGCAAGGGGGCGATCCAGATTCAAGGCGATATCGGTTTGGAGAGTGACCTATAGTTAAGAATAGGCTTAAGGGTAGGTTGGATAGTAATTTGGTTGGTTAATAAACAGACTTGAACTCTACTTCTTCTGCTCACGACGCACGTTATCCTCCCCTCTTCTCCAGGCAAGATTGATTTGGCTTCCCCGGCGGGTTAAGGCACGCGTGTTACAGGGACACAAAAGACCGATCTTGGATTGTTGGCCAAGATCGAGAAGAGCGATCCCGGGATATCTGGCCCGGATCGATCAAGTACTCATACTCAACTCAACTGCTAGGGTAGCAGCACACAACGGAAAAGGAAAAGGATCTTGGACACAGGATCGCGAGACGGCTCAAGTGGTCAGAAGATCTGGACAAGGCGTTCAAGACAAGACCGAGCAGGATTGAAGCGATCCCCTGGACAGATCGGCACGTTTCATTTTGGCGAAACAAGACACCGATCTACCCAAATTGCGCACTTCCGGCAAGATCGGCCGATCCCAAGACCAGATCGGACCGATCCCAAGGCAAGATCGACGCAGGACTTTTATTTGCTGAGTGAAGATTTCCGCACAGCAAAGACCCCGATCTCGAAGACAAATCAAGATCGGTGCGATCCAAGATCGGGATCGCAGAACCCCCGTTCGTGGTGTGAAGATTTCCGCACCGGAAGCGAACCCTCAACCCAACCTCTCAGCGAGATCGACATCTCCCAAGGCTGTTACGAAGAGCTCAAGCCAGCCCAACCGACGGGTACACAAGGTGAGCACAAGGTCATACAACAAGGCACGGATCGGAGTACCTCCTCCGTGAGTCGGCAAGTCTGGGCAAGTGGAAGATCGACACTCATACAAGCAATTTTGTGAGATCGACTTCACCACAAAAACCTTCATGCGCGTATGGGCCACGCACCGATTGATGTCTTGTGCAGAATGGTCTCCAAGGGCATGATCAAGGATGCCAAGAAGCCAGCAAAATTGAGCGGATCAAGCGTGTGTCAAGGTTGTCTAGAAGGAAAAATGGTTCAACGACCGTTCCCGAGCAATCCAAACAAGCGCCACTACGATCCGTTTGAGCTTCTACACATCGACACTTGTGGTCCAATGGAAGTCGACTCGCTAGGTGGAAGCAAGTACTTGCTACTGATCGTCGATGAAGGCAGCGGATGTATGAAGGGTTTCAGTCTGCGCGCCAAGTCCGACAGCGAAGAGTGCATCAAGAAGTACATCATGGCAGTACAGACGCAGCTTGACTACAAGGTCAAGTTCGTTCGACACGATGGTGCACGAGAATTTGCGGCGAATTCGCTCAAGGCATTTACGATGATCAAGGAATCGAGCAGCAAGTTACCGTTCCGTATGCGCATCAGACCAACGGCACGGCGGAACGGGCAATTCGGACCATTGTGACGATCGGGCGCAGCATGCTTCACTACGCCAAGCTGGACAAGTGTTTTTGGGCTGAAGCAGCAATGACGGCGATCTACATCAAGAATTGCCTACCATCGCCCAAGTGCCAAGATCAAACCCCGTTTGAGATCGTCAGCGGATTTCGACCAAGTGTGAAGCACATGCGGGTTTTCGGCTGCCGAACGTTTGTGCTGACTCCTAAGGAAAAGAGATCGAAATGGGATCCGAAGGCTCGTGAAGGACTATTCATGGGGTACGAAGAAGTGTCAAAGGCATATCGCGTTTACGACATTGAAGCCGACCAAGTGGTGATATCTCGCGATGTCACATTCGACGAATCAACGCTTGGGTTCTCGCCGATGCTACCACAAGAAATTGTTGATGACACTGCGCTGGATATCGAATCGATGAACATCAGCGATGAGCCTCACCCCATGCAGTTCAAGCAAACTGGAAAATGCAAAAGCCGTTCAAACAGCCAAGAGCAAGTTCTACAACGGACACTTCTTGAGCGTCGTGGAACCGGGTTAGAAGAAGCAAGTGCCCCGGATGACTCTGAATCGCACCAAGCGAAGCGACGATCAAGCACTCGGGACAATCTGGACAAAGAGCGAAATGTCAGTGACGAAGATAACGAGGATGCTACACCTCAAGTCTTTTGGAGAGCGAGTGCCAATGCAGTCGAAGGTACTGACTTGTCTGAGCCGACAACGTTTAAAGATGCGGTTGATGGAGCAGATCAAGTGCATTGGCGTAAGGCAATCTGTGCCGAGTTGGACTCGATGAAACTTCGTGGCGTGTTTCGAGCGACCAAACTGCCGTCTGGACAGCATACCATTGGCACCAAGTGGGTATTCAAGATCAAGCGGAAAGCTGATGGATCCATCGACAAATACAAAGCGCGTCTCGTGGCAAAAGGGTTCAAGCAGAAATATGGCATCGACTACACGGAAACGTTTTCGCCGGTAGTCAAGTACGTGACGCTGCGCATGGTGGTTTCAATCACGAAGTACTTTGGCTGGACACTGGACCAACTGGACGTGGTGACAGCTTTCCTGTACGGAGAAATGAAGGAAAAGGTATTCTGCGCGATCCCAGAAGGAGTCGAAGTTGATGAAGACTTTGACTGCTTCGAATTGGTCAAGGCGATCTACGGACTAAAACAAGCATCGCGCGTATGGAACGAGACTTTTCATGAATTCGTCTGCTCCATTGGATTTCAAGTCTCCGATTTTGACCCGTGTCTTTATGTCAAGATTACAAGTGGCGAGTGCGTGCTTTTGCTGGTATACGTCGATGATGTGTTGGTGACTGGCAGCTCAACCGAACTGATTATGCGCACCAAGAGTGACTTAAAGGCAGGTTTCGAAATGACAGAGAGTGGGAAGTGCGCCTTCGTGTTGAGCATCGAGCTGGTGGACAACGACAACGGTAGCGTGACGATGTGCCAGCGACGCTACGTGGAAGATGTTCTCAAGCGTTTTGGCATGAGCGACTGCAAAGCCGTCACCAGCCCAACAGACATCAGTTCTCGACTCATACCAAGTACCGCAGCAGCTAAAATCGACGCCCCGTTTCGTGAAGCAGTAGGCGCTCTGATGCACTTGATGACCGCGACACGACCGGGCATTGCCTTTGCTGTGAGTTACGTTTCGCGCTTCATGGAAAACCCCCAAGTCGAGCATTGGATGGCGGTCAAGCGCATTTTGCAAAACTTACAAGGGACTAAGTCGCACGGTATCTGTTTCAAGCCTGATGACAAGATAGACTTCTGTGGCTACTCGGATGCAGACTGGGCCGGCGACCATGCAGACCGCAAGTCGACTTCAGGATATGCGTTTATCCTGATGGGTGCTCCGGTGAGCTGGGGAAGCAAAAAGCAGTCAAGTGTGTCGCTGTCAACAAGTGAAGCTGAGTACATTGCACTAAGTCTAACGATTCAAGAAGGCAAGTGGGTGCATCGATTGCTGTGCGAGATTCTGGATGCCGCAGAGGACAAGTCTGGACCCGAGCTCAAGATCATGGAAGACAACCAGTCGTGCATCAAGATGACGAAGAATCCTGTGAACCATGGTCGGGCCAAGCACATCGACATCAACTATGTTAACGGTCATCGGTTTTCTACCAGTATTGGTAACCGTGACCGATCCAATCCGAACCGCCTGTTCAGCTTAGTATTTACGACGTAGTTCTTACGGTAATTACCATAGTTGATTAGACGCGTAGGATGATGAGACGCTTCACCTGATTTATATGTACACCACATATAAATCATGTAGTAAGTAGTAAGCCCCGATAATCAATCACTTTCGAATCTTCCAACTGTTGGGCAAGTGTTTTCTGCTCTACTCTCTTCGGTCTCTCCGCTCCGTTCGCTCCGCTTTCCTCGCTCCGATCTACAATGCAACAGGTTATGAGCCCAAGCGCCATGTCGTCCACCAGCAACGCCTCCATTGACAAGTTCAACGGAGACAATTACGCAACGTGGAGCCGGTACATGCGCGGTGTGTTTTTGACGAAGTCCGTCTGGCACGTCGTCAACCGTGAAGTGACTCCGACTTTCACCGACCCGCGAGCGTCCGATGACTACGTCAAGGCAAGCAACGTCGCGTTTGGTATGATGCTGCTGCACATGAACGCGGACTACCATCATGTGCTGGACAACTGCGAGGAAGCCTGGGTTGCGTGGACAAGTCTGAAGACGCTGTACGGTGGGTCGCAGAAGGCAGGACGCATCTACCTCAAGCGACAAATTTTCAGTATCAAGATGGATGAAGGCGCGAACGTCATGCATCACTGCAACGAGGTCCTCAACATCTCCGCCAAGCTTAGCGGCATCGGTGCGAAGATGGAAGACGAAGACGTTGCAATTTGTCTGCTACTCAGTCTTCCGAAGAGCTACGAAAATGTGGTGCTCAACATGGAAATGAGCAGCACCGAGCTTCGCACTCAAGATGTGGTGAGAGTCCTGACGAATGAGCATGCCAAGCGTCAAGGAGAAAAAGGGACAACGACAGCGACTACGGTGAAGGCTGAAGATGCAAGCAAGGCATTCAGCGCCGAACGTGAGCCCTACCAATGCACGTATTGTGGCAAGGTGGGACACACGGTGGATCGTTGCTGGACAAAGTAGAAGAACGAAGGTCGGGGAGCCCGACGCGGCGGCAATGGTCGTGGACGCGGGGCTAACAATGTCCAGTGGGGACATCATGATGAAGGCAATGGCTACGATCGAGTGGCGTTTGCAGTCTGTTGGTGACTGGCAGCTCAACCGAACTGATTATGCGCACCAAGAGTGACTTAAAGGCAGGTTTCGAAATGACAGAGAGTGGGAAGTGCGCCTTCGTGTTGAGCATCGAGCTGGTGGACAACGACAACGTTAGCGTGACGATGTGCCAGCGACGCTACGTGGAAGATGTTCTCAAGCGTTTTGGCATGAGCGACTGCAAAGCCGTCACCAGCCCAACAGACATCAGTTCTCGACTCATACCAAGTACCGCAGCAACTAAAATCGACGCCCCGTTTCGTGAAGCAGTAGGCGCTCTGATGCACTTGATGACCGCGACACGACCGGGCATTGCCTTTGCTGTGAGTTACGTTTCGCGCTTCATGGAAAACCCCCAAGTCGAGCATTGGATGGCGTTCAAGCGCATTTTGCAATACTTACAAGGGACTAAGTCGCACGGTATCTGTTTCAAGCCTGATGACAAGATAGACTTCTGTGGCTACTCGGATGCAGACTGGGCCGGCGACCATGCAGACCGCAAGTCGACTTCAGGATATGCGTTTATCCTGATGGGTGCTCCGGTGAGCTGGGGAAGCAAAAAGCAGTCAAGTGTGTCGCTGTCAACAAGTGAAGCTGAGTACATTGCACTAAGTCTGGCGATTCAAGAAGGCAAGTGGGTGCATCGATTGCTGTGCGAGATTCTGGATGCCGTAGAGGACAAGTCTGGACCCGAGCTCAAGATCATGGAAGACAACCAGTCGTGCATCAAGATGACGAAGAATCCTGTGAACCATGGTCGGGCCAAGCACATCGACATCAAGTACCATCACATTCGTGATGAAGTCAAGCGTGGTGATGTCAAGTTGGAGTACTGCGAGACTAAGATTATGTTGGCGGACATCATGACGAAGGGACTGCCAGGACCGCGTCACAAGGACTTGACGGCAGCGCTCGGCATACACGCGTGTTCGCATTGAGGGGGCGTATTGTGGGTTGACGGTTGAGGTACTGCTATCAGCTACCATGAGAACCGTAAACCTGTCCAAGTCGATCCCGCGTAATTACGGTGAGTTTTTACCAATGATTAGACGCATAGGATGATTGGATGACCTACATGATTTACGTATCATGATTTTTATGTGGACAACATATAAATCAGTGCAGAGATAAATCAGGTAGCTTTAACAAAACCCACAAATAAATTCACTTCCAAATATTCCTTCTCCTACACAAGTCGTCTCAATTCGCAGTGTAGACTTCTTTCAAGCCTTTCAAGCTTCGTTTTCTCGCCCAGTGCTCTTCAGCCCTAACAAATGCGTCAGGACCAAGAGTCGAAAACCTTCATGCGCGTATGGGCCACGCACCGATTGATGTCTTGTGCAGAATGGTCTCCAAGGGCATGATCAAGGATGCCAAGAAGCCAGCAAAATTGAGCGGATCAAGCGTGTGTCAAGGTTGTCTAGAAGGAAAAATGGTTCAACGACCGTTCCCGAGCAATCCAAACAAGCGCCACTACGATCCGTTTGAGCTTCTACACATCGACACTTGTGATCCAATGGAAGTCGACTCGCTAGGTGGAAGCAAGTACTTGCTACTGATCGTCGATGAAGGCAGCGGATGTATGAAGGGTTTCAGTCTGCGCGCCAAGTCCGACAGCGAAGAGTGCATCAAGAAGTACATCATGGCAGTACAGACGCAGCTTGACTACAAGGTCAAGTTCGTTCGACACGATGGTGCACGAGAATTTGCGGCGAATTCGCTCAAGGCATTTACGATGATCAAGGAATCGAGCAGCAAGTTACCGTTCCGTATGCGCATCAGACCAACGGCACGGCGGAACGGGCAATTCGGACCATTGTGGCGATCGGGCGCAGCATGCTTCACTACGCCAAGCTGGACAAGTGTTTTTGGGCTGAAGCAGCAATGACGGCGATCTACATCAAGAATTGCCTACCATCGCCCAAGTGCCAAGATCAAACCCCGTTTGAGATCGTCAGCGGATTTCGACCAAGTGTGAAGCACATGCGGGTTTTCGGCTGCCGAACGTTTGTGCTGACTCCTAAGGAAAAGAGATCGAAATGGGATCCGAAGGCTCGTGAAGGACTATTCATGGGGTACGAAGAAGTGTCAAAGGCATATCGCGTTTACGACATTGAAGCCGACCAAGTGGTGATATCTCGCGATGTCACATTCGACGAATCAACGCTTGGGTTCTCGCCGATGCTACCACAAGAAATTGTTGATGACACTGCGCTGGATATCGAATCAATGAACATCATATTGAGGGTTACCGGTACAATCCGAACCTAGCGCGTAGTTCTTACGAGATAGTTTTTACATCGGTAATTACCTCAGAGATGATTAGACGCGTAGGATGATTGGACGCGTGTAAATCAGGTTGATTAGATGCACCATGTGATTGGATGCAGTCTAGGGTAGGCAGAAGTTAAGACCTATAAATCAATCACTTTCGAATCCTCCCTCAAGTGAGCAAGTGTTCTCTGCTTCGTTCTCTCCGGTCTCTCCGCTTCGTTTTCTCTTCGCCTCGCGCTCAAGTTACAACAGGTTATGAGCCCAAGCGCCATGTCGTCCAACAACACCTCGGCCAGTGTCTCCATCGATAAGTTCGATGGGGACAACTACTCAACCTGGTGTCGCTACATGCGCGGCGTGTTTCTGACGAAGTCAGTCTGGTACGTCGTGAACCGCGAAACGTCTCCAACCTTCACCGACACGCGAGCTTCCGACGAGTACGTCAAGGCGAGCAACATCGCGTTCGGGTTGATGTTGCTCCACATGGACGCCGACTACCACCATGTGGTCGACAACTGTGAAGAAGCATGGACAGCGTGGTCGCGGTTGAAGATGCTCTATGGTGGGTCGCAGAAGGCGGGACGCATCTACCTCAAGCGCCAGCTGTTCAGCATCAAGATGGCGGAAGGTGCCAACGTCTTGCACCATTGCAACGAAGTCTTGAACATCGGCGCCAAGCTCAGCAGCATCGGTGCCAAGATGGAAGACGAAGACATTGCGATCTGCTTACTGCGCAGTCTGCCCAATAGTTTCGAGAACGTGGTTCTCAACTTGGAGATGAGCAATGCAGAGCTGCGCACGCAAGATGTGGTCAAGGTGCTGACTAACGAGCACATCAAGCGACAAGGCGAGAAGATGACAACGGCAACGACAACGGTGAAGACTGAAGATGCGACAAAGGCATTCAGTACCGAGCGCAAGCCCTACCAATGCACATACTGCGGCAAGGTGGGGCACACGGCAGAGCGTTGCTGGACGAAGCAAAAGGATGAAAGTCGAGGAGCCCAACGCGGCGGCAATGGTCGTCGACGCGGGTCAAACAATGTCCACTGGCGACATTATGATGAAGGCAACAGCTACGATCGAGTGGCGTTTGCAGTTTCGTTCGAATGCGGAGTTTCGACGAACAAGAATGGACCAGGAATGTGGGCCGTTGACAGCGGGGCAACACATCACATCTGCCACGACAAGTTCAAGTTTGCAAGCTTGGTCGAAGGCAATGATGGCGAGATCCTGGTGGCTGATGGCAACAAGGCGGCCATCAAAGGTGTGGGGACCATCGTGGAAAAGGTGATTCTGCCAAACGGGGAAGAGCGCGAGATCGAGATCAAGAACGCGCTCTATGTGCCCAGCATGAGCAAAAATCTGCTCTCGGTGCCGCAGATTAACAAGCACGGCAACTTCCAAGTGGTGTTTGACGGGGATACGATGTACGTCGCTCGCAAGGATTCCAATCAAGTGGTGGCAGCTGCGGATCTTGTAGACGGACTCTACTGGCTTCGCACGACGCAGCGATCGGCCAATGCGACATCACTCAGCAACGCTGTTGATCTACATGCGCGAATGGGCCATGCTCCAGTCGACGTGCTTTGCAAGATGGTGACAAGCCACATGATCAAGGACGCTCACATCCCTTCCAAGCCGAATGGATCAAGTGTGTGTCGAGGATGCCAAGAAGGGAAGATGGTCCAAAAACCATTCCCGAGCAACCGTGACAAGCGCACCTACAACACCTTCGAGATGCTCCACTTCGACATCTGCGGACCCATGGAAAAAAAATCTCTGGGTGGCAGCAAGTATCTGCTGCTGATCGTGGATGAAGCCAGCGGATGCATGAAGGGTTTTTGTCTGCATTCCAAGTCAGAGAGCGAAGAGTGCATCAAGAAGTACATCACGATGATACAGACGCAGTTCAACAAGAAGGTCAAATTTGTGCGACACGATGGAGCCCGCGAGTTTGCGACGAACTCGCTTCAAGATTTCTACGAAGTCGAAGGCATCGAGCAACAAACCACGGTGCCATACGCACATTAAGCCAATGGAACTGCTGAACGCGCGATTCGAACTATCGTCACCATCGGTCGTAGCATGCTCCATCATGCCAAGTTGGACAAGTGCTTCTGGGCTGAAGCGGCAATGACGGCCGTCTATGTGAAGAACCGTTTGCCGTCACCCAAGATTCCACACAAGACACCGTTCGAGATTGTCTACAATTCTAAGCCAAGTGTCAAGCACATGCGCGTTTTTGGGTGCCAAGCATACATCTTGACCCCGAAGGAGAAACGACTCAAGTGGGATCCCAAGGCCCGGGCTGGATTGTTTTTGGGCTACGAAGAAGTGTCCAAGGCGTATCGAGTTTACGACATCGAAGCGGGGCAGGTGATGATAAGTCGCGATGTCAACTTCGATGAGTCGGCCTTTGGAATGTCGATGCTGATTTCCGATGACGATGTTGATGGCCTGGACTTCGAATCGATCGATCTTGATGATGAAGAACCGCGTCCGAGACACTTCAAACAAACAGGAAAGCGCAAGGCCCAACCCAGTCACGACAATGACGACGCAAGCATGCCCCGAGCAGTGCGCCAACGACCCGGATTGGAAGAGTCAAGTGCGCCGGATGACCTCTCTTCACGTCGAGCCAACGAAGATGAAGAAAGGAAGTCGGAGGAACAACATGACACACCGACTTCCTCCGCGTTTTGGCATGCGAGTGCAAACGCCGTCGAAGCAGCGGTCGATTTTTCGGAGCCGTCGACATTTGAAGAAGCAGTGTCTGGCCCGGACCAAGTACACTGGCGCAAGGCAATTGATGCGGAGCTCGATTCGATGAAGCTTCGCGGTGTCTTTCGTGCGGCCAAGTTACCCAACGGACAAAGCGCCATTGGCACAAAGTGGGTCTTCAAGATCAAGCGCAAGGCGGATGGGTCGATCGAGAAATACAAGGCACGACTTGTGGCCAAGGGTTTTCGCCAAAAGTATGGCATCGACTACACGGAGACGTTCTCGCCCGTGGTCAAGTATGTGACGCTGCGAATGGTCATCGCCATTACCAAGCACTTTGGATGGCCCCTCGACCAGCTCGATGTGGTGACTGCGTTCCTGTATGGAGTGATGAAGGAGAAGGTGTTCTGCGCTGTTCCGGAAGGCGTCAAGATGGAAGGTGATTTCGACTGTCTCGAGCTGATCAAGGCGATCTACGGTCTCAAGCAAGCCTCGCGTGTTTGGAACGAGACCTTCGACGAGTTCATACGCTCGATTGGTTTTCAAGCGTCGGGATTCGATCCATGTCTCTACATCATGACTTCGGAAGGCCATTGTGTTTTTGTGCTGGTCTACGTGGACGATGTCTTGGTGACTGGAAGCTCGCTCGAGATGATTGCGCGCACCAAGAACGACCTCAAGACACGCTTCGAGATGACGGACAGCGGCAAGTGTGCCTTTGTTCTTGGGATCGAGTTATTGGACGGTGAAGATGGCAGCGTGACTATGTGTCAGCGCCGTTATGTCGACGATGTCCTCAAGCGCTTTGGAATGGATGAGTGCAAGGCTGTGGCAAGTCCGGTGGACGTCAGCTCTCGACTGGTTCCAAGCAACTCTGCAAGCAAGGTGGATGTCCCATTCCGTGAAGCAGTGGGTGCTTTGATGCATCTGACGACTGCAACGCGACCGGACATCGCCTATGCTGTAAGCTTTGTGTCACGGTTCATGGAGAAACCCCAAGAAGAACACTGGGTTGCAGTCAAGCGCATCTTCCGCTACCTACAAGGCACCAAGATGCATGGAATCTGCTACAAGCCAAGTGCGAAGATCGACTTTCGTGGCTATTCAGATGCAGACTGGGCCGATGACCTTGCTGATCGCAAATCGACGTCCGGCTACGTCTTCATGCTATTGGGTGCTCCGGTGAGTTGGGGCAGCAAGAAACAGCCAAGTGTGTCACTGTCTACAAGCGAAGCGGAGTACATCGCGCTCAGCCTGGCGATCCAAGAAGGCAAGTGGATCAATCGCTTGCTGTGCGAGATCATGGCGGCTGCAAACGAAGAAGGACCCGAGCTCGTCATCCGTGAAGACAACCAGTCGTGCATCAAGATGACGAAGAATCCGGTCAACCACGGCCGCGCTAAACACATCGACATCAAGTACCATCACATCCGTGATGAAGTCAAGCGCGGCGAAGTGAAGCTTGAATACTGCGAGACGACGTTGATGTTGGCGGACATCATGACCAAGGCACTTCACGGACCGCGTCACAAGAACTTGACGGCGGCGCTTGGCATCCGTGCGTGTTCGGATTGAGGGGGCGTATTGAGGGTTACCGGTACAATCCGAACCTAGCGCGTAGTTCTTACGAGATAGTTTTTACATCGGTAATTACCTCAGAGATGATTAGACGCGTAGGATGATTGGACGCGTGTAAATCAGGTTGATTAGATGCACCATGTGATTGGATGCAGTCTAGGGTAGGCAGAAGTTAAGACCTATAAATCAATCACTTTCGAATCCTCCCTCAAGTGAGCAAGTGTTCTCTGCTTCGTTCTCTCCGGTCTCTCCGCTTCGTTTTCTCTTCGCCTCGCGCTCAAGTTACAACACATCAGCGATGAGCCTCACACCATGCAGTTCAAGCAAACTGGAAAACGCAAAAGCCGTTCAAACAGCCAAGAGCAAGTTCTACAACGGACACTTCTTGAGCGTCGTGGAACCGGGTTAGAAGAAGCAAGTGCCCCGGATGACTCTGAATCGCACCAAGCGAAGCGACGATCAAGCGCTCGAGACAATCTGGACAAAGAGCAAAAGAGCAGTGACAAAGATAACGAGGATGCTACACCTGAAGTCTTTTGGCGAGCGAGTGTGTTGTAACTTGAGCGCGAGGCGAAGAGAAAACGAAGCGGAGAGACCGGAGAGAACGAAGCAGAGAACACTTGCTCACTTGAGGGAGGATTCGAAAGTGATTGATTTATAGGTCTTAACTTCTGCCTACCCTAAACTGCATCCAATCACATGGTGCATCTAATCAACCTGATTTACACGCGTCCAATCATCCTACGCATCTAATCATCTCTGAGGTAATTACCGATGTAAAAACTATCTCGTAAGAACTACGCGCTAGGTTCGGATTGTACCGGTAACCCTCAATACGCCCCCTCAATCCGAACACGCACGGATGCCAAGCGCCGCCGTCAAGTCCTTGTGACGCGGTCCGTGAAGTCCCTTCGTCATGATGTCCGCCAACATCAACGTCGTCTCGCAGTATTCAAGCTTCACTTCGCCGCGCTTGACTTCATCACGGATGTGATGGTACTTGATGTCGATGTGTTTAGCGCGGCCGTGGTTGACCGGATTCTTCGTCATCTTGATGCACGACTGGTTGTCTTCACGGATGACGAGCTCGGGTCCTTCTTCGTTTGCAGCCGCCATGATCTCGCACAGCAAGCGATTGATCCACTTGCCTTCTTGGATCGCCAGGCTGAGCGCGATGTACTCCGCTTCGCTTGTAGACAGTGACACACTTGGCTGTTTCTTGCTGCCCCAACTCACCGGAGCACCCAATAGCATGAAGACGTAGCCGGACGTCGATTTGCGATCAGCAAGGTCACCGGCCCAGTCTGCATCTGAATAGCCACGAAAGTCGATCTTCGCACTTGGCTTGTAGCAGATTCCATGCATCTTGGTGCCTTGTAGGTAGCGGAAGATGCGCTTGACTGCAACCCAGTGTTCTTCTTGGGGTTTCTCCATGAACCGTGACACAAAGCTTACAGCATAGGCGATGTCCGGTCGCGTTGCAGTCGTCAGATGCATCAAAGCACCCACTGCTTCACGGAATGGGACATCCACCTTGCTTGCAGAGTTGCTTGGAACCAGTCGAGAGCTGACGTCCACCGGACTTGCCACAGCCTTGCACTCATCCATTCCAAAGCGCTTGAGGACATCGTCGACATAACGGCGCTGACACATAGTCACGCTGCCATCTTCACCGTCCAATAACTCGATCCCAAGAACAAAGGCACACTTGCCGCTGTCCGTCATCTCGAAGCGTGTCTTGAGGTCGTTCTTGGTGCGCGCAATCATCTCGAGCGAGCTTCCAGTCACCAAGACATCGTCCACGTAGACCAGCACAAAAACACAATGGCCTTCCGAAGTCATGATGTAGAGACATGGATCGAATCCCGACGCTTGAAAACCAATCGAGCGTATGAACTCGTCGAAGGTCTCGTTCCAAACACGCGAGGCTTGCTTGAGACCGTAGATCGCCTTGATCAGCTCGAGACAGTCGAAATCACCTTCCATCTTGACGCCTTCCGGAACAGCGCAGAACACCTTCTCCTTCATCACTCCATACAGGAACGCAGTCACCACATCGAGCTGGTCGAGGGGCCATCCAAAGTGCTTGGTAATGGCGATGACCATTCGCAGCGTCACATACTTGACCACGGGCGAGAACGTCTCCGTGTAGTCGATGCCATACTTTTGGCGAAAACCCTTGGCCACAAGTCGTGCCTTGTATTTCTCGATCGACCCATCCGCCTTGCGCTTGATCTTGAAGACCCACTTTGTGCCAATGGCGCTTTGTCCGTTGGGTAACTTGGCCGCACGAAAGACACCGCGAAGCTTCATCGAATCGAGCTCCGCATCAATTGCCTTGCGCCAGTGTACTTGGTCCGGGCCAGACACTGCTTCTTCAAATGTCGACGGCTCCGAAAAATCGACCGCTGCTTCGACGGCGTTTGCACTCGCATGCCAAAACGCGGAGGAAGTCGGTGTGTCATGTTGTTCCTCCGACTTCCTTTCTTCATCTTCGTTGGCTCGACGTGAAGAGAGGTCATCCGGCGCACTTGACTCTTCCAATCCGGGTCGTTGGCGCACTGCTCGGGGCATGCTTGCGTCGTCATTGTCGTGACTGGGTTGGGCCTTGCGCTTTCCTGTTTGTTTGAAGTGTCTCGGACGCGGTTCTTCATCATCAAGATCGATCGATTCGAAGTCCAGGCCATCAACATCGTCATCGGAAATCAGCATCGACATTCCAAAGGCCGACTCATTGAAGTTGACATCGCGACTTATCATCACCTGCCCCGCTTCGATGTCGTAAACTCGATACGCCTTGGACACTTCTTCGTAGCCCAAAAACAATCCAGCCCGGGCCTTGGGATCCCACTTGAGTCGTTTCTCCTTCGGGGTCAAGATGTATGCTTGGCACCCAAAAACGCGCATGTGCTTGACACTTGGCTTAGAATTGTAGACAATCTCGAACGGTGTCTTGTGTGGAATCTTGGGTGACGGCAAACGGTTCTTCACATAGACGGCCGTCATTGCCGCTTCAGCCCAGAAGCACTTGTCCAACTTGGCATGATGGAGCATGCTACGACCGATGGTGACGATAGTTCGAATCGCGCGTTCAGCAGTTCCATTGGCTTGATGTGCGTATGGCACCGTGGTTTGTTGCTCGATGCCTTCGACTTCGTAGAAATCTTGAAGCGAGTTCGTCGCAAACTCGCGGGCTCCATCGTGTCGCACAAATTTGACCTTCTTGTTGAACTGCGTCTGTATCATCGTGATGTACTTCTTGATGCACTCTTCGCTCTCTGACTTGGAATGCAGACAAAAACCCTTCATGCATCCGCTGGCTTCATCCACGATCAGCAGCAGATACTTGCTGCCACCCAGAGATTTTTCTTCCATGGGTCCGCAGATGTCGAAGTGGAGCATCTCGAAGGTGTTGTAGGTTCGCTTGTCACGGTTGCTCGGGAATGGTTTTTGGACCATCTTCCCTTCTTGGCATCCTCGACACACACTTGATCCATTCGGCTTGGAAGGGATGTGAGCGTCCTTGATCATGTGGCTTGTCACCATCCTGCGAAGCACGTCGACTGGAGCATGGCCCATTCGCGCATGTAGATCAACAGCGTTGCTGAGTGATGTCGCATTGGCCGATCGCTGCGTCGTGCGAAGCCAGTAGAGTCCGTCTACAAGATCCGCAGCTGCCACCACTTGATTGGAATCCTTGCGAGCGACGTACATCGTATCCCCGTCAAACACCACTTGGAAGTTGCCGTGCTTGTTAATCTGCGGCACCGAGAGCAGATTTTTGCTCATGCTGGGCACATAGAGCGCGTTCTTGATCTCGATCTCGCGCTCTTCCCCGTTTGGCAGAATCACCTTTTCCACGATGGTCCCCACACCTTTGATGGCCGCCTTGTTGCCATCAGCCACCAGGATCTCACCATCATTGCCTTCGACCAAACTTGCAAACTTGAACTTGTCGTGGCAGATGTGATGTGTTGCCCCGCTGTCAACGGCCCACATTCCTGGTCCATTCTTGTTCGTCGAAACTCCGCATTCGAACGAAACTGCAAACGCCACTCGATCGTAGCTGTTGCTTTCATCATAATGTCGCCACTGGACATTGTTTGCCCCGCGTCCACGACCATTGCCGCCGCGTTGGGCTCCTCGACTTTCATCCTTTTGCTTCGTCCAGCAACGCTCTGCCGTGTGCCCCACCTTGCCGCAGTATGTACATTGGTAGGGCTTGCGCTCGGTACTGAATGCCTTTGTCGCATCTTCAGTCTTCACCGTTGTCGTTGCCGTTTTCATCTTCTCGCCTTGTCGCTTGATGTGCTCGTTAGTCAGCACCTTGACCACATCTTGCGTGCGCAGCTCTGCATTGCTCATCTCCAAGTTCAGAACCACGTTCTCGAAACTCTTCGGGAGACTGAGCAGCAAGCAGATCGCAATGTCTTCGTCTTCCATCTTGGCACCGATGCTGCTGAGCTTGGCGCCGATGTTCAAGACTTCGTTGCAATGGTGCAAGACGTTGGCACCTTCCGCCATCTTGATGCTGAACAGCTGGCGCTTGAGGTAGATGCTCCCGCCTTCTGCGACCCACCATAGAGCATCTTCAACCGCGACCACGCTGTCCATGCTTCTTCACAGTTGTCGACCACATGGTGGTAGTCGGCGTCCATGTGGAGCAACATCAACCCGAACGCGATGTTGCTCGCCTTGACGTACTCGTCGGAAGCTCGCGTGTCGGTGAAGGTTGGAGACGTTTCGCGGTTCACGACGTACCAGACTGACTTCGTCAGAAACACGCCGCGCATGTAGCGACACCAGGTTGAGTAGTTGTCCCCATCGAACTTATCGATGGAGACACTGGCCGAGGTGTTGTTGGACGACATGGCGCTTGGGCTCATAACCTGTTGTAACTTGAGCGCGAGGCGAAGAGAAAACGAAGCGGAGAGACCGGAGAGAACGAAGCAGAGAACACTTGCTCACTTGAGGGAGGATTCGAAAGTGATTGATTTATAGGTCTTAACTTCTGCCTACCCTAGACTGCATCCAATCACATGGTGCATCTAATCAACCTGATTTACACGCGTCCAATCATCCTACGCGTCTAATCATCTCTGAGGTAATTACCGATGTAAAAACTATCTCGTAAGAACTACGCGCTAGGTTCGGATTGTACCGGTAACCCTCAATAGAGTGCCAATGCAGTCGAAGGTACTGACTTGTCTGAGCCGACAACGTTTAAAGATGCTGTTGATGGAGCAGATCAAGTGCATTGGCGTAAGGCAATCTGTGCCGAGTTGGACTCGATGAAACTTCGTGGCGTGTTTCGAGCGACCAAACTGCCGTCTGGACAGCATACCATTGGCACCAAGTGGGTATTCAAGATCAAACGGAAAGCTGATGGATCCATCGACAAATACAAAGCGCGTCTCGTGGCAAAAGGGTTCAAGCAGAAATATGGCATCGACTACACGGAAACGTTTTCGCCGGTAGTCAAGTACGTGACGCTGCGCATGGTGGTTGCAATCACGAAGTACTTTGGCTGGACGCTGGACCAACTGGACGTGGTGACAGCTTTCCTGTACGGAGAAATGAAGGAAAAGGTATTCTGCGCGATCCCAGAAGGAGTCGAAGTTGATGAAGACTTTGATTGCTTTGAACTGGTCAAGGCGATCTACGGACTAAAACAAGCATCGCGCGTATGGAACGAGACTTTTCATGAATTCGTCTGCTCCATTGGATTTCAAGTCTCCGATTTTGACCCGTGTCTTTATGTCAAGATTACAAGTGGCGAGTGCGTGCTTTTGCTGGTATACGTCGATGATGTGTTGGTGACTGGCAGCTCAACCGAACTGATTATGCGCACCAAGAGTGACTTAAAGGCAGGTTTCGAAATGACAGAGAGTGGGAAGTGCGCCTTCGTGTTGAGCATCGAGCTGGTGGACAACGACAACGGTAGCGTGACGATGTGCCAGCGACGCTACGTGGAAGATGTTCTCAAGCGTTTTGGCATGAGCGACTGCAAAGCCGTCATCAGCCCAACAGACATCAGTTCTCGACTCATACCAAGTACCGCAGCAACTAAAATCGACGCCCCGTTTCGTGAAGCAGTAGGCGCTCTGATGCACTTGATGACCGCGACACGACCGGGCATTGCCTTTGCTGTGAGTTACGTTTCGCGCTTCATGGAAAACCCCCAAGTCGAGCATTGGATGGCGGTCAAGCGCATTTTGCAATACTTACAAGGGACTAAGTCGCACGGTATCTGTTTCAAGCCTGATGACAAGATAGACTTCTGTGGCTACTCGGATGCAGACTGGGCCGGCGACCATGCAGACCGCAAGTCGACTTCAGGATATGCGTTTATCCTGATGGGTGCTCCTGTGAGTTGGGGAAGCAAGAAGCAGTCAAGTGTGTCGCTGTCAACAAGTGAAGCTGAGTACATTGCACTAAGTCTGGCGATTCAAGAAGGCAAGTGGGTGCATCGATTGCTGTGCGAGATTCTGGATGCCGCAGAGGACAAGTCTGGACCCGAGCTCAAGATCATGGAAGACAACCAGTCGTGCATCAAGATGACGAAGAATCCTGTGAACCATGGTCGGGCCAAGCACATCGACATCAACTATGTTAACGGTCATCGGTTTTCTACCAGTATTGGTAACCGTGACCGATCCAATCCGAACCGCCTGTTCAGCTTAGTATTTTGTTGACAGTCATCGGTTTCTACCAGTATTGGTAACCGTGACCGGTCCAATCCGAACCGCCTGTTCAGCTTAGTATTTACGACGTAGTTCTTACATTAATTACCATAGTTGATTAGACGCGTGTTGAGGGGTGAAAAGCTTGACGACCGAAACTGGGAGTGATGCTGGGAGTCCACTCGGAAGACCGGAGAAGACACTTGGGGGGTAGATAGAAGATTGGAAAGTGATTGATTATCGGGGCTTACTACTTACTACATGATTTATATGTGGTGCACATATAAATCATGTGAAGCGTCTCATCATCCTACGCGTCTAATCAACTATGGTAATTACCGTAAGAACTACGTCGTAAATACTAAGCTGAATAGGCGGTTCGGATTGGATCGGTCACGGTTACCAATACTGGTAGAAAACCGATGACCGTCAACACGCCCCCTCAATCCGAATGCTCACGAATCCCGAGAGCCGTCGTCATCTCCTTGTGGCGTGGTCCATGAAGTCCCTTCGTCATGATGTCCGCCATCATCACGGAAGTCTCGCAATACTCGAGCTGCACTTCACCGCGCTTGACCTCATCACGGATGTGATGGTACTTGATGTCGATGTGCTTGGCGCGGCCATGATTCACCGGATTCTTCGTCATCTTGATGCACGACTGGTTGTCTTCACGGATGACGAGGTCCGGTCCTGGTTCGTTTGCGGCCGCTAAAATCTCGCATAGCAGGCGATGCACCCACTTGCCTTCCTGGATGGCCAGACTCAGTGCTATTTATTCCGCTTCACTCGTCGACAGCGACACACTTGACTGCTTCTTGCTTCCCCAACTCACAGGAGCACCCATCAGCATGAAAGTATAACCCGAAGTCGACTTGAGATCAGCGTGGTCGCCGGCCCAGTCCGCGTCCGAGTAGCCACGAAAGTCGATCTTGTCGCTTGGCTGGAAGCGGAGTCCGTGCGACTTGGTCCCTTGCAAGTAACGAAAGATGCGCTTCACCGCCGTCCAATGTTCTTGCTGCGGATTCTCCATGAAGCGCGAGACGTACCCCACAGCATACCCAATGTCCGGGCGCGTCGCAGTCGTCAAGTGCATCAAAGCTCCCACAGCTTCACGAAACGGAACGTCGATCTTGGCCGCTTCGGTGCTTGCGACAAGCCGAGTGCTCAAGTCGACCGGACTTGCTGTGGCCTTGCACTCATCCATGCCGAAGCGCTTGAGGATGTCGTTGACATACCGTCGCTGGCACATCGTCACGCTGCCATCCGATTCGTCCACCAGTTCGATGCCCAGTACAAAAGTACACTTGCCACTGTCGGTCATCTCGAAACGCGTCTTGAGGTCGGCCTTCGTCTGCGCAATCAACTCGAGCGAGCTGCCGGTGACCAACACGTCATCCACGTAGACCAGCACGAGCACACAGTGACCGTCGACAACCTTGATGTAGAGACATGGGTCGAACGCCGACGCTTCGAAACCGATAGAGCATACGAACTCGTCGAAAGTCTCGTTCCACACACGTGAAGCTTGCTTGAGACCGTAGATCGCCTTCACCAACTCGAGACAGTCGAAGTCGCCATCCATCTCGACGCCTTCTGGTATCACGCAGTACACCTTCTCCTTCATCACTCCGTAGAGAAAGGCTGTCACCACATCGAGTTGGTCCAGTGGCCAGTCGAAATACTTGGTGATCGCGATCACCATACGCAGTGTCACGTACTTGACCACGGGCGAGAACGTCTCTGTGTAGTCGATGCCGTACTTCTGCTTGAAGCCCTTGGCAACGAGACGCGCCTTGTATTTCTCGACCGATCCATCCGCTTTGCGCTTGATCTTGAACACCCACTTGGTGCCGATCGCGCCTTGGCCTCTTGGTAGTTTTGCCGCACGGAAAACTCCACGAAGATGCATCGACTTGAGTTCCGCCTTCACAGCATTTCGCCAGTGAGCTTGATCAGGACCATTGATCGCGTCTTGAAAAGTCACAGGTTCTGCTAGGTCCGTTGCTTCCACTGCGTTTGCACTTGCACGCCAAAATGTTGGAGGCGTCGAGTCGTCATCTTGATCGTAGACGCTTGCATCTTCTTCGTCATCAGACATCGTTTCTGGAGCACTTGATCGTCGTTTCTGGTGACGGTTGGAGACGTGTTCCGGCGCACTTGCTTGTTCCAACCCAGTTCGAGGGCGAGCTGAACGTGACATGCCGGGTCTTGCTTCACTCTTGCGCTTGCCAGTCTGCTTGTAGACGGTTTGACGCACGTCGTCCTCGTTGATCGCCAGGAGGTCAAAGTCCAACTCCGCATCTTCATCATCGTCACTTGGTCGGTCCATCGTATTGAGGGTTACCGGTACAATCCGAACCTAGCGCGTAGTTCTTACGAGATAGTTTTTACATCGGTAATTACCTCAGAGATGATTAGACGCGTAGGATGATTGGACGCGTGTAAATCAGGTTGATTAGATGCACCATGTGATTGGATGCAGTCTAGGGTAGGCAGAAGTTAAGACCTATAAATCAATCACTTTCGAATCCTCCCTCAAGTGAGCAAGTGTTCTCTGCTTCGTTCTCTCCGGTCTCTCCGCTTCGTTTTCTCTTCGCCTCGCGCTCAAGTTACAACAGGTTATGAGCCCAAGCGCCATGTCGTCCAACAACACCTCGGCCAGTGTCTCCATCGATAAGTTCGATGGGGACAACTACTCAACCTGGTGTCGCTACATGCGCGGCGTGTTTCTGACGAAGTCAGTCTGGTACGTCGTGAACCGCGAAACGTCTCCAACCTTCACCGACACGCGAGCTTCCGACGAGTACGTCAAGGCGAGCAACATCGCGTTCGGGTTGATGTTGCTCCACATGGACGCCGACTACCACCATGTGGTCGACAACTGTGAAGAAGCATGGACAGCGTGGTCGCGGTTGAAGATGCTCTATGGTGGGTCGCAGAAGGCGGGACGCATCTACCTCAAGCGCCAGCTGTTCAGCATCAAGATGGCGGAAGGTGCCAACGTCTTGCACCATTGCAACGAAGTCTTGAACATCGGCGCCAAGCTCAGCAGCATCGGTGCCAAGATGGAAGACGAAGACATTGCGATCTGCTTGCTGCTCAGTCTCCCGAAGAGTTTCGAGAACGTGGTTCTGAACTTGGAGATGAGCAATGCAGAGCTGCGCACGCAAGATGTGGTCAAGGTGCTGACTAACGAGCACATCAAGCGACAAGGCGAGAAGATGACAACGGCAACGACAACGGTGAAGACTGAAGATGCGACAAAGGCATTCAGTACCGAGCGCAAGCCCTACCAATGCACATACTGCGGCAAGGTGGGGCACACGGCAGAGCGTTGCTGGACGAAGCAAAAGGATGAAAGTCGAGGAGCCCAACGCGGCGGCAATGGTTGTGGACGCGGGGCAAACAATGTCCAGTGGCGACATTATGATGAAGGCAACAGCTACGATCGAGTGGCGTTTGCAGTTTCGTTCGAATGCGGAGTTTCGACGAACAAGAATGGACCAGGAATGTGGGCCGTTGACAGCGGGGCAACACATCACATCTGCCACGACAAGTTCAAGTTTGCAAGCTTGGTCGAAGGCAATGATGGCGATATCCTTGTGGCTGATGGCAACAAGGCGGCCATCAAAGGTGTGGGGACCATCGTGGAAAAGGTGATTCTGCCAAACGGGGAAGAGCGCGAGATCGAGATCAAGAACGCGCTCTATGTGCCCAGCATGAGCAAAAATCTGCTCTCGGTGCCGCAGATTAACAAGCACGGCAACTTCCAAGTGGTGTTTGACGGGGATACGATGTACGTCGCTCGCAAGGATTCCAATCAAGTGGTGGCAGCTGCGGATCTTGTAGACGGACTCTACTGGCTTCGCACGACGCAGCGATCGGCCAATGCGACATCACTCAGCAACGCTGTTGATCTACATGCGCGAATGGGCCATGCTCCAGTCGACGTGCTTCGCAGGATGGTGACAAGCCACATGATCAAGGACGCTCACATCCCTTCCAAGCCGAATGGATCAAGTGTGTGTCGAGGATGCCAAGAAGGGAAGATGGTCCAAAAACCATTCCCGAGCAACCGTGACAAGCGCACCTACAACACCTTCGAGATGCTCCACTTCGACATCTGCGGACCCATGGAAGAAAAATCTCTGGGTGGCAGCAAGTATCTGCTGCTGATCGTGGATGAAGCCAGCGGATGCATGAAGGGTTTTTGTTGACGGTCATCGGTTTTCTACCAGTATTGGTAACCGTGACCGATCCAATCCGAACCGCCTGTTCAGCTTAGTATTTACGACGTAGTTCTTACGGTAATTACCATAGTTGATTAGACGCGTAGGATGATGAGACGCTTCACATGATTTATATGTACACCACATATAAATCATGTAGTAAGTAGTAAGCCCCGATAATCAATCACTTTCGAATCTTCCAACTATTGGGCAAGTGTTTTCTGCTCTACTCTCTTCGGTCTCTCCGCTCCGTTTGCTCCGCTTTCCTCGCTCTGATCTACAATGCAACAGGTTATGAGCCCAAGCGCCATGTCGTCCACCAGCAACGCCTCCATTGACAAGTTCAACGGAGACAATTACGCAACGTGGAGCCGGTACATGCGCGGTGTGTTTTTGACGAAGTCCGTCTGGCACGTCGTCAACCGTGAAGTGACTCCGACTTTCACCGACCCGCGAGCGTCCGATGACTACGTCAAGGCAAGCAACGTCGCGTTTGGTATGATGCTGCTGCACATGAACGCGGACTACCATCATGTGCTGGACAACTGCGAGGAAGCCTGGGTTGCGTGGACAAGTCTGAAGACGCTGTACGGTGGGTCGCAGAAGGCAGGACGCATCTACCTCAAGCGACAACTTTTCAGTATCAAGATGGCTGAAGGCGCGAACGTCATGCATCACTGCAACGAGGTCCTCAACATCTCCGCCAAGCTTAGCGGCATCGGTGCGAAGATGGAAGACGAAGACGTTGCAATTTGTCTGCTACTCAGTCTTCCGAAGAGCTACGAAAATGTGGTGCTCAACATGGAAATGAGCAGCACCGAGCTTCGCACTCAAGATGTGGTGAGAGTCCTGACGAATGAGCATGCCAAGCGTCAAGGAGAAAAAGGGACAACGACAGCGACTACGGTGAAGGCTGAAGATGCAAGCAAGGCATTCAGCGCCGAGCGTGAGCCCTACCAATGCACGTATTGTGGCAAGGTGGGACACACGGTGGATCGTTGCTGGACAAAGCAGAAGAACGAAGGTCGGGGAGCCCGACGCGGCGGCAATGGTCGTGGACGCGGGGCTAACAATGTCCAGTGGGGACATCATGATGAAGGCAATGGCTACGATCGAGTGGCGTTTGCAGTCTCGTTCGAATGTGGAGTTTCGACGAGCAAGGACGTGTCTGGAATGTGGGCCGTCGACAGTGGTGCAACGCACCACATTTGCCACGACAAGACCAAGTTCGCAAGTTTGGCAGAGCGCAATGAGGGCGAACTCTTGGTGGCTGATGGCAACAAGGTGGCCATCAAGGGTGTGGGAACCATCATGGAAAAGGTGGTTCTGCCCAACGGTGAAGAGCGTGAGATCGAAATCAAGAACGCGCTATATGTTCCAAGTATGAGCAAGAACCTGCTCTCGGTGCCACAGATTAACAGCCATGGCAAGTTTCAAGTCGTGTTTGACGGGTCCAAGATGTATGTGACTCTCAAGAACTCACAGCAAGTGGTGGCGACAGCGGATCTCGTGGATGGACTCTACTGGCTTCGGACGACTCAACGATCAGCGAATGTGACAACAAGTGGAACCAGTTGTGCCGATCTACATGCGAGAATGGGTCATGCTCCAGTCGATGTACTTCGCAAGATGATCGCGACCAACATGATCAAGGATGTGCGATTCCCTCTCAAGTCGGGTGGAGCAACTACATGTCGAGGATGTCAACAAAGGAAAATGGTCCAAAAACCATTTCCAAGCAACCGAGACAAGCGCAGCTACGATACGTTTGAGCTACTTCATCTGGACATCTGCGGGCCCATGGAAAAGGATTCGCTCGGTGGCAGCAAATATTTGCTGCTGATCATCGACGAAGCCAGTGGATGCATGAAGGGCTTTTGTCTACGAGTGAAGTCCGAGAGTGAAGACTACATCCGGAAATATATCACCATGGTACAGACGCAATTATGTAAGAAGGTCAAGTTCGTGCGACACGACGGAGCTCGCGAGTTTGCAACCAACTCGCTTCAACTGTTCTACGAAGACGAAGGCATTGAACAGCAGACAACGGTGCCGTATGCACATCAAACAAACGGAACAGCAGAGCGTGCCATTAGGACTATTGTCACGATCGGCCGCAGCATGCTTCATCATGCCAAACTGGACAAGTGTTTCTGGGCCGAAGCAGCGATGACGGCCATCTACGTCAAGAATCGACTGCCGTCACCTAAAGTCGTGCACAAGACCCCGTTTGAGATCGTCTACAACTTGAAACCAAGCGTCAAGCACATGCGAACATTCGGGTGTCAGACATACATACTGACGCCTAAAGAGAATCGACTCAAGTGGGATCCAAAGGCTCGCGCTGGCATATTCGTGGGCTACGAAGAAGTTTCGAAGGCATATCGTGTTTATGACATCGAGGCGGGGCAGGTGGTTATCAGCCGCGATGTCAACTTCGACGAGTCCACCTTTGGACTTCAACTGCCGATCACTGATGAAGATGTCGATGACCTGGACTTCGAATTGCTGGATCTTGATGACGAAGAGCTGCGTCAAATGGAGTACAAGCAAACAGGCAAGCGCAAGAACCGACTCAATGATGAAGATACAGCAGCTCCACGACCGCTTGCAGTGCGTCAACGACCAGGACTAGAAGAGTCAAGCGCGCCGGAAAACAACTCGTCACGACAAGAAGAAGACGAAGAAACGAAGGATTCTGGTGATTCAACACCGCCTGTGTTTTGGCGTGCGAGTGCAAATGCCGTTGAAGCAGCAGTGGACTTATCAGAACCCTCAACATTTGAAGCAGCAGTAAGCGGCCCTGACCAAGTGCACTGGAGAAAAGCAATTCATGCAGAGCTCGAGTCAATGCGACTTCGCGGTGTGTTTCGTGCAGCCAAGCTGCCCAACGGACAACGCGCCATTGGCACAAAATGGGTGTTCAAGATCAAGCGCAAGGCGGATGGGTCAATCGAGAAGTACAAGGCACGACTTGTGGCCAAGGGTTGTTGTAACTTGAGCGCGAGGCGAAGAGAAAACGAAGCGGAGAGACCGGAGAGAACGAAGCAGAGAACACTTGCTCACTTGAGGGAGGATTCGAAAGTGATTGATTTATAGGTCTTAACTTCTGCCTACCCTAGACTGCATCCAATCACATGGTGCATCTAATCAACCTGATTTACACGCGTCCAATCATCCTACGCGTCTAATCATCTCTGAGGTAATTACCGATGTAAAAACTATCTCGTAAGAACTACGCGCTAGGTTCGGATTGTACCGGTAACCCTCAATACGCCCCCTCAATCCGAACACGCACGGATGCCAAGCGCCGCCGTCAAGTCCTTGTGACGCGGTCCGTGAAGTCCCTTCGTCATGATGTCCGCCAACATCAACGTCGTCTCGCAGTATTCAAGCTTCACTTCGCCGCGCTTGACTTCATCACGGATGTGATGGTACTTGATGTCGATGTGTTTAGCGCGGCCGTGGTTGACCGGATTCTTCGTCATCTTGATGCACGACTGGTTGTCTTCACGGATGACGAGCTCGGGTCCTTCTTCGTTTGCAGCCGCCATGATCTCGCACAGCAAGCGATTGATCCACTTGCCTTCTTGGATCGCCAGGCTGAGCGCGATGTACTCCGCTTCGCTTGTAGACAGCGACACACTTGGCTGTTTCTTGCTGCCCCAACTCACCGGAGCACCCAATAGCATGAAGACGTAGCCGGACGTCGATTTGCGATCAGCAAGGTCACCGGCCCAGTCTGCATCTGAATAGCCACGAAAGTCGATCTTCGCACTTGGCTTGTAGCAGATTCCATGCATCTTGGTGCCTTGTAGGTAGCGGAAGATGCGCTTGACTGCAACCCAGTGTTCTTCTTGGGGTTTCTCCATGAACCGTGACACAAAGCTTACAGCATAGGCGATGTCCGGTCGCGTTGCAGTCGTCAGATGCATCAAAGCACCCACTGCTTCACGGAATGGGACATCCACCTTGCTTGCAGAGTTGCTTGGAACCAGTCGAGAGCTGACGTCCACCGGACTTGTCACAGCCTTGCACTCATCCATTCCAAAGCGCTTGAGGACATCGTCGACATAACGGCGCTGACACATAGTCACGCTGCCATCTTCACCGTCCAATAACTCGATCCCAAGAACAAAGGCACACTTGCCGCTGTCCGTCATCTCGAAGCGTGTCTTGAGGTCGTTCTTGGTGCGCGCAATCATCTCGAGCGAGCTTCCAGTCACCAAGACATCGTCCACGTAGACCAGCACAAAAACACAATGGCCTTCCGAAGTCATGATGTAGAGACATGGATCGAATCCCGACGCTTGAAAACCAATCGAGCGTATGAACTCGTCGAAGGTCTCGTTCCAAACACGCGAGGCTTGCTTGAGACCGTAGATCGCCTTGATCAGCTCGAGACAGTCGAAATCACCTTCCATCTTGACGCCTTCCGGAACAGCGCAGAACACCTTCTCCTTCATCACTCCATACAGGAACGCAGTCACCACATCGAGCTGGTCGAGGGGCCATCCAAAGTGCTTGGTAATGGCGATGACCATTCGCAGCGTCACATACTTGACCACGGGCGAGAACGTCTCCGTGTAGTCGATGCCATACTTTTGGCGAAAACCCTTGGCCACAAGTCGTGCCTTGTATTTCTCGATCGACCCATCCGCCTTGCGCTTGATCTTGAAGACCCACTTTGTGCCAATGGCGCTTTGTCCGTTGGGTAACTTGGCCGCACGAAAGACACCGCGAAGCTTCATCGAATCGAGCTCCGCATCAATTGCCTTGCGCCAGTGTACTTGGTCCGGGCCAGACACTGCTTCTTCAAATGTCGACGGCTCCGAAAAATCGACCGCTGCTTCGACGGCGTTTGCACTCGCATGCCAAAACGCGGAGGAAGTCGGTGTGTCATGTTGTTCCTCCGACTTCCTTTCTTCATCTTCGTTGGCTCGACGTGAAGAGAGGTCATCCGGCGCACTTGACTCTTCCAATCCGGGTCGTTGGCGCACTGCTCGGGGCATGCTTGCGTCGTCATTGTCGTGACTGGGTTGGGCCTTGCGCTTTCCTGTTTGTTTGAAGTGTCTCGGACGCGGTTCTTCATCATCAAGATCGATCGATTCGAAGTCCAGGCCATCAACATCGTCATCGGAAATCAGCATCGACATTCCAAAGGCCGACTCATCGAAGTTGACATCGCGACTTATCATCACCTGCCCCGCTTCGATGTCGTAAACTCGATACGCCTTGGACACTTCTTCGTAGCCCAAAAACAATCCAGCCCGGGCCTTGGGATCCCACTTGAGTCGTTTCTCCTTCGGGGTCAAGATGTATGCTTGGCACCCAAAAACGCGCATGTGCTTGACACTTGGCTTAGAACTGTAGACAATCTCGAACGGTGTCTTGTGTGGAATCTTGGGTGACGGCAAACGGTTCTTCACATAGACGGCCGTCATTGCCGCTTCAGCCCAGAAGCACTTGTCCAACTTGGCATGATGGAGCATGCTACGACCGATGGTGACAATAGTTCGAATCGCGCGTTCAGCAGTTCCATTGGCTTGATGTGCGTATGGCACCGTGGTTTGTTGCTCGATGCCTTCGACTTCGTAGAAATCTTGAAGCGAGTTCGTCGCAAACTCGCGGGCTCCATCGTGTCGCACAAATTTGACCTTCTTGTTGAACTGCGTCTGTATCATCGTGATGTACTTCTTGATGCACTCTTCGCTCTCTGACTTGTAATGCAGACAAAAACCCTTCATGCATCCGCTGGCTTCATCCACGATCAGCAGCAGATACTTGCTGCCACCCAGAGATTTTTCTTCCATGGGTCCGCAGATGTCGAAGTGGAGCATCTCGAAGGTGTTGTAGGTGCGCTTGTCACGGTTGCTCGGGAATGGTTTTTGGACCATCTTCCCTTCTTGGCATCCTCGACACACACTTGATCCATTCGGCTTGGAAGGGATGTGAGCGTCCTTGATCATGTGGCTTGTCACCATCCTGCGAAGCACGTCGACTGGAGCATGGCCCATTCGCGCATGTAGATCAACAGCGTTGCTGAGTGATGTCGCATTGGCCGATCGCTGCGTCGTGCGAAGCCAGTAGAGTCCGTCTACAAGATCCGCAGCTGCCACCACTTGATTGGAATCCTTGCGAGCGACGTACATCGTATCCCCGTCAAACACCACTTGGAAGTTGCCGTGCTTGTTAATCTGCGGCACCGAGAGCAGATTTTTGCTCATGCTGGGCACATAGAGCGCGTTCTTGATCTCGATCTCGCGCTCTTCCCCGTTTGGCAGAATCACCTTTTCCACGATGGTCCCCACACCTTTGATGGCCGCCTTGTTGCCATCAGCCACCAGGATCTCGCCATCATTGCCTTCGACCAAGCTTGCAAACTTGAACTTGTCGTGGCAGATGTGATGTGTTGCCCCGCTGTCAACGGCCCACATTCCTGGTCCATTCTTGTTCGTTGAAACTCCGCATTCGAACGAAACTGCAAACGCCACTCGATCGTAGCTGTTGCCTTCATCATAATGTCGCCACTGGACATTGTTTGCCCCGCGTCCACGACCATTGCCGCCGCGTTGGGCTCCTCGACTTTCATCCTTTTGCTTCGTCCAGCAACGCTCTGCCGTGTGCCCCACCTTGCCGCAGTATGTGCATTGGTAGGGCTTGCGCTCGGTACTGAATGCCTTTGTCGCATCTTCAGTCTTCACCGTTGTCGTTGCCGTTGTCATCTTCTCGCCTTGTCGCTTGATGTGCTCGTTAGTCAGCACCTTGACCACATCTTGCGTGCGCAGCTCTGCATTGCTCATCTCCAAGTTCAGAACCACGTTCTCGAAACTCTTCGGGAGACTGAGCAGCAAGCAGATCGCAATGTCTTCGTCTTCCATCTTGGCACCGATGCTGCTGAGCTTGGCGCCGATGTTCAAGACTTCGTTGCAATGGTGCAAGACGTTGGCACCTTCCGCCATCTTGATGCTGAACAGCTGGCGCTTGAGGTAGATGCGTCCCGCCTTCTGCGACCCACCATAGAGCATCTTCAACCGCGACCACGCTGTCCATGCTTCTTCACAGTTGTCGACCACATGGTGGTAGTCGGCGTCCATGTGGAGCAACATCAACCCGAACGCGATGTTGCTCGCCTTGACGTACTCGTCGGAAGCTCGCGTGTCGGTGAAGGTTGGAGACGTTTCGCGGTTCACGACGTACCAGACTGACTTCGTCAGAAACACACCGCGCATGTAGCGACACCAGGTTGAGTAGTTGTCCCCATCGAACTTATCGATGGAGACACTGGCCGAGGTGTTGTTGGACGACATGGCGCTTGGGCTCATAACCTGTTGTAACTTGAGCGCGAGGCGAAGAGAAAACGAAGCGGAGAGACCGGAGAGAACGAAGCAGAGAACACTTGCTCACTTGAGGGAGGATTCGAAAGTGATTGATTTATAGGTCTTAACTTCTGCCTACCCTAGACTGCATCCAATCACATGGTGCATCTAATCAACCTGATTTACACGCGTCCAATCATCCTACGCGTCTAATCATCTCTGAGGTAATTACCGATGTAAAAACTATCTCGTAAGAACTACGCGCTAGGTTCGGATTGTACCGGTAACCCTCAATAAGGGTTTCCGCCAAAAGTATGGCATCGACTACACGGAGACGTTTTCGCCTGTGGTCAAGTATGTGACGCTGCGAATGGTGATCGCAATTTCCAAGCATTTTGGATGGCCCATCGACCAGCTTGATGTGGTGACAGCTTTCCTGTATGGCGTCATGAAGGAACAAGTGTTCTGCGTGATTCCTGAAGGCGTCGAACTTGACAGTACGTTTGACTGCCTGGAATTGGTGAAGTCAATTTACGGCCTCAAGCAAGCGTCGCGAGTGTGGAACGAGACGTTCGACGAGTATGTGTGCTCCATCGGATTTCAAGTATCGGACTTCGACCCATGTCTCTACATCAAGACTTCGGACGGCCATTGCGTGTTTATACTGGTCTACGTGGACGACGTCTTGGTGACTGGAAGCTCGCTCGAGCTGATTGCACAAACCAAGAACGACCTGAAGACGCGGTTCGAAATGACGGACAGCGGCAAGTGTGCGTTTGTTCTTGGGATCGAGCTTTTGGACGGTGAAGATGGCAGTGTGACACTATGTCAGCGTCGGTATGTCGATGATATCCTCAAGCGCTTTGGCATGGATGATTGCAAGGCAGTCGCAAGTCCAGTCGACATGAGCTCTCGACTTGTTTCAAGTGATGCAACTACCAAGGTCGATGCTCCTTTTCGCGAAGCTGTTGGTGCGTTGATGCACCTGACCACTGCAACGCGTCCGGACATTGCGTTTGCTGTGGGCTATGTGTCGCGGTTCATGGAAAATCCCCAAGAAGAACACTGGGTTGCAGTTAAGCGTATCTTTCGCTACCTACAAGGCACCAAGACGCATGGAATTTGCTACAAGCCAAGTGCAAGGATCGACTTCCGTGGATATTCGGATGCGGATTGGGCTGGTGATCTTATCGACCGCAAGTCAACATCGGGGTACACGTTCATGCTACTCGGTGCGCCAGTCAGTTGGGGCAGCAAGAAGCAGCCAAGTGTTTCGTTGTCCACGAGTGAAGCCGAATACATCGCACTCAGCTTGGCGATTCAAGAGGGCAAGTGGATTCATCGTCTGCTTTGTGAGATCGTGATGGCTGCCAATGAAGAAGGACCGGAACTCATGATCCATGAAGACAATCAGTCGTGTATCAAGATGACGAAGAACCCAGTCAACCACGGCCGTGCCAAGCACATTGATATCAAGTACCATCACATCCGTGATGAGGTCAAGCGCGGTGAAGTGAAGCTCAAGTACTGTGAAACTGCGGTGATGTTAGCGGACATCATGACGAAGGGACTTCACGGGCCACGCCACAAGGAGATGACGGCGACTCTCGGGATTCGTGAGCATTCGGATTGAGGGGGCGTGTTGACGGTCATCGGTTTTCTACCAGTATTGGTAACCGTGACCGATCCAATCCGAACCGCCTGTTCAGCTTAGTATTTACGACGTAGTTCTTACGGTAATTACCATAGTTGATTAGACGCGTAGGATGATGAGACGCTTCACATGATTTATATGTACACCACATATAAATCATGTAGTAAGTAGTAAGCCCCGATAATCAATCACTTTCGAATCTTCCAACTATTGGGCAAGTGTTTTCTGCTCTACTCTCTTCGGTCTCTCCGCTCCGTTTGCTCCGCTTTCCTCGCTCCGATCTACAATGCAACAGTTTTTGTCTGCATTCCAAGTCAGAGAGCGAAGAGTGCATCAAGAAGTACATCACGATGATACAGACGCAGTTCAACAAGAAGGTCAAATTTGTGCGACACGATGGAGCCCGCGAGTTTGCGACGAACTCGCTTCAAGATTTCTACGAAGTCGAAGGCATCGAGCAACAAATCACGGTGCCATACGCACATCAAGCCAATGGAACTGCTGAACGCGCGATTCGAACTATCGTCACCATCGGTCGTAGCATGCTCCATCATGCCAAGTTGGACAAGTGCTTCTGGGCTGAAGCGGCAATGACGGCCGTCTATGTGAAGAACCGTTTGCCGTCACCCAAGATTCCACACAAGACACCGTTCGAGATTGTCTACAGTTCTAAGCCAAGTGTCAAGCACATGCGCGTTTTTGGGTGCCAAGCATACATCTTGACCCCGAAGGAGAAACGACTCAAGTGGGATCCCAAGGCCCGGGCTGGATTGTTTTTGGGCTACGAAGAAGTGTCCAAGGCGTATCGAGTTTACGACATCGAAGCGGGGCAGGTGATGATAAGTCGCGATGTCAACTTCGATGAGTCGGCCTTTGGAATGTCGATGCTGATTTCCGGTGACGATGTTGATGGCCTGGACTTCGAATCGATCGATCTTGATGATGAAGAACCGCGTCCGAGACACTTCAAACAAACAGGAAAGCGCAAGGCCCAACCCAGTCACGACAATGACGACGCAAGCATGCCCCGAGCAGTGCGCCAACGACCCGGATTGGAAGAGTCAAGTGCGCCGGATGACCTCTCTTCACGTCGAGCCAACGAAGATGAAGAAAGGAAGTCGGAGGAACAACATGACACACCGACTTCCTCCGCGTTTTGGCATGCGAGTGCAAACGCCGTCGAAGCAGCGGTCGATTTTTCGGAGCCGTCGACATTTGAAGAAGCAGTGTCTGGCCCGGACCAAGTACACTGGCGCAAGGCAATTGATGCGGAGCTCGATTCGATGAAGCTTCGCGGTGTCTTTCGTGCGGCCAAGTTACCCAACGGACAAAGCGCCATTGGCACAAAGTGGGTCTTCAAGATCAAGCGCAAGGCGGATGGGTCGATCGAGAAATACAAGGCACGACTTGTGGCCAAGGGTTTTCGCCAAAAGTATGGCATCGACTACACGGAGACGTTCTCGCCCGTGGTCAAGTATGTGACGCTGCGAATGGTCATCGCCATTACCAAGCACTTTGGATGGCCCCTCGACCAGCTCGATGTGGTGACTGCGTTCCTGTATGGAGTGATGAAGGAGAAGGTGTTCTGCGCTGTTCCGGAAGGCGTCAAGATGGAAGGTGATTTCGACTGTCTCGAGCTGATCAAGGCGATCTACGGTCTCAAGCAAGCCTCGCGTGTTTGGAACGAGACCTTCGACGAGTTCATACGCTCGATTGGTTTTCAAGCGTCGGGATTCGATCCATGTCTCTACATCATGACTTCGGAAGGCCATTGTGTTTTTGTGCTGGTCTACGTGGACGATGTCTTGGTGACTGGAAGCTCGCTCGAGATGATTGCGCGCACCAAGAACGACCTCAAGACACGCTTCGAGATGACGGACAGCGGCAAGTGTGCCTTTGTTCTTGGGATCGAGTTATTGGACGGTGAAGATGGCAGCGTGACTATGTGTCAGCGCCGTTATGTCGACGATGTCCTCAAGCGCTTTGGAATGGATGAGTGCAAGGCTGTGGCAAGTCCGGTGGACGTCAGCTCTCGACTGGTTCCAAGCAACTCTGCAAGCAAGGTGGATGTCCCATTCCGTGAAGCAGTGGGTGCTTTGATGCATCTGACGACTGCAACGCGACCGGACATCGCCTATGCTGTAAGCTTTGTGTCACGGTTCATGGAGAAACCCCAAGAAGAACACTGGGTTGCAGTCAAGCGCATCTTCCGCTACCTACAAGGCACCAAGATGCATGGAATCTGCTACAAGCCAAGTGCGAAGATCGACTTTCGTGGCTATTCAGATGCAGACTGGGCCGGTGACCTTGCTGATCGCAAATCGACGTCCGGCTACGTCTTCATGCTATTGGGTGCTCCGGTGAGTTGGGGCAGCAAGAAACAGCCAAGTGTGTCACTGTCTACAAGCGAAGCGGAGTACATCGCGCTCAGCCTGGCGATCCAAGAAGGCAAGTGGATCAATCGCTTGCTGTGCGAGATCATGGCGGCTGCAAACGAAGAAGGACCCGAGCTCGTCATCCGTGAAGACAACCAGTCGTGCATCAAGATGACGAAGAATCCGGTCAACCACGGCCGCGCTAAACACATCGACATCAAGTACCATCACATCCGTGATGAAGTCAAGCGCGGCGAAGTGAAGCTTGAATACTGCGAGACGACGTTGATGTTGGCGGACATCATGACGAAGGGACTTCACGGACCGCGTCACAAGGACTTGACGGCGGCGCTTGGCATCCGTGCGTGTTCGGATTGAGGGGGCGTATTGAGGGTTACCGGTACAATCCGAACCTAGCGCGTAGTTCTTACGAGATAGTTTTTACATCGGTAATTACCTCAGAGATGATTAGACGCGTAGGATGATTGGACGCGTGTAAATCAGGTTGATTAGATGCACCATGTGATTGGATGCAGTCTAGGGTAGGCAGAAGTTAAGACCTATAAATCAATCACTTTCGAATCCTCCCTCAAGTGAGCAAGTGTTCTCTGCTTCGTTCTCTCCGGTCTCTCCGCTTCGTTTTCTCTTCGCCTCGCGCTCAAGTTACAACACATCGAAAAGTCAAAAGTCGATTCGTCGAAGGTGATGTCACGACTGATCACCACTTGGTCCGCCTCAATGTCGTACACTCGATAAGCTTTTGACGCTTCTTCGTAGCCCATGAACATCCCTTCACGAGCCTTCGGGTCCCACTTCAATCGCTTCTCTGTTGCATTGTAGATCAGAGCGAGGAAAGCGGAGCAAACGGAGCGGAGAGACCGAAGAGAGTAGAGCAGAAAACACTTGCCCAATAGTTGGAAGATTCGAAAGTGATTGATTATCGGGGCTTACTACTTACTACATGATTTATATGTGGTGTACATATAAATCATGTGAAGCGTCTCATCATCCTACGCGTCTAATCAACTATGGTAATTACCGTAAGAACTACGTCGTAAATACTAAGCTGAACAGGCGGTTCGGATTGGATCGGTCACGGTTACCAATACTGGTAGAAACCGATGACCGTCAACACGCCCCCTCAATCCGAACACGCACGAATGCCGAGAGCCGTCGTCAAGTCCTTGTGGCGACGTCCATGAAGTCCCTTGGTCATGATGTCCGCCATCATCACGGAAGTCTCGCAATACTCGAGCTGCACTTCACCGCGCTTGACCTCATCACGGATGTGATGGTACTTGATGTCGATGTGCTTGGCGCAGCCATGATTCACCGGATTCTTCGTCATCTTCATGCACGACTGATTGTCTTCATGGATCATGAGTTCCGGTCCTTCTTCATTGGCAGCCATCACGATCTCACAAAGCAGACGATGAATCCACTTGCCCTCTTGAATCGCCAAGCTGAGTGCGATGTATTCGGCTTCACTCGTGGACAACGAAACACTTGGCTGCTTCTTGCTGCCCCAACTCACTGGCGCACCGAGTAGCATGAACGTGTACCCCGATGTTGACTTGCGGTCGGTAAGATCACCAGCCCAATCCGCATCCGAATATCCACGGAAGTCGATCCTTGTACTTGGCTTGTAGCAAATTCCATGCGTCTTGGTGCCTTGTAGGTAGCGAAAGATACGCTTAACTGCAACCCAGTGTTCTTCTTGGGGATTTTCCATGAACCGCGACACATAGCCCACAGCAAGCGCAATGTCCGGACGCGTTGCAGTGGTCAGGTGCATCAACGCACCAACAGCTTCGCGAAAAGGAGCATCGACCTTGGTAGTTGCATCACTTGAAACAAGTCGAGAGCTCATGTCGACTGGACTTGCGACTGCCTTGCAATCATCCATGCCAAAGCGCTTGAGGATATCATCGACATACCGACGCTGACATAGTGTCACACTGCCATCTTCACCGTCCAAAAGCTCGATCCCAAGAACAAACGCACACTTGCCGCTGTCCGTCATTTCGAACCGCGTCTTCAGGTCGTTCTTGGTTTGTGCAGGCAGCTCGAGCGAGCTTCCAGTCACCAAGACGTCGTCCACGTAGACCAGTATAAACACGCAATGGCCGTCCGAAGTCTTGATGTAGAGACATGGGTCGAAGTCCGATACTTGAAATCCGATGGAGCACACATACTCGTCGAACGTCTCGTTCCACACTCGCGACGCTTGCTTGAGGCCGTAAATTGACTTCACCAATTCCAGGCAGTCGAACGTACTGTCAAGTTCGACGCCTTCAGGAATCACGCAGAACACTTGTTCCTTCATGACGCCATACAGGAAAGCTGTCACCACATCAAGCTGGTCGATGGGCCATCCAAAATGCTTGGAAATTGCGATCACCATTCGCAGCGTCACATACTTGACCACAGGCGAAAACGTCTCCGTGTAGTCGATGCCATACTTTTGGCGGAAACCCTTGGCCACAAGTCGTGCCTTGTACTTCTCGATTGACCCATCCGCCTTGCGCTTGATCTTGAACACCCATTTTGTGCCAATGGCGCGTTGTCCGTTGGGCAGCTTGGCTGCACGAAACACACCGCGAAGTCGCATTGACTCGAGCTCTGCATGAATTGCTTTTCTCCAGTGCACTTGGTCAGGGCCGCTTACTGCTGCTTCAAATGTTGAGGGTTCTGATAAGTCCACTGCTGCTTCAACGGCATTTGCACTCGCACGCCAAAACACAGGCGGTGTTGAATCACCAGAATCCTTCGTTTCTTCGTCTTCTTCTTGTCGTGACGAGTTGTTTTCCGGCGCGCTTGACTCTTCTAGTCCTGGTCGTTGACGCACTGCACGCGGTCGTGGAGCTGCTGTATCTTCATCATTGAGTCGGTTCTTGCGCTTGCCTGTTTGCTTGTACTCCATTTGACGCAGCTCTTCGTCATCAAGATCCAGCAATTCGAAGTCCAGGTCATCGACATCTTCATCAGTGATCGGCAGTTGAAGTCCAAAGGTGGACTCGTCGAAGTTGACATCGCGGCTGATAACCACCTGCCCCGCCTCGATGTCATAAACACGATATGCCTTCGAAACTTCTTCGTAGCCCACGAATATGCCAGCGCGAGCCTTTGGATCCCACTTGAGTCGCTTCTCCTTCGGAGTCAGTATAAATGTCTGACAGCCGAATACTCGCATGTGCTTGACACTTGGCTTCGAGTTGTACACGATCTCAAACGGGATCTTGTGCACGACTTTAGGTGACGGCAGTCGATTCTTGACGTAGATGGCCGTCATCGCTGCTTCGGCCCAGAAACACTTGTCCAGTTTGGCATGATGAAGCATGCTGCGGCCGATCGTGACAATAGTCCTAATGGCACGCTCTGCTGTTCCGTTTGTTTGATGTGCATACGGCACCGTTGTCTGCTGTTCAATGCCTTCGTCTTCGTAGAACAGTTGAAGCGAGTTGGTTGCAAACTCGCGAGCTCCGTCGTGTCGCACGAACTTGACCTTCTTACAGAATTGCGTCTGTAGCATGGTGATATATTTCCGGATGTAGTCTTCACTCTCGGACTTCACTCGTAGACAAAAGCCCTTCATGCATCCACTGGCTTCGTCGATGATCAGCAGCAAATATTTGCTGCCACCGAGCGAATCCTTTTCCATGGGCCCGCAGATGTCCAGATGAAGTAGCTCAAACGTATCGTAGCTGCGCTTGTCTCGGTTGCTTGGAAATGGTTTTTGGACCATTTTCCTTTGTTGACATCCTCGACATGTAGTTGCTCCACCCGGCTTGAGAGGGACTCGCACATCCTTGATCATGTTGGTCGCGATCATCTTGCGAAGTACATCGACTGGAGCATGACCCATTCTCGCATGTAGATCGGCACAACTGGTTCCACTTGTTGTCACATTCGCTGATCGTTGAGTCGTCCGAAGCCAGTAGAGTCCATCCACGAGATCCGCTGTCGCCACCACTTGCTGTGAGTTCTTGAGAGTCACATACATCTTGGACCCGTCAAACACGACTTGAAACTTGCCATGGCTGTTAATCTGTGGCACCGAGAGCAGGTTCTTGCTCATACTTGGAACATATAGCGCGTTCTTGATTTCGATCTCACGCTCTTCACCGTTGGGCAGAACCACCTTTTCCATGATGGTTCCCACACCCTTGATGGCCACCTTGTTGCCATCAGCCACCAAGAGTTCGCCCTCATTGCGCTCTGCCAAACTTGCGAACTTGGTCTTGTCGTGGCAAATGTGGTGCGTTGCACCACTGTCGACGGCCCACATTCCAGACACGTCCTTGCTCGTCGAAACTCCACATTCGAACGAGACTGCAAACGCCACTCGATCGTAGCCATTGCCTTCATCATGATGTCCCCACTGGACATTGTTAGCCCCGCGTCCACGACCATTGCCGCCGCGTCGGGCTCCCCGACCTTCGTTCTTCTGCTTTGTCCAGCAACGATCCACCGTGTGTCCCACCTTGCCACAATACGTGCATTGGTAGGGCTCACGCTCGGCGCTGAATGCCTTGCTTGCATCTTCAGCCTTCACCGTAGTCGCTGTCGTTGTCCCTTTTTCTCCTTGACGCTTGGCATGCTCATTCGTCAGGACTCTCACCACATCTTGAGTGCGAAGCTCGGTGCTGCTCATTTCCATGTTGAGCACCACATTTTCGTAGCTCTTCGGAAGACTGAGTAGCAGACAAATTGCAACGTCTTCGTCTTCCATCTTCGCACCGATGCCGCTAAGCTTGGCGGAGATGTTGAGGACCTCGTTGCAGTGATGCATGACGTTCGCGCCTTCAGCCATCTTGATACTGAAAAGTTGTCGCTTGAGGTAGATGCGTCCTGCCTTCTGCGACCCACCGTACAGCGTCTTCAGACTTGTCCACGCAACCCAGGCTTCCTCGCAGTTGTCCAGCACATGATGGTAGTCCGCGTTCATGTGCAGCAGCATCATACCAAACGCGACGTTGCTTGCCTTGACGTAGTCATCGGACGCTCGCGGGTCGGTGAAAGTCGGAGTCACTTCACGGTTGACGACGTGCCAGACGGACTTCGTCAAAAACACACCGCGCATGTACCGGCTCCACGTTGCGTAATTGTCTCCGTTGAACTTGTCAATGGAGGCGTTGCTGGTGGACGACATGGCGCTTGGGCTCATAACCTGTTGCATTGTAGATCAGAGCGAGGAAAGCGGAGCAAACGGAGCGGAGAGACCGAAGAGAGTAGAGCAGAAAACACTTGCCCAATAGTTGGAAGATTCGAAAGTGATTGATTATCGGGGCTTACTACTTACTACATGATTTATATGTGGTGTACATATAAATCATGTGAAGCGTCTCATCATCCTACGCGTCTAATCAACCATGGTAATTACCGTAAGAACTACGTCGTAAATACTAAGCTGAACAGGCGGTTCGGATTGGATCGGTCACGGTTACCAATACTGGTAGAAACCGATGACCGTCAACATTCTCCCTTGGTGTCAGGATAAACGCCCGACATCCAAACACGCGCATGTGCTTGACACTTGGTTTCGACTTGTACACGATTTCGAACGGAGTCTTGTGGTCGATCTTGGGTGAAGGCAGGCGGTTCTTGATGTAGATCGCCGTCATTGCCGCTTCAGCCCAGAAACACTTCTCCAGTTTTGCATGATGCAACAAGCTGCGTCCGATCGTGACGATGGTCCTTATCGCGCGTTCTGCGGTGCCGTTGGTCTGGTGTGCATACGGCACCGTGATCTGTTGTTCGATACCATGATCTTCGTAGAAGGTCTTGATGGAGTTGGTCGCAAACTCATGCACTCCATCGTGCCGAACAAACTTGATCTTCGTGCCGAACTGAGTTTGAATCTTGATGATGTGGTTCTTGATACAGTCGTCACTCTCAGACTTGGACCGCAGACAGAAGCCCTTCATGCAACCGCTAGCTTCGTCAACCACAAGCAGTAAGTATTTGCTGCCGCCGATCGAGACTTGTTCCATTGGCCCGCAGATGTCGAAGTGCAGCAACTCGAACACACCATATTGGCGTTTGTCACGGTTGGTTGGGAATGGTTTTTGGACCATCTTTCCTTGCTGGCAACCGCGACACACACTTGGACTAGTCGAGTTGAGAGGTGCCTTGGCGTCCTTGATCATGCCAGTGGCCACCATCTTGCGCAGAACTTCGAGGGGTGCATGACCCATGCGCGCATGCAAGTCGATGGTCCCATTGCGTGTTGCTGCATTTGCCGATCGTTGAGGAGTCCGCAGCCAGTAAAGTCCATCGACGAGATCCGCTGTTGCCACGACTTGTGTGGAATTCTTGCGCTTCACTTGCATCTTGGATCCATCGAACACGACTTGGAACCTGCCACCCTTGCTGATCTGTGGCACCGAAAGCAGATTCTTGCTCATACTTGGTACGAACAGTGCGTCCTTGATCTCGATGTCGCGTTCGTCACCATTGGGCAGAACCACCCGTTCCATGATGGTTCCCACACCCTTGATCGCAGCCTTGCTGCCATCAGCCACTGATAGTTCTGTTGTATCTTGAGCGCGAGGCGAAGAGAAAACGAAGCGGAGAGACCGGAGAGAACGAAGCAGAGAACACTTGCTCACTTGAGGGAGGATTCGAAAGTGATTGATTTATAGGTCTTAACTTCTGCCTACCCTAGACTGCATCCAATCACATGGTGCATCTAATCAACCTGATTTACACGCGTCCAATCATCCTACGCGTCTAATCATCTCTGAGGTAATTACCGATGTAAAAACTATCTCGTAAGAACTACGCGCTAGGTTCGGATTGTACCGGTAACCCTCAATACGCCCCCTCAATCCGAACACGCACGGATGCCAAGCGCCGCCGTCAAGTCCTTGTGACGCGGTCCGTGAAGTCCCTTCGTCATGATGTCCGCCAACATCAACGTCGTCTCGCAGTATTCAAGCTTCACTTCGCCGCGCTTGACTTCATCACGGATGTGATGGTACTTGATGTCGATGTGTTTAGCGCGGCCGTGGTTGACCGGATTCTTCGTCATCTTGATGCACGACTGGTTGTCTTCACGGATGACGAGCTCGGGTCCTTCTTCGTTTGCAGCCGCCATGATCTCGCACAGCAAGCGATTGATCCACTTGCCTTCTTGGATCGCCAGGCTGAGCGCGATGTACTCCGCTTCGCTTGTAGACAGTGACACACTTGGCTGTTTCTTGCTGCCCCAACTCACCGGAGCACCCAATAGCATGAAGACGTAGCCGGACGTCGATTTGCGATCAGCAAGGTCACCGGCCCAGTCTGCATCTGAATAGCCACGAAAGTCGATCTTCGCACTTGGATTGTAGCAGATTCCATGCATATTGGTGCCTTGTAGGTAGCGGAAGATGCGCTTGACTGCAACCCAGTGTTCTTCTTGGGGTTTCTCCATGAACCGTGACACAAAGCTTACAGCATAGGCGATGTCCGGTCGCGTTGCAGTCGTCAGATGCATCAAAGCACCCACTGCTTCACGGAATGGGACATCCACCTTGCTTGCAGAGTTGCTTGGAACCAGTCGAGAGCTGACGTCCACCGGACTTGCCACAGCCTTGCACTCATCCATTCCAAAGCGCTTGAGGACATCGTCGACATAACGGCGCTGACACATAGTCACGCTGCCATCTTCACCGTCCAATAACTCGATCCCAAGAACAAAGGCACACTTGCCGCTGTCCGTCATCTCGAAGCGTGTCTTGAGGTCGTTCTTGGTGCGCGCAATCATCTCGAGCGAGCTTCCAGTCACCAAGACATCGTCCACGTAGACCAGCACAAAAACACAATGGCCTTCCGAAGTCATGATGTAGAGACATGGATCGAATCCCGACGCTTGAAAACCAATCGAGCGTATGAACTCGTCGAAGGTCTCGTTCCAAACACGCGAGGCTTGCTTGAGACCGTAGATCGCCTTGATCAGCTCGAGACAGTCGAAATCACCTTCCATCTTGACGCCTTCCGGAACAGCGCAGAACACCTTCTCCTTCATCACTCCATACAGGAACGCAGTCACCACATCGAGCTGGTCGAGGGGCCATCCAAAGTGCTTGGTAATGGCGATGACCATTCGCAGCGTCACATACTTGACCACGGGCGAGAACGTCTCCGTGTAGTCGATGCCATACTTTTGGCGAAAACCCTTGGCCACAAGTCGTGCCTTGTATTTCTCGATCGACCCATCCGCCTTGCGCTTGATCTTGAAGACCCACTTTGTGCCAATGGCGCTTTGTCCGTTGGGTAACTTGGCCGCACGAAAGACACCGCGAAGCTTCATCGAATCGAGCTCCGCATCAATTGCCTTGCGCCAGTGTACTTGGTCCGGGCCAAACACTGCTTCTTCAAATGTCGACGGCTCCGAAAAATCGACCGCTGCTTCGACGGCGTTTGCACTCGCATGCCAAAACGCGGAGGAAGTCGGTGTGTCATGTTGTTCCTCCGACTTCCTTTCTTCATCTTCGTTGGCTCGACGTGAAGAGAGGTCATCCGGCGCACTTGACTCTTCCAATCCGGGTCGTTGGCGCACTGCTCGGGGCATGCTTGCGTCGTCATTGTCGTGACTGGGTTGGGCCTTGCGCTTTCCTGTTTGTTTGAAGTGTCTCGGACGCGGTTCTTCATCATCAAGATCGATCGATTCGAAGTCCAGGCCATCAACATCGTCATCGGAAATCATCATCGACATTCCAAAGGCCGACTCATCGAAGTTGACATCGCGACTTATCATCACCTGCCCCGCTTCGATGTCATAAACTCGATACGCCTTGGACACTTCTTCGTAGCCCAAAAACAATCCAGCCCGGGCCTTGGGATCCCACTTGAGTCGTTTCTCCTTCGGGGTCAAGATGTATGCTTGGCACCCAAAAACGCGCATGTGCTTGACACTTGGCTTAGAACTGTAGACAATCTCGAACGGTGTCTTGTGTGGAATCTTGGGTGACGGCAAACGGTTCTTCACATAGACGGCCGTCATTGCCGCTTCAGCCCAGAAGCACTTGTCCAACCTGGCATGATGGAGCATGCTACGACCGATGGTGACAATAGTTCGAATCGCGCGTTCAGCAGTTCCATTGGCTTGATGTGCGTATGGCACCGTGGTTTGTTGCTCGATGCCTTCGACTTCGTAGAAATCTTGAAGCGAGTTCGTCGCAAACTCGCGGGCTCCATCGTGTCGCACAAATTTGACCTTCTTGTTGAACTGCGTCTGTATCATCGTGATGTACTCCTTGATGCACTCTTCGCTCTCTGACTTGGAATGCAGACAAAAACCCTTCATGCATCCGCTGGCTTCATCCACGATCAGCAGCAGATACTTGCTGCCACCCAGAGATTTTTCTTCCATGGGTCCGCAGATGTCGAAGTGGAGCATCTCGAAGGTGTTGTAGGTGCGCTTGTCACGGTTGCTCGGGAATGGTTTTTGGACCATCTTCCCTTCTTGGCATCCTCGACACACACTTGATCCATTCGGCTTGGAAGGGATGTGAGCGTCCTTGATCATGTGGCTTGTCACCATCCTGCGAAGCACGTCGACTGGAGCATGGCCCATTCGCGCATGTAGATCAACAGCGTTGCTGAGTGATGTCGCATTGGCCGATCGCTGCGTCGTGCGAAGCCAGTAGAGTCCGTCTACAAGATCCGCAGCTGCCACCACTTGATTGGAATCCTTGCGAGCGACGTACATCGTATCCCCGTCAAACACCATTTGGAAGTTGCCGTGCTTGTTAATCTGCGGCACCGAGAGCAGATTTTTGCTCATGCTGGGCACATAGAGCGCGTTCTTGATCTCGATCTCGCGCTCTTCCCCGTTTGGCAGAATCACCTTTTCCACGATGGTCCCCACACCTTTGATGGCCGCCTTGTTGCCATCAGCCACCAGGATCTCGCCATCATTGCCTTCGACCAAGCTTGCAAACTTGAACTTGTCGTGGCAGATGTGATGTGTTGCCCCGCTGTCAACGGCCCACATTCCTGGTCCATTCTTGTTCGTCGAAACTCCGCATTCGAACGAAACTGCAAACGCCACTCGATCGTAGCTGTTGCCTTCATCATAATGTCGCCACTGGACATTGTTTGCCCCGCGTCCACGACCATTGCCGCCGCGTTGGGCTCCTCGACTTTCATCCTTTTGCTTCGTCCAGCAACGCTCTGCCGTGTGCCCCACCTTGCCGCAGTATGTGCATTGGTAGGGCTTGCGCTCGGTACTGAATGCCTTTGTCGCATCTTCAGTCTTCACCGTTGTCGTTGCCGTTGTCATCTTCTCGCCTTGTCGCTTGATGTGCTCGTTAGTCAGCACTATTGAGGGTTACCGGTACAATCCGAACCTAGCGCGTAGTTCTTACGAGATAGTTTTTACATCGGTAATTACCTCAGAGATGATTAGACGCGTAGGATGATTGTGTTGTAAGTGCTTGATGCACTGGATTCGACTCCAGAGATTCGGCCCATGATAGGGTATGTCTAGAATGTTCTTTAGGGTTCTATGCATTATTATAGGTCGTACGGCAGCTAGACGAATGGATAGTTCTCACTTGTAGATTGACAAACCACTGATGAGGCCCCCGGCGGGGGGCCGAAACGCGTCTGGTGCGCGGTAATATACAAGTTATTTACTTTACTTAGCTCCTACTTCTTTAGGTTATGAGCCCAAGTGCTCGCTGCAGACACCTCACCAAGGACCAACTTGTGCGAGGGACACCCCGTCAGAGAAGGCGCTCGATGCACGAGTAAGGCGCCGAAGAATTCATCGACAGGGATCGTTGACGGTGCGCGTGCAGTCGAAAAGGGTTTGTGCAAGGGTGGTGACGCGAGATGGTCTGAATGCGCGAGTGCTATCGAAGGAAGAGTCAAGTCAAGTGGTGACAAGTGTATTTGTGGTCAAGAAGAAGTGGAAACTACATGCAAGGCGAACGACGACTACGAGATGTCAAGATGTGACATGGTGCTGGACGATGGGGGAGCCGGAATACCTGGAACGCTCGGTATCATCGAGGTTGGCTGGAGCGCAGGGGCAAGACTCAATCAAGATTCCCATGGTGCACGGATGCAGCAGTGAGGATTACAGGCGGGTCGATACCAAAGTGGTCTGCATCTCATGTCTTCGAGGGGGAGTGTTGTAAGTGCTTGATGCACTGGATTCGACTCCAGAGATTCGGCCCATGATAGGGTATGTCTAGAATGTTCTTTAGGGTTCTATGCATTATTATAGGTCGTACGGCAGCTAGACGAATGGATAGTTCTCACTTGTAGATTGACAAACCACTGATGAGGCCCCCGGCGGGGGGCCGAAACGCGTCTGGTGCGCGGTAATATACAAGTTATTTACTTTACTTAGCTCCTACTTCTTTAGATTGGACGCGTGTAAATCAGGTTGATTAGATGCACCATGTGATTGGATGCAGTCTAGGGTAGGCAGAAGTTAAGACCTATAAATCAATCACTTTCGAATCCTCCCTCAAGTGAGCAAGTGTTCTCTGCTTCGTTCTCTCCGGTCTCTCCGCTTCGTTTTCTCTTCGCCTCGCGCTCAAGTTACAACAGGTTATGAGCCCAAGCGCCATGTCGTCCAACAACACCTCGGCCAGTGTCTCCATCGATAAGTTCGATGGGGACAACTACTCAACCTGGTGTCGCTACATGCGCGGCGTGTTTCTGACGAAGTCAGTCTGGTACGTCGTGAACCGCGAAACGTCTCCAACCTTCACCGACACGCGAGCTTCCGACGAGTACGTCAAGGCGAGCAACATCGCGTTCGGGTTGATGTTGCTCCACATGGACGCCGACTACCACCATGTGGTCGACAACTGTGAAGAAGCATGGACAGCGTGGTCGCGGTTGAAGATGCTCTATGGTGGGTCGCAGAAGGCGGGACGCATCTACCTCAAGCGCCAGCTGTTCAGCATCAAGATGGCGGAAGGTGCCAACGTCTTGCACCATTGCAACGAAGTCTTGAACATCGGCGCCAAGCTCAGCAGCATCGGTGCCAAGATGGAAGACGAAGACATTGCGATCTGCTTACTGCGCAGTCTGCCCAATAGTTTCGAGAACGTGGTTCTCAACTTGGAGATGAGCAATGCAGAGCTGCGCACGCAAGATGTGGTCAAGGTGCTGACTAACGAGCACATCAAGCGACAAGGCGAGAAGATGAAAACGGCAACGACAACGGTGAAGACTGAAGATGCGACAAAGGCATTCAGTACCGAGCGCAAGCCCTACCAATGTACATACTGCGGCAAGGTGGGGCACACGGCAGAGCGTTGCTGGACGAAGCAAAAGGATGAAAGTCGAGGAGCCCAACGCGGCGGCAATGGTCGTCGACGCGGGTCAAACAATGTCCACTGGCGACATTATGATGAAGGCAATAGCTACGATCGAGTGGCGTTTGCAGTTTCGTTCGAATGCGGAGTTTCGACGAACAAGAATGGACCAGGAATGTGGGCCGTTGACAGCGGGGCAACACATCACATCTGCCACGACAAGTTCAAGTTTGCAAGCTTGGTCGAAGGCAATGATGGTGAGATCCTGGTGGCTGATGGCAACAAGGCGGCCATCAAAGGTGTGGGGACCATCGTGGAAAAGGCGATTCTGCCAAACGGGGAAGAGCGCGAGATCGAGATCAAGAACGCGCTCTATGTGCCCAGCATGAGCAAAAATCTGCTCTCGGTGCCGCAGATTAACAAACACGGCAACTTCCAAGTGGTGTTTGACGGGGATACGATGTACGTCGCTCGCAAGGATTCCAATCAAGTGGTGGCAGCTGCGGATCTTGTAGACGGACTCTACTGGCTTCGCACGACGCAGCGATCGGCCAATGCGACATCACTCAGCAACGCTGTTGATCTACATGCGCGAATGGGCCATGCTCCAGTCGACGTGCTTCGCAGGATGGTGACAAGCCACATGATCAAGGACGCTCACATCCCTTCCAAGCCGAATGGATCAAGTGTGTGTCGAGGATGCCAAGAAGGGAAGATGGTCCAAAAACCATTCCCGAGCAACCGTGACAAGCGAACCTACAACACCTTCGAGATGCTCCACTTCGACATCTGCGGACCCATGGAAAAAAATCTCTGGGTGGCAGCAAGTATCTGCTGCTGATCGTGGATGAAGCCAGCGGATGCATGAAGGGTTTTTGTCTGCATTCCAAGTCAGAGAGCGAAGAGTGCATCAAGGAGTACATCACGATGATACAGACGCAGTTCAACAAGAAGGTCAAATTTGTGCGACACGATGGAGCCCGCGAGTTTGCGACGAACTCGCTTCAAGATTTCTACGAAGTCGAAGGCATCGAGCAACAAACCACGGTGCCATACGCACATTAAGCCAATGGAACTGCTGAACGCGCGATTCGAACTATCGTCACCATCGGTCGTAGCATGCTCCATCATGCCAAGTTGGACAAGTGCTTCTGGGCTGAAGCGGCAATGACGGCCGTCTATGTGAAGAACCGTTTGCCGTCACCCAAGATTCCACACAAGACACCGTTCGAGATTGTCTACAATTCTAAGCCAAGTGTCAAGCACATGCGCGTTTTTGGGTGCCAAGCATACATCTTGACCCCGAAGGAGAAACGACTCAAGTGGGATCCCAAGGCCCGGGCTGGATTGTTTTTTGGGCTACGAAGAAGTGTCCAAGGCGTATCGAGTTTACGACATCGAAGCGGGGCAGGTGATGATAAGTCGCGATGTCAACTTCAATGAGTCGGCCTTTGGAATGTCGATGCTGATTTCCGATGACGATGTTGATGGCCTGGACTTCGAATCGATCGATCTTGATGATGAAGAACCGCGTCCGAGACACTTCAAACAAACAGGAAAGCGCAAGGCCCAACCCAGTCACGACAATGACGACGCAAGCATGCCCCGAGCAGTGCGCCAACGACCCGGATTGGAAGAGTCAAGTGCGCCGGATGACCTCTCTTCACGTCGAGCCAACGAAGATGAAGAAAGGAAGTCTGTTGCATTGTAGATCGGAGCGAGGAAAGCGGAGCGAACGGAGCGGAGAGACCGAAGAGAGTAGAGCAGAAAACACTTGCCCAATAGTTGGAAGATTCGAAAGTGATTGATTATCGGGGCTTACTACTTACTACATGATTTATATGTGGTGTACATATAAATCATGTGAAGCGTCTTATCATCCTACGCGTCTAATCAACTATGGTAATTACCGTAAGAACTACGTCGTAAATACTAAGCTGAACAGGCGGTTCGGATTGGATCGGTCACGGTTACCAATACTGGTAGAAAACCGATGACCGTCAACACGCCCCCTCAATCCGAATGCTCACGAATCCCGAGAGCCGTCGTCATCTCCTTGTGGCGTGGTCCATGAAGTCCCTTCGTCATGATGTCCGCTAACATCACCGCAGTTTCACAGTACTTGAGCTTCACTTCACCGCGCTTGACCTCATCACGGATGTGATGGTACTTGATATCAATGTGCTTGGCACGGCCGTGGTTGACTGGGTTCTTCGTCATCTTGATACATGACTGATTGTCTTCATGAATCATGAGTTCCGGTCCTTCTTCATTGGCAGCCATCACGATCTCACAAAGCAGACGATGAATCCACTTGCCCTCTTGAATCGCCAAGCTGAGTGCGATGTATTCGGCTTCACTCGTGGACAACGAAACACTTGGCTGCTTCTTGCTGCCCCAACTCACTGGCGCACCGAGTAGCATGAACGTGTACCCCGATGTTGACTTGCGGTCGGTAAGATCACCAGCCCAATCCGCATCCGAATATCCACGGAAGTCGATCCTTGCACTTGGCTTGTAGCAAATTCCATGCGTCTTGGTGCCTTGTAGGTAGCGAAAGATACGCTTAACTGCAACCCAGTGTTCTTCTTGGGGATTTTCCATGAACCGCGACACATAGCCCACAGCAAACACAATGTCCGGACGCGTTGCAGTGGTCAGGTGCATCAACGCACCAACAGCTTCGCGAAAAGGAGCATCGACCTTGGTAGTTGCATCACTTGAAACAAGTCGAGAGCTCATGTCGACTGGACTTGCGACTGCCTTGCAATCATCCATGCCAAAGCGCTTGAGGATATCATCGACATACCGACGCTGACATAGTGTCACACTGGCATCTTCACCGTCCAAAAGCTCGATCCCAAGAACAATCGCACACTTGCCGCTGTCCGTCATCTCGAACCGCGTCTTCAGGTCGTTCTTGGTTTGTGCAATCAGCTCGAGCGAGCTTCCAGTCACCAAGACGTCGTCCACGTAGACCAGTATAAACACGCAATGGCCGTCCGAAGTCTTGATGTAGAGACATGGGTCGAAGTCCGATACTTGAAATCCGATGGAGCACACATACTCGTCGAACGTCTCGTTCCACACTCGCGACGCTTGCTTGAGGCCGTAAATTGACCTCACCAATTCCAGGCAATCGAACGTACTGTCAAGTTCGACGCCTTCAGGAATCACGCAGAACACTTGTTCCTTCATGACGCCATACAGGAAAGCTGTCACCACATCAAGCTGGTCGATGGGCCATCCAAAATGCTTGGAAATTGCGATCACCATTCGCAGCGTCACATACTTGACCACAGGCGAAAACGTCTCCGTGTAGTCGATGCCATACTTTTGGCGGAAACCCTTGGCCACAAGTCGTGCCTTGTACTTCTCGATTGACCCATCCGCCTTGCGCTTGATCTTGAACACCCATTTTGTGCCAATGGCGCGTTGTCCGTTGGGCAGCTTGGCTGCACGAAACACACCGCGAAGTCGCATTGACTCGAGCTCTGCATGAATTGCTTTTCTCCAGTGCACTTGGTCAGGGCCGCTTACTGCTGCTTCAAATGTTGAGGGTTCTGATAAGTCCACTGCTGCTTCAACGGCATTTGCACTCGCACGCCAAAACACAGGCGGTGTTGAATCACCAGAATCCTTCGTTTCTTCGTCTTCTTCTTGTCGTGACGAGTTGTTTTCCGGCGCGCTTGACTCTTCTAGTCCTGGTCGTTGACGCACTGCACGCGGTCGTGGAGCTGCTGTATCTTCATCATTGAGTCGGTTCTTGCGCTTGCCTGTTTGCTTGTACTCCATTTGACGCAGCTCTTCGTCATCAAGATCCAGCAATTCGAAGTCCAGGTCATCGACATCTTCATCAGTGATCGGCAGTTGAAGTCCAAAGGTGGACTCGTCGAAGTTGACATCGCGGCTGATAACCACCTGCCCCGCCTCGATGTCATAAACACGATATGCCTTCGAAACTTCTTCGTAGCCCACGAATATGCCAGCGCGAGCCTTTGGATCCCACTTGAGTCGCTTCTCCTTCGGAGTCAGTATAAATGTCTGACAGCCGAATACTCGCATGTGCTTGACACTTGGCTTCGAGTTGTACACGATCTCAAACGGGATCTTGTGCACAACTTTAGGTGACGGCAGTCGATTCTTGACGTAGATGGCCGTCATCGCTGCTTCGGCCCAGAAACACTTGTCCAGTTTGGCATGATGAAGCATGCTGCGGCCGATCGTGACAATAGTCCTAATGGCACGCTCTGCTGTTCCGTTTGTTTGATGTGCATACGGCACCGTTGTCTGCTGTTCAATGCCTTCGTCTTCGTAGAACAGTTGAAGCGAGTTGGTTGCAAACTCGCGAGCTCCGTCGTGTCGCACGAACTTGACCTTCTTACAGAATTGCGTCTGTACCATGGTGATATATTTCCGGATGTAGTCTTCACTCTCGGACTTCACTCGTAGACAAAAGCCCTTCATGCATCCACTGGCTTCGTCGATGATCAGCAGCAAATATTTGCTGCCACCGAGCGAATCCTTTTCCATGGGCCCGCAGATGTCCAGATGAAGTAGCTCAAACGTGTCGTAACTTCGCTTGTCACGATTGCTTGGGAATGGGTTTTGGACCATTTTCCTTGCTGACATTCTCGACATGTACCTGATCCACTTGACTTGAGAGGCACTTCCACATCTTTGATCATGTTGTTGGAGACCATCTTGCGAAGCACGTCGACTGGAGCATGACCCATTCTCGCATGTAGATCGGCACAACTGGTTCCACTTGTTGTCACATTCGCTGATCGTTGAGTCGTCCGAAGCCAGTAGAGTCCATCCACGAGATCCGCTGTCGCCACCACTTGCTGTGAGTTCTTGAGAGTCACATACATCTTGGACCCGTCAAACACGACTTGAAACTTGCCATGGCTGTTAATCTGTGGCACCGAGAGCAGGTTCTTGCTCATACTTGGAACATATAGCGCGTTCTTGATTTCGATCTCACGCTCTTCACCGTTGGGCAGAACCACCTTTTCCATGATGGTTCCCACACCCTTGATGGCCACCTTGTTGCCATCAGCCACCAAGAGTTCGCCCTCATTGCGCTCTGCCAAACTTGCGAACTTGGTCTTGTCGTGGCAAATGTGGTGCGTTGCACCACTGTCGACGGCCCACATTCCAGACACGTCCTTGCTCGTCGAAACTCCACATTCGAACGAGACTGCAAACGCCACTCGATCGTAGCCATTGCCTTCATCATGATGTCCCCACTGGACATTGTTAGCCCCGCGTCCACGACCATTGCCGCCGCGTCGGGCTCCCCGACCTTCGTTCTTCTGCTTTGTCCAGCAACGATCCACCGTGTGTCCCACCTTGCCACAATACGTGCATTGGTAGGGCTCACGCTCGGCGCTGAATGCCTTGCTTGCATCTTCAGCCTTCACCGTAGTCGCTGTCGTTGTCCCTTTTTCTCCTTGACGCTTGGCATGCTCATTCGTCAGGAATCTCACCACATCTTGAGTGCGAAGCTCGGTGCTGCTCATTTCCATGTTGAGCACCACATTTTCGTAGCTCTTCGGAAGACTGAGTAGCAGACAAATTGCAACGTCTTCGTCTTCCATCTTCGCACCGATGCCGCTAAGCTTGGCGGAGATGTTGAGGACCTCGTTGCAGTGATGCATGACGTTCGCGCCTTCAGCCATCTTGATACTGAAAAGTTGTCGCTTGAGGTAGATGCGTCCTGCCTTCTGCGACCCACCGTACAGCGTCTTCAGACTTGTCCACGCAACCCAGGCTTCCTCGCAGTTGTCCAGCACATGATGGTAGTCCGCGTTCATGTGCAGCAGCATCATACCAAACGCGACGTTGCTTGCCTTGACGTAGTCATCGGACGCTCGCGGGTCGGTGAAAGTCGGAGTCACTTCACGGTTGACAACGTGCCAGACGGACTTCGTCAAAAACACACCGCGCATGTACCGGCTCCACGTTGCGTAATTGTCTCCGTTGAACTTGTCAATGGAGGCGTTGCTGGTGGAAGACATGGCGCTTGGGCTCATAACCTGTTGCATTGTAGATCGGAGCGAGGAAAGCGGAGCGAACGGAGCGGAGAGACCGAAGAGAGTAGAGCAGAAAACACTTGCCCAATAGTTGGAAGATTCGAAAGTGATTGATTATCGGGACTTACTACTTACTACATGATTTATATGTACATATAAATCATGTGAAGCGTCTCATCATCCTACGCGTCTAATCAACTATGGTAATTACCGTAAGAACTACGTCGTAAATACTAAGCTGAACAGGCGGTTCGGATTGGATCGGTCACGGTTACCAATACTGGTAGAAACCGATGACCGTCAACAGAAGTCGGTGTGTCATGTTGTTCCTCCGACTTTGTTGACGGTCATCGGTTTTCTACCAGTATTGGTAACCGTGACCGATCCAATCCGAACCGCCTGTTCAGCTTAGTATTTACGACGTAGTTCTTACGGTAATTACCATAGTTGATTAGACGCGTAGGATGATGAGACGCTCACATGATTTATATGTACATATAAATCATGTAGTAAGTAGTAAGTCCCGATAATCAATCACTTTCGAATCTTCCAACTATTGGGCAAGTGTTTTCTGCTCTACTCTCTTCGGTCTCTCCGCTCCGTTCGCTCCGCTTTCCTCGCTCCGATCTACAATGCAACAGGTTATGAGCCCAAGCGCCATGTCTTCCACCAGCAACGCCTCCATTGACAAGTTCAACGGAGACAATTACGCAACGTGGAGCCGGTACATGCGCGGTGTGTTTTTGACGAAGTCCGTCTGGCACGTTGTCAACCGTGAAGTGACTCCGACTTTCACCGACCCGCGAGCGTCCGATGACTACGTCAAGGCAAGCAACGTCGCGTTTGGTATGATGCTGCTGCACATGAACGCGGACTACCATCATGTGCTGGACAACTGCGAGGAAGCCTGGGTTGCGTGGACAAGTCTGAAGACGCTGTACGGTGGGTCGCAGAAGGCAGGACGCATCTACCTCAAGCGACAACTTTTCAGTATCAAAATGGCTGAAGGCGCGAACGTCATGCATCACTGCAACGAGGTCCTCAACATCTCCGCCAAGCTTAGCGGCATCGGTGCGAAGATGGAAGACGAAGACGTTGCAATTTGTCTGCTACTCAGTCTTCCGAAGAGCTACGAAAATGTGGTGCTCAACATGAAATGAGCAGCACCGAGCTTCGCACTCAAGATGTGGTGAGAGTCCTGACGAATGAGCATGCCAAGCGTCAAGGAGAAAAAGGGACAACGACAGCGACTACGGTGAAGGCTGAAGATGCAAGCAAGGCATTCAGCGCCGAGCGTGAGCCCTACCAATGCACGTATTGTGGCAAGGTGGGACACACGGTGGATCGTTGCTGGACAAAGCAGAAGAACGAAGGTCGGGGAGCCCGACGCGGCGGCAATGGTCGTGGACGCGGGGGCTAACAATGTCCAGTGGGGACATCATGATGAAGGCAATGGCTACGATCGAGTGGCGTTTGCAGTCTCGTTCGAATGTGGAGTTTCGACGAGCAAGGACGTGTCTGGAATGTGGGCCGTCGACAGTGGTGCAACGCACCACATTTGCCACGACAAGACCAAGTTCGCAAGTTTGGCAGAGCGCAATGAGGGCGAACTTGGTGGCTGATGGCAACAAGGTGGCCATCAAGGGTGTGGGAACCATCATGGAAAAGGTGGTTCTGCCCAACGGTGAAGAGCGTGAGATCGAAATCAAGAACGCGCTATATGTTCCAAGTATGAGCAAGAACCTGCTCTCGGTGCCACAGATTAACAGCCATGGCAAGTTTCAAGTCGTGTTTGACGGGTCCAAGATGTATGTGACTCTCAAGAACTCACAGCAAGTGGTGGCGACAGCGGATCTCGTGGATGGACTCTACTGGCTTCGGACGACTCAACGATCAGCGAATGTGACAACAAGTGGAACCAGTTGTGCCGATCTACATGCGAGAATGGGTCATGCTCCAGTCGATGTACTTCGCAAGATGATCGCGACCAACATGATCAAGGATGTGCGAGTCCCTCTCAAGTCGGGTGGAGCAACTACATGTCGAGGATGTCAACAAGGGAAAATGGTCCAAAAACCATTTCCAAGCAACCGAGACAAGCGCAGCTACGATACGTTTGAGCTACTTCATCTGGACATCTGCGGGCCCATGGAAAAGGATTCGCTCGGTGGCAGCAAATATTTGCTGCTGATCATCGACGAAGCCAGTGGATGCATGAAGGGCTTTTGTCTACGAGTGAAGTCCGAGAGTGAAGACTACATCCGGAAATATATCACCATGGTACAGACGCAATTTGTTGACGGTCATCGGTTTTCTACCAGTATTGGTAACCGTGACCGATCCAATCCGAACCGCCTGTTCAGCTTAGTATTTACGACGTAGTTCTTACGGTAATTACCATAGTTGATTAGACGCGTAGGATGATGAGACGCTTCACATGATTTATATGTACACCACATATAAATCATGTAGTAAGTAGTAAGCCCCGATAATCAATCACTTTCGAATCTTCCAACTATTGGGCAAGTGTTTTCTGCTCTACTCTCTTCGGTCTCTCCGCTCCGTTTGCTCCGCTTTCCTCGCTCCGATCTACAATGCAACAGGTTATGAGCCCAAGCGCCATGTCGTCCACCAGCAACGCCTCCATTGACAAGTTCAACGGAGACAATTACGCAACGTGGAGCCGGTACATGCGCGGTGTGTTTTTGACGAAGTCCGTCTGGCACGTCGTCAACCGTGAAGTGACTCCGACTTTCACCGACCCGCGAGCGTCCGATGACTACGTCAAGGCAAGCAACGTCGCGTTTGGTATGATGCTGCTGCACATGAACGCGGACTACCATCATGTGCTGGACAACTGCGAGGAAGCCTGGGTTGCGTGGACAAGTCTGAAGACGCTGTACGGTGGGTCGCAGAAGGCAGGACGCATCTACCTCAAGCGACAACTTTTCAGTATCAAGATGGCTGAAGGCGCGAACGTCATGCATCACTGCAACGAGGTCCTCAACATCTCCGCCAAGCTTAGCGGCATCGGTGCGAAGATGGAAGACGAAGACGTTGCAATTTGTCTGCTACTCAGTCTTCCGAAGAGCTACGAAAAATGTGGTGCTCAACATGGAAATGAGCAGCACCGAGCTTCGCACTCAAGATGTGGTGAGAGTCCTGACGAATGAGCATGCCAAGCGTCAAGGAGAAAAAGGGACAACGACAGCGACTACGGTGAAGGCTGAAGATGCAAGCAAGGCATTCAGCGCCGAGCGTGAGCCCTACCAATGCACGTATTGTGGCAAGGTGGGACACACGGTGGATCGTTGCTGGACAAAGCAGAAGAACGAAGGTCGGGGAGCCCGACGCGGCGGCAATGGTCGTGGACGCGGGGCTAACAATGTCCAGTGGGGACATCATGATGAAGGCAATGGCTACGATCGAGTGGCGTTTGCAGTCTCGTTCGAATGTGGAGTTTCGACGAGCAAGGACGTGTCTGGAATGTGGGCCGTCGACAGTGGTGCAACGCACCACATTTGCCACGACAAGACCAAGTTCGCAAGTTTGGCAGAGCGCAATGAGGGCGAACTCTTGGTGGCTGATGGCAACAAGGTGGCCATCAAGGGTGTGGGAACCATCATGGAAAAGGTGGTTCTGCCCAACGGTGAAGAGCGTGAGATCGAAATCAAGAACGCGCTATATGTTCCAAGTATGAGCAAGAACCTGCTCTCGGTGCCACAGATTAACAGCCATGGCAAGTTTCAAGTCGTGTTTGACGGGTCCAAGATGTATGTGACTCTCAAGAACTCACAGCAAGTGGTGGCGACAGCGGATCTCGTGGATGGACTCTACTGGCTTCGGACGACTCAACGATCAGCGAATGTGACAACAAGTGGAACCAGTTGTGCCGATCTACATGCGAGAATGGGTCATGCTCCAGTCGATGTACTTCGCAAGATGATCGCGACCAACATGATCAAGGATGTGCGAGTCCCTCTCAAGTCGGGTGGAGCAACTACATGTCGAGGATGTCAACAAGGGAAAATGGTCCAAAAACCATTTCCAAGCAACCGAGACAAGCGCAGCTACGATACGTTTGAGCTACTTCATCTGGACATCTGCGGGCCCATGGAAAAGGATTCGCTCGGTGGCAGCAAATATTTGCTGCTGATCATCGACGAAGCCAGTGGATGCATGAAGGGCTTTTGTCTACGAGTGAAGTCCGAGAGTGAAGACTACATCCGGAAATATATCACCATGGTACAGACGCAATTCTGTAAGAAGGTCAAGTTCGTGCGACACGACGGAGCTCGCGAGTTTGCAACCAACTCGCTTCAACTGTTCTACGAAGACGAAGGCATTGAACAGCAGACAACGGTGCCGTATGCACATCAAACAAACGGAACAGCAGAGCGTGCCATTAGGACTATTGTCACGATCGGCCGCAGCATGCTTCATCATGCCAAACTGGACAAGTGTTTCTGGGCCGAAGCAGCGATGACGGCCATCTACGTCAAGAATCGACTGCCGTCACCTAAAGTCGTGCACAAGACCCCGTTTGAGATCGTCTACAACTTGAAACCAAGCGTCAAGCACATGCGAACATTCGGGTGTCAGACATACATACTGACGCCTAAAGAGAATCGACTCAAGTGGGATCCAAAGGCTCGCGCTGGCATATTCGTGGGCTACGAAGAAGTTTCGAAGGCATATCGTGTTTATGACATCGAGGCGGGGCAGGTGGTTATCAGCCGCGATGTCAACTTCGACGAGTCCACCTTTGGACTTCAACTGCCGATCACTGATGAAGATGTCGATGACCTGGACTTCGAATTGCTGGATCTTGATGACGAAGAGCTGCGTCAAATGGAGTACAAGCAAACAGGCAAGCGCAAGAACCGACTCAATGATGAAGATACAGCAGCTCCACGACCGCGTGCAGTGCGTCAACGACCAGGACTAGAAGAGTCAAGCGCGCCGGAAAACAACTCGTCACGACAAGAAGAAGACGAAGAAACGAAGGATTCTGGTGATTCAACACCGCCTGTGTTTTGGCGTGCGAGTGCAAATGCCGTTGAAGCAGCAGTGGACTTATCAGAACCCTCAACATTTGAAGCAGCAGTAAGCGGCCCTGACCAAGTGCACTGGAGAAAAGCAATTCATGCAGAGCTCGAGTCAATGCGACTTCGCGGTGTGTTTCGTGCAGCCAAGCTGCCCAACGGACAACGCGCCATTTGCACAAAATGGGTGTTCAAGATCAAGCGCAAGGCGGATGGGTCAATCGAGAAGTACAAGGCACGACTTGTGGCCAAGGGTTTCCGCCAAAAGTATGGCATCGACTACACGGAGACGTTTTCGCCTGTGGTCAAGTATGTGACGCTGCGAATGGTGATCGCAATTTCCAAGCATTTTGGATGGCCCATCGACCAGCTTGATGTGGTGACAGCTTTCCTGTATGGCGTCATGAAGGAACAAGTGTTCTGCGTGATTCCTGAAGGCGTCGAACTTGACAGTACGTTCGACTGCCTGGAATTGGTGAAGTCAATTTACGGCCTCAAGCAAGCGTCGCGAGTGTGGAACGAGACGTTCGACGAGTATGTGTGCTCCATCGGATTTCAAGTATCGGACTTCGACCCATGTCTCTACATCAAGACTTCGGACGGCAATTGCGTGTTTATACTGGTCTACGTGGACGACGTCTTGGTGACTGGAAGCTCGCTCGAGCTGATTGCACAAACCAAGAACGACCTGAAGACGCGGTTCGAAATGACGGACAGCGGCAAGTGTGCGTTTGTTCTTGGGATCGAGCTTTTGGACGGTGAAGATGGCAGTGTGACACTATGTCAGCGTCGGTATGTCGATGATATCCTCAAGCGCTTTGGCATGGATGATTGCAAGGCAGTCGCAAGTCCAGTCGACATGAGCTCTCGACTTGTTTCAAGTGATGCAACTACCAAGGTCGATGCTCCTTTTCGCGAAGCTGTTGGTGCGTTGATGCACCTGACCACTGCAACGCGTCCGGACATTGCGTTTGCTGTGGGCTATGTGTCGCGGTTCATGGAAAATCCCCAAGAAGAACACTGGGTTGCAGTTAAGCGTATCTTTCGCTACCTACAAGGCACCAAGACGCATGGAATTTGCTACAAGCCAAGTGCAAGGATCGACTTCCGTGGATATTCGGATGCGGATTGGGCTGGTGATCTTACCGACCGCAAGTCAACAACGTCTAGCTACGTTTTTATGCTATTGGGTGCTCCAGTGAGTTGGGGCAGCAAGAAGCATCAAGTGTGTCACTGTCTACAAGTGAAGCGGAGTACATTGCGCTAAGTCTGGCGGTTCAAGAAGGTAAGTGGATCCACCGCTTACTATGCGAGATCATGGCAGCTGCTAACGAGGACGGACCCGAGCTCATGATCCGCGAAGACAACCAGTCCTGCATCAAAACGACCAAGAATCCGGTCAACCACGGCCGCGCCAAACACATTGATATCAAGTACCATCACATTCGCGATGAAGTCAAGCGCGGTGAAGTGAAGCTTGAATACTGCGAGACGACGGTGAGGTTGGCAGACAGTATGACCAAGGGGCTCCACAGACCGCTCCACAAGGACTTGAAACCGCCGCTAGGCATCTGTTCGCATTCGGATTGAGAGGGCGTGTTGACGGTCATCGGTTTTCTACCAGTCATGCTAATCGTGACCAGTTCAATCCGAACCGCCTGCTCATCTTAGTGTTTACGACGTAGTTCTTATGTTAAATACCATAGTTGATTAGACGCGTAGGATGATGAGACGCTTCACATGATCTAGATGTGCAGCACATCTAAATCATGTAGCAAGCCCCGATAATCAATCGCTTTCGAATCTTCCAACTAGTGAGGAAGTGGCTTCTGCTCTACTCTCTTCAGCCTCTCTGCTCCCTTCGCTCCGCTCTCTTCCATGCAACAGATTATGAGCCCAAGCGCCATGTCGTCCACCACCAACGCATCATCCAACGTCTCCATTGATAAGCTCAATGGAGACAATCATGCGACTTGGAGTCGATACATGCGTGGTGTTTTTGACGAAGTCCGTATGGTGCGTCGTAAACCGTGAAGCGACTCCGACTTTCACCGACCCGTGAGCGTCCGATGACTACATTAAGACGAGCAACGTCGCGTTTGGTATGGTGCTGCTACTACACATAAATGCGGACTACCACCACGTGCTTGACAGCTACGAGGAAGCGTGGGTTGCGTGGTCACGTCTTAAGTCGTTGTACGGTGGATCGCAGAAGGCAGGACGCACCTTTCTCAAGCGACAACTTTTCAGCACCAAGATGGATGAAGGCGCGAACGTCATGCACCACTGCAACGAGGTCCTCAACGTCTCCGCTAAGCTTAGCGGCATCGGTGCGAAGATGGAAGAAGAAGACGTTGCAATCTGTCTGCTGCTTAGTCTTCCAAAGAGCTACGAAAATGTGGTGCTCAACATGGAAATGAGCAGCGCCGAGCTTCGTAACCAAGATGTGGTGAGAGTGCTGACGAATGAGCACGCCAAGAGTCAAGGAGAAAAAAGGACAGCAACAGCGACTACGGTGTAGGCTGAAGATGCAAGCAAGGCATTCAGCGCCGAGCGTTAGCGCTACCAATGCACGTATTGTGACAAGGTGGGACACACAGCAGAGTATTGTTGGGCGAAGCAAAATAGTGAAGGTTGAGGAGCCCAACGCGGCGGCAATGCCTGTGGACGCGAAGCGAACGATGCCCAGTGGAACATAATGACGAAGGCAATGGCTACGATCGAGTGGCGTTTGCAGTCTCGCTCGGATGTGGAGTTTCGACGAGCAAGGACGTGTCTGGAATGTGGGCCGTCGACAGTCGTGCAACGAACCACGTTTGCCACAAAAGACCAAGTTTGCAAGTTTGGTAGAGCGCAACGAGGGCGAACTATTGGTGGCTGATGGCAACAAGGTGGCCATCAAGGATGTTGGAACCATCATAGAAAATGTGGTTCTGACCAACGGCGAAGAGCGCGAGATCGAGATCAAGAACGCGTTACATGTTCCCAGTCTGAGCAAGAACCTGCTTTCGGTGCCACAGACTAACAGGCATGACATCTCCAAGTCGTGTTTGACGGGTCCAAGATGTATGTGACTCTCAAGAACTCACAGCAAGTGTTGGCGACAGTGGATCTCGTGGATGGACTTTACTGGCTTCGTCTCAGCGGATCTAGTGGATGGACTTTACTGGCTTCGACTCAGCGATCGACAAATGGGACACAAGTGAAAACATTGTGATGGTCTACATGCGCGAATGGGTCACCCCGCTCCAGTCGACGTACTGCGCAAGATGATCACGACCAACATGATCAAGGATGTGCGAGTCCCTCTCAAGTTGGGTGGAGCAAGTGCATGCCGCGGGTGTCAACAAGGTGAAAAAGTCCAAAAACCATTCCCAAGCAACCGCGACAAGCGCAGCTATGATAAGTGTGAGCTGCTTCATCTGGACATCTGTGGGCCCATGGAAAACGATTCGCTCGGTGGTAGCAGATATCTGCTACTGATCGTAGACGAAGCCAGTGGAGTGGATGCACGAAGGGCTTTTGTTTACGAGTGAAGTCCTAGAGTGAAGACTACGTCCGGAAGTACATCACTGTGGTTCAGACGCAGTTCAGTAAGAAGGTCAAGTTTGTGCGACACGACGGAGCTTGCGAGCTCGCAACCAACTCGCTTCAAATGTTCTACAAAGATGAAGGCATTGAACAGCAAACAACGGTGACATATGCGCATCAAACCAACGGAACAGCAGAGCGTGCCATTTGGACTATCCTTACGATCGGCCGCAGCATGCTTCATCATGCCAAACTAGACAATTGTTTCTGGGCTGAAGCAGCGATGACGGCCATCTACGTCAGAATCGACTGCCGTCACCTAAAGTCGTACTCAAGAATACGTTTGAGATCGTCTACAACTCGACGCCAAGCGTCAAGCACATGCAAGCATTCGGGCGCCAGACGTACATACTGACGCCAAAGGAGAATCGGCTTAAGTGGGATCCAAAGGCTCGCACTGGCATATTCGTGGGCTACGAAGAAGTGTCGAAGGCGTATCGAGTTTATGACATTGAGGCGGGACAGGTTGTTGTCAGTCGGGATGTCAACTTCGACGAGTCCACCTTTGGACTTCCGCCGCCGATCACTGATGAAGATGCCGATGACCTGGACTTCGAGTTGCTTGACCTCAATGATGAAGAGCCGCGTCAGGTGGAGTACAAGCAAACAGGCAAGCGCAAAAACCGCCTCAGTGATGAAGATACAGCAGCTCCACGGCCACGTGCAGTGCGTCAACGACCTGGACTAGAAGAGTCAACCGCGCTAGAAAACAACTCGTCACGCCAAGAAGAAGACGAAGAAAGGAAGGATTCTGATGAATCAACTCCGCCTGTGTTTTGGCATGCGAGTGCGAATGTCGTTGAAACAGCAGCAGACTTATCAGAGCCCTACACACTTGAGGCTGCAGTGAGCGGCCCTGACCAAGTGCACTGGCAAATGCCATTTATGCGGAACTCGAGTCGATGCGCCTTCGCGGTGTGTTTCGTGCAGCCAAGCTGCCCAACGGACAACGCGCCATTGGCACAAAGTTAGTGTTTAAGATCAAGCGCAAGGCGGATGGGTAGATCGAGAAGTGCTAGGTACGGCTTGTGGCCAAGGGTTTCCGCCAAAAATATGGCATCGACTACACGGAGACATTTTCATCCGTGGTCAAGTATGTGACGCTGCGAATGGAGATCGCAATTTCCAATAACTTTGGATGGCCCATCGACCAGCTTGATGTGATGACGGCTTTCCTGTATGGCGTCATGAAGGAACAAGTGTTCTTCGTGATTCCTGAAGGCTTTGAACTTGATAGTACGTTCGATTGCCTGGAATTGATTAAGTCAATTGTGGCCCCAAGCAAGCGTCGCGAGTGTGGAACGAGACGTTCGACGAGTTTGTGTGCTCCATTGGAATTCAAGTATCGGACTTCGACCCATGTCTCGAGATCAAGACTTCGGTCGGCCATTGTGTATTTGTACTGGTCTACGTGGACGACGTCTTGGTGACTGGAAGCTCGCTCGAGCTAATTACACGAACCAAGAACGACCTGAAGACACGTTTCGAGATGACTGATAGCGGCAAGTGTGCATTTGTTCTTGGAATTGAGCTTTTGGACGGTGAAGATGGCAGTGTGAATATGTGTCAGCGCCGTTATGTATGAAGATGATATCCTCAAGCGCTTTGGCATGGAGGAGTGCAAGGCTGTGGCGAGTCCTGTGGATGTCAGCTCTCGACTGATGTCAAGCAACGCTACGAGCAAGATCGATGTTCCATTCTTCGAAGCTGTTCGTGCTTTGATGCATCTGACGACTGCAACACGACCGGACATCGCCTATGCTGTGAGCTTTGTGTCGCGCTTCATGAAGAATCTCCAAGAAGAACACTGGGTTGCGGTCAAGCGCATCTTTCGCTACCTACAAGGCACTAAGATGCATGGAATTTGCTGCAAGCCACGTGCAAGGATCGACTTTCGTGGTTCTTCGGACGCAGACTGGGCCGGCGACCTTACTGATCGCTAGTCAACGTCTAGCTACGTTTTTATGCTATTGGGTGCTCCAGTGAGTTGGGGCAGCAAGAAGCATCCAAGTGTGTCACTGTCTACAAGTGAAGCGGAGTACATTGCGCTAAGTCTGGCGGTTCAAGAAGGTAAGTGGATCCACCGCTTACTATGCGAGATCATGGCAGCTGCTAACGAGGACGGACCCGAGCTCATGATCCGCGAAGACAACCAGTCCTGCATCAAAACGACCAAGAATCCGGTCAACCACGGCCGCGCCAAACACATTGATATCAAGTACCATCACATTCGCGATGAAGTCAAGCGCGGTGAAGTGAAGCTTGAATACTGCGAGACGACGGTGAGGTTGGCAGACAGTATGACCAAGGGACTCCACTGACCACGCCACAAGGACTTAAAACCGCCGCTAGGCATCTGTTCGCATTCGGATTGAGAGGGCGTGTTGACGGTCATCGGTTTTCTACCAGTCATGCTAATCTTGACCAGTTCAATCCGAACCGCCTGCTCATCTTAGTGTTTACGACGTAGTTCTTATGTTAAATACCATAGTTGATTAGACGCGTAGGATGATGAGACGCTTCACATGATCTAGATGTGCAGCACATCTAAATCATGTAGCAAGCCCCGATAATCAATCGCTTTCGAATCTTCCAACTAGTGAGGAAGTGGCTTCTGCTCTACTCTCTTCAGCCTCTCTGCTCCCTTCGCTCCGCTCTCTTCCATGCAACAGATTATGAGCCCAAGCGCCATGTCGTCCACCACCAACGCATCATCCAACGTCTCCATTGATAAGCTCAATGGAGACAATCATGCGACTTGGAGTCGATACATGCGCGGTGTTTTGACGAAGTCCGTATGGTGCGTCGTAAACCGTGAAGCGACTCCGACTTTCACCGACCCGTGAGCGTCCGATGACTACATTAAGACGAGCAACGTCGCGTTTGGTATGGTGCTGCTACTACACATAAATGCGGACTACCACCACGTGCTTGACAGCTACGAGGAAGCGTGGGTTGCGTGGTCACGTCTTAAGTCGTTGTACGGTGGATCGCAGAAGGCAGGACGCACCTTTCTCAAGCGACAACTTTTCAGCACCAAGATGGATGAAGGCGCGAACGTCATGCACCACTGCAACGAGGTCCTCAACGTCTCCGCTAAGCTTAGCGGCATCGGTGCGAAGATGGAAGAAGAAGACGTTGCAATCTGTCTGCTGCTTAGTCTTCCAAAGAGCTACGAAAATGTGGTGCTCAACATGGAAATGAGCAGCGCCGAGCTTCGTAACCAAGATGTGGTGAGAGTGCTGACGAATGAGCACGCCAAGAGTCAAGGAGAAAAAAGGACAGCAACAGCGACTACGGTGTAGGCTGAAGATGCAAGCAAGGCATTCAGCGCCGAGCGTTAGCGCTACCAATGCACGTATTGTGACAAGGTGGGACACACAGCAGAGTATTGTTGGGCGAAGCAAAATAGTGAAGGTTGAGGAGCCCAACGCGGCGGCAATGCCTGTGGACGCGAAGCGAACGATGCCCAGTGGAACATAATGACGAAGGCAATGGCTACGATCGAGTGGCGTTTGCAGTCTCGCTCGGATGTGGAGTTTCGACGAGCAAGGACGTGTCTGGAATGTGGGCCGTCGACAGTCGTGCAACGAACCACGTTTGCCACAAAAGACCAAGTTTGCAAGTTTGGTAGAGCGCAACGAGGGCGAACTATTGGTGGCTGATGGCAACAAGGTGGCCATCAAGGATGTTGGAACCATCATAGAAAATGTGGTTCTGACCAACGGCGAAGAGCGCGAGATCGAGATCAAGAACGCGTTACATGTTCCCAGTCTGAGCAAGAACCTGCTTTCGGTGCCACAGACTAACAGGCATGACATCTCCAAGTCGTGTTTGACGGGTCCAAGATGTATGTGACTCTCAAGAACTCACAGCAAGTGTTGGCGACAGTGGATCTCGTGGATGGACTTTACTGGCTTCGTCTCAGCGGATCTAGTGGATGGACTTTACTGGCTTCGACTCAGCGATCGACAAATGGGACACAAGTGAAAACATTGTGATGGTCTACATGCGCGAATGGGTCACCCCGCTCCAGTCGACGTACTGCGCAAGATGATCACGACCAACATGATCAAGGATGTGCGAGTCCCTCTCAAGTTGGGTGGAGCAAGTGCATGCCGCGGGTGTCAACAAGGTGAAAAAGTCCAAAAACCATTCCCAAGCAACCGCGACAAGCGCAGCTATGATAAGTGTGAGCTGCTTCATCTGGACATCTGTGGGTCCATGGAAAATGATTCGCTCGGTGGTAGCAGATATCTGCTACTGATCGTAGACGAAGCCAGTGGAGTGGATGCACGAAGGGCTTTTGTTTACGAGTGAAGTCCTAGAGTGAAGACTACGTCCGGAAGTACATCACTGTGGTTCAGACGCAGTTCAGTAAGAAGGTCAAGTTTGTGCGACACGACGGAGCTTGCGAGCTCGCAACCAACTCGCTTCAAATGTTCTACAAAGATGAAGGCATTGAACAGCAAACAACGGTGACATATGCGCATCAAACCAACGGAACAGCAGAGCGTGCCATTTGGACTATCCTTACGATCGGCCGCAGCATGCTTCATCATGCCAAACTAGACAATTGTTTCTGGGCTGAAGCAGCGATGACGGCCATCTACGTCAAGAATCGACTGCCGTCACCTAAAGTCGTACTCAAGAATACGTTTGAGATCGTCTACAACTCTACGCCAAGCGTCAAGCACATGCAAGCATTCGGGCGCCAGACGTACATACTGACGCCAAAGGAGAATCGGCTTAAGTGGGATCCAAAGGCTCGCACTGGCATATTCGTGGGCTACGAAGAAGTGTCGAAGGCGTATCGAGTTTATGACATTGAGGCGGGGGACAGGTGGTTATCAGTCGCGATGTCAACTTCGACGAGTCCACCTTTGGACTTCCGCCGCCGATCACTGATGAAGATGCCGATGACCTGGACTTCGAGTTGCTTGACCTCAATGATGAAGAGCCGCGTCAGGTGGAGTACAAGCAAACAGGCAAGCGCAAAAACCGCCTCAGTGATGAAGATACAGCAGCTCCACGGCCACGTGCAGTGCGTCAACGACCTGGACTAGAAGAGTCAACCGCGCTAGAAAACAACTCGTCACGCCAAGAAGAAGACGAAGAAAGGAAGGATTCTGATGAATCAACTCCGCCTGTGTTTTGGCATGCGAGTGCGAATGTCGTTGAAACAGCAGCAGACTTATCAGAGCCCTACACACTTGAGGCTGCAGTGAGCGGCCCTGACCAAGTGCACTGGCAAATGCCATTTATGCGGAACTCGAGTCGATGCGCCTTCGCGGTGTGTTTCGTGCAGCCAAGCTGCCCAACGGACAACGCGCCATTGGCACAAAGTGAGTGTTTAAGATCAAGCGCAAGGCGGATGGGTAGATCGAGAAGTGCTAGGCACGGCTTGTGGCCAAGGGTTTCCGCCAAAAATATGGCATCGACTACACGGAGACATTTTCATCCGTGGTCAAGTATGTGACGCTGCGAATGGAGATCGCAATTTCCAATAACTTTGGATGGCCCATCGACCAGCTTGATGTGATGACGGCTTTCCTGTATGGCGTCATGAAGGAACAAGTGTTCTGCGCGATTCCTGAAGGCGTTGAACTTGATAGTACGTTCGATTGCCTGGAATTGGTGAAGTCAATTGTGGCCTCAAGCAAGCGTCGCGAGTGTGGAACGAGACGTTCGACGAGTTTGTGTGCTCCATTGGAATTCAAGTATCGGACTTCGACCCATGTCTCGAGATCAAGACTTCGGTCGGCCATTGTGTATTTGTACTGGTCTACGTGGACGACGTCTTGGTGACTGGAAGCTCGCTCGAGCTAATTACACGAACCAAGAACGACCTGAAGACACGTTTCGAGATGACTGATAGCGGCAAGTGTGCATTTGTTCTTGGAATTGAGCTTTTGGACGGTGAAGATGGCAGTGTGAATATGTGTCAGCGCCGTTATGTCTGAGGATGATATCCTCAAGCGCTTTGGAATGGAGGAGTGCAAGGCTGTGGCGAGTCCTGTGGATGTCAGCTCTCGACTGATGTCAAGCAACGCTACGAGCAAGATCGATGTTTCCTTCCTCGAAGCTGTTCGTGCTTTGATGCATCTGACTACTGCAACACGACCGGACATCGCCTATGCTGTGAGCTTTGTGTCGCGCTTCATGAAGAATCTCCAAGAAGAACACTGGGTTGCGGTCAAGCGCATCTTTCGCTACCTACAAGGCACTAAGATGCATGGAATTTGCTGCAAGCCACGTGCAAGGATCGACTTTCGTGGTTCTTCGGACGCAGACTGGGCCGGCGACCTTACTGATCGCTAGTCAACGTCTAGCTACGTTTTTATGCTATTGGGTGCTCCAGTGAGTTGGGGCAGCAAGAAGCATCCAAGTGTGTCACTGTCTACAAGTGAAGCGGAGTACATTGCGCTAAGTCTGGCGGTTCAAGAAGGTAAGTGGATCCACCGCTTACTATGCGAGATCATGGCAGCTGCTAACGAGGACGGACCCGAGCTCATGATCCGCGAAGACAACCAGTCCTGCATCAAAACGACCAAGAATCCGGTCAACCACGGCCGCGCCAAACACATTAATATCCAGTACCATCACATTCGCGATGAAGTCAAGCGCGGTGAAGTGAAGCTTGAATACTGCGAGACGACGGTGAGGTTGGCAGACAGTATGACCAAGGGACTCCACGGACCGCACCACAAGGACTTAACGGCGCCGCTAGGCATCTGTTCGCATTCGGATTGAGAGGGCGTGTTGACGGTCATCGGTTTTCTACCAGTCATGCTAATCGTGACCAGTTCAATCCGAACCGCCTGCTCATCTTAGTGTTTACGACGTAGTTCTTATGTTAAATACCATAGTTGATTAGACGCGTAGGATGATGAGACGCTTCACATGATCTAGATGTGCAGCACATCTAAATCATGTAGCAAGCCCCGATAATCAATCGCTTTCGAATCTTCCAACTAGTGAGGAAGTGGCTTCTGCTCTACTCTCTTCAGCCTCTCTGCTCCCTTCGCTCCGCTCTCTTCCATGCAACAGATTATGAGCCCAAGCGCCATGTCGTCCACCACCAACGCATCATCCAACGTCTCCATTGATAAGCTCAATGGAGACAATCATGCGACTTGGAGTCGATACATGCGTGGTGTTTTTTGACGAAGTCCGTATGGTGCGTCGTAAACCGTGAAGCGACTCCGACTTTCACCGACCCGTGAGCGTCCGATGACTACATTAAGACGAGCAACGTCGCGTTTGGTATGGTGCTGCTACTACACATAAATGCGGACTACCACCACGTGCTTGACAGCTACGAGGAAGCGTGGGTTGCGTGGTCACGTCTTAAGTCGTTGTACGGTGGATCGCAGAAGGCAGGACGCACCTTTCTCAAGCGACAACTTTTCAGCACCAAGATGGATGAAGGCGCGAACGTCATGCACCACTGCAACGAGGTCCTCAACGTCTCCGCTAAGCTTAGCGGCATCGGTGCGAAGATGGAAGAAGAAGACGTTGCAATCTGTCTGCTGCTTAGTCTTCCAAAGAGCTACGAAAATGTGGTGCTCAACATGGAAATGAGCAGCGCCGAGCTTCGTAACCAAGATGTGGTGAGAGTGCTGACGAATGAGCACGCCAAGAGTCAAGGAGAAAAAAAGGACAGCAACAGCGACTACGGTGTAGGCTGAAGATGCAAGCAAGGCATTCAGCGCCGAGCGTTAGCGCTACCAATGCACGTATTGTGACAAGGTGGGACACACAGCAGAGTATTGTTGGGCGAAGCAAAATAGTGAAGGTTGAGGAGCCCAACGCGGCGGCAATGCCTGTGGACGCGAAGCGAACTATGCCCAGTGGAACATAATGACGAAGGCAATGGCTACGATCGAGTGGCGTTTGCAGTCTCGCTCGGATGTGGAGTTTCGACGAGCAAGGACGTGTCTGGAATGTGGGCCGTCGACAGTCGTGCAACGAACCACGTTTGCCACAAAAAGACCAAGTTTGCAAGTTTGGTAGAGCGCAACGAGGGCGAACTATTGGTGGCTGATGGCAACAAGGTGGCCATCAAGGATGTTGGAACCATCATAGAAAATGTGGTTCTGACCAACGGCGAAGAGCGCGAGATCGAGATCAAGAACGCGTTACATGTTCCCAGTCTGAGCAAGAACCTGCTTTCGGTGCCACAGACTAACAGGCATGACATCTCCAAGTCGTGTTTGACGGGTCCAAGATGTATGTGACTCTCAAGAACTCACAGCAAGTGTTGGCGACAGTGGATCTCGTGGATGGACTTTACTGGCTTCGTCTCAGCGGATCTAGTGGATGGACTTTACTGGCTTCGACTCAGCGATCGACAAATGGGACACAAGTGAAAACATTGTGATGGTCTACATGCGCGAATGGGTCACCCCGCTCCAGTCGACGTACTGCGCAAGATGATCACGACCAACATGATCAAGGATGTGCGAGTCCCTCTCAAGTTGGGTGGAGCAAGTGCATGCCGCGGGTGTCAACAAGGTGAAAAAGTCCAAAAACCATTCCCAAGCAACCGCGACAAGCGCAGCTATGATAAGTGTGAGCTGCTTCATCTGGACATCTGTGGGCCCATGGAAAACGATTCGCTCGGTGGTAGCAGATATCTGCTACTGATCGTAGACGAAGCCAGTGGAGTGGATGCACGAAGGGCTTTTGTTTACGAGTGAAGTCCTAGAGTGAAGACTACGTCCGGAAGTACATCACTGTGGTTCAGACGCAGTTCAGTAAGAAGGTCAAGTTTGTGCGACACGACGGAGCTTGCGAGCTCGCAACCAACTCGCTTCAAATGTTCTACAAAGATGAAGGCATTGAACAGCAAACAACGGTGACATATGCGCATCAAACCAACGGAACAGCAGAGCGTGCCATTTGGACTATCCTTACGATCGGCCGCAGCATGCTTCATCATGCCAAACTAGACAATTGTTTCTGGGCTGAAGCAGCGATGACGGCCATCTACGTCAAAAATCGACTGCCGTCACCTAAAGTCGTACTAAAGAATACGTTTGAGATCGTCTACAACTCTACGCCAAGCGTCAAGCACATGCAAGCATTCGGGCGCCAGACGTACATACTGACGCCAAAGGAGAATCGGCTTAAGTGGGATCCAAAGGCTCGCACTGGCATATTCGTGGGCTACGAAGAAGTGTCGAAGGCGTATCGAGTTTATGACATTGAGGCGGGACAGGTGGTTATCTGTCGCGATGTCAACTTCGACGAGTCCACCTTTGGACTTCCGCCGCCGATCACTGATGAAGATGCCGATGACCTGGACTTCGAATTGCTTGACCTCAATGATGAAGAGCCGCGTCAGGTGGAGTACAAGCAAACAGGCAAGCGCAAAAACCGCCTCAGTGATGAAGATACAGCAGCTCCACGGCCACGTGCAGTGCGTCAACGACCTGGACTAGAAGAGTCAACCGCGCTAGAAAACAACTCGTCACACCAAGAAGAAGACGAAGAAAGGAAGGATTCTGATGAATCAACTCCGCCTGTGTTTTGGCATGCGAGTGCGAATGTCGTTGAAACAGCAGCAGACTTATCAGAGCCCTACACATTTGAGGCGGCAGTGAGCGGCCCTGACCAAGTGCACTGGCAAATGCCATTTATGCGGAACTCGAGTCGGTGCGCCTTCGCGGTGTGTTTCGTGCAGCCAAGCTGCCCAACGGACAACGCGCCATTGGCACAAAGTGGGTGTTTGAGATCAAGCGCAAGGCGGATGGGTCAATCGAGAAGTACAAGGCACGACTTGTGGCCAAGGGTTTCCGCCAAAAGTATGGCATCGACTACACGGAGACGTTTTCATCCGTGGTCAAGTATGTGACGCTGCGAATGGAGATTGCAATTTCCAATAACTTTGGATGGCCCATCGACCAGCTTGATGTGGTGACAGCTTTCCTGTATGGCGTCATGAAGGAACAAGTGTTCTGCGTGATTCCTGGAGGCGTTGAGCTTGTTAGTACGTTCGATTGCCTGGAATTGGTGAGGTCAATTGTGGCCTCAAGCAAGCGTCGCGAGTGTGGAACGAGACGTTCGACGAGTTTGTGTGCTCCATTGGAATTCAAGTATCGGACTTCGACCCATGTCTCGAGATCAAGACTTCGGTCGGCCATTGTGTATTTGTACTGGTCTACGTGGACGACGTCTTGGTGACTGGAAGCTCGCTCGAGCTAATTACACGAACCAAGAACGACCTGAAGACACGTTTCGAGATGACTGATAGCGGCAAGTGTGCATTTGTTCTTGGAATTGAGCTTTTGGACGGTGAAGATGGCAGTGTGAATATGTGTCAGCGCCGTTATGTATGAGGATGATATCCTCAAGCGCTTTGGAATGGAGGAGTGCAAGGCTGTGGCGAGTCCTGTGGATGTCAGCTCTCGACTGATGTCAAGCAACACTGCGAGCAAGATCGATGTTTCCTTCCTCGAAGCTGTTCGTGCTTTGATGCATCTGACGACTGCAACACGACCGGACATCGCCTATGCTGTGAGCTTTGTGTCGCGCTTCATGAAGAATCTCCAAGAAGAACACTGGGTTGCGGTCAAGCGCATCTTTCGCTACCTACAAGGCACTAAGATGCATGGAATTTGCTGCAAGCCACGTGCAAGGATCGACTTTCGTGGTTCTTCGGACGCAGACTGGGCCGGCGACCTTACTGATCGCTAGTCAACGTCTAGCTACGTTTTTATGCTATTGGGTGCTCCAGTGAGTTGGGGCAGCAAGAAGCATCCAAGTGTGTCACTGTCTACAAGTGAAGCGGAGTACATTGCGCTAAGTCTGGCGGTTCAAGAAGGTAAGTGGATCCACCGCTTACTATGCGAGATCATGGCAGCTGCTAACGAGGACGGACCCGAGCTCATGATCCGCGAAGACAACCAGTCCTGCATCAAAACGACCAAGAATCCGGTCAACCACGGCCGCGTCAAACACATTGATATCAAGTACCATCACATTCGCGATGAAGTCAAGCGCGGTGAAGTGAAGCTTGAATACTGCGAGACGACGATGATGTGGGCAGACAGTATGACCAAGGGACTCCACGGACCGCGCCACAAGGACTTAACGGCGCCGCTAGGCATCTGTTCGCATTCGGATTGAGAGGGCGTGTTGACGGTCATCGGTTTTCTACCAGTCATGCTAATCGTGACCAGTTCAATCCGAACCGCCTGCTCATCTTAGTGTTTACGACGTAGTTCTTATGTTAAATACCATAGTTGATTAGACGCGTAGGATGATGAGACGATTCACATGATTTATATGTTCACCACATCTAAATCATGTAGTAAGCCCCGATAATCAATCGCTTTCGAATCTTCCAACTAGTGAGGAAGTGGCTTCTGCTCTACTCTCTTCAGCCTCTCTGCTCCCTTCGCTCCGCTCTCTTCCATGCAACAGATTATGAGCCCAAGCGCCATGTCGTCCACCACCAACGCATCATCCAACGTCTCCATTGATAAGCTCAATGGAGACAATCATGCGACTTGGAGTCGATACATGCGCGGTGTTTTTTGACGAAGTCCGTATGGTGCGTCGTAAACCGTGAAGCGACTCCGACTTTCACCGACCCGTGAGCGTCCGATGACTACATTAAGACGAGCAACGTCGCGTTTGGTATGGTGCTGCTACTACACATAAATGCGGACTACCACCACGTGCTTGACAGCTACGAGGAAGCGTGGGTTGCGTGGTCACGTCTTAAGTCGTTGTACGGTGGATCGCAGAAGGCAGGACGCACCTTTCTCAAGCGACAACTTTTCAGCACCAAGATGGATGAAGGCGCGAACGTCATGCACCACTGCAACGAGGTCCTCAACGTCTCCGCTAAGCTTAGCGGCATCGGTGCGAAGATGGAAGAAGAAGACGTTGCAATCTGTCTGCTGCTTAGTCTTCCAAAGAGCTACGAAAATGTGGTGCTCAACATGGAAATGAGCAGCGCCGAGCTTCGTAACCAAGATGTGGTGAGAGTGCTGACGAATGAGCACGCCAAGAGTCAAGGAGAAAAAAAAGGACAGCAACAGCGACTACGGTGTAGGCTGAAGATGCAAGCAAGGCATTCAGCGCCGAGCGTTAGCGCTACCAATGCACGTATTGTGACAAGGTGGGACACACAGCAGAGTATTGTTGGGCGAAGCAAAATTGTGAAGGTTGAGGAGCCCAACGCGGCGGCAATGCCTGTGGACGCGAAGCGAACGATGCCCAGTGGAACATAATGACGAAGGCAATGGCTACGATCGAGTGGCGTTTGCAGTCTCGCTCGGATGTGGAGTTTCGACGAGCAAGGACGTGTCTGGAATGTGGGCCGTCGACAGTCGTGCAACGAACCACGTTTGCCACAAAAAGACCAAGTTTGCAAGTTTGGCAGAGCGCAACGAGGGCGAACTATTGGTGGCTGATGGCAACAAGGTGGCCATCAAGGGTGTTGGAACCATCATGGAAAATGTGGTTCTGACCAACGGCGAAGAGCGCGAGATCGAGATCAAGAACGCGTTACATGTTCCCAGTCTGAGCAAGAACCTGCTTTCGGTGCCACAGACTAACAGGCATGACATCTCCAAGTCGTGTTTGACGGGTCCAAGATGTATGTGACTCTCAAGAACTCACAGCAAGTGTTGGCGACAGTGGATCTCGTGGATGGACTTTACTGGCTTCGTCTCAGCGGATCTAGTGGATGGACTTTACTGGCTTCGACTCAGCGATCGACAAATGGGACACAAGTGAAAACATTGTGATGGTCTACATGCGCGAATGGGTCACCCCGCTCCAGTCGACGTACTGCGCAAGATGATCACGACCAACATGATCAAGGATGTGCGAGTCCCTCTCAAGTTGGGTGGAGCAAGTGCATGCCGCGGGTGTCAACAAGGTGAAAAAGTCCAAAAACCATTCCCAAGCAACCGCGACAAGCGCAGCTATGATAAGTGTGAGCTGCTTCATCTGGACATCTGTGGGTCCATGGAAAATGATTCGCTCGGTGGTAGCAGATATCTGCTACTGATCGTAGACGAAGCCAGTGGAGTGGATGCACGAAGGGCTTTTGTTTACGAGTGAAGTCCTAGAGTGAAGACTACGTCCGGAAGTACATCACTGTGGTTCAGACGCAGTTCAGTAAGAAGGTCAAGTTTGTGCGACACGACGGAGCTTGCGAGCTCGCAACCAACTCGCTTCAAATGTTCTACAAAGATGAAGGCATTGAACAGCAAACAACGGTGACATATGCGCATCAAACCAACGGAACAGCAGAGCGTGCCATTAGGACTATCCTTACGATCGGCCGCAGCATGCTTCATCATGCCAAACTAGACAATTGTTTCTGGGCTGAAGCAGCGATGACGGCCATCTACGTCAAGAATCGACTGCCGTCACCTAAAGTCGTACTCAAGAATACGTTTGAGATTGTCGACAACTCGAAGCCAAGCGTCAAGCACATGCAAGCATTCGGGTGCCAGACGTACATACTGACACCAAAGGAGAATCGGCTTAAGTGGGATCCAAAGGCTCGCACTGGCATATTCGTGGGATGCGAAGAAGTGTCGAAGGCGTATCGAGTTTATGACATTGAGGCGGGACAGGTGGTTATCTGTCGCGATGTCAACTTCGACGAGTCCACCTTTGGACTTCCGCCGCCGATCACTGATGAAGATGCCGATGACCTGGACTTCGAATTGCTTGACCTCAATGATGAAGAGCCGCGTCAGGTGGAGTACAAGCAAACAGGCAAGCGCAAAAACCGCCTCAGTGATGAAGATACAGCAGCTCCACGGCCACGTGCAGTGCTTCAACGACCTGGACTAGAAGAGTCAAGCGTATTGTGGGTTGACGGTTGAGGTACTGCTATCAGCTACCATGGGAACCGTAAATCTGTCCAAGTCGATCCCGCGTAATTACGGTGAGTTTTTACCAATGATTAGACAGACGCATAGGATGATTGGATGACCTACATGATTTATGATTCATGATTTATATGTGGACAACATAAAAATCAGTGCAGAGATAAATCAGGTAGCTTTAACAAAACCCCACAAAAAAATGAAATTACTTCCAAATATTCCTTCTCCTACACAAGTCGTCTTCACTTCGCAGTGTAGACTTCTTTCAAGCTCTTCAAGCTTCGTTCTCTCGCCCAGTACTCTTCAGACTTTAACAGGTTATGAGCCCAAGCACGATGTCCTCTGCTCAAGATTCCGCCACCAAGATCTCTATCGATAGATTCGATGGAGACAACTACGCGACGTGGAGCCGCTACATGCGTGGCGTGTTCCTGACCAAGTCGACGTGGCACGTGGTCAACCGGGAGACCACCCCCACCTTCGCCGATCCTCGCGCCAGTGATGAGTACGTCAAGACAAACAACATTGCGTTCGGCTTGATGTTACTTCACATGAGCGCGGACTATCATCACGTGGTTGATGACTGTGAAGAGGCGTGGGTCGCGTGGGCGCGTTTGAAGACGCTGTACGGCGGGTCGCAGAAGGCTGGACACATCTACTTGAAGCGCCAGATATTCAGCATGGAGATGGCGGAAGGCGGCAATGTAATGCATCATTGCAACGAAGTCCTCAACATCAGCGCCAAGCTCAGCAGCATCGGCGCCAAGATGGAGGATGAGGACGTGGCGATCTGCTTGTTGTGCAGCCTCCCCAAGAGCTACGAGAACGTCGTGCTGAACTTGGAGATGAGCAGCGCGGAACTGCGGACGCAAGACGTCGTGAAAGTGCTGACGAATGAGCACATCAAGAGACAAGGGAAAAGACGACATCGGTGAAAACTGAAGAAGCGACCAAGGCCTTCAGTACCGAGCGTGAGGTTCGTCAGTGTACGTTCTGCGGAAAATTGGGGCACACGGTGGAAAAGTGTTGGACCAAGCAGAAGGAAGACAATCGGGGAGCTCGACGCGGCGGCAATGCACGTGGACGCGGAGCGAATCAAGTTCAGTGGCAAGGCTACAACGGCAACAACAACTGTGACTATGATCGAGTGGCGTTTGCTGTTTCGCTGGAATGCGGACTTTCAACGACCAAGAGCATGTCTAGAATGTGGGCGATTGACAGCGGTGCAACATATCACATCTGCTATGACAAGTCCAAGTTCGAAGTTCTGGACGAGCGCAATGAAGGTGAAGTGTTGGTTGCAGATGGGAACAAGGCTGCGATCAACGGTGTCGGGACAATCATCGAAAAGGTGACCCTGTCCAACGGTGAAGAGCGCGAAGTCGAGATCAAGAACGCGCTTTACGTCCCAAGCATGAACAAAAACTTGCTTTCGATACCACAAATCAACAAAAGCGGCAAGTTTCAAGTGGTGTTTGATGGTGACGAGATGAAGATTTCGCACAAAGGCTCCAAGCAAGTAATAGCGATGGCCGATCTTGTGGATGGCCTCTACTGGCTTCGTACATCCCAACGATCGGTGAATGCAGCCTCAGGACCAGGAGTCGGAAACTTTCATGCGCGTATGGGCCACGCACCGGTTCATGTCTTGTGCAGAATGGTCTTCAAGGGCATGATCAAGGATGCCAAGAAGCCAGCAAAATTGAGCGGATCAAGCGTGTGTCAAGGTTGTCTAGAAGGAAAAATGGTTCAACGACCGTTCCCAAGCAATCCAAACAAGCGTCACTACAACCCATTTAAGCTTCTACACATCGACACTTTTGGTCCAATGGAAGTCGACTCGCTAGGTGGAAGCAAGTACTTGCTACTGATCGTCGATGAAGGCAGCGGATGTATGAAGGGTTTCAGTCTGCGCGCCAAGTCCGACAGCGAAGAGTGCATCGAGAAGTACATCATGGCAGTACAGACGCAGTTTGACTACAAGGTCAAGTTCGTTCGACACGATGGTGCACGAGAATTTGCGGCGAATTCGCTAAAGGCATTTTACGATGATCAAGGAATCGAGCAGCAAGTTACCGTTCCGTATGCGCATCAGACCAACGGCACGGCGGAACGGGCAATTCGGACTATTGTGACGATCGGGCGCAGCATGCTTCACTACGCCAAGCTGGACAAGTGTTTTTGGGCTGAAGCAGCAATGACGGAGATCTATATCAAGAATCGCCTACCATCGCCCAAGTGCCAAGATCGAACCCCATTCGAGATCGTCAACGGAGTTCGACCAAGTGTGAAGCACATGCGGGTTTTCGGCTGCCGAACGTTTGTGCTAACCCCTAAGGAAAAGAGATCGAAATGGGATCCAAAGGCTCGTGAAGGACTACTCATGGGGTACGAAGAAGTGTCGAAGGCATATCGCGTTTACGACATTGAAGCGGACCAAGTGGTGATATCTCGCGATGTCACATTCGACGAATCAACGCTTGGTTTCTCGCCGACGCTACCACAAGAAATTGTTGATGACACTGCGCTGGATATCGAATCGATGAACATCATCGATGAGCCTCACCCCATGCAGTTCAAGCAAACTAGAAAAAGCAAAAGCCGTTCAAACAGTCAAGAACAAGTTCTACAATGGACACTTCTTGAGCGTCGTGGAACCGGGTTAGAAGAAGCAAGTGCCCCGGATGACTTTGAATCGCACCAAGCGAAGCGACGATCAAGCACTTGAGACAATCTGGACGAAGAGCAAAAGGGCAGTGACGAAGATAACGAGAATGCTACACCTCAAGTCTTTTGGCGAGCGAGTGCCAATGCAGTCGAAGGTACTGACTTGTCTGAGCCGACAACGTTTGGAGATGCTGTTGGTGGACCAGATCAAGTGCATTGGCGTAAGGCAATCTGTGCCGAGTTGGACTCAATGAAACTTCGTGGCGTGTTTCGAGCGACCAAACTGCCAGCTGGACAGAATACCATTGGTACCAAGTGGCTATTCAAGATCAAACGGAAATCTGATGGATCCATCGAGAAATACAAGGCGCGTCTCGTGGCAAAAGGGTTCAAGCAGAAATATGGCATCGACTACACGGAAACGTTTTCGCCGGTAGTCAAGTACGTGACGCTGCGCATGGTGGTTGCAATCACGAAGTACTTTGGCTGGACACTGGACCTACTGGACGTGGTGACAGCTTTCCTTTACGGAGAAATGAAGGAAAAGGTATTCTGCGCGATCCCAGAAGGGGTCGAAGTTGATGAAGACTTTGACTGCTTTGAACTGGTCAAGGCGACCTACGGACTAAAACAAGCATCGCGCGCATGGAACGAGACTTTTCATGAGTTCGTCTGCTCCATTGGATTTTAAGTCTCCGATTTTGACCCGTGTCTTTATCTCAAGATTACAAGTGGCGAGTGCGTGCTTTTGCTGGTATACGTCGATGGTGTGTTGGTGACTGGCAGCTCAACCGAACTGATTATGCGCACCAAGAGTGACTTAAAGGCGCGTTTCGAAATGACTGACAGCGGCAAGTGCGCATTCGTGTTGGGAATCGAGCTGGTGGACAACGACAGCGGTAGCGTGACGATGTGCCAGCGACGCTACGTGGAAGATATTCTCAAGCGTTTTGGCATGAGCGACTGCAAAGCCGTCACCAGCCCAACAGACATCAGTTCTCGACTCATACCAAGTACCGCAGCAACTAAAATCGACGCCCCGTTTCGTGAAGCAGTAGGCGCTCTGATGCACTTGATGACCGCGACACGACCGGACATTGCCTTTGCTGTGAGTTACGTTACGCGCTTCATGGAGAACCCCCAAGTCGAGCATTGGATGGCGGTCAAGCGCATTTTGCGATACTTACAAGGGACTAAGTCGCACGGTATCTGTTTCAAGCCTGATGACAAGATAGACTTCTGTGGCTACTCGGATGCAGACTGGGCCGGCGACCATGCAGACCGCAAGTCGACTTCAGGATATGCGTTTATCCTGATGGGTGCTCCGGTGAGCTGGGGAAGCAAAAAGCAGTCAAGTGTGTCGCTGTCAACAAGTGAAGCTGAGTACATTGCACTAAGTCTGGCGATTCAAGAAGGCAAGTGGGTGCATCGATTGCTGTGCGAGATTCTGGATGCCGCAGAGGACAAGTCTGGACCCGAGCTCAAGATCATGGAAGACAACCAGTCGTGCATCAAGATGACGAAGAATCCTGTGAACCATGGTCGGGCCAAGCACATCGACATCAAGTACCATCACATTCGTGATGAAGTCAAGCGTGGTGATGTCAAGCTGGATTGCTGTGAGACTACGATTATGTTGGCGGACATCATGACGAAGGGACTGCCAGGACAGCGTCACAAGGACTTGACGGCAGCGCTCGGCATACACGCGTGTTCGCATTGAGGGGGCGTATTGTGGGTTGACGGTTGAGGTACTGCTATCAGCTACCATGGGAACCGTAAATCTGTCCAAGTCGATCCCGCGTAATTACGGTGAGTTTTTACCAATGATTAGACAGACGCATAGGATGATTGGATGACCTACATGATTTATGATTCATGATTTATATGTGGACAACATATAAATCAGTGCAGAGATAAATCAGGTAGCTTTAACAAAACCCACAAATAAATTCACTTTAAAATATTCCTTCTCCTACACAAGTCGTCTTCACTTCGCAGTGTAGACTTCTTTCAAGCTCTTCAAGCTTCGTTCTCTCGCCCAGTGCTCTTCAGACTTTAACAAAGCGCGCTAGAAAACAACTCGTCACACCAAGAAGAAGACGAAGAAAGGAAGGATTCTGATGAATCAACTCCGCCTGTGTTTTGGCATGCGAGTGCGAACATCGTTGAAACAGAAGCAGACTTATCGGAGCCCTACACATTTGAGGCGGCAGTGAGCGGCCCTGACCAAGTGCACTGGCAAATGCCATTTATGCGGAACTCGAGCCGATGCGCCTTCGCGGTGTGTTTCGTGCAGCCAAGCTGCCCAACGGACAACGCGCCATTGGCACAAAGTGGGTGTTTGAGATCAAGCGCAAGGCGGATGGGTAGATCGAGAAGTGCTAGGCACGGCTTGTGGCCAAGGGTTTCCGCCAAAAATATGGCATCGACTACACGGAGACATTTTCATCCGTGGTCAAGTATGTGACGCTGCGAATGGAGATCGCAATTTCCAATAACTTTGGATGGCCCATCGACCAGCTTGATGTGATGACGGCTTTCCTGTATGGCGTCATGAAGGAACAAGTGTTCTGCGTGATTCCTGGAGGCGTTGAGCTTGTTAGTACGTTCGATTGCCTGGAATTGGTGAGGTCAATTTTGGCCTCAAGCAAGCGTCGCGAGTGTGGAACGAGACGTTCGACGAGTTTGTGTGCTCCATTGGAATTCAAGTATCGGACTTCTACCCATGTCTCGAGATCAAGACTTCGGTCGGCCATTGTGTATTTGTACTGGTCTACGTGGACGACGTCTTGGTGACTGGAAGCTCGCTCGAGCTAATTACACGAACCAAGAACGACCTGAAGACACGTTTCGAGATGACTGATAGCGGCAAGTGTGCATTTGTTCTTGGAATTGAGCTTTTGGACGGTGAAGATGGCAGTGTGAATATGTGTCAGCGCCGTTATGTATGAGGATGATATCCTCAAGCGCTTTGGAATGGAGGAGTGCAAGGCTGTGGCGAGTCCTGTGGATGTCAGCTCTCGACTGATGTCGAGCAACGCTACGAGCAAGATCGATGTTCCATTCCTCGAAGCTGTTCGTGCTTTGATGCATCTGACGACTGCAACACGACCGGACATCGCCTATGCTGTGAGCTTTGTGTCGCGCTTCATGAAGAATCTCCAAGAAGAACACTGGGTTGCGGTCAAGCGCATCTTTCGCTACCTACAAGGCACTAAGATGCATGGAATTTGCTGCAAGCCACGTGCAAGGATCGACTTTCGTGGTTCTTCGGACGCAGACTGGGCCGGCGACCTTACTGATCGCTAGTCAACGTCTAGCTACGTTTTTATGCTATTGGGTGCTCCAGTGAGTTGGGGTAGCAAGAAGCATCCAAGTGTGCCACTGTCTACAAGTGAAGGGGAGTACATTGAGCTAAGTCTGGCGGTTCAAGAAGGCAAGTGGACTCACCGCTTACTATGCGAGATCATGGCGGCTGCTAACGAGGACGGACCCGAGCTCATGATCCGCGAAGACAACCAGTCCTGCATCAAAACGACCAAGAATCCGGTCAACCACGGCCGCGTCAAACACATTGATATCAAGTACCATCACATTCGCGATGAAGTCAAGCGCGGTGAAGTGAAGCTTGAATACTGCGAGACGACGATGATGTGGGCAGACAGTATGACCAAGGGACTCCACGGACCGCGCCACAAGGACTTAAAACCGCCGCTAGGCATCTGTTCGCATTCGGATTGAGAGGGCGTGTTGACGGTCATCGGTTTTCTACCAGTCATGCTAATCGTGACCAGTTCAATCCGAACCGCCTGCTCATCTTAGTGTTTACGACGTAGTTCTTATGTTAAATACCATAGTTGATTAGACGCGTAGGATGATGAGACGATTCACATGATTTATGTGTTCACCACATCTAAATCATGTAGTAAGCCCCGATAATCAATCGCTTTCGAATCTTCCAACTAGTGAGGAAGTGGCTTCTGCTCTACTCTCTTCAGCCTCTCTGCTCCCTTCGCTCCGCTCTCTTCCGTGCAACAGATTATGAGCCCAAGCGCCATGTCGTCCGCCACCAACGCATCATCCAACGTCTCCATTGATAAGCTCAATGGAGACAATCATGCGACTTGGAGTCGATACATGCGCGGTGTTTTTTGACGAAGTCCGTATGGTGCGTCGTAAACCGTGAAGCGACTCCGACTTTCACCGACCCGCGAGCGTCCGATGACTACATTAAGACGAGCAACGTCGCGTTTGGTATGATGCTGCTACTACACATAAATGCGGACTACCACCACGTGCTTGACAGCTACGAGGAAGCGTGGGTTGCGTGGTCACGCCTTAAGTCGTTGTACGGTGGATCGCAGAAGGCAGGACGCACCTTTCTCAAGCGACAACTTTTCAGCACCAAGATGGATGAAGGCGCGAACGTCATGCACCACTGCAACGAGGTCCTCAACGTCTCCGCTAAGCTTAGCGGCATCGGTGCGAAGATGGAAGAAGAAGACGTTGCAATCTGTCTGCTGCTTAGTCTTCCAAAGAGCTACGAAAATGTGGTGCTCAACATGGAAATGAGCAGCGCCGAGCTTCGTAACCAAGATGTGGTGAGAGTGCTGACGAATGAGCACGCCAAGAGCCAAGGAGAAAAAAAGGACAGCAACAACGACTACGGTGTAGGCTGAAGATGCAAGCAAGGCATTCAGCGCCGAGCGTTAGCGCTACCAATGCACGTATTGTGACAAGGTGGGACACACAGCAGAGTATTGTTGGGCGAAGCAAAATTGTGAAGGTTGAGGAGCCCAACGCGGCGGCAATGCCTGTGGACGCGAAGCGAACTATGCCCAGTGGAACATAATGACGAAGGCAATGGCTACGATCGAGTGGCGTTTGCAGTCTCGCTCGGATGTGGAGTTTCGACGAGCAAGGACGTGTCTGGAATGTGGGCCGTCGACAGTCGTGCAACGAACCACGTTTGCCACAAAAAGACCAAGTTTGCAAGTTTGGCAGAGCGCAACGAGGGCGAACTATTGGTGGCTGATGGTAACAAGGCTGCCGTCAAGGGTGTTGGAACCATCATGGAAAACGTGGTTCTGACCAACGGCGAAGAGCGCGAGATCGAGATCAAGAACGCGTTACATGTTCCCAGTCTGAGCAAGAACCTGCTTTCGGTGCCACAGACTAACAGGCATGACATCTCCAAGTCGTGTTTGACGGGTCCAAGATGTATGTGACTCTCAAGAACTCACAGCAAGTGTTGGCGACAGTGGATCTCGTGGATGGACTTTACTGGCTTCGTCTCAGCGGATCTAGTGGATGGACTTTACTGGCTTCGACTCAGCGATCGACAAATGGGACACAAGTGAAAACATTGTGATGGTCTACATGCGCGAATGGGTCACCCCGCTCCAGTCGACGTACTGCGCAAGATGATCACGACCAACATGATCAAGGATGTGCGAGTCCCTCTCAAGTTGGGTGGAGCAAGTGCATGCCGCGGGTGTCAACAAGGTGAAAAAGTCCAAAAACCATTCCCAAGCAACCGCGACAAGCGCAGCTATGATAAGTGTGAGCTGCTTCATCTGGACATCTGTGGGTCCATGGAAAATGATTCGCTCGGTGGTAGCAGATATCTGCTACTGATCGTAGACGAAGCCAGTGGAGTGGATGCACGAAGGGCTTTTGTTTACGAGTGAAGTCCTAGAGTGAAGACTACGTCCGGAAGTACATCACTGTGGTTCAGACGCAGTTCAGTAAGAAGGTCAAGTTTGTGCGACACGACGGAGCTTGCGAGCTCGCAACCAACTCGCTTCAAATGTTCTACAAAGATGAAGGCATTGAACAGCAAACAACGGTGACATATGCGCATCAAACCAACGGAACAGCAGAGCGTGCCATTAGGACTATCCTTACGATCGGCCGCAGCATGCTTCATCATGCCAAACTAGACAATTGTTTCTGGGCTGAAGCAGCGATGACGGCCATCTACGTCAAGAATCGACTGCCGTCACCTAAAGTCGTACTCAAGAATACGTTTGAGATTGTCTCGACAACTCGAAGCCAAGCGTCAAGCACATGCAAGCATTCGGGTGCCAGACGTACATACTGACACCAAAGGAGAATCGGCTTAAGTGGGATCCAAAGGCTCGCACTGGCATATTCGTGGGATGCGAAGAAGTGTCGAAGGCGTATCGAGTTTATGACATTGAGGCGGGACAGGTGGTTATCTGTCGCGATGTCAACTTCGACGAGTCCACCTTTGGACTTCCGCCGCCGATCACTGATGAAGATGCCGATGACCTGGACTTTGAATTGCTTGACCTCAATGATGAAGAGCCGCGTCAGGTGGAGTACAAGCAAACAGGCAAGCGCAAAAACCGCCTCAGTGATGAAGATACAGCAGCTCCACGGCCACGTGCAGTGCGTCAACGACCTGGACTAGAAGAGTCAAGCGTATTGTGGGTTGACGGTTGAGGTACTGCTATCAGCTCTAATGGGAACCGTAAATCTGTCCAAGTCGACTGCGTAAATACGGTGAGTTTTACCAATGATTAGACGCATAGGATGATTGGATGACCTACATGATTTATGATTCATGATTTATATGTGGACAACATAAAAATCAGTGCAGAGATAAATCAGGTAGCTTTAACAAAACCCACAAATAAATTCACTTTAAAATATTCCTTCTCCTACACAAGTCGTCTTCACTTCGCAGTGTAGACTTCTTTCAAGCTCTTCAAGCTTCGTTCTCTCGCCCAGTACTCTTCAGACTTTAACAGGTTATGAGCCCAAGCACGATGTCCTCTGCTCAAGATTCCGCCACCAAGATCTCTATCGATAGATTCGATGGAGACAACTACGCGACGTGGAGCCGCTACATGCGTGGCGTGTTCCTGACCAAGTCGACGTGGCACGTGGTCAACCGGGAGACCACCCCCACCTTCGCCGATCCTCGCGCCAGTGATGAGTACGTCAAGACAAACAACATTGCGTTCGGCTTGATGTTACTTCACATGAGCGCGGACTATCATCACGTGGTTGATGACTGTGAAGAGGCGTGGGTCGCGTGGGCGCGTTTGAAGACGCTGTACGGCGGGTCGCAGAAGGCTGGACACATCTACTTGAAGCGCCAGATATTCAGCATGGAGATGGCGGAAGGCGGCAATGTAATGCATCATTGCAACGAAGTCCTCAACATCAGCGCCAAGCTCAGCAGCATCGGCGCCAAGATGGAGGATGAGGACGTGGCGATCTGCTTGTTGTGCAGCCTCCCCAAGAGCTACGAGAACGTCGTGCTGAACTTGGAGATGAGCAGCGCGGAACTGCGGACGCAAGACGTCGTGAAAGTGCTGACGAATGAGCACATCAAGAGACAAGGGAAAAGACGACATCGGTGAAAACTGAAGAAGCGACCAAGGCCTTCAGTACCGAGCGTGAGGTTCGTCAGTGTACGTTCTGCGGAAAATTGGGGCACACGGTGGAAAAGTGTTGGACCAAGCAGAAGGAAGACAATCGGGGAGCTCGACGCGGCGGCAATGCACGTGGACGCGGAGCGAATCAAGTTCAGTGGCAAGGCTACAACGGCAACAACAACTGTGACTATGATCGAGTGGCGTTTGCTGTTTCGCTGGAATGCGGACTTTCAACGACCAAGAGCATGTCTAGAATGTGGGCGATTGACAGCGGTGCAACATATCACATCTGCTATGACAAGTCCAAGTTCGAAGTTCTGGACGAGCGCAATGAAGGTGAAGTGTTGGTTGCAGATGGGAACAAGGCTGCGATCAACGGTGTCGGGACAATCATCGAAAAGGTGACCCTGTCCAACGGTGAAGAGCGCGAAGTCGAGATCAAGAACGCGCTTTACGTCCCAAGCATGAACAAAAACTTGCTTTCGATACCACAAATCAACAAAAGCGGCAAGTTTCAAGTGGTGTTTGATGGTGACGAGATGAAGATTTCGCACAAAGGCTCCAAGCAAGTAATAGCGATGGCCGATCTTGTGGATGGCCTCTACTGGCTTCGTACATCCCAACGATCGGTGAATGCAGCCTCAGGACCAGGAGTCGGAAACTTTCATGCGCGTATGGGCCACGCACCGGTTCATGTCTTGTGCAGAATGGTCTTCAAGGGCATGATCAAGGATGCCAAGAAGCCAGCAAAATTGAGCGGATCAAGCGTGTGTCAAGGTTGTCTAGAAGGAAAAATGGTTCAACGACCGTTCCCAAGCAATCCAAACAAGCGTCACTACAACCCATTTAAGCTTCTACACATCGACACTTTTGGTCCAATGGAAGTCGACTCGCTAGGTGGAAGCAAGTACTTGCTACTGATCGTCGATGAAGGCAGCGGATGTATGAAGGGTTTCAGTCTGCGCGCCAAGTCCGACAGCGAAGAGTGCATCGAGAAGTACATCATGGCAGTACAGACGCAGTTTGACTACAAGGTCAAGTTCGTTCGACACGATGGTGCACGAGAATTTGCGGCGAATTCGCTAAAGGCATTTTACGATGATCAAGGAATCGAGCAGCAAGTTACCGTTCCGTATGCGCATCAGACCAACGGCACGGCGGAACGGGCAATTCGGACTATTGTGACGATCGGGCGCAGCATGCTTCACTACGCCAAGCTGGACAAGTGTTTTTGGGCTGAAGCAGCAATGACGGAGATCTATATCAAGAATCGCCTACCATCGCCCAAGTGCCAAGATCGAACCCCATTCGAGATCGTCAACGGAGTTCGACCAAGTGTGAAGCACATGCGGGTTTTCGGCTGCCGAACGTTTGTGCTAACCCCTAAGGAAAAAAGATCGAAATGGGATCCAAAGGCTCGTGAATGACTACTCATGGGGTACGAAGAAGTGTCGAAGGCATATCGCGTTTACGACATTGAAGCGGACCAAGTGGTGATATCTCGCGATGTCACATTCGACGAATCAACGCTTGGTTTCTCGCCGACGCTACCACAAGAAATTGTTGATGACACTGCGCTGGATATCGAATCGATGAACATCATCGATGAGCCTCACCCCATGCAGTTCAAGCAAACTAGAAAACGCAAAAGCCGTTCAAACAGTCAAGAACAAGTTCTACAATGGACACTTCTTGAGCGTCGTGGAACCGGGTTAGAAGAAGCAAGTGCCCCGGATGACTTTGAATCGCACCAAGCGAAGCGACGATCAAGCACTCGAGACAATCTGGACGAAGAGCAAAAGGGCAGTGACGAAGATAACGAGGATGCAACACCTCAAGTCTTTTGGCGAGCGAGTGCCAATGCAGTCGAAGGTACTGACTTGTCTGAGCCGACAACGTTTAAAGATGCTGTTGGTGGACCAGATCAAGTGCATTGGCGTAAGGCAGTCTGTGCCGAGTTGGACTCAATGAAACTTCGTGGCGTGTTTCGAGCGACCAAACTGCCAGCTGGACAGAATACCATTGGTACCAAGTGGCTATTCAAGATCAAACGGAAATCTGATGGATCCATCGAGAAATACAAGGCGCGTCTCGTGGCAAAAGGGTTCAAGCAGAAATATGGCATCGACTACACGGAAACGTTTTCGCCGGTAGTCAAGTACGTGACGCTGCGCATGGTGGTTGCAATCACGAAGTACTTTGGCTGGACACTGGACCTACTGGACGTGGTGACAGCTTTCCTTTACGGAGAAATGAAGGAAGGAAAAGGTATTCTGCGCGATCCCAGAAGGGGTCGAAGTTGATGAAGACTTTGACTGCTTTGAACTGGTCAAGGCGACCTACGGACTAAAACAAGCATCGCGCGCATGGAACGAGACTTTTCATGAGTTCGTCTGCTCCATTGGATTTTAAGTCTCCGATTTTGACCCGTGTCTTTATCTCAAGATTACAAGTGGCGAGTGCGTGCTTTTGCTGGTATACGTCGATGGTGTGTTGGTGACTGGCAGCTCAACCGAACTGATTATGCGCACCAAGAGTGACTTAAAGGCGCGTTTCGAAATGACTGACAGCGGCAAGTGCGCATTCGTGTTGGGAATCGAGCTGGTGGACAACGACAGCGGTAGCGTGACGATGTGCCAGCGACGCTACGTGGAAGATATTCTCAAGCGTTTTGGCATGAGCGACTGCAAAGCCGTCACCAGCCCAACAGACATCAGTTCTCGACTCATACCAAGTACCGCAGCAACTAAAATCGACGCCCCGTTTCGTGAAGCAGTAGGCGCTCTGATGCACTTGATGACCGCGACACGACCGGACATTGCCTTTGCTGTGAGTTACGTTACGCGCTTCATGGAGAACCCCCAAGTCGAGCATTGGATGGCGGTCAAGCGCATTTTGCGATACTTACAAGGGACTAAGTCGCACGGTATCTGTTTCAAGCCTGATGACAAGATAGACTTCTGTGGCTACTCGGATGCAGACTGGGCCGGCGACCATGCAGACCGCAAGTCGACTTCAGGATATGCGTTTATCCTGATGGGTGCTCCGGTGAGCTGGGGAAGCAAAAAGCAGTCAAGTGTGTCGCTGTCAACAAGTGAAGCTGAGTACATTGCACTAAGTCTGGCGATTCAAGAAGGCAAGTGGGTGCATCGATTGCTGTGCGAGATTCTGGATGCCGCAGAGGACAAGTCTGGACCCGAGCTCAAGATCATGGAAGACAACCAGTCGTGCATCAAGATGACGAAGAATCCTGTGAACCATGGTCGGGCCAAGCACATCGACATCAAGTACCATCACATTCGTGATGAAGTCAAGCGTGGTGATGTCAAGCTGGATTGCTGTGAGACTCCGATTATGTTGGCGGACATCATGACGAAGGGACTGCCAGGACCGCGTCACAAGGACTTGACGGCAGCGCTCGGCATACACGCGTGTTCGCATTGAGGGGGCGTATTGTGGGTTGACGGTTGAGGTACTGCTATCAGCTACCATGGGAACCGTAAATTTGTCCAAGTCGATCCCGCGTAATTACGGTGAGTTTTTACCAATGATTAGACGCATAGGATGATTGGATGACCTACATGATTTATGATTCATGATTTATATGTGGACAACATATAAATCAGTGCAGAGATAAATCAGGTAGCTTTAACAAAACCCACAAATAAATTCACTTTAAAATATTCCTTCTCCTACACAAGTCGTCTTCACTTCGCAGTGTAGACTTCTTTCAAGCTCTTCAAGCTTCGTTCTCTCGCCCAGTGCTCTTCAGACTTTAACAAAGCGCGCTAGAAAACAACTCGTCACACCAAGAAGAAGACGAAGAAAGGAAGGATTCTGATGAATCAACTCCGCCTGTGTTTTGGCATGCGAGTGCGAACATCGTTGAAACAGAAGCAGACTTATCGGAGCCCTACACATTTGAGGCGGCAGTGAGCGGCCCTGACCAAGTGCACTGGCAAATGCCATTTATGCGGAACTCGAGCCGATGCGCCTTCGCGGTGTGTTTCGTGCAGCCAAGCTGCCCAACGGACAACGCGCCATTGGCACAAAGTGGGTGTTTGAGATCAAGCGCAAGGCGGATGGGTAGATCGAGAAGTGCTAGGCACGGCTTGTGGCCAAGGGTTTCCGCCAAAAATATGGCATCGACTACACGGAGACATTTTCATCCGTGGTCAAGTATGTGACGCTGCGAATGGAGATCGCAATTTCCAATAACTTTGGATGGCCCATCGACCAGCTTGATGTGATGACGGCTTTCCTGTATGGCGTCATGAAGGAACAAGTGTTCTGCGTGATTCCTGGAGGCGTTGAGCTTGTTAGTACGTTCGATTGCCTGGAATTGGTGAGGTCAATTGTGGCCTCAAGCAAGCGTCGCGAGTGTGGAACGAGACGTTCGACGAGTTTGTGTGCTCCATTGGAATTCAAGTATCGGAGTTCGACCCATGTCTCGAGATCAAGACTTCGGTCGGCCATTGTGTATTTGTACTGGTCTACGTGGACGACGTCTTGGTGACTGGAAGCTCGCTCGAGCTAATTACACGAACCAAGAACGACCTGAAGACACGTTTCGAGATGACTGATAGCGGCAAATGTGCATTTGTTCTTGGAATTGAGCTTTTGGACTGTGAAGATGGCAGTGTGAATATGTGTCAGCGCCGTTATGTATGAGGATGATATCCTCAAGCGCTTTGGAATGGAGGAGTGCAAGGCTGTGGCGAGTCCTGTGGATGTCAGCTCTCGACTGATGTCGAGCAACGCTACGAGCAAGATCGATGTTCCATTCCTCGAAGCTGTTCGTGCTTTGATGCATCTGACGACTGCAACACGACCGGACATCGCCTATGCTGTGAGCTTTGTGTCGCGCTTCATGAAGAATCTCCAAGAAGAACACTGGGTTGCGGTCAAGCGCATCTTTCGCTACCTACAAGGCACTAAGATGCATGGAATTTGCTGCAAGCCACGTGCAAGGATCGACTTTTGTGGTTCTTCGGACGCAGACTGGGCCGGCGACCTTACTGATCGCTAGTCAACGTCTAGCTACGTTTTTATGCTATTGGGTGCTCCAGTGAGTTGGGGTAACAAGAAGCATCCAAGTGTGCCACTGTCTACAAGTGAAGGGGAGTACATTGAGCTAAGTCTGGCGGTTCAAGAAGGCAAGTGGACTCACCGCTTACTATGCGAGATCATGGCGGCTGCTAACGAGGACGGACCCGAGCTCATGATCCGCGAAGACAACCAGTCCTGCATCAAAATGACCAAGAATCCGGTCAACCACGGCCGCATCAAACACATTAATATCCAGTACCATCACATTCGCGATGAAGTCAAGCGCGGTGAAGTGAAGCTTGAATACTGCGAGACGACGGTGATGTTGGCAGACAGTATGACCAAGGGACTCACTGACCACGCCACAAGGACTTAAAGCCGCCGCTAGGCATCTGTTCGCATTCGGATTGAGAGGGCGTGTTGACGGTCATCCGTTTTCTACCAGTCATGCTAATCGTGACCAGTTCAATCCGAACCGCCTGCTCATCTTAGTGTTTACGACGTAGTTCTTATGCTAAATACCATAGTTGATTAGACGCGTAGGATGATGAGACGATTCACATGATTTATGTGTTCACCACATCTAAATCATGTAGCAAGCCCCGGTAATCAATCTCTTTCGAATCTTCCAACTAGTGAGGAAGTGGCTTCTGCTCTACTCTCTTCAGTCTCTCCGCTCCCTTCGCTCCTCTCTCTTCCATGCAACAGATTATGAGCCCAAGCGCCATGTCGTCCACCACCAACGCATCATCCAACGTCTCCATTGATAAGCTCAATGGAGACAATCATGCGACTTGGAGTCGATACATGCGCGGTGTTTTTTGACGAAGTCCGTATGGTGCGTCGTAAACCGTGAAGCGACTCCGACTTTCACCGACCCGTGAGCGTCCGATGACTACATTAAGACGAGCAACGTCGCGTTTGGTATGGTGCTGCTACTACACATAAATGCGGACTACCACCACGTGCTTGACAGCTACGAGGAAGCGTGGGCTGCGTGGACACGTCTGAAGACTGTACGGTGGATCGCAGAAGGCAGGACGCACCTTTCTCAAGCGACAACTTTTCAGTATCAAGATGGCTGAAGGCGCGAACGTCATGCACCACTGCAACGAGGTCCTCAACGTCTCCGCTAAGCTTAGCGGCATCGGTGCGAAGATGGAAGAAGAAGACGTTGCAATCTGTCTGCTGCTTAGTCTTCCAAAGAGCTACGAAAATGTGGTGCTCAACATGGAAATGAGCAGCGCCGAGCTTCGTACCCAAGATGTGGTGAGAGTGCTGACGAATGAGCACGCCAAGAGTCAAGGAGAAAAAAGGACAGCAACAGCGACTACGGTGTAGGCTGAAGATGCAAGCAAGGCATTCAGCGCCGAGCGTTAGCCCTACCAATGCACGTATTGTGACAAGGTGGGACACACAGCAGAGTATGTTGGGTGAAGCAAAATAGTGAAAGTTGAGGAGCCCAACGCGGCGGCAATGCCTGTGGATGCAAAGCGAACTATGCCCAGTGGAACATAATGACGAAGGCAATGGCTACGATCGAGTGGCGTTTGCAGTCTCGCTCGGATGTGAAGTTTCGACAAGCAAGGACGTGTCTGGAATGTGGGCCGTCGACAGTGGTGCAACGCACCACGTTTGCCACAAAAAGACCAAGTTTTCAAGTTTGGCAGAGCGCAACGAGGGCGAACTATTGGTGGCTGATGGCAACAAGGTGGCCATCAAGGGTGTTGGAACCATCATGGAAAACGTGGTTCTGACCAACGGCGAAGAGCGCGAGATCGAGATCAAGAACGCGTTACATGTTCCAAGTATGAGCAAGAACCTGCTTTCGGTGCCACAGACTAACAGGCATGACATCTCCAAGTCGTGTTTGACGGGTCCAAGATGTATGTGACTCTCAAGAACTCACAGCAAGTGTTGGCGACAGCGGATCTCGTGGATGGACTTTACTGGCTTCGTCTCAGCGGATCTAGTGGATGGACTTTACTGGCTTCGACTTAGCGATCAACAAATGGGACACAAGTGAAAACATTGTGATGGTCTACATGCGCGAATGGGTCACCCCGCTCCAGTCGACGTACTTCGCAAGATGATCACGACCAACATGATCAAGGATGTGCGAGTCCCTCTCAAGTTGGGTGGAGCAAGTGCATGCCGCGGGTGTCAACAAGGTGAAAAAGTCCAAAAACCATTCCCAAGCAACCGCGACAAGCGCAGCTATGATAAGTGTGAGCTGCTTCATCCGGACATCTGTGGGTCCATGGAAAATGATTCGCTCGGTGGTAGCAGATATCTGCTACTGATCGTAGACGAAGCCAGTGGAGTGGATGCACGAAGGGCTTTTGTTTACGAGTGAAGTCCTAGAGTGAAGACTACGTCCGGAAGTACATCACTGTGGTTCAGACGCAGTTCAGTAAGAAGGTCAAGTTTGTGCGACACGACGGAGCTTGCGAGCTCGCAACCAACTCGCTTCAAATGTTCTACAAAGACGAAGGCATTGAACAGCAAACAACGGTGACATATCCGCGATGTCCGGTCGCGTTGCAGTCGTCAGATGCATCAAAGCACCCACTGCTTCACGGAATGGGACATCCACCTTGCTTGCAGAGTTGCTCGGAACCAGTCGAGAGCTGACGTCCACCGGACTTGCCACAGCCTTGCACTCATCCATTCCAAAGCGCTTGAGGACATCGTCGACATAACGGCGCTGACACATAGTCACGCTGCCATCTTCACCGTCCAATAACTCGATCCCAAGAACAAAGGCACACTTGCCGCTGTCCGTCATCTCGAAGCGTGTCTTGAGGTCGTTCTTGGTGCGCGCAATCATCTCGAGCGAGCTTCCAGTCACCAAGACATCGTCCACGTAGACCAGCACAAAAACACAATGGCCTTCCGAAGTCATGATGTAGAGACATGGATCGAATCCCGACGCTTGAAAACCAATCGAGCGTATGAACTCTATTGTAACTTGAGCGCGAGGCGAAGAGAAAACGAAGCGGAGAGACCGGAGAGAACCAAGCAGAGAACACTTGCTCACTTGAGGGAGGATTCGAAAAGTGATTGATTTATAGGTCTTAACTTCTGCCTACCCTAGACTGCATCCAATCACATGGTGCATCTAATCAACCTGATTTACACGCGTCCAATCATCCTACGCGTCTAATCATCTCTGAGGTAATTACCGATGTAAAAACTATCTCGTAAGAACTACGCGCTAGGTTCGGATTGTACCGGTAACCCTCAATACGCCCCCTCAATCCGAACACGCACGGATGCCAAGCGCCGCCGTCAAGTCCTTGTGACGCGGTCCGTGAAGTGCCTTGGTCATGATGTCCGCCAACATCAACGTCGTCTCGCAGTATTCAAGCTTCACTTCGCCGCGCTTGACTTCATCACGGATGTGATGGTACTTGATGTCGATGTGTTTAGCGCGGCCGTGGTTGACCGGATTCTTCGTCATCTTGATGCACGACTGGTTGTCTTCACGGATGACGAGCTCGGGTCCTTCTTCATTTGCAGCCGCCATGATTTCGCACAGCAAGCGATTGATCCACTTGCCTTCTTGGATCGCCAGGCTGAGCGCGATGTACTCCGCTTCGCTTGTAGACAGTGACACACTTGGCTGTTTCTTGCTGCCCCAACTCACCGGAGCACCCAATAGCATGAAGACGTAGCCGGACGTCGATTTGCGATCAGCAAGGTCACCGGCCCAGTCTGCATCTGAATAGCCACGAAAGTCGATCTTCGCACTTGGCTTGTAGCAGATTCCATGCATCTTGGTGCCTTGTAGGTAGCGGAAGATGCGCTTGACTGCAACCCAGTGTTCTTCTTGGGGTTTCTCCATGAACCGTGACACAAAGCTTACAGCATAGGCGATGTCCGGTCGCGTTGCAGTCGTCAGATGCATCAAAGCACCCACTGCTTCACGGAATGGGACATCCACCTTGCTTGCAGAGTTGCTTGGAACCAGTCGAGAGCTGACGTCCACCGGACTTGCCACAGCCTTGCACTCATCCATTCCAAAGCGCTTGAGGACATCGTCGACATAACGGCGCTGACACATAGTCACGCTGCCATCTTCACCGTCCAATAACTCGATCCCAAGAACAAAGGCACACTTGCCGCTGTCCGTCATCTCGAAGCGTGTCTTGAGGTCGTTCTTGGTGCGCGCAATCATCTCGAGCGAGCTTCCAGTCACCAAGACATCGTCCACGTAGACCAGCACAAAAACACAATGGCCTTCCGAAGTCATGATGTAGAGACATGGATCGAATCCCGACGCTTGAAAACCAATCGAGCGTATGAACTCTGTTGTAACTTGAGCGCGAGGCGAAGAGAAAACGAAGCGTAGAGACCGGAGAGAACCAAGCAGAGAACACTTGCTCACTTGAGGGAGGATTCGAAAAGTGATTGATTTATAGGTCTTAACTTCTGCCTACCCTAGACTGCATCCAATCACATGGTGCATCTAATCAACCTGATTTACACGCGTCCAATCATCCTACGCGTCTAATCATCTCTGAGGTAATTACCGATGTAAAAACTATCTCGTAAGAACTACGCGCTAGGTTCGGATTGTACCGGTAACCCTCAATACGCCCCCTCAATCCGAACACGCACGGATGCCAAGCGCCGCCGTCAAGTCCTTGTGACGCGGTCCGTGAAGTGCCTTGGTCATGATGTCCGCCAACATCAACGTCGTCTCGCAGTATTCAAGCTTCACTTCGCCGCGCTTGACTTCATCACGGATGTGATGGTACTTGATGTCGATGTGTTTAGCGCGGCCGTGGTTGACCGGATTCTTCGTCATCTTGATGCACGACTGGTTGTCTTCACGGATGACGAGCTCGGGTCCTTCTTCGTTTGCAGCCGCCATGATCTCGCACAACAAGCGATTGATCCACTTGCCTTCTTGGATCGCCAGACTTAGCTCAATGTACTCCCCTTCGCTTGTAGACAGTGACACACTTGGCTGTTTCTTGCTGCCCCAACTCACCGGAGCACCCAATAGCATGAAGACGTAGCCGGACGTCGATTTGCGATCAGCAAGGTCACCGGCCCAGTCTGCATCTGAATAGCCACGAAAGTCGATCTTCGCACTTGGCTTGTAGCAGATTCCATGCATCTTGGTGCCTTGTAGGTAGCGGAAGATGCGCTTGACTGCAACCCAGTGTTCTTCTTGGGGTTTCTCCATGAACCGTGACACAAAGCTTACAGCATAGGCGATGTCCGGTCGCGTTGCAGTCGTCAGATGCATCAAAGCACCCACTGCTTCACGGAATGGGACATCCACCTTGCTTGCAGAGTTGCTTGGAACCAGTCGAGAGCTGACGTCCACCGGACTTGCCACAGCCTTGCACTCATCCATTCCAAAGCGCTTGAGGACATCGTCGACATAACGGCGCTGAAACATAGTCACGCTGCCATCTTCACCGTCCAATAGCTCGATCCCAAGAACAAAGGCACACTTGCCGCTGTCCGTCATCTCGAAGCGTGTCTTGAGGTCGTTCTTGGTGCGCGCAATCATCTCGAGCGAGCTTCCAGTCACCAAGACATCGTCCACGTAGACCAGCACAAAAACACAATGGCCTTCCGAAGTCATGATGTAGAGACATGGATCGAATCCCGACGCTTGAAAACCAATCGAGCGTATGAACTCTGTTGTAACTTGAGCGCGAGGCGAAGAGAAAACGAAGCGGAGAGACCGGAGAGAACCAAGCAGAGAACACTTGCTCACTTGAGGGAGGATTCGAAAAGTGATTGATTTATAGGTCTTAACTTCTGCCTACCCTAGACTGCATCCAATCACATGGTGCATCTAATCAACCTGATTTACACGCGTCCAATCATCCTACGCGTCTAATCATCTCTGAGGTAATTACCGATGTAAAAACTATCTCGTAAGAACTACGCGCTAGGTTCGGATTGTACCGGTAACCCTCAATACGCCCCCTCAATCCGAACACGCACGGATGCCAAGCGCCGCCGTCAAGTCCTTGTGACGCGGTCCGTGAAGTGCCTTGGTCATGATGTCCGCCAACATCAACGTCGTCTCGCAGTATTCAAGCTTCACTTCGCCGCGCTTGACTTCATCACGGATGTGATGGTACTTGATGTCGATGTGTTTAGCGCGGCCGTGGTTGACCGGATTCTTCGTCATCTTGATGCACGACTGGTTGTCTTCACGGATGACGAGCTCGGGTCCTTCTTCATTTGCAGCCGCCATGATCTCGCACAGCAAGCGATTGATCCACTTGCCTTCTTGGATCGCCAGGCTGAGCGCGATGTACTCCGCTTCGCTTGTAGACAGTGACACACTTGGCTGTTTCTTGCTGCCCCAACTCACCGGAGCACCCAATAGCATGAAGACGTAGCCGGACGTCGATTTGCGATCAGCAAGGTCACCGGCCCAGTCTGCATCTGAATAGCCACGAAAGTCGATCTTCGCACTTGGCTTGTAGCAGATTCCATGCATCTTGGTGCCTTGTAGGTAGCGGAAGATGCGCTTGACTGCAACCCAGTGTTCTTCTTGGGGTTTCTCCATGAACCGTGACACAAAGCTTACAGCATAGGCGATGTCCGGTCGCGTTGCAGTCGTCAGATGCATCAAAGCACCCACTGCTTCACGGAATGGGACATCCATCTTGCTTGCAGAGTTGCTTGGAACCAGTCGAGAGCTGACGTCCACCGGACTTGCCACAGCCTTGCACTCATCCATTCCAAAGCGCTTGAGGACATCGTCGACATAACGGCGCTGACACATAGTCACGCTGCCATCTTCACCGTCCAATAACTCGATCCCAAGAACAAAGGCACACTTGCCGCTGTCCGTCATCTCGAAGCGTGTCTTGAGGTCGTTCTTGGTGCGCGCAATCATCTCGAGCGAGCTTCCAGTCACCAAGACATCGTCCACGTAGACCAGCACAAAAACACAATGGCCTTCCGAAGTCATGATGTAGAGACATGGATCGAATCCCGACGCTTGAAAACCAATCGAGCGTATGAACTCTATTGTAACTTGAGCGCGAGGCGAAGAGAAAACGAAGCGGAGAGACCGGAGAGAACCAAGCAGAGAACACTTGCTCACTTGAGGGAGGATTCGAAAAGTGATTGATTTATAGGTCTTAACTTCTGCCTACCCTAGACTGCATCCAATCACATGGTGCATCTAATCAACCTGATTTACACGCGTCCAATCATCCTACGCGTCTAATCATCTCTGAGGTAATTACCGATGTAAAAACTATCTCGTAAGAACTACGCGCTAGGTTCGGATTGTACCGGTAACCCTCAATACGCCCCCTCAATCCGAACACGCACGGATGCCAAGCGCCGCCGTCAAGTCCTTGTGACGCGGTCCGTGAAGTGCCTTGGTCATGATGTCCGCCAACATCAACGTCGTCTCGCAGTATTCAAGCTTCACTTCGCCGCGCTTGACTTCATCACGGATGTGATGGTACTTGATGTCGATGTGTTTAGCGCGGCCGTGGTTGACCGGATTCTTCGTCATCTTGATGCACGACTGGTTGTCTTCACGGATGACGAGCTCGGGTCCTTCTTCGTTTGCAGCCGCCATGATCTCGCACAACAAGCGATTGATCCACTTGCCTTCTTGGATCGCCAGGCTGAGCGCGATGTACTCCGCTTCGCTTGTAGACAGTGACACACTTGGCTGTTTCTTGCTGCCCCAACTCACCGGAGCACCCAATAGCATGAAGACGTAGCCGGACGTCGATTTGCGATCAGCAAGGTCACCGGCCCAGTCTGCATCTGAATAGCCACGAAAGTCGATCTTCGCACTTGGCTTGTAGCAGATTCCATGCATCTTGGTGCCTTGTAGGTAGCGGAAGATGCGCTTGACTGCAACCCAGTGTTCTTCTTGGGGTTTCTCCATGAACCGTGACACAAAGCTTACAGCATAGGCGATGTCCGGTCGCGTTGCAGTCGTCAGATGCATCAAAGCACCCACTGCTTCACGGAATGGGACATCCACCTTGCTTGCAGAGTTGCTTGGAACCAGTCGAGAGCTGACGTCCACCGGACTTGCCACAGCCTTGCACTCCTCCATTCCAAAGCGCTTGAGGACATCGTCGACATAACGGCGCTGACACATAGTCACGCTGCCATCTTCACCGTCCAATAGCTCGATCCCAAGAACAAAGGCACACTTGCCGCTGTCCGTCATCTCGAAGCGTGTCTTGAGGTCGTTCTTGGTGCGCGCAATCATCTCGAGCGAGCTTCCAGTCACCAAGACATCGTCCACGTAGACCAGCACAAAAACACAATGGCCTTCCGAAGTCATGATGTAGAGACATGGATCGAATCCCGACGCTTGAAAACCAATCGAGCGTATGAACTCTGTTGTAACTTGAGCGCGAGGCGAAGAGAAAACGAAGCGGAGAGACCGGAGAGAACCAAGCAGAGAACACTTGCTCACTTGAGGGAGGATTCGAAAAGTGATTGATTTATAGGTCTTAACTTCTGCCTACCCTAGACTGCATCCAATCACATGGTGCATCTAATCAACCTGATTTACACGCGTCCAATCATCCTACGCGTCTAATCATCTCTGAGGTAATTACCGATGTAAAAACTATCTCGTAAGAACTACGCGCTAGGTTCGGATTGTACCGGTAACCCTCAATACGCCCCCTCAATCCGAACACGCACGGATGCCAAGCGCCGCCGTCAAGTCCTTGTGACGCGGTCCGTGAAGTGCCTTGGTCATGATGTCCGCCAACATCAACGTCGTCTCGCAGTATTCAAGCTTCACTTCGCCGCGCTTGACTTCATCACGGATGTGATGGTACTTGATGTCGATGTGTTTAGCGCGGCCGTGGTTGACCGGATTCTTCGTCATCTTGATGCACGACTGGTTGTCTTCACGGATGACGAGCTCGGGTCCTTCTTCGTTTGCAGCCGCCATGATCTCGCACAACAAGCGATTGATCCACTTGCCTTCTTGGATCGCCAGGCTGAGCGCGATGTACTCCGCTTCGCTTGTAGACAGTGACACACTTGGCTGTTTCTTGCTGCCCCAACTCACCGGAGCACCCAATAGCATGAAGACGTAGCCGGACGTCGATTTGCGATCAGCAAGGTCACCGGCCCAGTCTGCATCTGAATAGCCACGAAAGTCGATCTTCGCACTTGGCTTGTAGCAGATTCCATGCATCTTGGTGCCTTGTAGGTAGCGGAAGATGCGCTTGACTGCAACCCAGTGTTCTTCTTGGGGTTTCTCCATGAACCGTGACACAAAGCTTACAGCATAGGCGATGTCCGGTCGCGTTGCAGTCGTCAGATGCATCAAAGCACCCACTGCTTCACGGAATGGGACATCCACCTTGCTTGCAGAGTTGCTTGGAACCAGTCGAGAGCTGACGTCCACCGGACTTGCCACAGCCTTGCACTCATCCATTCCAAAGCGCTTGAGGACATCGTCGACATAACGGCGCTGACACATAGTCACGCTGCCATCTTCACCGTCCAATAACTCGATCCCAAGAACAAAGGCACACTTGCCGCTGTCCGTCATCTCGAAGCGTGTCTTGAGGTCGTTCTTGGTGCGCGCAATCATCTCGAGCGAGCTTCCAGTCACCAAGACATCGTCCACGTAGACCAGCACAAAAACACAATGGCCTTCCGAAGTCATGATGTAGAGACATGGATCGAATCCCGACGCTTGAAAACCAATCGAGCGTATGAACTCTGTTGTAACTTGAGCGCGAGGCGAAGAGAAAACGAAGCGTAGAGACCGGAGAGAACCAAGCAGAGAACACTTGCTCACTTGAGGGAGGATTCGAAAAGTGATTGATTTATAGGTCTTAACTTCTGCCTACCCTAGACTGCATCCAATCACATGGTGCATCTAATCAACCTGATTTACACGCGTCCAATCATCCTACGCGTCTAATCATCTCTGAGGTAATTACCGATGTAAAAACTATCTCGTAAGAACTACGCGCTAGGTTCGGATTGTACCGGTAACCCTCAATACGCCCCCTCAATCCGAACACGCACGGATGCCAAGCGCCGCCGTCAAGTCCTTGTGACGCGGTCCGTGAAGTGCCTTGGTCATGATGTCCGCCAACATCAACGTCGTCTCGCAGTATTCAAGCTTCACTTCGCCGCGCTTGACTTCATCACGGATGTGATGGTACTTGATGTCGATGTGTTTAGCGCGGCCGTGGTTGACCGGATTCTTCGTCATCTTGATGCACGACTGGTTGTCTTCACGGATGACGAGCTCGGGTCCTTCTTCGTTTGCAGCCGCCATGATCTCGCACAACAAGCGATTGATCCACTTGCCTTCTTGGATCGCCAGACTTAGCTCAATGTACTCCCCTTCGCTTGTAGACAGTGACACACTTGGCTGTTTCTTGCTGCCCCAACTCACCGGAGCACCCAATAGCATGAAGACGTAGCCGGACGTCGATTTGCGATCAGCAAGGTCACCGGCCCAGTCTGCATCTGAATAGCCACGAAAGTCGATCTTCGCACTTGGCTTGTAGCAGATTCCATGCATCTTGGTGCCTTGTAGGTAGCGGAAGATGCGCTTGACTGCAACCCAGTGTTCTTCTTGGGGTTTCTCCATGAACCGTGACACAAAGCTTACAGCATAGGCGATGTCCGGTCGCGTTGCAGTCGTCAGATGCATCAAAGCACCCACTGCTTCACGGAATGGGACATCCACCTTGCTTGCAGAGTTGCTTGGAACCAGTCGAGAGCTGACGTCCACCGGACTTGCCACAGCCTTGCACTCATCCATTCCAAAGCGCTTGAGGACATCGTCGACATAACGGCGCTGAAACATAGTCACGCTGCCATCTTCACCGTCCAATAGCTCGATCCCAAGAACAAAGGCACACTTGCCGCTGTCCGTCATCTCGAAGCGTGTCTTGAGGTCGTTCTTGGTGCGCGCAATCATCTCGAGCGAGCTTCCAGTCACCAAGACATCGTCCACGTAGACCAGCACAAAAACACAATGGCCTTCCGAAGTCATGATGTAGAGACATGGATCGAATCCCGACGCTTGAAAACCAATCGAGCGTATGAACTCTGTTGTAACTTGAGCGCGAGGCGAAGAGAAAACGAAGCGGAGAGACCGGAGAGAACCAAGCAGAGAACACTTGCTCACTTGAGGGAGGATTCGAAAAGTGATTGATTTATAGGTCTTAACTTCTGCCTACCCTAGACTGCATCCAATCACATGGTGCATCTAATCAACCTGATTTACACGCGTCCAATCATCCTACGCGTCTAATCATCTCTGAGGTAATTACCGATGTAAAAACTATCTCGTAAGAACTACGCGCTAGGTTCGGATTGTACCGGTAACCCTCAATACGCCCCCTCAATCCGAACACGCACGGATGCCAAGCGCCGCCGTCAAGTCCTTGTGACGCGGTCCGTGAAGTGCCTTGGTCATGATGTCCGCCAACATCAACGTCGTCTCGCAGTATTCAAGCTTCACTTCGCCGCGCTTGACTTCATCACGGATGTGATGGTACTTGATGTCGATGTGTTTAGCGCGGCCGTGGTTGACCGGATTCTTCGTCATCTTGATGCACGACTGGTTGTCTTCACGGATGACGAGCTCGGGTCCTTCTTCGTTTGCAGCCGCCATGATTTCGCACAGCAAGCGATTGATCCACTTGCCTTCTTGGATCGCCAGGCTGAGCGCGATGTACTCCGCTTCGCTTGTAGACAGTGACACACTTGGCTGTTTCTTGCTGCCCCAACTCACCGGAGCACCCAATAGCATGAAGACGTAGCCGGACGTCGATTTGCGATCAGCAAGGTCACCGGCCCAGTCTGCATCTGAATAGCCACGAAAGTCGATCTTCGCACTTGGCTTGTAGCAGATTCCATGCATCTTGGTGCCTTGTAGGTAGCGGAAGATGCGCTTGACTGCAACCCAGTGTTCTTCTTGGGGTTTCTCCATGAACCGTGACACAAAGCTTACAGCATAGGCGATGTCCGGTCGCGTTGCAGTCGTCAGATGCATCAAAGCACCCACTGCTTCACGGAATGGGACATCCACCTTGCTTGCAGAGTTGCTTGGAACCAGTCGAGAGCTGACGTCCACCGGACTTGCCACAGCCTTGCACTCCTCCATTCCAAAGCGCTTGAGGACATCGTCGACATAACGGCGCTGACACATAGTCACGCTGCCATCTTCACCGTCCAATAGCTCGATCCCAAGAACAAAGGCACACTTGCCGCTGTCCGTCATCTCGAAGCGTGTCTTGAGGTCGTTCTTGGTGCGCGCAATCATCTCGAGCGAGCTTCCAGTCACCAAGACATCGTCCACGTAGACCAGCACAAAAACACAATGGCCTTCCGAAGTCATGATGTAGAGACATGGATCGAATCCCGACGCTTGAAAACCAATCGAGCGTATGAACTCGTCGAAGGTCTCGTTCCAAACACGCGAGGCTTGCTTGAGACCGTAGATCGCCTTGATCAGCTCGAGACAGTCGAAATCACCTTCCATCTTGACGCCTTCCGGAACAGCGCAGAACACCTTCTCCTTCATCACTCCATACAGGAACGCAGTCACCACATCGAGCTGGTCGAGGGGCCATCCAAAGTGCTTGGTAATGGCGATGACCATTCGCAGCGTCACATACTTGACCACGGGCGAGAACGTCTCCGTGTAGTCGATGCCATACTTTTGGCGAAAACCCTTGGCCACAAGTCGTGCCTTGTATTTCTCGATCGACCCATCCGCCTTGCGCTTGATCTTGAAGACCCACTTTGTGCCAATGGCGCTTTGTCCGTTGGGTAACTTGGCCGCACGAAAGACACCGCGAAGCTTCATCGAATCGAGCTCCGCATCAATTGCCTTGCGCCAGTGTACTTGGTCCGGGCCAGACACTGCCTCTTCAAATGTCAATGGCTCCGAAAAATCGACCGCTGCTTCGACGGCGTTTGCACTCGCATGCCAAAACGCGGAGGAAGTCGGTGTGTCATGTTGTTCCTCCGACTTCCTTTCTTCATCTTCGTTGGCTCGACGTGAAGAGAGGTCATCCGGCGCACTTGACTCTTCCAATCCGGGTCGTTGGCGCACTGCTCGGGGCATGCTTGCGTCGTCATTGTCGTGACTGGGTTGGGCCTTGCGCTTTCCTGTTTGTTTGAAGTGTCTCGGACGCGGTTCTTCATCATCAAGATCGATCGATTCGAAGTCCAGGCCATCAACATCGTCATCGGAAATCAGCATCGACATTCCAAAGGCCGACTCATCGAAGTTGACATCGCGACTTATCATCACCTGCCCCGCTTCGATGTCGTAAACTCGATACGCCTTGGACACTTCTTCGTAGCCCAAAAACAATCCAGCCCGGGCCTTGGGATCCCACTTGAGTCGTTTCTCCTTCGGGGTCAAGATGTATGCTTGGCACCCAAAAACGCGCATGTGCTTGACACTTGGCTTAGAATTGTAGACAATCTCGAACGGTGTCTTGTGTGGAATCTTGGGTGACGGCAAACGGTTCTTCACATAGACGGCCGTCATTGCCGCTTCAGCCCAGAAGCACTTGTCCAACTTGGCATGATGGAGCATGCTACGACCGATGGTGACGATAGTTCGAATCGCGCGTTCAGCAGTTCCATTGGCTTGATGTGCGTATGGCACCGTGGTTTGTTGCTCGATGCCTTCGACTTCGTAGAAATCTTGAAGCGAGTTCTTCCGCAAACTCGCGGGCTCCATCGTGTCGCACAAATTTGACCTTCTTGTTGAACTGCGTCTGTATCATCGTGATGTACTTCTTGATGCACTCTTCGCTCTCTGACTTGGAATGCAGACAAAAACCCTTCATGCATCCGCTGGCTTCATCCACGATCAGCAGCAGATACTTGCTGCCACCCAGAGATTTTTCTTCCATGGGTCCGCAGATGTCGAAGTGGAGCATCTCGAAGGTGTTGTAGGTGCGCTTGTCACGGTTGCTCGGGAATGGTTTTTGGACCATCTTCCCTTCTTGGCATCCTCGACACACACTTGATCCATTCGGCTTGGAAGGGATGTGAGCGTCCTTGATCATGTGGCTTGTCACCATCCTGCGAAGCACGTCGACTGGAGCATGGCCCATTCGCGCATGTAGATCAACAGCGTTGCTGAGTGATGTCGCATTGGCCGATCGCTGCGTCGTGCGAAGCCAGTAGAGTCCGTCTACAAGATCCGCAGCTGCCACCACTTGGTTGGAATCCTTGCGAGCGACGTACATCGTATCCCCGTCAAACACCACTTGGAAGTTGCCGTGCTTGTTAATCTGCGGCACCGAGAGCAGATTTTTGCTCATGCTGGGCACATAGAGCGCGTTCTTGATCTCGATCTCGCGCTCTTCCCCGTTTGGCAGAATCACCTTTTCCACGATGGTCCCCACACCTTTGATGGCCGCCTTGTTGCCATCAGCCACCAGGATCTCGCCATCATTGCCTTCGACCAAGCTTGCAAACTTGAACTTGTCGTGGCAGATGTGATGTGTTGCCCCGCTGTCAACGGCCCACATTCCTGGTCCATTCTTGTTCGTCGAAACTCCGCATTCGAACGAAACTGCAAACGCCACTCGATCGTAGCTGTTGCCTTCATCATAATATCGCCACTGGACATTGTTTGCCCCCGCGTCCACGACCATTGCCGCCGCGTTGGGCTCCTCGACTTTCATCCTTTTGCTTCGTCCAACAACGCTCTGCCGTGTGCCCCACCTTGCCGCAGTATGTGCATTGGTAGGGCTTGCGCTCGGTACTGAATGCCTTTGTCGCATCTTCAGTCTTC